GCCATAATCAGCTCTAATAAGTAATAGTTATATTTGTTAATTAACTCATTGCAATTTTTTTTTTAATCATCTCAAATACCTTAGTTGAAGAAGCCATCTTTTTTTTGATAAATTAAGAAGACACTAGAGCGATCTTTCTCTGATTATACTCATGTTTATATATATAGTTGGAATTTTTTTGGATAGTATCGTCGACACTAGTCTTGGATATATATGCTTCTTCAGTCCAAGTAGCGACCTTTACCGTTTTTCGAACTAAAAACTCTATATAATATAGGTGAGCCATATAAAAATAATAATTAGGAATAATCAGAGGTAGATTTTTAATACGCATCATAAGTAAAAGAACAAGCTAAATGTTTGTAACGATTGCTTTCAAAATAACTTCTCCAGCATATTTATAGAACAACTTTAAGTCCATGGCTAAAAACCAGAAGTCTTGCATGGATTGTATAATGAAAAATAGATCCACGTAGTCATATGATATCCACTCTTCACCTTTTTCAACCGTTAATAACATCCACAAAAGTTTTGTTTTATAAATTTACACCTCATGTTTTTAGAACTTGAAATAGATAAGACTAGAACCCAATATATAAATGCATGGAGAGATTTGACTGGAATGCAATAATTAACCAACCAAGAAGAAAACAAGAGGATTTGATGAGGAAATAAATTTGAGGGACAAGTGCATATGTTGAATCAGATATTGAAAGGTGTTTATGCAGAGATGAATTTGTGGTTGGGAAGATGGCCAGCGAATAAGATGAGGAGTATGAAAGATGCTCCACGAGAAGGAAGACTGTGATCTTCATCTTTTTTTTTTTTTTTGGTTTAAACTCGTTTTTGAAAATTATAAAAAGAGAACAATAACAAAAATGGGACTAATGAATGAGACTTTGAAGGGTGGGGGTGACAGAAACAATGGGTTAATTGGGAGTGAAGGATGTTGACAAGGCAAAAACATAGCCTTGGGGTTTGGTATGTTTCTTTACCCTCCGTTGGATGTGACTTGTCTCTCTATCTTCACCATACTAATGAGGTTTCAATTGAAAGAGTTCTTTGACTAGAACGAGGTGTTTTCTTGTGGGTATAGATTAGATATCGAGATTTTTTGTTTTCCCTCTTATTGTAGATGCATTGTAGTAAGAATTGGTGGTCCAATTGTAAGCAAATCTGTTTTTTTTTTTTTTTTTTTACTTTCTTTTTAACGACTCCGGACACTATTGCTGTCAGTATGAGATTGCTCTGGTTATCATAAAGAACAAAATAAAAATAAAACTACGATGCGTTTTTGTTCGAGTAGGTCATCATTCCATAGATACTAAACAATTCCAACTTTTATAAATAATAATACTATTGATTACATTGAATTGGCGGGATCATGATTACTATACATACTTGATTATACTGTGAAGTTTAATATGTTTTTTTTTACAAAACAAATATGTTCATCAGAGTTGAATATCAATTTTGCTGGATATGGTTTATGCAAAGTATTCATTATTAGGTTATGACAAGATTAGGTAAGGTACCGTTGGAATTTTATAACGCATCTAAAAAATAAATATCATCCCTGACCACAAAACAATGGGTGGAATAATAATGTTAAGGTCGCCTGTAAAATTCATGTGCTCTTTATACTTTTTGTTTCTTAATTTGTGAACGGGAACGGCCCATTATAATTTTTATTAACTATATTAGTTTTGGTATCCAATGATTAACTAAGATCAATGATATGAAAATATTGATTATAATACTCATGAACTAAGAAAATGTAAGTGAGCATGCAAATAAATATAGTCACTTACCCACCCTTTTCGTCGGACAAGTTATACGTTCATGTGGATTATACTTGAACCACATGATTGGAAGGTTCGGAAAGCAAAGCTTACTTTCAATAAATTATACACTTTGATAATGATTAGTCGACAACCGAACAAGCATATTTTCCGAAAATTGCCCCCTTCATTTACGGAATTTCAGGAAGATGTTAAGAAAAACTGGTCCAAATATTTTGTCACAATAGAAAATGGTTCAAATTGAAGTAAAATATTTATAGATATAGGCATCAATCTTATATATAATTAGGGAGTTGCTCTCTCCTTCTAGAGTGTCCACATCAGCACAAAAGTATTAAATTGTATTTCAAATATTTATTAAATATATGTCTATTCATATTTCTTTACATTTATTCATATTTTAAATATAAATAAAACTAAGAAAAATACACAAATAATTAATTAATTAGTATAAAGTATGTGATAACTTGATGTTAAAAATTTATCAAAAAGTTGGAATATAAAATAAAGATGGAGTAAATAAATATTTAACTTGAAATAGTATATATTTACCTTTTTATTCAAATGATTTATCCTATTTAAAAATGTTATAATGTGTTTACAAGTTAAAAATTTGAATATAAATTAATTAAGATAATAAAAGGTAATGAAAAATTAGAGTGATAATTTGTTTTTTTTTGACAAATAGAAGTCGAGTTTTTATATGTAAATTTAATTGCAGTGAAAAACATAAAAAATTTAAGGATTGTAATATGTTTGTTTAAAAAATATAATTTATATTTACAAAAATAACATAATAGAAAATAATCATTGGTCATGAGGCTCACATGCTACCACAACAAAGTAAATATGTAAAAGAATATACATATTATTTTTCGGATAAATGCGATTTTACATTATGTTTAAATTTTTTAACATTGAGTCAAATGCATATACATGTTTATTGTCTAATAGAAGTAAATAAATATAATATTTATAACATGCTAAAAATTTAAAAATATCTTAAATTCTTAATAGATAAAACGAGGTGTTAATATCTTAATAAAATTATATAAAAAAACAAATTTTTCATATTTTTTTAATGTTATTGGTTGAGTTAACTCAAAATATAACAAAAACATGAAAATTAAAACAAAACCATCATAATTCAAATCAACAAGTATAAATAAAATTAAACAGAAAAATTATCGCAAACAACCCCGCGCTTGAGCGGGGCTTCAAACCTAGTGATTATAATTAAACTTAGTTGGTCTATAATGCTGACTTCGAAATTCTAGAAAGTAGAATTAATTAATCGATAAGCCCTTGAGGACCAAATGCGATTAATCATACAATAATGTTGACCAAGTACGATTAATGTTTCTTTACCGCCTAATTCCACTTGGTGTATACACATGATGTGATTCTTGAACAGTTGACCGATGGAGACAATTAAAGAAACCATTAAATCATTAGATTCATCAATGCACACATTAGTAGACATGTTGTCAGATAGATTCTGTATGTGTTTAAATTACAGGCCTTGTAAAACAATGTGAACTCTTGTATAGATTTTACCTTTACATGAAGCAATAAAAAATTCGTATATTGTCTCCAACGCCATGAACTTCTCATATGTTTTTTTTTTTTTGTTAAAGTGAACTTCTCATATGTTGCAAAACGAACACCCTTCCATTATTTTCTTGGTCATATAAAACTCCCTCAGCACAGTCTCTCAGCGCATTCCCAGAGATCTGTCGGATAAATCTCTCTCAGTACAGTCTGTTTGATCATCTCAAAATGTAAAAGAAAGGATATGCAGATTTGAACTTATCCCAAACTTCTGATATAAAGATTTTGTAGCTTTTTCTAAAGTCATCAAACTGAATCTCCAAATTGTTATCATTTGTAATGATATCCAAGTATTAAGGAACACCTTACTTCATTTTTGTCATCAACTGGCTCTTCACATTAGATCCATAATTCACACTAAGGAAAAAAGTAAAAGCTGCGTACATGACGTGCCACCATTTAGCAGCTCATCCTCTACGTGCTAAAAAACTTATTCACCCAAGTTTCAAGGACATCGAAGTTCTCTTCTCCTACTACAACACGCTTCATGGAAGAATTTAAGAAGTGTTCTTTGAATAACTTCATACCTTCTGTTCGATGGTAGTGACTTCCTTCTGAATACATTAGGTTTTCATGAGGGGTGGAATGAATAGATTAGCAAACTTTTCGAGAGCACATCCAAAGAAGTTTGAATCGACTCCAAAATCGAAAGTACTTAAATGTATTATGATATAATAATGTTATAATCCGAATATACACGAAAATATCTAATATTCTATGAGAACTAGTAGTATTATAAAAAAAAAAAAAAAAAACTTTTGCACTATTTTCTGAAATTTAATTTATCTATTTAGAATAAATATAAAATGTCATATATACTGATATACATATATATCTTCTTATAAACTACACTCCCTCCTTTTCACACATTTTCCTCATCTATATTTATATGGATGTATTAAACTCAAAACACTTTATATAATTGCATATACATTTTTCCAAAATGACAATTAATTTGAAACGGAGGGAGTTTTACATAAGTATATATAACTCATAGTTCAACATATCTCTATATTTCAAAAATTAATCTATATATATATATATATATATATATGTAAAGTTATTTTGGAATAATTATGAAAAATCATATTTTAACAAAAATTATGAAAAATCATACTTATTTACTTTGACTTGGATATTTGGTTCGAATACAAAACGATATGGTACATACTATAAAATACCACCGTCTGGTAAAAGGTCACTTGTTGCGAACCCCACATATCAAGAAAATGTAGGGATTGCATGCACATGCATATACACAATATAGAACAATCTTCTCTCTATCATTTTAAACTAAAAATTGGGTTATCCCAAATCAGCAAATCCTGTATTCATACATAAATTAGATTATTTACAACTACAGTATAGCCCCTCTCTCTCTCTCTCTCTCTCTCTCTCTCTCTCTCTCTCTTATATTATTATTATATATATATATATTTTTTTTTATGTAAAAGGATATTCAACTCTTCTCTTCTCTTATATTATCGCATCTTCTCCTTTCCCATTTCCTCTTCCCCAACCAGTGAGAGAGAGAGATAAAGCGAGACGTATTTCCATTATAACAACAAAAATTAAAGAAAGAAAGAGATGAACCTTAAGGAGACAGAGCTCTCGCTTGGCCTCCCCGGAGGCGCACAAGCTGTGGAGACTCCGACCAAGTCGAGTGTGGGGAACAAGAGAGGCTTCTCTGAGACCGTTGATCTCAAATTTAGTCTTCACTCTAACAAACAAGGACCTGTGGAGGAGAAGATTCTGCTCAAAGACCCTGCTAAGCCTCCTACTAAGTAAGTTCCCTTTACAGTAAAATTCCTCACAAGATGACTTTATTTTCCGGATTTATATATATCTTCTTGAACTACATATCTATAAAAGAAAATTTTATGAAGGCACAAATAACAAAATTATTGGGTGTGTGTGTTGTTGTATTGTATGTAGAGCACAAGTGGTAGGTTGGCCACCTGTGAGGAACTACCGGAAAAATGTTATGGCTCAACCGAAGAGCAGCGAAGGGGAGGAGGCATCTAGCGGCGGTGGAGGAGGAGGAATTGTCGGCTTTGTGAAGGTTTCCATGGATGGAGCTCCTTATCTTCGAAAGGTTGACCTCAAGATGTACAAAAGCTACAAGGATCTTTCTGATGCCTTGACCAAAATGCTCAGCTCCTTTACTATGGGTACGCATTTACACATAGAGGCTTCGATTGTTCGTTTGCTTTTGAAGTAATACTGTTTTTCTTTATTTCTTATTTTTTTCGCGGCATGGAGGTCTTACCATCTTTATATGATACAGTAGTATTTAACTAATATGATAAATGTGGGGGTTTGGAATTATTATAGGGAGTTATGGAGCACAAGGGATGATAAATTTTATGAACGAGAGTAAAGTGATGGATCTGTTGAACAGTTCTGAGTATGTTCCAAGCTACGAGGATAAAGATGGTGACTGGATGCTCGTTGGCGATGTCCCCTGGCCGTGAGTTTCCTCCATCTTTTTGCTTAAATTAATTGCCTCTTTTTTTTTGTTCTCAATCATTATTTTCCATCAATAGTATAGGAACAGAACTATTCTCCAACTCGAGAAAATCAAGATTAGTCGATATTGATGATTAGAAAAGACCAAAGGATACTTGAAATCCATGTGCTTTAAGTACGCACAGCCATGCTTTTGGTTGGCATGGGACAGAACATCTTCAAATTATATACTATATCTATATGTTGGCTCATTTGTAGCTGGCACACCAATTTCTTTTCATAAATTTCGTTATTGGTTATTAATATAACATTCCAAAGAATATTTATAGTGACTAATCAAGATTCATTCCTAGTTAACCAGAACCTAAATTTTTATCTCAGGATGTTTATCGAGTCATGCAAACGTTTGCGCATTATGAAAGGATCCGAAGCTATAGGACTTGGTACGTTTTCTTCACTATTCGTTTCTTTAAGTTATTCTTAAAAAGTTATAATTTCAATTATGGATCTTATTTTTGTTTTACTCTAATTGGTTTCAGCTCCAAGAGCAATGGAGAAGTGCAAGAACAGATCCTGAACATTAAAATGAAAATGATATGCATGATGAGTTCTTAAATTGTTAGTTTGTATTGTTATGGTCCTATGTGTTCAATTGGTAATTTTTAATATTGGAGGGTATATAGGGAAGTATAATTGTTTACGATAAGTCAGAATTGTATTTGACCAGAAGATCAAAACTTCAAATATATGTGTTTTGTTTCATCTCATGTCACAGTATAGAATCAATTTTTTGAAGTGTAATTGTGATAATTATTTTACAGAGTTTTTTTTTTCTTTCTATTTGAAATGCTAACAGCATATCTAATTTTACAATATTTAAACGTGAAAATTATTTAAAGTAATAGTAGTAATTGTTTTATAATTTATCTTTATTCTCCTTTGAAACTTTTCCCAACTAGTAATCATTTTTTTGTTAAAAGATCTCCGAACTAGTAATCATTTTAAAATTATAATATTTTAACTAAAGCTAAACATTTATCATGAATATGAAAACATTCACATAAAAATATTTACAAAGTCTAGAAATATTAGCATAGATTATAGTACAATTCGTAGATGATAAAAATGGACGTAACTATCACACTGAAGATAAACAACATAAATACAATATAAATAATGTGTGAATTGTTCTGTGGGGGGAGAATTTATTAAATTCAGGACCCAAGAGAGGCGTAGGGAACAAGAACATGTGCATGTTCATGGGTCTTTCGATTCATCCCCATTATGTTAATGTAAACATTATGTACTCAACTTTGACAAAAAAAAATATAATTATGTATCTATCTCGAGAAAAAGAATTCATAATCTTTTTTTTGTCACGAAAATAGTTAACAGATGCATCACTTTCCTATTTCTATCGTCATAAATTCAAGACTGATAAAATTTACAAATCTCTATAATTCTAACTATCAGAAGTTACTTATAACACTAAACTCATCTAAATTTTAGTTTAGGTTAACAGATGATCACTTTCGTGACTCTATCTTCATATATAGGATCGATCAATTTCTAGGCCGCGAATAAAAAATTATGCAATAAGTAAGAAACATATGAAAAGATTCTAAGATAACATTCAACTATAACAGTCTAATTTAACAACCCCTTTTCGCAAAAGAACAAAAAAGTGTAACTGGACAAGGACAATCGATGAAAACTTCTTTGAAATACTTTTTCACCCGAAAAAATTACTCATACATGATTAAAGAAACCATGACAAGAGTAGAAGAAGAAATTTCATAAAATAAGAACAAAGGTTTTGAGATCTCTCAATGAGTACATAGAAGATTAACAAGAATCAAGTTATCTTTTAAATGCATGTTGATTTATTAACCCTAGTCAATCATTAAGTAGGCAGTAACGCTATTTGCAATAAGAAAAAACTATAGCGAAAAAAACATTCTACAAATAAATACTAAATCCAGCATATTAATGGAAATCTTTAGTGTGATAAACCCTTTTAGTGTGATAAATCCAGCATATTATCATACTTATCATGGTGACCGTTATGATGTTCATATTCATGTTGGGAAAAAGGAGAAAGAAGAGCCACCGTTTCAAGAAGAAAGAAACGAGGAAGAGCCTAAGAAAAAGGAGAAAGAAGAAAGAAGAGTCTTTTATCTCACGATGAGAATGAAAACATAGAAAATGAGAAAAAGAGATCAGTGTCTTCATCCCAAGACTAAAATGAAAACAAAGAAAATGAGAAAACTAAGAAAGAAAAGTCTTCCATGATCGTAGTTCGTAGGAAAACAAAAATGCCAACAGTAAGAAGAAAACTGAACAAGGTGAAATAAACTTCTACAAACACAATTGAGAAGAGTGACGAAGAAGAAAACTGATGAAGGCAAGAGTGAATAATCTTGCAACGAGTAGAAAGGAAACATATCGAGGATGGTATTTTGAAAACAAAGTGATCAGACAAAGAGGAAAGTAACATAAATAAATCGTGAAAAAAGAGGAGGCCCCGTACGACCAAGAACATACCAAATCAACTTTGTATGATAGTCACCCTCAAGATGTTAAGGATGGTCGAACTGATAAGGAAACTCTTCCTGAATCCAGCAATATTGGAGAGATAGGAACGAAAACATTTTTGGTGACTGATGTTCTTAGAAAAAAGCTGTCAAGTATTGTATGCATATTCTATACGTTTCATTTCGTGGATCTTAATTTCCTATCATTGAGTTTTTCATACTTCGAATATAACCAAGACATATTATTTCCCAACTAAAATTAAGAATACTGATTACTTTTTTTATAATAATCTGTAAGCTTATATTATTCATAAATTAATGCTACAAGATTACACATTATTGATTATATAAAAAAACATAAGGAGCAATTTCATATAAATTTTGTGAATGGTGTATACTCGGTGAAATCACATTTTGAAAATGTGTAAATGTTGAACTTATGCAGTTGATTATGTTAGTTGAACATGATTATCATTTTCCACTAGCTCTAATGCAAGTACTATATATTAACAATTATTTTCTTAGAAATTCTGAATTTTTTTGGAATTTCTTTTGTGTGGAAACTTTTTATCATTTTAATTTAAAATTTAGAATAATTCTGTAATACTGTATTATCTTCAGTATCTTTTTAATCAGACTGAGATTTCATACATGCACTTTTACACCTAATTATATATTGAAAAGTAGAAGGAAAAGGTTTATGAGATATGGTTCATGTAGACTACCTATGATTTTATAGAAATTCAGAAAAAAATATTTTTTACTAAATTTATAAGATATCATGGGTTTATAAATTAATTAATATTATATTAAAAAAATATCTCTTTGCCACTATATATATATCTTGTTAGATAAAGGTGAAGAGCAGAGAAAATCTACAAGCCGCCATACCTCAATGGATAGAGAGGTATGTCCACTTCTTATGTATATTGTTAAGAGTACTCAAACATTTTCTCATACATATATATTCTGTATAGTGTTTACAATATATTTGTTCATGCTAGCTAAATTTCTCTAAGATATAAAAAATGTTTTTGTCAGATATCAGATGCATTTCATACACATGATATAAAAAAATCAACCATTTCCATGACAATTACAAAATGAACAGAACAAAAAAAACACCATAATATAGCACTCAAATCTTCTTTCGCATCAACCGATGAAACTTGAAAATATTTGTAATTTTGTAGCAATTATTTTTTTGAGAAAAAAAACCCGGACATGGGTTTGTTACTTTGTTACATGGTTTTAATTATTTCATCTTAACTTAAAAACTATAGTACCATTTTATAGATCCGAACTCGATCGGATAATCCGATGGAATTATCATGTTATATTAAAGAATAGATCTTTATTTCGTTTACTTTTGATTGTTGTCCGTAGGACTTGAGCAGAAACAAGGAGACAGTTCTTATAGATTTGACGAAGGATGATGAGGAAGATGACGAGGAGGAAGAGGAGGATGACGAGGAAGATGACGAGGAGGTTGAGAAGGAGGAAGATGATGAGGAGGAAGAGGAGGAGGAGGAGGAGGATTCATTGGAGGAAATGATACGAGACATGACCTGTGTTATCTGTTCTAAGATATATCGCAATGCCACAGGAATAACCGTATGCCAGCACAAATGTAAGCCATCAATTCTCTCTGATTACATGATTTTGCTGCATTAAATTACTCGTTTTTTTTTTTTTTTTTTTTTTTTTTATTATCATGAGCCTTATACTTTGTGTATATATATCATTCATCTTTCATACTCCGTAGTCCGTATCAAATAGTTCTAGAAATAAACAAGTTATCATCTATATGCATGCTACTTTACGTCACCTTGCATGTATTGTTCACTACATGAAATATTTTGACCTCAGACGTTGTCTTCATATATATCCTCACATAGATACATGTTATATTACTTCACCTTGCATGTATCAATCATTCAATCCACATATTTTGCCCTCACACGTTTGGCTTCATATATGGACTTGTTAATTCTTTGTAAACAGTTTGCTGGGACTGCATCTACGGCAAGATAGCAGAACATGACTGGACATGTTGTCCAGTATGCTATGCTAAGTTTGGTAATTCGGAACCTCTCAGAAACCTTAGGTATTCACTTTAATCTCTTATACTTAAGTATTTTCCAATTTTAGTCGTCTTACTATTATTCTTGGTCTTAGAATACTTTTTTTTTGTTTAGTCAATATTTTCTCTATACACATATTTATTCTCCAACTTCATTTGGTTTGAATGACAGATTCGATCCGGTATACAACAGCTTGGCACGGTATGTACTTTTTAAAGTAAAAGAAAATGCGGAGAAGGAACCCAAAAGGGCCAAAACTTCTCAAGCCTCGTCCTCATCCTCATCTAGAAGAAAGATGTGAAGCCATATGCAAAGAATGTGTACAAGTTTGATCTTAGTTTTCTTAAGGTCACTTGTGGCGTCGGTTATCTTCTGAATTTCCTTTTTTTTTTTTACTTATCGTATTTTGAAAAACATTTTCTGTTATTGTATTCTAAGTTCAAGGATACAAATTGCAACCCAAAATGAGTCTAACCTATAAACGAGTAGCATGTCATTAAGAAGACCATCAAATGCAGATACCAAATATGATGATGAGTTGCAAAAAAAGGTTAAAGTTAGAGCTTTTAATTCAACCCGCTCAATTCTAGATCAGAGCAAGGGAATTAACAAAATGAAGAAATTGAAAGGAAAGTACTTAAAACTGAAGCTTCTAATTTACTTTAACTAAAAAATGTAGTGAAGCAACAAGATTGAGGTGAACAATATCTGAGAAACAGTATGAAGTGATCTTAACAGGATACAAAGGATTCTTTTTTTTTTTTCACTTCTCGAAGAAAATAGGCATTAAACTAGGCACATTAATAAATGTTTCAATTATTCCGACAGAAATATATGTAACTGGCTGATCTTAAAAATGTAAGAATTCTCTGATCTAAAAAACATGTGTTAACTGTTAACTGTCTAAAAAATAACTTTTAAGAAATTTTTATTTTGGTCTGTCGTGAAGAAACAATGTGGAGACTGGGTCTAATTATCATACTTATCATGGTGACCGTTATGTTGTTCATATTCATGTTGGGAAAAAGGAGAAAGAAGAGCCACCGTTTCAAGAAGACAGAAACGAGAAAGAGCCTAAGAAAAAGGAGAAAGAAGAAAGAAGAGTCTTTTATCTCACGATGAGAATGAAAACATAGAAACTGAGAAAAAGAGATCAGTGTCTTCATCCCAAGACTAAAATGAAAACAAAGAAAGGAAAGTCTTCCATGATCGTAGGAAAACAAAAATACCAACAGTAAGAAGACAACTGAAAACGTGAAATCAACTGATTCTACAAACACAGTTGAGAAGAGTGACGAAGAAAAAAACTGATGAAGGCAAGAGTGAATAATCTTGCAACGAGTAGAAAGGTAACAGATCATACCAAATCAACTTTGTATGATAGTCACCCTCAAGATGTTAAGGATGGTCGAACTGATAAGGAAACTCTTCCTGAATCCAGCAATATTGGAGAGATAGGAACGAAAACATTGTTGGTGACTGATGTTCTTAGAAAAAAGCTGTCAAGTATTGTATGCATATTCTATACGTTTCATTTCGTGGATCTTAATTTCCTATCATTGAGTTTTTCATACTTCGAATATAACCAAGACATATTATTTCCCAACTAAAATTAAGAATACTGATTACTTTTTTTATAATAATCTGTAAGCTTATATTATTCATAAATTAATGCTACAAGATTACACATTATTGATTATATAAAAAAACATAAGGAGCAATTTCATATAAATTTTGTGAATGGTGTATACTCGGTGAAATCACATTTTGAAAATGTGTAAATGTTGAACTTATGCAGTTGATTATGTTAGTTGAACATGATTATCATTTTCCACTAGCTCGAATGCAAGTACTATATATTAACAATTATTTTCTTAGAAATTCTGAATTTTTTTGGAATTTTTTTTGTGTGGAAACTTTTTATCATTTTAATTTAAAATTTAGAATAATTCTGTAATACTGTATTATCTTCAGTATCTTTTTAATCAGACTGAGATTTCATACATGCACTTTTACACCTAATTATATATTGAAAAGTAGAAGGAAAAGGTTTATGAGATATGGTTCATGTAGACTACCTATGATTTTATAGAAATTCAGAAAAAAATATTTTTTACTAAATTTATAAGATATCATGGGTTTATAAATTAATTAATATTATATTAAAAAAATATCTCTTTGCCACTATATATATATATCTTGTTAGGTAAAGGTGAAGAGCAGAGAAAATCTACAAGCCGCAATACCTTCAATGGATAGAGAGGTATGTTCACTTCTTATGTATATTGTTAAGAGTACTCAAACAATTTCTCACACGTGTATATATTCTCTATTATGTTTACAATATATCTGTTCATACTAGCTAAATTTCTTTAAGATATAAAAAATGTTTTTGTCATCAGATGCATTTCATACTTATGATAAAAAAATCACCCATTTTCCATTACAATTACAAAACGAACAGAACAAAAAAAACACACCATAATATAGCACTCAAATCTTTGTTCGCATCAACCGTTGAAATTTGAAAATATTTGTAATTTTTGTAGCAATTTTTTGTTTTGAAAAAAACCTGCACATGTCGGTTTTGTTACTTTGTTACATGGTTTTATTTATTTTATCTTAACTTAAAAATTATAGTACCATTTTATAGATCCGAACTCGATCCGGTAATCCGAGCGGATAATCATGTTATATTAAATAATAGATCTTGATTTCGTTTGCTTTTGATTGTTGTCCGTAGGAGTTGGGAATTAACAACATAAGACCGGAGACGGTTCTTGTCGATTTGACGAAGGATGATGAGGGGAGAACGGAGGATGAGACAGTTCTCATAGATTTGACGAAGGAGGAGGAGGAGGAGGAGGAGGAAGATGAAGATGATGATGATGATGATGATGATGATGATGATGATGATGACGATGATGATGACGATGACGAAGATGAAGAGAAGGAGGAAGTTGAGTATGATCCTCTTGTATTGGAGAACATGAAACGTGACGCGACCTGTGCTATCTGCCGTAAGATATTTCACTATGCCACAGGAATAACCGTGTGCGAGCACATATGTGAGCAATCAATTCTCTCTTGATTACATGATTTTGCTTTGTTTGGTGCTGCATTAATTTATATTCATTACTTGTTTTTAATCATGAGCCTTATACTTTTGTGCAGATATATCTCATTCATCTTTCATACTCCGTAGCAAATAGTTATAGGAATAGACAAGTTATCATCTATATACATGTTAATTTACTTCACCTTGCATGTATTATTGTTCACTAGATGAAATATTTTGACCCTCACACGTTGTCTTCATATATATGTTGTAAATTGCTCACATAGATACATGTTATATCACTTCACCTTGCATGTATCAATCCGCATTTGTTTTATCTATATTTTCAATCCACATATTTTGCCCTGACACGTTTGTCTTCATATATGGACTTGTTAATTCTTTGTAAACAGTTTGTTTGAACTGCATCCACGGCAAGATAACAGAACATGAGTGGACATGTTGTCCAGTATGCTATGCTAAGCTTGGTCCAGAACCTCTCAAAAACCTTAGGTATTCACTTTAATCTCTTTTACTTAATTATTTTCCAATTTTAGTCGTCTGACTATAATTCTTGGCTTCAGATGAATACTTTTTTTGAGTAGTCAATATTTTCTCAATACACGTATTTATTCTCCAACTTACTTTGGTTTGAATGACAGATTGGATCGGGAATACGAAAACTTGGCACAGTTTGTATTGTCTAAAGAGCAAGAAGATGCGGAGAAGGAACCCAAAAGGGCAAAAACTTCTCATGCTTCGTCCTCATCTTCATCTATAAGAAAGATGTGAAGCCACATGCAAAGAATGAGTACAAGTTTGATCTTATTTTCTTAAGGTCACTTGTGGCGGTTATTTCCCTTTTTTTTACTTATCATATTTTGAAAAACATTTTCTGTTACTGAATAAATTTGCTTCCGCTTTAAAATCAAGAAAGCAAAGTTGGTTAATGTAATAAGGGCACTGAAAGTACTTGAACAAGCCTTTTTTGAATTGGTTTGCATGAACTATTTTGATTTATGTTTACTTTACTAGGTTTCAAGATATATGAACCATTGCATTCTTTTATAGTTTGAACTAGCACTGGCTTCCCTCAGTTGGACTAATTTTGTATCTGGTTTGCTTCAGATACTCCCTTTTTCAAAATGATTTTAGCACAATTAATAAAGCGGTCTCTTCATTTAACACTTCTTTTGTTTCTTGGTAATTATCGTTTTTACGGTTATTAAGAAAAGTGTTTAAACTTTTTCTATTGTACCGTCATTAATTCACTCATAATCTAAGTTGAAAACCTTTTATGATAATGATGTTCTAACTTTTTGGTTGAGAAACCCATAATCTTTCATTGGAGGTGCTCTCTGTTGTCCAAATTTGAAATGGAAAAGAGTCTCATAAATCTCATAAGAAAGCAAACAAATACCACCAATTTAGTCTCTGTCAAAACGCTTATTCGCAAAATTGCAGAAGATATTAAGATTGTGAAAAGTAGAAACCATCATCATCAGTCTTTTGTTATATTTTCAGTGACTAAATTCATATCTCACAAACAGTACTGATATGTATATTTTAGTGCAATTTGTTGGCTCTCAAGTATCAATAAACTTCTCTAGAGAATCTCAAATGAATATGAATGATCATCTGTCTCAATTTATCCTAAGATTTTATATCAAAGAATCCTCTGATCCTGCAAGAGAGACGGGTCCAAGGGTATCATTGCCTTCCAAATACGCAAGAACGTAAAATTCGTTATCTCGCCACCTCTCTTCTCCCTGCTTGAACCGTACCGCCAACACCTTAAACCGCACAACAACTCCAACAGCAATCCTGGAGAGATCGTCTCTCAGAAAATACGGCTCCTCCTCCGTCTGTGACGCCGGGACATAACGGTAACGCGGCATTTTGATAGCCGAGAGGTAAGCATATCTGAGTGGACCACTGCTGATAAAAACTCCGGTCGCGAACACTTTGTCTACAATCCCTTCCATGATTTCTCCTCTTACAGGCAGGAACGTCCGGCACATGAAGGAGACCAGGAATACTGTCACGACTATTCCTGGATCATTGTCATCGTTGACGTTTTTGAAGTATCTCTTCTTGCCTTCACCGATGCTTTTCACGGCGGTGATGCCGAGAAAGAAGCCGTGTTCCTCGCATGATCTCTCGTCCATCAGTCCTCTGAGTACTTTTTCTAGAATCAGTTGGTGCAGCGGTTGTCCTGATTCAAAGTGGTTGGGACATAAAACCACGTTCCGAGCAAGCTCTACTTCTGAAAACATCTGTATGATGAAAACACAGCAGATTCTAAGTTCAAGGAAGAAATCATACAAATGGCAACGCGAAATGTGTCATATAAAAAGATTATCAAATGAAGTTCAGTAAAAGTGGTGCATGTCATTAAGAAAGCCATCAAATGAAGCAAACGCAGATACCAAATTTAAAGATGGGTTACAAAAAATGGTTAAATTAGAGCTTTTAATTCAGCTCAAATTCAAGATCAGAGCGAACCAACAAATACTTGAAATTGAAAGGAAAATACTTGAAATTGAAACCAACCATAAAGAAGTAGTGAAATTGCAGCAACAAGATCAGAATTTAGAGTCAACAATTTCTGATAAAATCACGAACTATAAAGTGAAGTAAGAGGATGCAAGAAAATTTCTTTTTCTCTTCTCAACGAAAGACAATCAGATTCCAGAGAAACAGGCATCAATCTATGCACATTATTAATTGATTCATAATTCCGACAGAGACTAATTAAACTGCCTGATCTGAAGGAATCTCCTTTTAATTGACAACAGCATTTCCGGATGATTGAATGTGATTCAGACAAACAGTGGATTAAAAAACACACACTTCGATGTTAAACATCGTTTAAAGTGAAACCCAACATCTTTAAAATCAAAGTCTGGATTTTGTTTTTCCCTCTATTTTTCAAAATTGTGATAAAACCCATATCAGATCAGGTGGTGTTAAGAGTTAACAAGTTCCAGTTTCATTACCCAGAAGAAAAGAAAACAAGAAATGGAACCAACGAATTCACAAGCGTAACGACAACTTCAAAAAATTAAAATGAGAATTAATGGCGAAAACTCTACTAACCTTGAAACGAAAACTGGATACAGAGGGAAGGAGCCAAAAGGATCGTACTTTCAAAGTGAGGCACAAGAAAATTACAGTTTTGACTTTTGACTGAAGAAGAAAATTAAATCCGGCATAAGGCGCATGTTACTACTCTCTTTGTTCCTGAGATAAGATGAACATTTTAGGTGCATTTTAGCCATAACTTCCTTATAATACGCAAATTTTAGACCATGTTTTATTTTATTTCTTTTTTTTTTTTTTTGTTTTGGTCAACATTTTTTTTTTGGTTCAAATTTTAAGATTATATACCAAAAGAGCTGATTACAATATACATCAGCTAATAAAGAAGTACCCTTACCCTTCCAAACTTACCAAATACTCCTATATAAACAAATATTAAATATCATATCAAAAGAGAAATAATTTATATTGTATAAACGTTGAAGTTATTAATTTATAAGAATGTACAGTAGAACCTCTATAAAAGTAATACTCGATAAAGTAATATCTCGATAAATGAATAGAATTTTCAAGTCCTGAATTAAGTTTTTGGTCTAATTATCTCTCAATAAATTAATAATCTCGCTAAAGTAATAAAATATTATGGTCCCAACGTTATTTACTTTATAGAGGTTTTACTCTACATGTATAACTTAAAAAAAATCAATGTTATTTGTCCATATAAGCATTTCTAAACTTAAGAAAATTTTCAAAATAAGATATAAGAAAATTACGTATATAGAATTTCAAATAACTAATAATATCATTATATATCATCAGTAAAACTAGTTAATTATTTTTATTTTTATTTTTCAGAAACTTTGCTAAATTGAAAAGTTTAGAAAATAAATAAATTACCTAAATATGATAGCAAACTTCTTTTGCGATTATGTAAGATTGTGTTTTTTACGTCATGCATATTTTTCTCGTATAAACGCTTTATATGATTTTGACTTTCTATTACGTACATTTTTGCTTATAACTGCTTATTTTTATTAAAAGTTGTATTTTTGAAAATTACTGTTGATTTTGGTGATTGGATCGTGATAAATAGTAAATTTGGATAATGAATGAGTCGCGCATAAATTATCTAAAGAGTATTTTGATCCTAATCAAGTCTAGGATTGCATGAAATCCTTTTTAGGATAAGACAACCAAAATTGTTTCTTGTTCTAAGCTAATATACAAGAGACACAACTAGAATTTTAATATTGAAATATGTTTTTTCAAACGAAAGAAATATATTAGATATTTAAATAAATATTTGCAACTTTTGTAAACATTGCAACTTTGGTTTGTAAGAAGTTGGAAGCATTGTCAAAACAGAACATCAACAACAAAATGTAGAGAAAATCATAGAGAGGAAGAGAGGAGAGTGCAAAAGAGATATTTTATTTGAATATTAATCAACCTACATAAAACCCTTTACTATTTGTTGTTAAAAAGGTTGTTCTTGTCAAAGTTACAAAAGACCACGTATCCAAACAACCTCTAATAATAATCTCCACCATCTTTGCCCGCCATGGATAACACAGAGCCAGAGCTTCGTCTCCTTTACGAAGGAATCCACTAATAAAGCTCAAATCTTTTCATTCAGAATTTCTTCTTGTTATCCATATATTCCGTGCGTACTCAATTGAGAGTGTCTTGTCATAGAAATGGCGATGAATTCAAGTCGCCATTTCTGCCCAACAGCTGTGAATTCGCTGGGAAGCTCCATGGAACCATATTCCTTTCGATTCCTAAGGTACAGCTCATCGATTTCACTCAGATTCCAATCATCAAACGACGAAACTTCATACAGGAGATTCGGTTTCTCTCCTATGAAAAAGGTCAAACGATTGTCTTGCGACAGTAATGGGAGCAGTAGGAATGAGAATTGGAACAGAGCCGAGAAGCACAATCAGTATAAACCTGCAAAATTAGTGTTGAAACATCGGAAAGGAGAGAGATTTTCGGATTTAGGGCTCACGAGTAGTGATGGTGATGGGAGTGGGAGCAGTAATACAATGGAGAAGATTGTTGAGAAATTGAAAACGTTTGGATTTGTTGACGAAGATCAGTTTCAGGATAAGGAAAGTGAACAAGAGAAGAGGGGGATGGATAAAGGGTCAATGGAGGATGATGTATTTGATGAGGAAGAGAAGACGAGAGGTGGATTTTCAGAGGAATCACCATTTGGTGTCTATGGAGGGAATGGAGAAGTGAAGTTTCCTTGGGAGAAAGTGAGTGCTAAGGAGAAGAAGGAGCTGGTAGATGGAGTGTGGACAGCTAAGAAGGAGAGTAGATACTCGTTAGCGGAGATGACTCTTCCGGAATCGGAGCTGAATCGGTTGAGGAACGTCATGTTTCGAACGACGAGCAAGATGAGAGTTAAAGGTGGAGGTGTTACTCAGGCTGTGGTGGATGCGATTCAGGAGAAGTGGAAAAGCTCAGAGATTGTGAGATTGAAGATTGAAGGTGCAAATGCACTCAACATGAGACGGATGCATGAGATTTTGGAGGTATTTACTTATAAAAGGCTTGATCTTTGGAGTTTTTGAAATGTAAATTTTGTTTCTAATGTCCTTTCTTCTTCATTGTGGCAGAGAAGAACTGGTGGTTTGGTGATTTGGAGGTCAGGGACGTCCATATCCTTGTACAAATACAGAAATGATAGCAACAGGGATGCATCTGTGAGCAAGTACAAGCAGATATACAGAAGAGCAGAGACATCGCCGTCTTCCTTACCTGCAAGTACAGTGGATTATAGTGTTGAACAAGTGCATCATCCTCAGCTAGAGAAGGAGGTAACTAGTGTGGGAAATAAAGACAGGGGATTTCAACAAGAAGTAGAATATGAAGATGAAATCAATGAACTGTTGGAGGGTCTTGGTCCTCGGTACACAGACTGGCAGGGAGGTTATCCGTTACCTGTTGATGCTGATTTGCTTCCAGGGATCGTTCCTGGTTACGAACCACCTTTCAGGAAACTTCCGTATGGAGTGAGATCAAATCTGGGGCAAAAGGAGGCAACGTCTTTAAGAAGACTTGCCACAGTTCTTCCTCCACACTTTGCTTTAGGTATTGGAAATTTCTTTTTGTGGGTTGTTGTAGTGCCTGGATTAGGTCTTTGAAGAAGTGAGATGTTTTTGTTGATCTACAGGTCGAAGTAGACAGCTGCAAGGGTTGGCTACAGCGATGGTTACGTTATGGCAAAAGAGTTCGATTGCTAAGGTTGCCCTTAAACGTGGTGTACAGTTGACTACTAGTGAGAGAATGGCTGAGGACATCAAGGTAACAGCTGATTACTATGCAAATGTATTGTGTTTATAGTAATGTAGATATCAATAGAAAGAGTCTCTATTTGATGCTGAAGGATTGATGTAATGATCTTGGTAAGTGACTGCAGAGATTGACGGGAGGTACGCTGCTCTCTAGGAACAAAGACTTCTTGGTCTTCTACAGAGGGAAGAGTTTTTTGACACCAGAGGTAGCTGAAGCATTGGTGGAGAAGGAGAGACTTGTAACGACTTATCAAGACGAAGAGGAACAGGCACGTCTAAGAGCATCATTGGCTCTGCTTGCCCCAAGTATTAAAGCTAATCAAAACCTTGTTGCTACTGGTACTCTTGGAGAAACGCTTGATGCAAGTAGTAAGTGGGGAAAGAATCTGGATGACGAAGATCATGTGGAGGAAGTGAAACAAGAGACGGAGAGACTGAGGTCTGCTAATATTGTCAGGAAGCTGGAAAGGAATCTTGCTTTTGTGAGTTCTTGACTTGACCCTTTACTTCGTACTTGTCACGTAATATTTCACATTTTGTGTTGAAAGATTGCTCCTTGAATTAAGCGGATTACTTTTCAATTCTAGGCTGAGAAAAGGCTGCTGAAAGCTGAACGGGCTTTGGCTAAGGTGGAGGAATCTCTGAAGCCGTCAGAGGCGAGAACAGACGTGGAGGGCATAACTGAGGAAGAGAGGTTTATGTTCCAAAAGCTCGGATTGAAGATGAAAGCATTCTTACTTCTTGGTAAACTATCTTTTACCAATGTGTAGGCAGATGTAGCCAAGTATGTTTGACGTATGTGTTCGCTGTGATGTGTTACTCATCTGAGAAACCTGAATTGATTGCTTCAGGTCGAAGAGGAGTGTTTGATGGTACTGTAGAGAATATGCACTTGCACTGGAAATACAGGGAGCTAATCAAGATTCTTGTGAAGGCTAAAAGTTATGAAGGTGCGAAGAGTGTAGCAATGGCCCTTGAAGCTGAGAGTGGAGGTATCCTTGTTTCTGTTGACAAGATTTCCAAAGGTTATGCCATTATAGTGTATAGAGGAAAAGACTACCAGCGTCCTTCCGAGATGAGGCCTAAAAACCTCTTGACAAAGCGGAAAGCTTTGGCTCGTTCTCTTGAGCTCCAAAGACGCCAGGTTTGTTCATCTAAAGATCTGCAAACTTATCATTTATCTCTACGTGTGTCCAACAGTGGAGTCTTATCATGTGATATACCATAACGGCTAACATTTGGGTACATTGTGTTCAACAGGCTCTCATAAAACACATTGCGGTGATACAGATAAGATCAGAGCAGCTGAGAGCTGAAATCGTATGTATCTTTTGCTCATCCAAGAAAGAATACGTTTCTTGTTCTCTAATGTTGTTAACTGACCCGAGAGCCTGAATCCATTTTGTCAGGAACAAGTGGAACTTGTAAAAGACAAGGGAGATGAAACGTTATACAACAAGCTTGACATGGCTTATTCATCTGGGGACGAGGAGACAGAAGAAACAGATGTATGGTTATGTGTTTTGCCCTATAATCACTTTATTGTCTTGAAATTTTTCACCACCATGATTTTGGTGTTTGAGTTCTCACTTTCTGTGGCGCTCTTCGGTTGTTTTAGGGAGAAGGAGATGACATCTATTTAGATACATACGAAGGTGGTGAAGAAGGTGAGATTCAGGCGAAGAGTTTACTATCTGATGTTGAATTTGACTCAGATGATGAAGACTGGGATTCAGATGAATCAGACACTGAGTTTAGCGATGACTCTGCATCCTCCACAACACCAGAAGCAACCTTTGTAGACACTGAGAACGAGGAACTTCATCTGCAATCATAAGAGGTAATAAAGTTTGCGTTCACCGTGCAGTGAATTGATGCAGGAGATAGTTTTGATATCTTGCTCTCTGTTGATGAAATGCATTGAGAGTCGATATACTAAAGTGTGTCACATGCAAAGATGTTAAGCTTTTAGAAGCTATGTAGTTTAATATAATTTATAAAGTACATATTTCATTCTCCCTGTTTTAACAAGAATTTAGACTCCATAGCTTTAAAGCTACTACTCTCTATTTGGTTCACCATCAAAACCGCATGCCCTTCTCAATCGGAGTTTGCAAGAAGAATACATTTTCCCTTAGTTATATGTATATGTTTTCTCTTTTTCTGCCAAGGGACGATTGATAATAACAATAAGAATAAGACAAGGTGTATCACCGGCGAGCAAGTCTCTGGCCAGCTCCAGCTAGTAAAGCCTTACCAATAACACCAGTGTGAAGGCCACAAGCCAATGCAACACCTCCTACAACAAACCATTTCCAGTCCATTCTCAGATTGTCCCGTTGTCTCCTTGCATAGTCCATTACTCTGCTTCCGTCTTCATCTCCTGTCGATGTTTCTAAAGAATCCATGTTTAGGTGTGTGGTGATCCTCGCCATCTGAGCGATCCGGGATAGACTCGAGTCAGACTTTCTGGCGGTTTGGTAGGCTCGTAAACCGGAGTTCAGCTTCTTGACAGCTCCCCACATGCCATGACGAACACCTAACTTTGCTACATCTTTTGGGATTCCCATGTCTTCATAATGGACTAGGGATACTTCACAAGCCGATGGCTGTCCATCTCCTTTTCGAGACTCAACTGCATTTGTTTTGGTATTTGCTTAAACATTTAAATCACAGGCCAACAACTAATAGAACAATCAAAGAGTTGCACTCTCAAAAGGCTTACCTGCTCTGATAACCCAACTTGAGAAATAAAGCTCAACACGCCTCGGCTTATCACGCTTTGGTAGCGCTGGATAAGGAACTCCCTGAAAAATCAACCAACATTACATTATTATCCATAAAATGTAGAATCAGCACATTCAATGCAATATGAATGGAGATAAGCGCCTTAGTTCTAAGCTTTGATCAATGATACTAGACACTTGGCCTTACCTTTGTCACACAGTAATACTTGTTTCCAGACTCCCATATTCTCCGACCAATGATATACTCTCGGTCACTACAGAAAAAAGGAAACTGCAGGCAAAAGAAATCAGTAATGACAACAGTTTTTTATATGGTTTATTAAGAAGACCAAAGTATAAAGAAGTCTGAAGACCTTTTTTCTCCACTGAACAATCATAGTTCCTGTCTGAGTGTCTTCCTCCAGAGTTTTGAAGTTGGCAAGCATAAAGTCCCATTTAGGTCTAAACTCATCATCCCAGAAGAAATCCCTAACAATATCTGGAGTTGCATCCTCAAACACAGTTCGACTCCGATAAACAACCGGACCTGTCTGACAAACAACACAACCTTTCAGGCTAAAAAACACGGTTTGGTAAGGAAAGGGATACAAAGCAAGAGTTACCTCAGGCTCATGGCGCCAAGCTTGGTAGCTCATATTTGGAGTAGTCTTGTCCATCATTGATTGCCACTCCATAGCCGCATTTCCGACTTCAAGCAGCTGTAACAGATGCTCTAGATCATTCTCCGTCACAATTTCCTCCTCTCTCACCGTTGTATTATCTCCAGAGCTACAAATCCATAAGCCATTCTTTTCTCAGAATTTAACTATAATCATTTAATCCGAAATTCAAAATCATTCCCATTTGACAATGTCATTAGTATCAAAAAGATGGATAAGCATACAATATACCTTAACAAGCTAAAACGGAAGTTAACGTTCCGTTTTTGAACACATAACTATATTTCTATCATTTAAAAAAAAACTAATCTTTAATCAAAATTGAGAAAAAAACAGAACAGAGACTCTGCAGATTGCAGAGAAGAAGACAAAAAAAAAAAAGAAAAAACTTTTTGGCTGTTCTGTAATGAACTGACCTGGAGGCTACCGATCCTGTTTCATTACTTTGAAGACTCTCTTCTACAAGCTCAGGCGTCGTCTGCGACGAAGCTGAACCAGCCGCCGATTTGTCAAGCCTTGACCAGATGGTGCGGCAAACGGAGAAGGCGGAGAGAGCGGTGAAAGCAAGCCAAAGCCGTCGAGCGCCAAATCCAGGCGGAGCAGTCCATAGAAACCGAAGCTTAGAACGGAACCCTAAATAGATCAATCCGGTCCATCTCGGACGCCAAGACCATCCGATCAATAGACCGATCATCACGGCGAGCCATATCGGGACTGCGCAGAGTAAAATGTCGACGAATGTCTCTGTAAAAGAGGGTTTCTTCAGCAAATTCATTAGATCAGAATACGTCTCATCCATGGCTAATTTGGTTCGACGGATTTGAAAAGTGAAAACTTGCTCAGAAATTTTCCTGAGAAAATGTCAGATTCCCTAAGGGAAATTGGATTCTGCTAAGGTTGCCGGAGATTTAAACGACATGAGACGATATTATGGATTCAGGAGAATCGAAGAAGACGAAGAAGAAGAGCAATTTCGTTTTATTAAATTATTTATTTATATTAAGTTTGGTGATTTAATGGAAAAAAACAAAATCTGATATCTGCTGTGTCGAGAATACGTTGGCGGGGGGTTACAGAATGATAAGAAAACAGCTCAGTGAGATGACGTGGCTTTCTCGTTGACCGACAAATTCATAACCACACGCGTCAAATCATAGCGCGTCGCGTTCACTGCAGAAAGGAATATACTGGAATCTCAATTATCGTTTATTATTTATTTCTTTCAGGGCCATTTAGAAACTCTAATGGAGTTTGTAGTTTTTGACATGTTCTCAAGAGTAAATTTCAGAGAATGAAAACGAATATCCCCGAGCTAATAGAAGAAGTATTAAAGTGAGAAGGTGAGATACACGCGAGGGTAAGGGAGCGTCCGAGCGTGGGTGTTGAAGGCAACTAGAGAAATTGTGGATAAGGAGAGATATGTTTCCGGAAAGTATCACGTGTGCTGTTAAGTTGGGGTTTTATTGCAGGTGGTTTGGCCAATAGTATTTTAGTTTGTCATCAGACGGTAAAAGCCTTTTAGGCCCATTTAGGCTGTGTCGATGTATATGGGCCGCCTATCAGCTACAACATTTCGTTTCACATGCATAAATGAAAACCTACAGCTTTAGTAGAAATGCTTCATCAAACACGAATGTTACATTTTCTCCCAGCATAAAAACAAACATCCTTAAAGGCATAGCATAGGGTAGGAGCCAATAAAAGATTTACCTATAAGAAAGCATCGACTCACATACAAAAAAAGAACCAGAAATGTCATAGATTTAAAAAGCAGCGATGATTTGTTTTTGTTTTTGAATTGAATGCAAAATTGTATTCAAACCCAAAAAACGTCGTCTTTTACATCATGTGCAACTTGAATTTGAGAAGAGTTGAGAGAAATAGGAAACTTTTCTAGAAACAACTAGCTTCGTGCTTCAAACCAAGTGTGGAGTGCTGCTTCGTATTTGATGTCTCCGAGTTGTCTGATCGACGAGATACGATTACGGACAATCTTGTCAATGGTCGCAGTAAGCTGGTTTGAGGAGAGTGGTTGTTCTCCATGTCGACGAGAGTTCCTCTCTCTCCAAATAGCATGTATCGTAAAAGCAGCGATGATTTGAAAGAGAGCAAATCTACATGAAACTTACCTAATCTTGAACACACAAGTACAGTACGCTTCCTCTAATCTTCTTCTGGAAAACATGTAAGAGGAATAACATAAGGGCTTCAAACACGTCTAATCTTTAGACGCAATGCTTCTAGATTTTGTTCGAACAACTCCATTCAGTTTAAGCTGACATGAGCTTGAAGCTCTAGGCAGAGAAACCAAGAATTTCTGAGCTTGCAGTATCTTTGAATAGTCCATCGTCCACATAGAGATACCTGCAGTCTTTAACTCTCTTGCGTTCTTCAAGATGTAGGCCACTATCTTCTTCTCTTCGTCTTCTAAATTGTAAGGTTTCCAATTGAAAGTATGTAGATGGAACATCAAACATTCAGGAACTGAACTTGGTTCTCTCCAATGACCTTCAATGGGTTCGGCCCCCACGTGTTGGTTGCACTAACAAAATACACATTGTTGTGTGTTAGACCTTAAAACTAGAACAGTGGAAAGAAAGAAAAAAAAAAACTGAAGCCAATGAGGTTTGGTTAATGTATATACCGTGCAGAGCTTGAGAAGCTGTAGTTTAGGAGAACTTTCGAGCATCCAAGTTAGCAGATCCCACCACCCTGCATAACCTCCACATAGCTCCAAATGAAGAAGATGATAAAATCCAATCCGGTGCTGAAGCTGCATAGAGAATGTTAGCAAACATAAACACAAAACAGTACAAATGTAATAAAACACGGTTTGGATATTTAGTTACCATTGGCGCTGCTAAACACAAGCAGAGGCGCTTGACTGATGTAAGAGATTCCAGCAGCTTCTCACGATTTTGATGAGTAACACAAACATTTGCCTCAACCACCTCAGGCATATTCCTAGACAAACACAAGTCACCATAACAATCAACAAACTTCAAGTACTTCAAAGACGGGACATTGAACACAACCGTATAGTATAATCTTTTGCCGTTGCCCGGATAAAATTTACCAAGTATAGATAATCTTTGTAAGGTATGCATATCAACAGACAAGGGTGGCAAACCGAAGTTATCACATGCGTCCAACACCAACTCCTCCAGAACAGGACAGCCTGATAAAAGCGTACGGTAAGATCCGTCGGTTCCGGACCCATACTCTACACACTGAAGGTGTAATGATTTCAGGGATGGAAAGAAAACATCGGTAGGAACATCAAGAACAACCACGTCAGCGAGTTTCAAGACCTCCAGCTTCGCGTAAGTATAAAGACTCCTTGGCAATACGATTGAGCTTCTCCCATGTATAAAGGGTTCCTCTGACCAGTCAGAAATTTCAAGTTCACGCACTTCACGAACCATTCCAATTCTGATCCATGTTGCCAAATCTTCAGAGCTGCAACAAGGACAAACTTTGAACTTCAAAGTTTCTAGAACCGGAGCTCTATTCAAGACCAATGATCTGTCCACATACTTGACAAACTTCTCATATTCGGAATGCTGGAGTTCTGAATCCGAACCATAATCATGATTATTATTAAAATGAAGCTTTGGAAGCATCGTCCAAAGAAACCTCCATCGTTTCGACAAGAGCATCGTGGCGGCTACATTTTTGGTAGGAAGTGATGAAACAATCTTCAACAGCAAATCATCAGACAAATTACTGATCCTAACCATATCCAAGCCCCTAAAGAAACTCCTTTCGAACTAGAAGACCTTTCAGATTCAACCAACAATTCTTGAGGTTATTCTGAAATCAACAAGAAAACCAGAGTATTTATGAAATCCAAGGTTCCAGCTTTATAAATCTCTAAGGAATTTCACAGAAAAACAAACTACCGAATACTCATCCAATCTAGCGAAACCCTAACAAACTCGCGCACGTACCTGGTGAAGAACGACGAGAAGAGAGCAAAACCCAACACCTAAACCATGACGAAGAATCAGAAAGACATACTACTTTTCCATGGAGATTGCTTCTGTTTCTCTGTGCTTTGAAGCTAAACCCACACTGAAGAAAGCGAAGAGCTTTGGAAGCTTCAAGAGACTGAGTGAGAGTGAGACTGTTTAGCTTCGTCATTCTAAATGAAACAAACAGAAAAGGGAAATTGGGCTTCACGTATCTAGCCCAATTAAATGTTCAAGGCCCAAACGAAACTTGTGGATTTGTTTTAACTTTTAACTTTTAACCACTAGGTCTGTCTCGGTCACAGTCACTGTCTTTGAACTTTGAAGGTTGACTTGACTCTCTTTTAGGCGGCAATTTAGCCCGAGTGTGTACACATACGAAAATTTAAAATTTAGAAGTTAGAACCAACATGGATTTAAAAACATCACATACGATACGAAAATGATGAACTAAGAAAGAAAGAAAAAAAGATCAAGTTCATGGTCTCACTCTCATGGGACACTCAGACTCTCTATCCATATATATCCCTCTTTATTCCAGTGCTGGCCTTTGCATTTTTAACACATATTCCTTTAAACGTTAATGTGAGTTGTGACACTTTACGTAATGTTCCACTTCAACATTTTATAGCTTCTAAGGGATCACTAAGACATATACAATATACAACAATACATGTTATCTGTTTTCTTAGATTTACTCATAGAATCTTGGAGTTGTGTCGAACTAGCCAAAACTTTTACTGGGGTCGAATCCATGTGTTACATAAATAAGCTAATTTTGTAAGATTTCATTAAATATTCTATTCAAAATACTAGTAAACATTCACATGTGTCAAGACCCCCTCCCAAAGAGCTAGCTCTGCCATTGGATATGTGCCCATTTTCAGAATTGCAATTGCTGACGCTCTTTCAAGTTTTTAATCCGAGTTTGCTCGTACGTACCTCAAACGTTAAACCAGGGTTTGAATCTGCGAATAAGAGAAAATAAATGAAGACCTAATTCTTACCTGCAAACCTTGCTTCTTAGTTCACTTTGTAACATTGTGATGTTAAATTATAACACCTTAGAAAGGAGGTGTGGCAGTTCAAAAACATTATATAATATAACTAATTGAATCCAACAACTCACAATTTGTGTAAAGCACAAGGCTTTCTCACGTGACCTCTTTGAAGAGCTTATGAAGAATGCTTGGTCACTACGAAGAATGCATAGCGTAAACACACCAAACCATTGGCCACACTATGATATTCGTTTTTACATTGCATTTCTTACTTGTCTCCACTATATATGTTTGTCAGCAGATTCCAAAGTCAATATCCATTAATATGTAAGTATCGCATTTAAGCATGTCACTGATATAACGTTTGTTGGCGCTACCCCATGCACGTCGCTTGCTTGGCTCAGAAGGAACTGGATAGAGGATAAGAGGGTGTTTGTGTAATTGTGTAGTTGGATGTTCTTTAATTTCTTGCAAGGAAGTGAAGCACATGCTTCGTGGAGAGCAAAATCATCACATTGCATACTAGTATAAAAATGATCGTATATTAATATATTGCAAGGACGCATGCCTGACAGAATCTGTTTGCATCAACCATGCATGTCGACATTGTTCTTATGGAATTTTTAGATAATGTTGATGATGACTGAAATGTTGTATCGTCTCGTCATCAATCCTCAAGAACGGCTCGATATCTCCGTCTTCATCTTCTCCATAAAGATATTTCCCATCCCACACTCTTCCTTCAACTCCACATTTTCAATAGACGGCGTAGCGACATCTATGGTACGAGAGTCGTACGACAGACTCCGCAAGGGAATTCGCCATAAAAAAATAATTTACCAACATGGAAAAAAGGGCTATAAATTAAAAAGCAGTGATGATTTGGACGAAAGAAAATCATCTACATGAAAGACACCAGTTATCTGTAAGTTATGAGAGAGATTACAATGTAAAATCCAGATTTTTCGCTGTGGTTAGTTAAGATAGACCATCTACTTCAGCTACGACATTACGTTTCACATGCATAAATGAAAACGAACACCCTTATTAGTAGTAGAATGCTTGAATAGAACACTCCAAACACAATTTTACAGTTCTCAGAATAAAAACAACCGTAAAGGCCTACAGCTTTAGCCTCCAAAAGAGTAGAGGGGTAGGAGCAATAAAAGATTTACCTATAAGAAAGCATCGACTCACATACAAAAAAGAAACAGAAATGTCATAAATCTTAAAAGCAGTGATGGTTTGAAAGAGAGAAAATATAAATGAAAGATACAGTACAGTACAATCTTGAACACACATGTACAGTACGCTTCCTCTAGTCTTCTTCTTGGAAACATGTAAGAGCAATAACATAACATAAGAAGCTACAAGGGCTTCACAACACATCTAATTTACAGACAGTCAAGATATTTTTTGGAACATGCAACAACAAGCTTTTCTCAATCCAGAATAAGCTGACATGAGCTTGAAGCTCTAGGCAGAGAAACCAACTCACTGAGTTTCTGAGCTCGCTTTTCCTTCGAATAGTCCTTCTTCCGCACAGAGATACCAGCAGTCTTTAACTCTCTTGCGTTCTTCAAGATGTAGGCCACTATCTTCTTCTCTTCGTCTTCAGTATTGTAATCTTCCCACTTGAAAGTATGTAGACGGAACATCAAACATTCAGGAACTGAACTGGGTCCTCTCCAATGACCTTCAATGGGCTCGGCCTCATGGTGTTCCTTGCACTAACATAATACACATTGTTGTGTGTTAGACCTTAAAACTAGAACTTAAGACAATGAAACAGTTGAACAAAAAAGAAACTGAAGTCATCAGGTTCGGTTAAATGTATACCGAGAAGAGCTTGAGAACTTGTAGTTTAGGAGAACTTTCGAGCATCCAAGTAAGCATATCCCACCACCCTTCATAACCTCCACATAGCTCCAAATGAACAAGATGATAAAATACAATCCGGTGCTGAAGCTGCATAGGGAATGTCAAGAAACATAAGCACTAGAGTAGAAATATAATAAAAACACGAATTGTTTTTTACTCACCATTGGCGCTACTAAACATAAGCAGAGGCGCTTGACTGATGTAAGACATTCCAGCAGCTTCTCGGGACTTTCGTGAGCAACACTAACAATTGCCTCAACCACCTCAGGCATATTCCCAGACAAACACAAGTCACCATAAAAATCAACAAAGTTCACGTACTTCAAAGACGGCGCATTGAACACAATCGTATAGTCTAATTCTTGGCCGTTGTCTGAATCACGTTTATCAAGTATAGATAATCTTTGTAAATTAGGCATTTCAACAGAGAAGGACGGCAAACCTGAAACTTCAGTTTTGTCCAACACCAACTCCTCAAGAACAGGACAGCCTGATAAAAGCGTACAGTAACATTCTCCGGTGGACCCATACGATACATACACAAGGTGTAATGTTTTCAGGGATGGAAAGAAAACATCAGTAGGGGCATCAGGAACGTCCACGTAAGTGAGTTTCAAGACCTCGAGCTTCTCATAAGTGTAAAGACTCTTTGGTAATATGATTGCGGTATCATAATTTCCTGAACAGTAAAAAATTTCAAGTTCACGCGCACCGCAAACCATTCCAATTCTGATCCATGTGACCATATCTTCAGAGCTGCAACAAGTATCGAACTTCAAAGTTTCTAGAACCGGAGCTCTGTTCAATACCATTGATCTGTCCACATACCTGACAAATTTTTCATATTCAGAAGGCTCGATTTCAGAAGCATGAACAAAATGAAGTTTTGGAAGCATCGTCCAGAGAAACCTCCATCTTTTCGACAAGACCATTGTGGCGACTACATTTTTGGTAGGAAGTGATGAAACGATCTTCAAGAGCAAATCATCAGACAGATTACTGATCCTATCCATACCCAAGCTCTAATGAAACCCCCTTTCAATATATGTGGTTACTCCAAAACCAACAAGAACACCAGACGACCAGAGGGTCTATGTAATCCAAGGTTCCGGCTTCCTAAATCTCAAAAGGAATTTCACAGAAAAGCGAACAACCAAATACTCATCCAATCTAGCGAAACCCTAACAAACTCGCACACGTACCCGGTAAAGAACGACGAGAAGAGATCAAAACCAAACACCTAAACCATGCCGCAGAATCAGAAAGATATATACTTTTCCATGGAGATTGCTTCTGTTTCTCTGTGCTTTGAAGCTAAACCCACAATGAGGGGAAACGAGGAGCTATAAGATTTGGAAGCTTGAATAGAGACTGTTTTAGCTTCGTCATTCCAAATGAAGCAAACAAAAAAGGGAGCTTGGGCTTAACGTATCTAGCCCAAATTAAATATTGAAGGGCCAAACCAAACATGTGGATCTATCGGTAATCGGGCAGTCGAGTCGGGATTAGTGACTTTAAAAAATCTGAATCAAATCGGGAATTAATCGGGGCAAAATTTTAACCTTACTATTTTTATACCTTTCTTTTAGGTCTGTCTCCATATTGACAGGTCTAGTGTTACGAAAATTAAAAATTTAGAACCAACATGGATTTAAAAACATCACATACGAAAATGATGAACTAAGAAAAAAGAAGATCATGTTCATGGGACACTCATACTCTAGTCTATCCATATATAACCCTCTTCATTCCAATGCTGGCTTTTGCATTTATGACACATATTCCTTTAAACGTTGATGTGAGTTTTTTTTGTTTTTTTGTTGGTAAAATGTTAACGTTAATATGAGTTGTGACACTTTACGTAACGTTCACTAGACATACAACACATGTTATCTGTTTTCTTAGATTTACTCATAGAATCTTGGAGTTGTGTCGAACTAGCCAAAACATTTAGTGGGGTCAAATCCATATGTTACAAGGGTCAATAAGCTAATTTTGTAACATTTCATTAGATTTTCTATTCAAAATACTACTTCATCTGTCCCAATATATAAGCAGTTTTAGCCAAAAGTAAAAAATTAAGGAAAGCAATAAAGTATTATTTAATATATCAATTAATCATAATTTGACCTTTTTTTTTTTTTTGAACGTCCGTCATAATCTGACCAATCTGGAAAAAAATTACATAATATAATTGGTCACACAATAATCTATAAAGTAAAAAGTGCATTGGAAGTAGAAAACTGCTTATATTATGAGACACTTTTTTTTTCTAAAACTACTTACATTATTGGACAGAGAGAGTAAGGGCATGTCCATCGGTGATACTCTATTTAGAGTCTCTCACATTTATTAAATTAATATAATTTTAAATAACAATTAAACTTAAAATAAAAAAAGATGCCAAGTATATTGTGCCACCTATTAGTATAGTCTCTCATTTCTTCTGATACGGTCTCCTTAGAGCATCTGCATTGCAGAGTTTGTCATAGGCTCTACACCAAAAAGAAAAAGAAAAAAGAAAAAAATTAATGATGTGGCAGATTTAAAAAGTAGAATCGACTCTGGCAGAGCAACTTTTGGAATCGTCTCATAGAAAACTCTACAGATGTCATTGTCTGATTCAACAACTATTTACTTTTTCTTTTTTCTTTTCTTTTTAAATAAAAATAGCTTTCTTCTTTTTGTTTTATTGATAAAAAATGTTAAAGAGCCTATTGTCATAGACTGAGCAATGTGGATGCTCTTACTTGCATACGTATCACACTTTTTCATATTCTCTTTCCTCCTTTTTGATTTGTTTTTATTTTTTTAATACATAGAGACGATGGCTGATACCACCGTTGGACTTGCTCTTAATAAACATTCACATGGGTCAAGACCCCCTCCCAAAGAGCTAGCCCTGCCATTGGTTATGTGCCCATTTTCAGAATTGCCATTGCTGACTCTCTTTCAAGTTTTTCATCCGATCTTGTTTACATACCTCCAACATTAAACCAGGGTTTTGAATCTGTGAATAAGAGAAAATTAATGAATTCTTCTTACTTGCAAACCTTGCTTCTTAGTTCACTTTGTAACATTGTGATATTAAATTATAACACCTAAGTGAATCCAAGAACTCAAAATTGGTGTAAAGCACGGATTTCTCACGTCACCTCTTTGAAGAGCTTAGAAGAATGCTTGGCTATTAAATAACTCACTTCTTGGCCTTCGGCCACTATGAAGAATGCACACCAAACCACTGGCCAAACTATTCAAGTATGATTCGTTTTTACATTGCAATTCTTACTTGTTTCCACTATGTTTGTCGTAACGGTCAGCAGATTCCTCTCATGAACACTCGTGCAAAGGACCAAACTAGAAACTGAACTTGCTAATATCAGCTTTTTGTTAACGACTAATTTTGAGCCAATTTTGGATTGGAAACACGGAAAACACTGCTTACATTGAGAGAGAATTAGTAAGATAACAACATAAAAATAATTGACCAACATACAAAGAAAAAGATAAATGTCATAGATTAAAAAGCAGCGATGATGTGAAAGTGATCAAATCTATATGAAAGATACCAAATCTTGAACACACAAGTACAGTACGCTTCCTCTAATCTTCTTCTTAAAAATATGTAAGAGCAATAACATAACATAAGAACCTATAAGGACTTCAAACACATCTAATTTTCAGACAGTCTATATTTTTTTTTGGAACATGTAACTACAATCTTTTCTCACTTCAGTATAAGCTGACAGGAGCTTGAAGCTCTAGGCAGAGAAGCCAACTCTTTGTGTTTCCGAGATCGTTTTTTCTTTGAATAGTCCTTCACTGAACACACAGAGATAGCTGCCGTCATTAACTCTCTTGCGTTCTTCAAGATGTACGCCACTATCTTCTTCTCTTCGTCATTTAAACAGTAATCTTCCCACTTGAAAGTATGTAGATGGGACATCAAACCTTCAGGAACTGAACTTGGTCCGCTCCAATGACCTTCAATGGGCACGGCCGAGTGTTCGTCGCACTAATAGAAAACACATTCTTGTGTGTTAGACCTTAAAACTAGAACTTAAGACAACGAAACAGTTGAACAAAAAAGAAACTGAAAAGCCATGAGGTTTGGTTAAATGTATACCGAGCAGAGCTTGAGAACTTGTAGTTTAGGAGAGCTTTCGAGCATCCAAGTAAGCAGATCCCACCACCCTACATAACCTCCACATAGCTCCAAATGAAGAAGATGATAAAATTCAATCCGGTGCTGAAGCTGCATAGGGAATGTTAACATAAAGACAAAACAGTAGAAATGTAATAAAACACGAATTGTTTTTGTAATTACCACTGGCTCTGCTAAACATAAGAAGAGGCGCTTGACTGATGCAAGACATTCCAGCAGTTCCTCGGGACAGTCGTGAACAATACTAACATTTGCCTCAACCACCTCAGGCATATTCCCAGACAAACACAACTCACCATTCAAGTCAATAAAGTTCAAATACTTCAAAGACGGGGCATTGATCACAACCTTATGGTCTATTCTTTGGCCGCAGACTGAATCACATGTATCAAGTATAGATAGTCTTTGTAAGCTAGGCATTTCAACAGAGAAGGGTGGCAAACCAAATCTTTCACATGTGTCCAACACCAACTCTTCAAGAACAGGACAGCCTGATAAAAGCATTCGGTGAGATTCATCGGTTGCGGACTCATATGTTACATAGACAAGGTGTAATATCTTCAAGGACGGAAAACAATGATCGGCAGGGACATCATCAACGACCACGTAAGCGAGTTTCAAGACCTCGAGCTTCTCATAAGTATAAAGACTATTTGGTAATATGATTGAGCTTCTCGTATGTATATAGCCTTTCTCTAACCTGTCAGAAATTTCAAGTTCACGCACTTCGCGAGCCATTCCAATTCTGATCCATGTTGCAAAATCTTCAAAGCTGCTACAACGACCAACTTTGAACTTCAAAGTTTGTAGAACCGGAGCTCTATTCAATACCATTGATCTGTCCATATACTTGATGAATTTTCCATATTCGGGTGGCTCGAGTTCAGAACAATAATCAAAATCAAGTTTTGGAAGCATCGTCCAAGAAACCTCCATCTTTTCGACAAGAGCATCGTGGCGACTACATTTTTTTGTAGGAAGTGATGAAACAATCTCCAAGAGCAAATCATCCGACAAATTACTGATCCTATCCATATGGAAGCCCCCTTTCAAACTATAAGACCTTTCACAAGAAAACCAGAGCAGAGGTTAAAGAAATCCAAGGCTCCGGCTTCCTAAATCTCAAAGGAATCTTCACAGAAGAACAAACTAGCGAAACCCTAACAAACTCAAGTGCCTACAAGGCCCGGCCCTATACATGACGTGCTGGAGGTGCAATTTTGGGTTTTTAGTCTATGGAAAAAAGGTCCAAAATTTGTATTTCCTTAGTTTTTCTTATACAAAAGGGTCCAGAAAAAAAAAAAAAAAAAAAAAAGTCTCCCACACTCTTGCTTCTCACACACGTCAAATGTGCTGTGCCGGTTCACTAGGATAAATTCAAAAGCTTTGAAAATAAGGAGACAAAACAGGGGAAGTCACAAAGTGTGATAAATGCATATTTTGAGTCAATTAATCACGGATTTAGTAGGTGAAGTTTTGGGTTTAATAGGAAACCTAATCAAACTAAGACACATAAGCCTTAGTACCGACAAGTTCACTGGAAATATTCTTGTTTCATTTGCCAACTTAACCATAAAGTGAAACAAAAGGAGTATATATTTTAGTATGAAAACTTGAAAAGTCATAAATTACTACTACAATATTAGTTAGTAAGATACTCCCTCCGTTTTTTTAAGATGAATTTTCTGGACATTTTTTGTTGTTTCACAAAGATAAAATTTTTAGCTTTTTGAAGTACTTTTTCAGTTTTCAAGAAACAATAATTGGATTTGTTAGATTTTTATTGGTCTAAATTTATAGAAAGTTGTTTTATTGCCAAAATCTATACACTAATGATTGAAAATCAACTTTTTCTTAATATGTGTGAAAACTCTAGAAAATTCATCTTAAAAAAACGGAGGGAGTACCATAAAACTAATTGACCAACATGCAAAAAAGAAGGCCATAGATTAAAAAGCAGTGATATTTTGGACGAAAGAAAATCATCTACATGAAAGACACCAGTTATCCTGAAAAAAAGTACCTTACGCTTTCTCTTATCTTCTGCTTGAAAACATGTAAAAGCAAGTAAGAAGCCATATAAGAGCTTTGAACAAATCAAACTTTCAGACAGAATGCTTTTAAATTTGTTTGGAATAACTAGGTTATCGATTGTGTATATAAGGCAAAACCTTAACACCTTATTGAATAAGAAATCCCTTCATACCAAATAGGTTTCTTGACAATGAAAAATAATACCAAATCCTGAGCACAAGCACAGTACACTTCCTCTTAGTCTTCTTCTTGAAAAACATGAAAAATGCAATAACATCTACCTTCGGACAGAATAATGCTCCTAGATTGTTTTGGAACATATTACTGTACAAGCTTTTCTCCATTCAGCATAAGCTGACATGAGCTTGAAGCTCTAGGAATAGCAACCAACTCATCGATTTTATCAGATCGCTCTATCTCTGAATACCATTTCTCCACGGTGATACTTGCGGTCTTCAACTGTCTTGCGTTCTTCAAGATGTACTCCACTAAGTTCGTCTCATCGTCTCTTATATCGAAATACTCGCACTTGAAAATATGTAGATGGAACATTAAACATTCAGGAACTGATCTTGGTTCTCCCCACTCATCAATAGGGAGTATGCCACAAGTGCCATCGTTGGACAACTAACAAAATGAACAGTATTGTGTGTTAAACCTTAAAACTAAAACTTAAGACAATGAAACAGCTGAAACAAGAAACTGAGAAGCCATGAAGTTTGGTTAAATGTATATACCGAGAAGATCTTGAAAATTTGTAGTTTAGGAGAAGTTTCCAAGAACCAAACCATGAGATCCCACCACCCTGGGCTACCTCCACATATCTCCAAATGAAGAAGATGATCAAATCCAAAGCGGTGCGTAAACTGCATATAGAAAACATAAGCACAACAGAAACAAAATGTATGTAATAAATCACAAGAAACAACGGATTGTTTATTAGTTACCGTTGTTTTGGATAAAGATAAGCGGAGGCGCTTGACTGATGATGACAGACATTCCAGCAGCTTCGGGGCACTTTGGTAACTAACGTTAACATTTGCACCAACTACCTTAGGCATATTCCCAGACAAACACAAGTCACCGTAACAATCTTGAAAGTTCACCAACAGCAAAGACGGCGCATTGATCACAACCGTAGGAACTCCACCATCCCTGTCGTGTACTGATGTATCACATCTATCACGTATAGACAATCTCCGTAAGGCAGGCATGTCGACAGAGAAGGATTTCATGAAGAAGCAGTTTTCAGTTTTGTCCAACACAAACTCTTGGAGAACGGGACAGCTTGATAATATCTTACACAAACTGTTTGCATCTGTTCCGTACGTTACACACACAAGGTGTAATGTTTTCAAGGACGGAAAACAATAATTGTCAGGGACATCAAGAACAACCACGTAAGCGAGTTTCAAGACCTCGAGCTTCGCATAAGTATAAAGACTCTTTGGCAATACGATCTTGCTATCATAGTTTTCTGTACGCTCAGAGATTTGAAGCTCACGGAAATGGCGAACCATTCCGATTCTGATCCATGTTACCAGATCTTCAGAGCTGCAATAAGGACCAACTTTGAACTTCAACGTTTCTAGAACCGGAGCTCTATTCAAGACCAATGACCTGTCCACGTACTTGATGAACTTTCCATATTGGGAAGGCTCGAGATCCGAACCATAATCAAAATCGAGTTTTGGAAGCATCGTCCAAATAGACTTCCATCTGTTTGACAAGAGCATCGTCGCTACTACATCTTTGGTAGGAAGTGATGAAACAATCTTCAAGAGCAAGTCATCCGTTAGATTACTGATCCTATCCATGTCGAACCCCTAATTTAATTTCATTTCAACACCAAAACCTCTCAGATTCAACCAAATAATATATGAGGTTAATTCGAAACCAGCAATTACACCAGATTACTTATAAAACCAGCAATAAAACACCAAAGGAATTTCACAGAAGAGCAATCAATCAAATACTCATGGAATCAAGCGAAACCGTAACACGTACCCGGTGAAGAACGAGGAGAAGAGAACAAAACCCAAAACCTAAATCATGGAGCAGAATCAGAAAGACAAATACTTTTGCATGGAGATTGCTTTGGTTTCTCTACGCTTTGAAACTTGGACCACGTTGAAAGGAAATGAAGATAGGATTTGCCAGCTTGAAAAGAGTCAAAGTGAGGGAAGTTGGGATATATACATGCATTTAACATTTTACCAAAAAAATAGATTTTTGGGATATAATAGCCCAAATTAAATATTTAAGGCCCAGCATAAATAAGATAAGTGTATCTATCTATTTTATAAAACTCTGACCTTTAATAAAAACATAAAACGACAAATCTAGACCACCAACAAATCTAAACATAAAAACTCTGACATCGTAAGAAAATGGAAGTCAGCCCTAAGTCAATAAGCTTACTGTGTTTAGCTAAAAGTAGAGAAAATGTGTTTCTTAATTGTTTTTCCTACAAAATAATGTGGTCTTCTTCTATTTTAAATGGTAGATAACTCACGACCCATTGGAATTTTAAAAATAATATAGCTAACAATGCTTTTCTATCTAGACCATAATAATTTGAAATTTCTAAGATACAAAGAAATTATCTAAAAGGAAGAAGAATGAGGGTATGTACATGCACAGACGTTCGTACGTAGAAGACTAGAAGCACGACAACTTTTAGAAACTTGTTCGAAGTAAAATGCAAATAAATCATCATATTTTGTGTGTCTAATATTCAACTTGTTTCGTTCGACGAAGGTAGCACAATGTTATATAATGTTCATGTCTCGAACGCTATGACTGACACATACATATTTGCTTTCCCTTTAATAGACAGTAAAAAACCATAACTTTCAATAGAAACATTTGGTTAATTGGCCTTATAAAAAAAAAACATTTGGTTGGGAATGATTATTTCGTTTAAGCAGCTTCGCTTGATTGGTCCTTTTTAATACAGAACTGCTATACATATCAAGGGGGAAAAAAACATATATTAAGATAATATGACATGATTAAAAACAACAACAAATCATGAATAATTTTTTTAGAAAAGAACAGAAAAGCAACAACTAAAACAACATGATGATACTGTGTTTGTCTACCAGGAGAAGTTTCATCTGCTTCAGGATGTCTTTTTGGTGTCTTCCTTTGCCCATATGGGTCTTTAAAAGGCAGAGACGACGCTATTACATCTCTATGCACAAGTGAAAGCTCCATACCATTGTTATAGTTTATGTGTTCATAACACACTTTCTATTTAACACTTAGGGCTGATTTCCCATTTTTCACAAAGCTAGGGTTTTAAAACCCACAAAAAGAGGTCATGATTTTTTTTTATGCTTTTGGAAAAGGGCAGGGTTTGTTTACCCATTTTCCCAACTCAGTGAGACAATAGTTACATCATTTTGACTAGACTCCCTAGGTCAGAGAAGCTTTCAAGGTCCGTGAGACAATGGTTACCCCATCGCTGAGATTAGCATTTCTCAATGGTCCAAGAGATGGCAATATTCTACAAAACACTACAATCCTGAACACAAGGACAGTAAGAATACTACAAATATATAAAAATTGTAAATTATTTATATGAGTTTTTAAAATCGCCGGTAGATAAATTATGATTTAAGCAGAGGCTACGTATGTATTTTAAACACATGTTTTGCAAAAATATTGACCATGTTGACAAGATAATTGATGAGATCAATGAGTATACACAAAAACGAGAGACAATTAGTAATATAGCAAATCCTGAACACAAGGACAGTACGCTTCCTCTAATCTTTTACTTAAAAACATGTAAAAGCAAATAAGAAGCCATCAGAGCTTCAAAGCCATAAGAGTAAAAGTAAAGGAGGAAGTAAAGTACGCTTCGTCTAATCTTCTTCTTGAACACATGTAAGACCAATAACATAAGAAGCTATAAGAGCTTCGAACACATCTAACTTTCAGACATAAAATGCTTCTAGATATTTTTGGAACATCCAGCTACAAGCTTTTCTCAATCCAATATAAGCTGGCACGAGCTTGAAGCTCTAGGCAGAGAAACCAACTCATTGATTTTCAGAGATTTCTCTTCTTTAGAACACCATCTCCACGAGAAACCCGCAGTCTTTAGCTGTCTCGCATTCTTCAAGATGTAGGCAGCTATATTCTTCTCTTTGTCGTTTTGATTGTAATCTATCCACTTGAAAGTATGTAGATGGAACATCAAGCATTCAGGAACTGAAGTTGGTCCTCTCCAACGACCTTTATTGGATTTAAAGGAATGAATGGTACAAAGGTATTCCTTGCACTAACAGGATAGACATTATTGTGTATTAGACCTTAAAACTAGAACTTAATTAAGACAATGAAGCAGTTAAAAAGAAAAGAAACTAAAGCCAATGAGGTTTGGTAAATGTATACCGGGCAGAGCTTGAGAACTTGTAGTTTAGGAGAGCTTTGGAGCATCCAAGTAAGAAGATCCCACCACCCAGAGGCACTTACGCATAGCTCCAAATCAACAAGATGATCAAATCCAATGCGGTGATGGAGCTGCATAGGGAATGTTATAAAACATAAGCACAACAGTACAAATATGATAAAAGACAAGAAACACAGACTGTTTTTATAGTTACCATTGAAGCGGATAAACATAAGCAGAGGCGCTTGACTGATGGAAGACATTCAAGCAACTTGTCGGGATTTTCGAAAACAACTTTAACATTTGCCTCAACCACCTCAGGCATATTCTCGAACAAACACAAGTTATCACAAGTAACAACAAAGTTCAAGAACTTCAAAGACGGGACAATGATCACAACCTTACGATCATCGTCGCCATCGTTTGGTGGATTACATGTATCACGTATGGATAATCTTTGTAAGGTAGGGATTTCAACACGGAAGGATGCCATTATGTCCAACACCAACTCCTCCAGAACAGGACAGCTTGAGAAAAGCTTACAGTAAGTCTCTTCTGTTTCTGTTCCTATCGTTGCACACACAAGGTGTAATGATTTCAAGGATGGAAAACAAAAATCGTCAGGGACATCATCAACATCCACGTAAGCGAGTTTCAAGACCTCGAGCTTCTTACAAGTATAAAGACTCTTGGGTAATTCGACTATGCTACGATTATCTGCGCAGGCAGAAATTTCAATTTCACGCACTTGGCGAACCATTCCAATTCTCATCCATGTTGCCAAATCTTCAGAGGTGTAAAAAGGACCAACTCTGAACTTCAAAGTTTCTAGAACCGGAGCTCTATTAAATACCAATGATCTGTCCACATACTTGACAAATCTCTCATATTCGGAACGCTTGAGTTTTGAATCCGAATCATAATCATAATCATAATCAAAATCAAGTTTCGGAAGCATCGTCCAAAGAAACCTCCATCTTTTCGACAAGATCATCGTGGCCACTACATCTTTGGTAGGAAGTGATGAAACAATCTTCAAGAGCAAGTCATCCGTTAGATTACTGATCCTATCCATGTCGAATCCCTAACTAAACCTTTCAGATTCAACCGAAGATATATGGAGTAACTCCAAAATCAACAATAATAATATTTATCCAATCAAGTTGCTCTCAACTTCCACTATAAATCTGAGAATACAAACTTTTCCTTTGCAGGTTACAAGAAGAAGAAAACCCTAGAGAGATAATAGAACAGCTTACGGCACACAAGGTAATAGACAAAGATTATATATATATATATATATGCATCTATGTACAGTATCTAGCTATAACATTTTGTATATATGAGTTTAAGTGACGATACAAGCCCAAGTGACGATGGCCCATATGAGTTTAAGAATCGTTTCTTACCGTCCACGTGTCGCCCAGTGATTCGCCAGTCTTCTTGTGACAAGAAGAAGGCGTTTTCTCCTCCGCCACTGTCCGTTCCCAGTCGTCCCTCGTCAAATTGGTTTCCGAATCTCATCGTCATCGCTCGAGGAACCTTGTTTCGCGTCTCCTCCCAATTCAATCCAGACGATTATGGAACCATTGGTCGATGAATACAGACGAGTGTACTACTCCAACAACTCCGATGGAGTTAGCTACAATCAATTGCATAAGGTACTACTTCTTCAATTTCTTATTACGTGTTTTGAGATTGGTTTCTCACGACTTTTGGCAAGGAAACTGTAGCTCAGATTAGATCAGACTACTTACTTAGTGGCTACTTGTCCAGTTTTACCGTTTTCAGAGCTATTTGGTTCTGAGATAACACCTTAGAATTCTGATATTTGCTAGATTTAAAGTTTCATTTATATCTTCACAAGCTCGACGTATTTTAGATGTTTGACGGTGTTATGTTTCCCTCTTTTGTGTGTGTGTTTGTTCGACAAAAACTGATAGTGCTTTTGTGTTTTAACATTGAGTATGGAACGAAGTCTTGGAGAGGATACACGTTGCTCCATATCTGAATTGTCTTGCTCAGGGAGTCTCTACGGTTATGGCTTCTTACTCAAGTTGGAACGGAAGTAAACAGAACTCTGACTACTTCCTTTTAACAGAACTTCTCTCAAACAGAAACTCGGTTTCAAGGTTGGTCCAAAGAACTTGACTGAATTTATGGAAAATTCTAAACAACCGAGAGGTGTATGTATATATTTATGCATTGATCTGGTTTTAATCTGCTTTTTGTTACAAGGGATTTGTTATTTCAGACTGGGAAGCTTTGGACCGGCTTAGCGAGCCATTCGGTTCTAACTACCGCGACTGCGTCAAAATGTCAGTCAATGCTGGAGTCGACATGGTGATGTTCCCTTTCAAGCATGAACCTATTCATACAAGACCTCAAAAATCTGGTGGCGTCAGGGGAAGTACCGATGATGCTGTCGAGAGAATACTGAGAGTAAAGTTTGTCGCGGGTCTTTTGGAACATCCTCTCGCAGAGCGGTCTTTGTTGCCTACTGCTGGTTTGCTTGGTGAGGTCTCTTGTACAGTCATGTGATTAGACCTGAGGGTTGGTTTTGTCCAGAGTATGATGATAGACTCTGTTTTTATGATTACAGGAACATAAAAAATTGTGCGTGATTAGGAAGTATTTCACCACTGCTAATTGTGAATTTGATGATGCAACAACAGTGCTTCTTCTTCTTCTTCTCTGCATCAATTCTTCTTCTTCTTCTCTGCATCAAGAGACTACTACAATCACCACACATCTCAGGTTTTCTTACAATGTTCAGATTTTCTTTGGTGTTTACACAAACAAAAAGATTGTACCTAAAATGATTTTCCCAAATAAACTCTACTTACAACAAAACATAATTTTCTTATTGGAGGAGAAATTTTTTTTTATATATTTTGGAGTTCTTAAACATAAAGTTTATGATAAAAAAATTGGTTTGCACATGCTTAAACCAAGCATGATCATTTATTATAACTTTATTTATAAGCAAGTGAGTGAGCACTCGAACATCCAACTGCTTTTTCACTCTGAGCAACAATGGCAGAAATGTTCACCGTTGACTTTCAAAACTGCTTCATCTTTATCATCCTCTGCCTCTTATCAACCATCTTTTACTCTCTCTTCTTGGTCAGGAAAACAAAGGCTGTTTGTGATCTGCCGCCAAGCCCTCCGTCTCTACCAATCATTGGCCATCTTCACCTTCTCCTCTCTCTTCTAATCCACAAAAACTTACAGAAACTCTCTTTCAGATATGGACCTCTCCTCCATCTCCGCGTTTTCAACGTCCCCATAGTTCTTGTCTCCTCTGCCTCAATCGCCTATGAGATCTTCAAGGCGCAAGACGTAAACGTTTCCACTCGTAACCTCCCTACGAACGAAGGCTCTCTTTTCTTTGGATCTCTCGGCTTCGTTACCGCACCTTACGGAGATTACTGGAAGTTCATGAAGAAGCTCATGGTCACCAACCTCCTCGGACCTCAGGCACTCGAGAGGTCACGAGAGATCCGTAAAGATGAGGTAGACCGGTTTTACTCAGATCTTCTTGATAAGGCGATGAAAAAGGAGAGCGTTGGTATTGGGGAGGAAGCAGTGAAGCTAATTAACAACATCATCTGCAAGATGCTCATGGGGAGGAGCTGCTCGGAGGAGAACGGTGAAGCAGAGAAAGTCAGGGGCTTATTGACCGAGACAGATTCCTTCTTGAAGAAGTTTTTCGTGGCGGCCATCTTTCGTAGGTCACTTGGGATCTCACTGTTCAAAAAGGCATTAACGGGTGTTTCACTTAGGTACAACGAGGTGCTGGAGAAGATTTTAGAGGAGTACGAAGAGAAACTGGATCAGGATCAAAGTAGTGAGATTTTGGACGTATTGTTACAAGCTTGTCGAGACGAAACGATCACTAGGAACCATATCAAGTCCTTGTTCGTGGTAAATGTTCCCTTCTTTAAATGAACTTAATGGTGGGTTTTGCTGACTGATTAAGAAACGGTTAGCTACTACAGGATCTTTTTGTTGCAGGCACTGACACCTCAGCGCACACTGTAGAGTGGACCATGGCAGAGATTTTCAGCAACCCTAACGTTCATGAGAGACTGAGAGAAGAAATTGATTCAGTTGTAGGGAAAACAAGGTTGATACAAGAAATGGATCTACCCAACCTTCCTTACTTGCAAGCTGTAGTCAAGGAAGGACTGAGATTGCATCCAACAGCACCTCTTGTGGTAAGGAGCTTCGGAGAAGGGTGTAAGATACGAGGCTTTCATGTGACAGAGAAGACAACACTTGTTGTTAACGGTTATGCTGTAATGAGAGATCCTGATGTATGGGGAGATCCTGAGGAGTTTAAGCCTGAGAGGTTTTTAGCTTCTTCAAGATCAGGACAAGAGGAGGAGATAGCAAGAGAAGAGATCCTAAAATACATTCCTTTCGGAAGCGGGAGGAGAGGTTGTCCTGGAGCAAATCTAGCTTATGTCTATGTAGGAAACGTGATTGGAGTGATGGTGCAGTGCTTTGATTGGAAAATACAAGGAGACAAGATCAACATGAACGAGGCTGTTGGAGCACTGTCGTTGACCATGGCTCATCCTCTTAAGTGCACTCCTGTTCCTCGAACTCTGTTTAGTTCAGTTTGACCTTACGTCTGGATAGACATTTTGATGCTCTATGTTCTTTCTCCGACTCTTTGAGATGCTAAAGGAGAAGGAAACTGTTCTTTGATGATTGGAGCTTCTGTAATGAAACTATGCAGGAATCAAAGTATGGCTTTGTTTTTAATGACTTTTTAAAAATCGCAGATTGATAATTTATGATTAAAGCAGAGACTAGGTATGTATTTTGCAAAAAAACATTGACGATGGTGACAAGACAATTGGTGAGATCAATGAGCAAACTCAATAACATGAAAAAGATTGCGGAACCATTTTAGGCTCCATTTGAGATAGTTGCTGCTCTTTAAAAAATCACACAACTAGTATACATAAAAACGAGAGGTAACCAACATACAAAAAAAGTCATAGGTTAAAAATCAGTGATGATTTGGAAGAGAGAGAAAAAATCTACATGAACACAAGTACAGTACGCTTCCTCTAATCTTCTACTTGAACACATGTAAAAGAAAATAAGAAGCCATATAAGAACTTCAAACAGAATTGTAGAAGCCATAAGAGTAGAAGTACATACGCTTCCTCTTTTTTTTCTTCTTGCAGAAATGTAGAGAGCCATAACATAAGAACCTATAAGAGCTTCGAACACATCTAACTTCCAGACAAAATGCTTCTAGATTCTTTTTGGAACATACAACTACCAGCTTTTCTCAATCCCCAACATAAGCTGACACGAGCTTGAAGCTCTAGGCAGAGAAACCAACTCACTGAGTTTCTGCGATTGCTTTGCCTCCTTTGTATACCTTCTGCACGCAGAGATACACGCAGTCTTCAACTGTCTCGCATTCTTCAATATGTACGCCACTATCTTCTTCTCTTCGTCTTTTAACTCGCAATTTATCCACTTGAAAGTATGTAGATGAAACATCAAACACTCAGGAACTGAACTTGGTCCTCTCCAGGGACCTTTATCGGCGTGTATGGCACAAAGGTATTCTTTACACTAAAGAATACACATATTTTACTGTGTGTTAGACCTTAAACTAAAACCCAAGACAATGAAGCAGTTGAAAAAAGAAACTGCAGCCATGACCATGAGGTTCGGTTAAATGTATACCTTGCAGATGTTGAGAACTTGTAGTTTAGGAGAACTTTCAAGCATCCAAGTAAGTATATCCCACCCTATGGCATATACACATAGCTCCAAATGAACAAGGTGATAAAATCCAATGCGGTGCTCAAGCTGAATACAGAATGTTATAATACATAAGCACAAGAGTTAAAATGTAACATATCACAAGATAACACGGATTGTTACCATTGAAGCGGATAAACATAGGTGGAGACGCTTGACAGATGGAATAAATTCCAGTAGCTTCTTGGGATCTCGATAAACAACTCTAACATTAGCTTCAACCACCTCAGGCATATTCTCACACAAACACAAGTCACCAAAGAAATCAACCAAGTTCAAGAATTTCAAAGACGGGACACTGATCACAACCTTATGGATCCATCATCGCCATCGTTTGGTGAATCAAATGTATCAAGTATAGATAATCTTTGTAAAGTAGGCACTTGAACGTAATAAGATCGTAAAGAGTTGCTGTTTTTAGTTTTGTCAACCACCAGCTCCTCGAGAACAGGACAGCCTGCTAAAAGCCTGCGGTGAGATTGTTTGTTTTTGTAGGCTACAGATAAAAGGTGTAATGTTTTCAAAGATGGCAAACAAACATCGGTAGGGACAATTTCAAGCTCGGGAACATGTCGAACCATTCCAATTCTGATCCAAGTTGCCAAATCTTCAGACCAACTTTGAACTTCAAAGTTTCTAGAACCGGAGCTCTGTTCAGTACCAATGATCTGTCCACATACTTGACAAACTTCTCATATTTGGAACGCTGGAGTTCTGAATCCGAACCATAATCATTATCATCATTAAAATCAAGTTTTGGAAGCATCGTCCAGAGAAACCTCCATCTTTTCGACAAGAGCATCGTGGCTACTACATCTTTGAAAGGGATTGATGAAACAATCTTCAAGAGCAAATCATCAGACAGATTACTGATCCTATCCATATCCAAGCCCCTCCTAATTAAAAAGACACTCTTTCACAGATTTTCTTGCACAGGTTAGAGCGTGAACATTCGTAGGCAGAAGACAATATCAGCGTGACTCACTCACTTATCGATTGCAAATGGGTTTTGCTCTGAACTCACGAAAGTGTTAGCTCACAAAACGCATGCAACAACATTGACTCTTGTCTCTCTCTCAATTATTTGCTCAGCCCTAATCCAATCTGTTAACATTTGAGCGAACAAATCAATTACAGAGCAAAACCCACCAAATTGAAGAGAGCTAAACCACAGAAGAAAAGTTCCTTCAAATCAGAGCTTAAAAAAGGGAAGATTGAGTTATTAACCATGGAGTGGAGAGCTTGTTGGTGGAGACGAAGGTACCACCACGCATTCCAAGATAAAGACCAATCGGCGGCACTGCTGCTTCTTAGACGGAGATAAATGACGATGAATGTGAAGCAAATGGGAACACAGAAGATGAAAGGAGAAGAGAAAATCGACTATAAACTGGGTTCGGTGGGATTTGGCCAGAGGAGAAGTGAAAATCGATTTTCTAGCAAGAGAAGAGTTAACAATCAGAAAATCTATTTTTCCCCAAATTCATGAAACCCTAAATTTTAAAATGTTTGGACACACGGACCATACGGTTACGCCCATTTTATGAGACGATTCAAATTACGTTGACCACACAATCCAAATATTTGAGATGCTCTGTTTGAGAATAATGACCAAACTGCAGTGTTGTAATCAAAAGCAGCAGTGAACTGTAAACGAACAATGACCCTAAATTGCAGTGCTCTATCATGACCAAACTCCATCCACACACCAACGCATCCATTCAAATCTACACAATATGCATCCATGTCTTTCACTGTCCAAATGTTATTAGCTCCAAATCCGCAAAAAAACTTGACTTGGTATATTATATATGAGAATTGCCCTTGCCAAAGCATTGTTATTTAACACATTACACACAAAAAGGAACCAATGATGCTGGAGTTTTTTTGTTTAAAAAAAAACTCATGATTATAAAACTTTTTATCATGCACTAATATATACTTTCACATGTTCATGTCCATATGGATGCTTTTTAAATTGTGTATCCACCCATATACTCACAACCAAAAAAAGTATTGTTTTCTCCTTGTCTAAGCCCACATAAACGATGAGCGTGCATGTTCCATTTCTATCCATAACAGTTAGTATACACACTATACACACCATAAACTATTATCCATCACAACTCCTTCACATAGACTATTATATTAGTGTTTGTAAATGTAAATCACTCAAAAACATAGAGGTAGTTTGGAAGACAGAAAAAAACTACATGAAAGATATCAAATTCTGAACACACAAGTACAGTACGCTTCCTCTAATCTTCTTCTTGAAAACATGTAAGAGCAATAACATAAGAAGCTATAAGAGCTTCGAACACATGTAACTTTCAGACATAAAATGCTTCTAGATATTTTTGGAACATCCAACTACAAGCTTTTCTCAAGCCAATATAAGCTGGCACGAGCTTGAAGCTCTAGGCAGAGAAACCAAACCACTGAGTCTCCGAGATTGCTCTTCCTTGGAACACCATCTCCACGAGAAACCCGCAGTCTTTAACTCTCTTGCGTTCTTCAAGATGTATGCCACTATCTCTTTGTCTTTTCCATTGTAATTTTTCCACTTGAAAGTATGTAGATGGAACATCAAGCATTCAGAATCTGAACTTGGTCCTCTCCAACGACCTTTCATGGATGCATCGGAATGAATGGTACCAAGGTGTTCCTTGCACTAACAAAATACACATTACTGTGTTAGTGTATATAAACTGAAGGCATGAGGTTTGGTTAGTGTATACCTCACAAAGCTTGAGAACTTGTAGTTTAGGAGAGCTTTCGAGCATCCAAGTAAGCAGATTCCACCACCCTGAGGCACTTACGCATAGCTCCAAAAGAAGAAGATGATAAAATCGAATGCGGTGCTGAAGCTGCATAGGGAATGTTATAAAACATAAGCACAACGGCACAAATGTAAAAAAGACAAGAAACACAGACTGTTTTTATAGTTACCATTGAAGCGGATAGACATAAGGAGAGGCGCTTGACTGATGGAAGAGAATCCAACAACTTCTCGGGATTTTCATAAACAACGTTAACATTTGCCTCAACCACCTCAGGCATATTCTCAAACAAACACAAGTTATCATAAGAATCAACAAAGTTCAAATACTTCAAAGACGGGACATTGATCACAATCTTATGATAATGTGGATTACATACAACAAGTATAGATAATCTTTGTAAGGTAGGGATTTCAACACGGAAGGATGTCATAGAGAAGCACTTTTCAGTTATGTCCAACACCAACTCCTCCAGAACAGGACAGCTTGAGAAAAGCTTGCAGTAATATTCTTTTATTCCGTACATTACACACACAAGGTGTAATGATTTCAGGGATGCAAAACAAAAATCGATAGGGACATCACGAACCATCACGTAAGAGAGTTTCAATACCTCGAGCTTCTCATAAGTGTAAAGACTCTTTGGTAATATGATTGAGCAGTCAGAAATTTCAAGTTCACGAACATGGCGAACCATTCCCATTCTGATCCATGTCGTCAATTCTTCAGAGCTACAACGAGGACCAGCCTTGAACTTCAAAGTTTCTAGAACTGGAGCTCTACTCAAGGCTAAGGATCTGTCCACATACTTGACAAATTTATCATATTCAGAAGGCTTGATTTTAGAACCATAATCAAAATCAAGTTTTGGAAGCATCGTCCAAAGAAACCTCCATCTTTTTGATAAGAGCATCGTGGCGACTACATTTTTGGTAGGAAGTGATGAAAAAATCTCCAAGAGAAAATCATCCGACAGATTACTGATCCTATCCATATCCAACCCTAATTAAACCCCTCTCCAACTAGAAGACCTTTCAGATTCAATATATGTGGTTACTCCGAAACCAGCAATAAAACACCAGAGTACTTATGAAATCCAAGGTTCCGGTTTCCTTAATCTCAAAGGAATTTCACAGAAGAACGAACAACCAAATATTGAAATACACATCGAATCAAAGCGAAACCCTAACAAGCAACCAAATACACTCATCGAGGAACGAGGAGGAGGAGATATGTGCTGTTGGATTTGGGCCTAATATGTATATAGTCCTAATTAAATATTCAAAGCCTAACGAAATATGTGGATCTTTTTTAACTTTTAACAAAGCTCAAAGAATCTATACTATATAAAAGTTGAGGCTATAAGCCTCTAAGGACGTCCACATAGAATTTTAAGACGCGATTTGATTGGTCCATCTAAGCATTATCAATATTAAGAAAGTTTCCAATTTTTAAATAACCAATTTTATCAGTCCACATCAGCATATAAAATTAAGAAAATTTTCAAAATTTTAAACAACCAATATGAGAGCTCCACATAGGATTCTAGACTGTATTTGATTGGTCCACATAAACATCATCAAGATTAAGAAATTTTCTAAATTTTAAACAACCAATAGTATTATTCCACATCATTATATAAAATTTGGTAATTTCCTTTTTATTTTTCAAGAAACTTTCCTAATCTAATCTATACTATATAAAAGTTGAGGCTATAAGCCTCTAAGAGCGTCCACATAGGATTCTAGACTGTATTTGATTGGTCCACATAAATATCGTCAAGATTAAAAAATTTTCTAAATTTTAAACAACCAATAGTATTACTCCACATCATTATATAAATTTTGGATTTTTCCTTTTTATTTTTCAAGAAACTTTCCTAATCTAAATATATTATAAATGTTTTGCATTAAAGATTTTATAAAATATTTCTTTTTAATACCAACAAAAAAAACTAACTTAACATGTATAATATTATAGAGGTCAATACTAAACATATTTCCAAAAAATATAGTCGTGGAGAATTTTAAGCGAAGAATAACTAATACATAGAAGAAGAGGAAGCTATCATAAACAAACTATTAGGAACCCTAGCATTTTCGATGAAACAAATAAATCATAGAAGAAATAGAAGAATAAGAACCATAAGAAAAGCATAAAAAAAGTATTAAGAAAAGCGAAGACGAAGATAGCAAAGAACAAAATTATAAATAAAAAACCCCCATATAATATAAGATTAAACCAAAAAAACAAATAAAAAGATGATACCAAAGAATATGAAATTGAAAGCTATTCTTAACTATATTTTTATGATCACATAAATTGAATTATTTGTATTATTGTTAGACATTGTTCAATATATGTGTGAATTTCTATTTGTATATCTCTAACTTTATTTTATTTCTATGAATCCATTACATTTTTAAGTTTGGGTAAGTGTATCAAATAGTGTAAAATTTTATTTTACATAAAATTAAATTAAAGAGGACTACAGAAAAAAAATATTTCTAAAAGGGATACAATCGTGAAAAAAATTCCAGCAAAGAATAATATAGAAAAAAAGTAAAATTCTAGCAACTTCGACCGTCTGAACTAATCATAGAAGAAACAGAAGAATAATAAGGAATATATATAAAAAAAAGATAAGAATATCAAAGAACGAAAACAAAAAATAAACAAAAGATGAACAAAGATGAAGAAGCATGCCAAATAACGGAATAAGAAATCGCGAGGACGAAGAAACATAAAAGGAGAGTAAAAATGAAGAAGAAACCAAAGAAGAAAAAGAAACCAAATAAAGGAGAATAAACCGAAGAAAAATAAACAAAGAACGAAAAATAAAAACATCGGTTAAGAGTCATCATGAACATGCTACTAACCAGTAACCACAAAAGTTTATGAATAAAAAATATTTAATCAAACTATAAAACAGACCCGCGCTTGCGCGGGTGAAAAACCTAGTCTTATATATAATTAGGGAGTTGCTCTCTCCATTTGAGAGTGTCCACATCAGCACAAAAACATTAAATTGTATTTAAAATATTTAATAAATATATGACTATTCATATTTCTTTACATTTATTCATATTTAATAAAAATATACAAATAAATTGATTAATTAATAGAAAGTATGTGATAATTTGATGTTCAAAGTTATCAAAAAGTTGGAATATAAAATAGAGATGGAGTAAAGAAATATTCAACTTCAAATAGTATATATTTACTTTATTATTCAAAGGGTTTATCCTACTTAAAAATGTTAGAATGTGTTTACAAGTTAAAAAGTTGAATATAAATTAATTAAGACAATAGAAAGCTAATGAAACATTAGAGTTAGAGTTTGTTTTTCTAAACAAATAGAAATAGAGTTTTATATGTAAATTTAATTGTAGTGAAAAACAAGAATATGTTTACAAATTTTAACCTTCAGTCAAATGCATATACATATTTATAAATTTTAACCTTCAATCAAATACATATACATGTTTACCGTCTAATAGAAGTAAACATAATATTTATAACATGATAAAATTTTAGAAATAGAAAACTCAAGATAAAGCAGAGTGTTAATATCCTAATAAATTAAAATAAAAACAAATTATTCATATTTTTTTAGTGTTAGTGGTTTAGTTAACTCAAAACATAACAAAAACATGAAAGTTAACACAAAACCATCATATTTCAAATCCACGAGTATAAATAAAATTAAACAGAAAAACTATCGTAAACAACCCCGCGCTTGGGGCTTCAAACCTAGTATTGCTAATGGCCAACCTTCCAAGACGGAAAAAGATTTTTGCTGCATGAATTTTTTTTACAATTCTAATAGAGGCAGAAACATTTCACGAGAAGAACACAGAATAAACAAAGATAGGAAAATGGGTCAAAAAGCAGGTGCTTTTATAAAAACCTAAAAACACCCTCACATTTTCGATAAGTTTAAGCAAACTAATATTGGAATTTCACAGAAGAACAAACAACCAAATACTCATCGAATCTAGCGAAACCTAACAAACTCAAGTGCGAACCAGGCCGGCCCTATGCATGTGTTGTTGGAGGTGAAATTTTGGGTTTTCAGTCCAAATTTTTAATTTTCATAGTTTTTCTTTGTATACAAGAGTCCAGAAAAATAAAACGTCTCCAACACTCTTGCTTCTGACACACGTCAAATGTGTATGCTACAAGAAATTCGGGTCACTAGGATTATTTAAAAAGGTTTGAAAATAAGGAGACAAAAAATGGGGAAGTCACAAAGTGTGATAAATGCACATTTGAGTCAATTAATCACGAATTCATTGGTAGAGTTATGGGTTCAATAGGAAACCTAATCAAACTAAAACACATAAGCCTTAGTACCGACAAGTTCACTCGAAATATTCTTGTTTATTTGCCAACTTAACCAGAAAGTGAAACTGAAGGAGTATATATTAACAATATTACATCACCAGGATTTAGTATGAAAACTCAAAAAGTCATAAATTACTACTACAGTGATAATTATAGACCAACATGCAAAAAACAAGGCCATAGATTAAAAAGCAGTGATGATTTGGAACAAAGAAAATCATCTACATGAAAGACACTAGTTATCCTGAACACAAGTACAGTACGCTTCCTCTAATCTTCTGCTTGAAAACATGTAAAAGCAAATAAGAAGCCATATAAGAGCTTCCAACAAATATAACTTTCAGAGAGAATGCTTTTAAATTTGTTTAGAACATGCTACTACGAGCTTCTCTCAACCTAACATAAGCTGACACGAGCTTGACACCTCTAGGCAGAAAAACCAAATCACTGAGTTTCTGAGATCGATCTTCCTTCTTTGAATACCTTCTGCACGCAGAGATACACACAGTATGTCTTGCGTTCTTCAGGATGGACGCCACTATCATCTTCTCTTTGTTGTTTTATCCTGCAACTTTTCCACTTGAAAGTATGTAGATGGAACATCACGTATATAAGGCAAATAGTATATCAGGTATAGGAAATTAAGTTATGCAAATAGTATCTTGTAAATAGGTTATTGTGTATATAAGGCAAAACCTTAACACCTTATTGAATAAGAAATACCTTCATACCAGATAGGTTTCTTGACAATGAAAAATACCAAAAAATCCTGAACACAAGCACAATACAGTTCCTCGATCTTAGTCTTCTTCTTGAAAACATGAAAAATGCAATAACATCTAACTTCAGACAGAATAATGCTCCTAGATTGTTTTGGAACATATATTACTGAACAAGCTTTTCTCCATTCAGCGTAAGCTGACATGAGCTTGAAGCTCTACGAATAGAAACCAACTCATCGATTTTATCAGATCGCTCTATCTCTGAATTCCAATTCTCCACGGTGATACATGCAGTCTTCAACAGTCTTGCGTTCTCCAAGATGTACTCCACTAATTTCGTCTCATCGTCTCTTATCTCGAAATACTCGCACTTGAAAGTATGTAGATGGAACATTAAACATTCAGGAACTGACCTTGGTTCTCCCCACTCATCAATGGAGAGTATGCCACAAGTGCCATCGTTGGACGCCTAACAAAATAAACAGTATTGTGTGTTAAACCTTAAAACTATAACTTAAGAAAGAATGAAACAGTTGATGAGAGAAACTGAAAAGCCATGAGGTTTGGTTATATGTATACCGAGCAGATCTTGAGAACTTGTAGCTTAGGAGAAGTTTCCAACAACCAAACCATCAGATCCCACCACTGTGGTGTACCTCCACATAGCACCAAATGAAGAAGATGATCAAATCCAAAGCGGTGCGTAAACTGCATATAGAAAACATAAGCACAAGAGATAAAAAAAGAATGTAATAAATCACAAGAAACCACAGATTGTTTATTAGTTACCGTTGTTTTGGATAGATATAAGGAGAGGCGCTTGACTGATGATGACAGACATTCCAGCAGCTTTGGGGCACTTTCGTAAATAACGTCAACATTTGCAACAACCACCTCAGGCATATTCCCAGACAAACACAAGTCACCGCAGAAATCTACAAAGTTCAAGTACTTCAAAGACGGCGCATTGATCACAACCGTATGAACTCCACCATCCCTGTCGTGTACTGATGTATCACATCTATCACGTATAGACAATCTTTGTAAGGCAGGCATATCGACAGAGAAGGATGTCATGAAGAAGCAGTTTTCAGTTTTGTCCAACACAAACTCTTCAAGAACGGGACAGCTTGATAAAATCTTACGGTAAGATGCATCTGTTCCGTACGTTACACACACAAGGTGTAATAATGTTTTCAAGGACGGAAAACAATAATCATCAGGAACATCAAGAACAGAAACGTAAATGAGTTTCAAGACCTCCGGCTTCGCATAAGTATAAAGACTCTTTGGCAATACGATCTTGCTATCGTAATTTACTGTACGCTCAGAGATTTCAAGCTCACGGAAATGGCGAACCATTCCGATTCTGATCCATGTTACCAGATCTTCAGAGCTGCAATAAGGACCAACTTTGAACTTCAACGTTTCTAGAACCGGAGCTCTATTCAAGACCAATGACCTGTCCACGTACTTGATGAACTTTCCATATTGGGAAGGCTCGAGATCCGAACCATAATCAAAATCGAGTTTTGGAAGCATCGTCCAAATAGACTTCCATCTGTTTGACAAGAGCATCGTCGCTACTACATGTTTGGTAGGAAGTGATGAAACAATCTTCAAGAGCAAGTCATCCGTTAGATTACTGATCCTATCCATGTCGAACCCCTAATTTAATTTCATTTCAACACCAAAACCTCTCAGATTCAACCAAATAATATATGAGGTTAATTCGAAACCAGCAATTACACCAGATTACTTATAAAACCAGCAATAAAACACCAAAGGAATTTCACAGAAGAACAATCAATCAAATACTCATGGAATCAAGCGAAACCGTAACACGTACCCCCGTGAAGAACGAGGAGAAGAGAACAAAAACCCGAAACCTAAATCATGGAGCAGAATCAGAAAGACAAATACTTTTGCATGGAGATTGCTTTGGTTTCTCTACGCTTTGAAACTTGGACCACGTTGAAAGGAAATGAAGATAGGATTTGCCAGCTTGAAAAGAGTCAAAGTGAGGGAAGTTGGGATATACATGCATTTAACATTTTACCAAAAAAATAGATTGTTGGGATATATATAATAGCCCAGATTAAATATTTAAGGCCCAGCATAAATAAGATAAGTGTATATATCTATTTTATAAAACTTAGACATTTCATAAATACAGTAAAACCTCTATAAAGTAATAATGTTGGGACTTTGAAAATTTATTATCTTATAGAGGTATTACTTTATGAATAAATTCAATATTCATGTATTCTCATAATCTTCGAAAATTATTCTCGATATGATAATATATTAAGAAATGAAAATAATTTATTCATTAATATGACATATATAAACTTGAAATTATTATCAAATCTTTTGGATATCATAATAAAACATATATTATTAGTTTCTATAAATATTTATTTATATAAAATTTGATACATAATAAATGTTAAAATTTTATAAATAATTATAGCTACTAATGAAGTTGAAAATGATATGTTTAGAACATATTTAACAATTTTACATGCATATAAAAATTGCATTATGAGTTTTTTATATAAGAAAAAGTTAAAGATCAACTTCAATTCATAATTTAATAATTGGTTTAGGCATATACAATGTATAATTTTATATAATTATTACTTTAACTTATAATTGGGACCATATTTTTACATAGGAGTTTCAAAAATATTATTATCTTATCATCTTATCGCATTTTGCTTATTTTTACATTGGCCCGAATTGGGACCGGAGAAATTTATTATCTTATAGTGATTATTACTTTATCGAGTATTACTTTATAGAGGTTCTACTGTACATAAAACGACAAATCTAGACTGCATCAAGTGGGGCCTACGCCGCCGCCGAATAAATGTACCAACAAATCTAAACATAAAAACTCTGACATCTTAAGAAAATGGAAGTCAGCCCTAAGTCAATACGCTTACTGCGTTTAGCTAAAAGTAGAGAAAATGTGTTTCTTAATTGTTTTTCCTAAAAAATATTGTGGTCTTCTTCTATTTTAAATGGTAGATAACTCACGACCCATTGGAATTTTAAAAATACAGTAATATAGCTAACAATGCTTTTCTATCTAGACCATAATAATTTAAAATTTCTAAGATACAAATAAATTATCTAAAAGGAAGAAGAATGAGGGTATGTACATGCACGGACGTTCGTAGAAGACTAGAAGCACGACAACTTTTAGAAGACTAAACAACATATCGAATTATAAATCAGTAAATGAATTATAACAGATTAACAGAGGACATAAAAAGGGAAATGAAACTGGGCAAGTACTACTATACTATTATATTGTTTTTTTTATAATAGTTTTTGTCGTCTTTTCAATAATAGTTTTGTCTTTTTGTTATTATATAGAAAATCCCAATAGATTTATAAACCATTTTAGGAATGGAGACTTTTGACCGAAATAAGAAAAATGCCAATTCTGAATTTAAGATGTAGAAAAGGGTTGTATGGAGAGTTAAGAAAACGGCTATATAGTGATTGGCATGCATACACATCTACGTCTTCCAACTCTCCTTATTTTTGTCATATTTGCTTTCTCTATATTTTCGAGCATATAACTAGCTAGGGACACATACAAACACCACAAGAAACTATAGTTAGAAGTTTCTTGATAGTTGGTTTTTATTCTCACTATTCAAATTAAGTTGTTTTAGCTTTTGGACATTTTTTTCTGTAATTATACATGATGAACGTGGAGAGTTCACCTATCTATTAGTTGCAAAGGCGAATCTAGGTGGTGAGTAGGAGGGGCAGTTGCCCCCATGAATTTAATAAATTAGTGTAATTTTGCCCCCCATGAAACTCTAGCCAACTACAGTAATCGATGTTTCTAATGTTTTGTAAGTTTTTTAGTTATAAAAAATGTTTTACGTTCTGGTAATCAACTCTAGGAGAAAAAGTTGTAGACGAATAATTAGATTACTATATGGGCCTAAAAACGTGCGAGCCCAGATAATGGGTTGGGTGAGGGCATTACATGCGTGTCGTTTTTATAAATGATAGCTCAACTTCATGTCGTTTTAAGGCGTGGCCGTGTGAAAGTCTGAAGTCTGAAGAGTTATTCTACCGATCTAGATTTCCTCCGACTGGTGTTCTCAATTCACCCATTTTTGCCTAATATTGGCCAAAAATTAACCCGAAAAAGAAAGAAATCATCTTTAGCAGTGGATACCCAATCAGGAAAGATGAAAAAACAAAATGTTTGATACAGAGAAAAGAGATGAAACATTACGTTACTGTGCAAATTGCAGTTGATGTGTATACTAAATCTACACACTTTTAGGTTCCTTGGGTGGATATGATCTCCAATTCCGGCCACCACGCCGGAGATAGTCTCGGTAACACTGCTTCCGCCGTTAGTCCGGTGATCTCTGTTAGCTTAGCCACCACGTCCCTCATTTCCGGCCTCTGTTTCAAACACTGCATAACCACTTCCCACAACTTCTCCAGGACATTCTCGTCGAAGCGTCTCAGGGTCGGATCCACAAGTTCTCTCGCCGGATTGGTTTCGTGGAGCGGAGAATCGGGATCCGGGATCTTGCCGGTTAAAATCTCGTGCAGGATGGCGCCAAAGCTGAAGACGTAGTTGGTCTCGAGGATCAATTGGTGTGGTAACCACTTCTTCAATTGCTTATTACGTGTTTTGAGATTGGATTCTCAGGACTTTTGGCCCAGATTAGATCGTTGTTTAGGTACTTGTGATTAGAGATAAACGATTAATTTTGTTTTCGCTGTATTGATACTGGATCGAGTGTTGAGGTATTTTCTGGATCTTGAGTTGAAATGTGAGCTGAGTCTCGTGGTTTACCGTTTACTTGCTCTCTTCAAATTTGCAGCTTTGTGTAGCTTTCATTATTCCTTCAAAGTTGAGTTATTTTCAGATTTGTGAAGGTTTCGTTTCGTCACTCACAACTTACTAGTTACTAGTAGCTACTTGATTCGATAAAGATGTGTTCTTGAGACTTGAATCAGGCTACTTACTAGTGGCTACTTGTCCATTTTTACCGTTTTCAGAGCTATTTGGTTACCTTAGAATTCTGATATTTGCTAGAGTATTTATATCTAGATGTTTGACGGTGTTATGTTTCCCTCTTTTGTGTGTGTGTTTGTTCGACAGAAACTGATTGTGCTTTTTGTGGTTTAATATTTAAACACAGATGTGTTCTTGAGGTCTTTTGTACATTCATGCCATTAGACCTGACTCCTGAGTATGATGATAGACCCTGTATTCATGATTACAGGAGCATAGAGAATTGGGGCGTGAAGCGGTTAGGAAGTCTTTCACCACTGCTTATTGTGGATTTGAATGCTGCAACAACAGTGCTTCTTCTTCTTCTCTGCATCATGAGACTACTACCATCACCCCACACATCTCAGGTTTTCTTACAATGTTCAGATTTTCTTTGCTGTTTTTTCCAGAAACAAAAAGATTCTACTTCATATAATTTTCCCAAATAAACTCTGCTTACAATAAAATAATTTTCTTATTGGAGGAGGAAAACAAAATTTATAATAAAGAAATTGGTTTGCACATGCTTAAACCTAGCATGATCATTTCTTATAACTTTGTTTATAAGCAAGTGAGTGAGCTCTTGCATATCCAACTCTCTTTCACTCTGAGCAACAATGGCAGCAATGTTCACCGTTGACTTTCAAAACTGCTTCATCTTTATCATCCTCTGCCTCTTATCAACCATCTTTTACTCTCTCTTCGTGGTCAGGAAAACAAAGGCTGGTTCTGATCTGCCGCCAAGCCCTCCGTCTCTACCAATCATTGGCCATCTTCACCTTCTCCTCTCTCTTGTCAGCCACAAAAGGTTACAGAGACTCTCTTTCAAATACGGACCTCTCCTCCATCTTCGAGTTTTCAGTGCTCCCATACTTCTCGTCTCCTCTGCCTCAATCGCCTATGAGATCTTTAAGGCGCAAGACCTAAACATTTCCACTCGTAACCTCTCTACGAACGAAGGTTCTCTTTTCTTTGGATCTCTCAGCTTCATTGCCGCACCTTACGGAGATAACTGGAAGTTCATGAAGAAGCTCATGGTCACCAACCTCCTTGGACCCCAGGCACTAGAGAGGTCACGAGGGATCCGTAAAGATGAGGTAAACCGGTTTTACTCAGATATTCTTGATAAAGCGATGAGAAAGGAGAGCGTTGGGATTGGTGAGGAAGCAATGAAGCTAATCAACAACATCATCTGCAAGATGCTCATAGGGAGAAGCTGCTCGGAGGAGAACGGCGAGGCAGAGAAAGTCAGGGGTTTATTGGCCAAGACAGATTCCTTCCTGAAGAAGTTTTTCGTGGCGGCCATCTTGCGTATGTCCCTCGGGATCTCACTGTTCAAAAAGGAGTTAACGGGTGTTTCACTCAGGTACAACGAGTTGTTGGAGAAGTTTCTAGTGGAGTACGAAGAGAAACTGGATCAGGAGCATCATCATCAAGGTAGTGAGATGTTGGACGTATTGTTAGAAGCTTGTCGAGACGGAAAGATCACTAGGAACCATGTCAAGGCCTTGTTCGTGGTAAATGTTCCTCTCTTTTTAAGTGGATCCGTTGACTGATTTTCTTAACTTAACGGTTTGCTAATTGCTACTACAGGATCTTTTCGTTGCGAGCACTGACACCACGGTGCACGCTATAGAGTGGACCATGGCAGAGATTATCAGCAACTCAAAGGTTCTTGAGAGACTGAGAGAAGAGATTGGTTCAGTCGTAGGGGAAACAAGGTTGATTCAAGAAATGGATCTACCCAACCTTCCTTACTTGCAAGGTGTAGTCAAGGAAGGACTGAGATTGCATCCAACAGCGCCTCTTGTGCCAAGGAGCTTCCAAGAAGGGTGTAAGATCCGAGGCTTTGACGTGGCAGAGAAGACAACACTTGTTGTTAATCTTTATGCTATTATGAGAGATCCTGAAATATGGGAAGATCCTGATGAGTTTAAGCCTGAGAGGTTTTTAGCTTCTTCAAGATCAGGACAAGAGGAGGAGATAGCAAGAGAAGAGATCCTAAAATACATTCCTTTCGGAAGCGGGAGGAGAGGTTGTCCTGGAGCAAATCTAGCTTATGTCTATGTAGGAAACGTGATTGGAGTGATGGTGCAGTGCTTTGATTGGAAAATACAAGGAGACAAGATCAACATGAACGAGGCTGTTGGAGCACTGTCGTTGACCATGGCTCATCCTCTTAAGTGCGTTCCTGTTCCTCGAACTCTGTTTAGTTCAGTTTGACCTTGCGTCCGGATGGACATTTTGACGCTCTATATGTTCTTTCTCCGACTCTTGGAGAGATACCAAAGGAGAAGGAAACTGTTGTTTGATGATTGGAGCTTCTGTAATGAAACTATGCAGAAATCAACGTATGGCTTTGTTTTTAGTGACTTTTAAAAAAATCGGAGGTAGATAAATTATGATTAAAGCAGAGAGACTAAGTATGTATTTTAAAGTAGTACAGATCCTCTAATCTTCTTATTGAACACATTGAAGAGCAATCATAACATAAGAACTTAAGAATCTATAAGGGCTTCGAACACATCTAGTTTTTAGACAGAATGATTTTAGATTTGTTTTGGAACATAGCTACTTCAAGCTTTCCAATAATCCAACATCAGCTGACATGAGCTTGAAGCTCTAGGCAGAGAAACCAACTCTTTCAATTTCTTAGATAGCTCTTTCTGCAGAGGGTACCATCTCTCCTCAGAGATACATGCAGTCTTTAACTGTCTTGCGTTCTTCAAGATGTAGGCAACTATTTTCTTCTCTTCGTCTGCAGTTTTGTAATCTGTCCATTTGAAAGTATGCAGACGGAACATCAAGCACTCAGGAACTGAACTTGGTCCTCTCCAATGACCTTCAATGGGCTTGAACCAATTGCGTTCCTTGCACTAACATAATACACATTATGATGTGTTAGACCTTAAAACAACTTAAGACAATGAAACAGCAGTTGAAAATAAAAAAGAAACTGAAGCCATGAGATTTGGTTTAATATATACCTCGCAGAGCTTAAGAACTTGTAGTTTAGGAGAACTTTCCAACATCCAAGTAAGCAGATCCCACCACCCTCCATAACCTCCACATAGCTCCAAATGAAGAAGTTGATAAAATCCAATCTGGTGCTGAAGCTGCATAGGGAATGTTAAAACTTAAAAACATGAGCACTACAGTACAAATGTAATAAAATACAAGAAACATAGATAGTTGTTTACTTACATTTTTAGCGGATAAACACAGTTGGAGACGCTTGACTGATGGAATAGATTCTAGCAGCTTCTCGGGACTTTTGTAAACAACGTTTACATTTGCCTCAACCACCTCAGGCATATTCTCACACAAACACAAGTCACCAAAGAAATCAAAATAGTTCAAGAACTTCAAAGACGGGACACTGATCACAACCTTATGAATCCCATCATCGCCATCGTTTGGTGAATCAAATGTATCAAGCATAGATAATCTTTGTAAGGTAGGGATTTCAACGTAGAGAGATTTCAAAGTGTCGATGTTCCTAGTTTTGTTCAACACCAACTCCTCAAGAACAGGACAGCCTGATAAAAGCATTCGGTGAGATTCTTCGGTTTTGTAGTTAACACCCACAAGGTGTAATGTCTTCAAGGACGGAAAACATACATCGATTGGGACATCAAGAGTAATAGTCAGACTGAGTTTCAAGACCTGGAGCTTCTCATAAGTATAGAATGTCTTTGGTATTTCGATTGAGCTATAATTATGATTTGCACAGTCATAAATTTCAAATTCACGCACATGTCGAACCATTCCAATTCTGATCCATGTCGCCAAATCTTCAGAGCTACAACAACGACCAACTTTGAACTTCAAAGTTTCTAGAACCGGAGCTGTATTTAATACCATTGATCTGTCCACATACTTGACAAATTTCCCATATTCAGAAGGCTCGAAATTATAACTATGATCAAAATCAAGTTTTGGAACCATCGTCCAAAGAAACCTCCATCTTTTTGACAAGACCATCGTGGCCACTACATTTTTGGTCGGAGTTGAAGAAAGAATCTCCAAGAGCAGATCATCTGACAGATTACTGATCCTATCCATGTCGAAACCCTAACAAAACCCCTTGAACCAAAATATCACTTATATAAATTAAATAAAGTATATAAATCTGTGGGTTTTCAAAATAAGTATTATATTAATCGTATAATATCAAAGCAAAAGCTTACGATTATCTTAAAGAGAACACATACGAGACCCAAAACTTGCTCTAAGATCTTGAGAATTTGTGGATGATCTTTCAATTATGAAGATCATTTATTTATATAGAGAAACAGAAGCAAACAAAATTGGGCTCGACGAATATGGCCCACTTTAAGTATTTAAGGCCCAACCTTAATATGTTTATTAGTATTTTGGTTGGCGCACAAGTGCGACGATTTTCGCACGTCCTAAAAGCGGTTTATTTTCAATTTTGTAAAACACTAACAAACTCAAAGCTTCAAAGAGACAATGGTGACGCCATCGCTAAAATTAGCATTCCACGAGGGTCCAAGAGATGTGCGATACTCTACAATGCAATCCCGGGTTAACTATGGGTCGAATCGCTCGTGGTAACGAAATCGCCGTCAAAGACGCCGGAATCTCCACCAAGCACCTCCGTATCGCATCGGTTTCTTCTGGGTAATGGTTGATTGAGGACCTTGGATCTTCCAACGGCACTTTACTGAACTCCAAAGCTCTAAACCCATACACGCCGATATTTCTCCGAGATGGAGACATCATCGAAATCGGTAAGTGTACATCAATCGTCGTCAATTTTGTGACTGATGTTCTAGAGCATAAGCTTCCTAAATCACTGGAAGAAAAGGGTTTGGGTGTAGGAATTGAGGTTGAGCCGATTTCTAGGGTTAGGAAAGAAGATAAGGTTCAGAGAAATTGGAGTTTTGATTCATGTGTGAACGCAATTGAAGTGGAAACTGAGAATGCCAAGAACAGTAATGATACTACTAAAAGGAGCAAGAAGATTGAGATTGTAGCAGAAGAAGCTATAAAGGAGAAGAGTGTTACGATGGCTACTAGAAGCAACAAGAATCAAACTCAAACTCCAAATCAAATGTCTTCCAATGACTTCTCTTCATTCAATGAAGTAAATTTTCTATATTATGATTACACTTTTAGTTTTATGTTCTTTTTTTATTAATCTAATAATAATATTTGTCTCCTTCTGGCAGGAAACTTCAGTTAACAATGGCTCTAGTTTCTCCTTAGGAAGTGTTTCTCCTTCAGCGTTCCACCCGAACCGAGATCAACTCCTTGAAATAGAGAGATTGAGGCAGGAGAGAGACGCTACAATCGAGAAATTGGCTAAGATCCGTCAGGAGTTCGAGGGACCCAACACCTTCTTGGTGTTCTTGCAGAAGAAATTTCCGGATTCTTTTCGGCCAAAGAGATAAATATTTTTCTCTGGTTAACAGATTGAGCCCATGCATGGGAAGTAAAACTCAGGAGGGTTTGCGAGTATTTCAAAGAGCAGAGAAAGAGGTTCAGGTTAAAAGCGTGTTTGTATGTTGAACTGACACACCTGTTTTAGTATAGCATATCACTTCATGAGACAGGCAGCTATAAGTTTTCTTATGATGTGGACCTTTAATGATGTAGGTTTGGCTTGTGTTGTTGGTTTGTTGCTTAGAGTTTTGACTGCAGTGATTTTCTTGCATTTGTTTTGAGTGCGACACAAGCTATGTAGTGAATTGCAGATGTTAGACTCTATCATTAGTTTCGGACTTTTGCCCCGTTTTATAGTAGCCTAGTAGGTATCAACTTTCAAGGACATCATCAACGTAGAGTCGTATATCAGTTTTGATGTATACAAATCTTATTTCATTGGTGATTTTTTCGTGCATTCATTTAACCAAATGCAAATGCTGAAGTCTTTTCTCTTGTTTACGTATGCTTCATGTGGTCAAAGGCAAATGCAAGTTCCTAAGAAGTTTGGTTTTTATTATATGCTGAGACTTTAAGTTTGTGATAGAAACATTTCAAAACAGTTCTAGACATCTGAATACTTCATTCTAGCTTTGAAGTTCAGTAAGATTCTGAAAGATATGTTGATTGCTCCATCATTTCTTTTGTCTCTATTCTGAGCCTGTGCTGTTTTTGTTGTCACAGGAACGCTCATATAGTCATATCATATGTTACACCATTAGTCACACACTCTTTTCATAACATAACCTGTTAAGTATTCTTTTTTTATAAAGACCTCCTGTTAAGTATTCTTGTAACCGTAGTACATGATACAATAGATACATGTAGTACCCTATCGAATGGAGGAGGGGAAATTTCAAAACTACACCTCTTGAGGTGCAAATTTTCAAAAATACACCTCTATGATGTTTATTTTCAAAACTACACTTTTTTCATGGAGTAAAAGAACTCTAAACCCTAAAATATAAATCCAAAACCCTAAAATCTAACATTGAACCCTTAAATCTAAACCCTAAAACCCAAAATCTAAACCCTAATCTAGGATTAGTGAACCCAAACATATATATTAAAATTAGAAAAAGTGTATTTTTGAAAATTTTCACACTATAGGTGTAGTTTTGAAAATTTGCACCCCAAGAGGTGTATTTCATAAAATTTCTCAATGGAAGTATATTATTTCAGTTCCCATTACTTATTAATTTTTTTGATAAACACTTGTACATTCCTATCAGATGATGAAAAATATATTTAGCAAAAAAAAAGAGAGGATAAAATTATATATATGAACGAGCGATAATTAGTAAGAGAACCAAAAAAATGTGATCAATATACAAAAAAAATAAAAAAAAATGCCATATATTTAAAACGTTGATAATTTGGAAGAGAGAAGATCTAAATGAAAAGTGTGATAGATACCAAATCCTGAAAAAAGTACCGTACGCTACCTCTAATAAGAAGTTATAAGAGCTTCGAAAACATATCTAATTTTCAGACCGTGCTTCTAGAATTTTTGGGAACATGATAGATACTACAATCTTTTTTCAATTCATTATAACCTGACATGAGCTTGAAGCTCTAGGCAGAGAAACCAACTCTTTGAGTTTCTTGGATCGCTCCTCGGAGATATATACAGTCTTTAACTGTCTTGCGTTCTTCAAGATGTACGCCACAATTTCCTTCTCTTTGTCTCTCAGATTGTAATGTTTCCACTTGAAAGTGTGTAAATGAAACATCAAACATTCAGGAACTGAACTTGGTCTTCTCCAATGACCTTTAATGGGCTTTACGTCAGTAGTAAAACCTTCCGTGGACCAAGGGTGTTCCTTGCACTAACAAAAGAAACATTATTGTGCGTTAGACCATAAAACTAGAACTTAAGACAATGAAACAGTTGAAAAAAGAAACTGAAAAGCCATGATGTTTTGTTAATGTGCATACCGAGCAGAGCTTGAGAAGTTGTAGTTTAGGAGAAGTTTCAAGCATCCAAGTAAGCAGATCCCACCACCCTGAGGCACTTGCGCATAGCTCCAAATGAAGAAGATGATCAAATCCAATGCGGTGATGAAGCTGCATATGTTAAAAAACATAAGCACAACAGATACAAATGTTATAAATAACAATAAACACAGATTGTTTTTTAGTTACCATTAAAGCGGAGAAACATAAGCTGAGGCGCTTGACTGATGGAAGAGATTCCAGCAGCTTCTCGGGACTTTGGTAATCAACGTTAACAATTGCCTCAACCACCTCAGGCATATTCTCACACAAACACAAATCACCAAAGAAGATCCACAAAGTTCAAATACTTCAAAGACGGGGCACTGATCACAATCTCATAAAGGGGATCATCGCCTTCGGTATATGTATCAAGTATAGATAATCTTTGTAAGCTAGGAACTTCAACGTAGAGAGATTGCGAATTGTCACAGTTATACGTTTTGTCCAACACCAACTCCTCAAGAACAGGGCAGCCTGATAAAAGCATACGGTGAGATTCTTCGGTTTTGTGCTCTACACATATAAGGTGCAATGTTTTCAAGGACGGAAAACAAACGTCGCTAGGAACATCAAGAGTCATCGACGCGGCTAGTTTCAAGACCTCGAGCTTCTCATAAGTATAGAGAGTCTTTGGTAACTCGATTGATCTATGATAACAGTTTGTATCAAAAGTTTCAATTTCACGCACTTCGCGAACCATTCCCATTCTGATCCATGTCGCCAAATCTTCAGAGCTGCAACAAGGACCAACTTTGAACTTCAAAGTTTCTAGAACCGGAGCTCTGTTCAATACCAATGATCTGTCCACATACTTGATGTATTTTCTATACTGGGAAGGGTCCCGTTCCGAACCATAATCAAAATCAAGCTTTGGAAGCATCGTCCAAAGAAACCTCCATCTTTTCGACAAGATCATTGTGGCGACTACATCTTTTGTAGGAAGTGATGAAACAATCTTCAGGAGCAAATCATCCGACAGATTACTGATCCTATCCATATCCAAGCCCCTCCTAACTAAAAACCACCCTTTCGAACTAGAAACCTTTCTGATTCAACCGACAATGCTTGTGGTCACTCCGAAATCAACAAGAAAACTAGACTAAGAAATACTACGAGGAGAAGAGAACAGAACCCAAAACCCTATACCATGGAGATTGCTTCTGTCTCTCTATGCTTTAAAGTTAAACCCAATTTAAATATTTACGGCCCAACTAAACTTAAATACTGTATGTTTATAATTTTGATACTGCCCGTGTGAGCACACACGTGGACTTCATAAGTAAATGAGAATAAATCTCACACGTGCTAAACTCGAAGCTTTCAAAGACCGTGAGAGTGTGAAACAATGGTGACGCCATCGCTGACTGAGATTAGCATTCCACGAGGTCCAAGAGATAGATGGCGAAACTCTACAATGAGATAAACATTTTGCTATACAAATTTCTTCGTCAGAGAGGTACAGTTTTTCTTGTCATGTGGACCTTAATGCTTTAGGCTTAGCCGTGTTGCTTAGAGTTTACTTACATTTTGTTTTTTTAGTGTGACACAACCATCATTGTTTGTCGTCACAGGAATGCTGCACCACCACCAATTAGACACTCTTCTTCTAACAACTTCTTTAAATATTCTTGTAAACCGTAGAGTAGCTTGTATCACTGATGCTAATGTGAAATCTCCCTTTCAGTTTCACCTTTTTGTGTCATTGTCGTTGAAGTACTGATCTCCATGTTTCTTTTAAACTTTCATCAATAACTGAAGACGACTTTACCGTTTGAAGTTGTCAGGATTTTGTTTTGGCCTTTTGAGTCACTGAAAAGACCAAATGTAATAATCTCGTTAACTTTTGTTAGTTAGTTAGCGGTTTCACATGCTTCATCTTATAATCTCATCAACATATTTCATCACCTGTAAGAAAAAGAAAAAAGATAACCTTTCTACGTTTCTAACATTTAATGCTCTCTCTTTTCTTTTTGAAGTTCACATGCTAAAACTCCTAACAGACTCTTTCCTTTTTCACCCCTATATGAATAGCCTCATGTTTGTTACTTATTAGCCTCTAATAGACCACAATTCCACACAAATCCCAAACGATTTAATAATCAAGATTCGAGATCACTCTTCTTTCTTTATGGCTCGGAACAAGCTTGAGTTTCCTCTTGATTCTGATGCCTATGAGATCATCTGCAAGATAGGCGTCGGTGTTAGTGCTTCCGTTTACAAAGCCATATGCATTCCGATGAACTCGACAGTAGTTGCCATCAAAGCCATCGACCTTGATCAATCTCGAGCTGACTTCGACAGTCTTCGCCGTGAAACCAAGACCATGTCTCTGCTTTCTCACCCTAACATCCTCAATGCTTATTGTTCCTTCACCGTTGATCGTTGCCTTTGGGTGGTTATGCCGTTCATGTCTTGCGGCTCTCTTCACTCCATCGTCTCTTCCTCTTTCCCCGACGGTTTACCTGAAAACTGCATTTCCGTGTTCCTCAAGGAAACTCTGAATGCGATCTCGTATCTTCACGATCAAGGTCACTTGCACCGCGACATCAAAGCCGGTAACATTCTTGTTGACTCTGATGGATCAGTGAAGCTCGCTGATTTTGGAGTATCCGCATCGATCTACGAGCCAGTGACGTCCTCCTCCGGAACAACATCGTCTTCTTTGAGGCTGACTGATATCGCGGGAACGCCGTATTGGATGGCTCCGGAGGTGGTTCACTCTCACACAGGGTACGGTTTCAAGGCGGATATTTGGTCGTTCGGGATAACGGCGTTGGAGTTAGCTCACGGAAGACCTCCGTTGTCTCACTTGCCGCCGTTGAAGAGCTTGCTCATGAAGATCACCAAAAGGTTTCATTTTGCTGATTACGAGATTTCCTCAAGTGGGTGTGGTAAAAAGGGTAATAACAAGAAGTTCTCGAAAGCGTTTAGAGAGATGGTTGGTTTGTGTTTAGAGCAAGATCCTGCGAAAAGACCATCTGCGGAGAAGTTGTTGAAGCATCCGTTTTTCAAGAACTGCAAAGGAGTCGAGTTCGTGATCAAGAACGTGTTGCAAGGCTTGTCGAACGCGGAACAGATGTTTTTAGAGAGTCATGTTTTGATCAAGAGTGTTGGAGGTGATGAAGAAGAGGAAGAAGAAGATGAAGAGATAGTGAAGAAGAGGAGAATCAGTGGGTGGAATTTCCGTGAAGAGGATCTTCAACTTAGTCCGGTGTTTCCAACTACTGAATCTGACACATCTGAGTCTAGTCCACGTGAAGAAGATCAAATCCAAGATAAACCGGAAGGGGATAACATCGGCTCTGAGCTCGGTTTAGGGTTTTTAAACCGAGAGAATGCTAATGAGGAAGCTAAGGAACAAGAAACTGAGGTTGTAGGGTTTGATAGAGATCTGATGTTAGAGAAACTGAAACTGTTGAAGAAAAGCTTGGAGCATCAAAGAGCGAGAGTGTCGATTATAATTGAAGCGTTGAGTGGGGAGAAAGAAGATAAGAGCAGAGAAGAAGAGCTTCTAGAGATGGTTGAGAAGCTGAAGATTGAGTTGGAAGCTGAGAAGATGAACACCTTGCTTGCTGAGAAAGCAAGTGATTTGAGTTAACTATTCTAAACATGTTAATATTGTAACTTCTCTATCCTAAAATTAATCATTTGTGTCATGATTTTACGATCAATAGTTATCAATTTATCAGGCCCCAAATTCCATTTAAATTTGGTAGACGAGTTATGCACTGGTCTCACTTTTCTATAATAATAGTGTATTAATTTGATCACCTTCTGTCCTTCTTGATGAAACTATATAAATCCATGTTGCACAACAATTGGCATTACTTTCACCGATCGAGGACCTTGATGTTCTCACAATTTGATCGATCCCAAATGAGTTTTAGTCCCCTTTAGTGTTGTTTGATCCTCATTGTTCCATATATATTGATAATTCGGGATAAAACACTCAATGACATGATTGACATCTCTAAATCGTGCGGTGGGACAATAAACTTCAAAATCAATTCAACGACCCAATTTAAAACTGCAACGATCTCTAATGAAAAAGCGTGCGGGATTCGATCATGGGCTAAAATAGATCAGAAAGTTGGGCCGCAAATGTACGTAATCCAGAATAATTCATCTTGTTTTTTAGGGTTCTAGACTTCTACTTCTAGTCCCACGAATTCGGGTTTGCATGTCATATTCCTATTTTTGGAAACCCCAATTTTTTTGAACATTGGACTGATATTTTATACAGTTATCCTCGTTCTTGTTTTTTTCTGCGAAGAAATTAATTTGTCATAATCTTATAAGAGGGAGTATAAATTAAAATAAATAAATATATAAGGGAAAATTGAATTGAGGGGGTTGCCCGGTTTTAACGGGAGGAAAGGCATATCCACGTGGAAGATGTTGAATCGGTCAAAGCTGCCGTTTTCCTCTTTTGTCTCTTTCTTGTTTGAGTCTTTTGCGCCTTTCCCAGATTTCTTTCCTTGGAAATACAACAATAATCTTCAGTTTTGTTCTTTGCACAAAAAAAAAAAAAAAAATCTTCAGTTTTGTTCTAACTTTTTCTTTGCATGTCTCTTTAGATTGTTTTCATGATCTTCATAAATTTATCAATTTACAATATTAAAGACTCTAAATGATAATTTCGGAAAACTAATATCAGTGGATTATTAATGTTGGACGCTAGCATTAAAAATAACTTTGATAAACGTATGTAAAGCTGTCCTGACATGATCCAACTAAGTACGTTTATTAAAGCAAAACATACCAAAATGGGAAGTGACTGTGATTAACTATAGACTGGATTATTCATGTATAAATCATATTTAAACTTTTACTTTAAATTCGAAACAAGTTTTTATTAGTTATGCAATTGCGAAGTGGGCGATGATGGTGTGTGATGTAAGCCTTGACGGAAATTGTCTAGTTCAATCAAACGAATCAGCTTATTAAGTAGACATTTTAAGATTCCAACCAATCATAATTTAACTTTGTTTTTTGGTAACCAATGATTCTTTTGTGGATAGGGAGTGGCGGTAAACATTTTTTAATATATTGCATAATTAATAAATTAAATTGATCCACAGACAAAGAAAAACGATAAATTAAGATCAATTAGATGTGTGGCAAATAGACGACCCCAGGCATCAACTACTTTTAGAAAACAATAATCTGAGTCTGAGCTATGTACAAGACTGTATTTTATATATGTAGATATATATAATAGATTTGCAAAATTGATATCAGCACAAAATATTTTTATTGTCTAAAGTTTAAACATAAATTTAGTGAAACTAGTAACAAAAAAAAAAAAACTCAAGTTTATAGGGTGGTCAAAATATCATTAACTAGGTTCGGTGGATGCCTATGGTATACCACAGTTTGTCAGAATGAGATTGCGGCTTCTCCAGCTGATCCCAAAAGGTGCAGTGGATTTGTCATTAAAATTGGTGATTTGATAAAGATAAACAATCCATATTTAAGGTGTTATTTACATGAATCTTTTAGCCAGAACTAATCAATGTTCAGAGCTTCTAAACGAATTTATCGGTAAAAAAATTATACTATATTTACGTACGTGTTGTCCCTCTGGTTTATAACTAATACATTATTTATTTTCTATTGGAAAGGAAAAGAGAAAACATGAAAGAAGAAATGAAAATATGTTGCTTCTAGAAAGCACAGGAGTAACATTGCAGAAAAGTTTTGACTCTAATTTTTGTTTTGGCTTTCCTACAATTTGTTTTTTCCATTTAAAAGATACTTTATTCCATTTGTTCACCTAGTCAGAGCCTACATATGTTGTAGACTTGCAGGAGTGTTATGAGAGATACGGTTGGAGAAATGCTATATATATTCTTATACTAAAACGTGGAGAATAGTTTATTTCTGTATATTATAATGCATATTTATAGTTTAACTATGCTTATATATATATATATATATATATATATATATGTATATTTAAATTTATAAAATAAGAAAATAAACTAATCAAAGATAATCTTATTCATGTCATAAGAGGCTTATATGGTTGTTCCTTATATATGTACATGTAGATAGGCAACAACAATTTTGTATTGGTAAGTATCCATCCATATATATAAAAGACAATATAATCACCTTTAATTTGAAGGAAGATATAGGCATTGGGTCAACAAAAGAGGGTATTAACCTTTAACTGTAGTTACTGGAGTAAATTGGTCGGATTAAGTAAGTAATGCTGACTTTTAACTTTGGAATGATGTGACCCCAGCTGCTGTTAATTAATAATTATATATCGTATAATTAAATTATATTAATAGAATAATTATATACGTCCCATTAGCTTTGACAGTTGACACGTGAATTCATGTGAAGATGGTCCTTCATGTTGCGCCATTTCAAGGATCCCCCACTTCACATGACGTGATACATATTTGTATTTAGCATTTACGAAGGTACTAAATTTTTTATTAGTTTTTTCCTTTTGTTCAACATTTTTTTTAGTTTAATGTCCAAGATTTACATATTTTCACTACTTGTCTATTGATATTCGGTCTTAAACATTCTTAGTAGCATTACTAATATATTTATAGGTGTTACGAAAGTAGATTTAAGAGATGATGGTACAATCATAGATGACAATTTGTGTAATTTGGTAATCTTTGTGGTAGAGAAGCCCTTTCCGAAAAGAAAAAAAAGGTTTTGTGGTGCAACGATAAATTGCGTTTACCAGGTTTGAATAATAAACGAAAATTCTTCTGCACTAGTAGCTAACATGTGGAAATATTTTGTACATTGGTGTGATGTTTGTCAGAATTCTTAGTCGACTAAGTTCATATTTTGACCATAAAATTTAGCCAAAAACGAAAATAAAATTTAAAATAAGTAATACTTTTGGGGCCTTAAGGTTACACAACCTTTTTGATTTTTGCATATGTTTCCAAGTTTTGCAAATTAGAACAAAAAAACTAAACGAACCTTGAAAAGGCATTATTATTATCATTCTCCCAGTAGTTTGCGCACCGTATTTTGACATGGCTGGACTGTCTAATTGTACATCAGTACAAAAATGGCAAAGAGTCTAGATTACATGTTCTCACTGAAATTTTAGCGATATCAAATTTTCTTAATTGGAGTATTCCATGTTTTGAAGAGTGGAATGAGACTTTAAGAGGACTCGGCTAAATACCACGTGATCATATATACAATTTTCTTGGTGTCAATTCTAGCTAGGCTGCCTAATTTGAAGGAAGTCAAATAAATTGCTTAATTTGTTTCACTGAGTAAACTAAATTAACATGAAAAGAACTGAACTTGACCAGGCGTATTCCAATTTCTCGATGCATTTAGCTCATATAAAGAGACTGGTTAACACAACTTCCTCAAAATCGGTTTCCAAGAATACAATTATTTTATTAGTACTCATATAGAGTATATCCTTTTAGTTAGTCAACAAAATTCTTAATACCCACTCTCATTATTTGGTTGGTAAAGTCACTAACTAATCCCTCAATAGCATCATTACCTGAAGATTAAAGCTCAACCACTATGATAATATAATCACTAATGGTGCGACTGCAACCTTAACTATAAAATGCTCACGAATCAGAACTAATAGCATATAATACTATAAACCTCTATCGGAAGGCACTAATTTAGCACACACAGAAAAAAATAATATATCGAAAAGCACAGATCATAGCCAATGCTCTCCGATGTTCCTTCATCGTTGAACCAGCATTATATATACAAACATGATTTTTTGCAAATCATTGTAAACTGTAAAGTATCTTGAGCACATAATCAAACACATACAAATATAGTAGTTAGGCACTACTAAACAAAAATGAAAAGACAAATATTCTAAATTTACAGTACACTGTTTATTCATTTCAATAATTTCTTGCAGTTGACTAATACTCCGAAAGTTCCTTTATTCCATCTCTTTTTTAACCTTCCAAGCCCTATGCATGTTTGCACTTTCCATCAAGAACAAACAAGCAAAGCTTTGGAATACAAAGACTACCTCAAAATCAAATATATATTCATATAGAAAATGGCTCACTGAGTCAGTATGGTGGTCGCGCGTGGACCCACGTATACGGTTCGTGCCCTAACTCTCCAGCTCCATTCGGAATCAGATGTTGCGGTATATTGTAGCCCGGTCCCACCATCACCGACGGATCAGGTAGGCTACTTCCAATTCCGGGCGGCGAGTCACCACCTCGGTGAATCTGTCTTGAGCCGCCGCCGCCGCCGCCCCCACCGCCAGCTTCTTCCTCTTCTTCCATAGGCAATCTCTCATAAGTAGCGTTTGAGAAAGTGGCAGCAATCACCATCACCGACCCTATGGCCACTAGGGGTCCGACGACGCTACCTCCAACAACTTGACCCTGGACCCCGGCTAAGTAAACCGTTAAACCAGTTGACCCGGGTGGGGCAGGTCCGGGGAGGAAAGCACCGGTTAAGGATAAGATCTCGAATCTTCCTTGGAGTGATACGACCCCTCCTGGTGCGGCGGCTTGACGGAGGGTGACGTTAGCTACTGAGCCTGTTCCGCTTAGAACGCAAACACCGCGCTGTCTGCGTCTTGAGAAGTGAGCGATTGTGTCGGCAACGTCGCTGCCTTCGGAGATCTCCATGACATGGCTACGGAGTGCGTTGGGGCTGTCTCTTGTCACAAAGATTGGAGCCTTCGGTTTGTTTTTGGATCCTGGTGGTCTGCCTCTTGGTCTGCGGTTAACCACCTCGACCGCTCCATCTCTAGGGTCGTCTTCTTCGTCGTCTTGATCATTTTCTTGGCTCTGGTTCATGGCTATTCCAAGATCGCCTTTGGTAAGAAGACTTTGGTGGTGGTGGTGGCCGGAGGAGGCTGAGTGGTCTACCATACCGGCTAAACCACTCTGGTTCGTCCACCAAGGGTTTGCCATAACTGCCTTAAAAATTGGAAATTCACTAAAAGAAAGATCAAGGAATTGTTACCCTGATTATTTTCTTTGAAGGGATTGGCTTCTAGGGCTCCAAAATTCACAAAGTCTAAAGGTATGTATTAGCTCTTTCTTGGAAATTTTATTTTCATCATTTTGATTTCTCTAACTTCATATGGATTTCAGAATTGTTGATAAAGAAGGCGGAAAAAAAGCTAAGGTAGGAGAATTAGATGCAGTTGTGGAATAGAACTAGAATCAAAGCAAAGCAAAGGTATTAAGACTTTGATTTTCTTTCCAAGAATCAATCTCTCTTCCCACGAAGAAGAGGCAGAGAGAGAAAGTGGGCAATAATTTATTTTCCACAAGTTAGACCAAGTATATTATTTATATAGGGTTTATATAGAATCCAAGAACACAATACTTGCAATCTTTTTTTCTTTTTTCTATATGTATACGATGGACCCATTTATGCGTCTATTTTAAACCAACAGTGAATTTAATACATGTTTTGCCAAAGTCCTACTCTCAATTATAAAGACCATAACGTATTAAATGAAATCATCTTACATTTTCCCACCATAACTTTTTAGAAAGTCATAGTAACAATTTTGCACTTCTATTATTGAGACTGCCTAAAAAGGCCATAAATATGTCTTGGCTTTCCTTTCTTTTTTTGGTTATTACATGCTACGATAGTTTAGGAAAGGCCGGTCACAACTAATTTCAGAAAACATATTAATGTTGATTCTCTGATAAGCTTGTAAAGGAAAGTAATAAACAATTGTATTGGCAGCATAAACAAAAACAAAAACAAAAATGTGGGGAACAAGACCAAAGGCGTTGCTCGGTGTTTAAGTCTTTAGAAAGAGATAAAAAATGTTGTGTGTTGGAATGTTGTGGGATAGGGAGCTAGGATCATTTTCTTCATCAATAAGAGAGGTAACATTAACATAATAAGAGAGGTAACATTAACATGATAATATTACATCGTTGTTAGAGCAGAAATTAGCACAATTTCCTGAGCCCGTCACAATTAATAATACTATGTAAGTCCGGCCCTTCCACTTCCACCTCCTCAAAGAAAAGGAAGTACTTGGAGAAAAAGACTACATCAAGAAAAATAGAAGGAGATCAACGCCAAAGAAGAATATTTCCAAAAGAAATATGGAAGAATATCTTGAGGAAGCCAACCTCCTCTCCATATAAATAGAAGACCCCCTATTCCTTGAAGACCATTCAGAATCATCCAGAAATTCTCCACAATCACTGAGAGCAAAGAGGCAAAACCCTAGTTATAATTCGTCCTTTGTTCTTAGTTCTCTATTCTTTTCGTATTCGTCTCGTCACGCTTTTCGTCGAGACGAATCACCCCTTGTATCATCTTTGTCTTTGGTTGATTTAATAAAGAGTCTCTCCTAAACCTCACATCTCTTATCTTACTATTATTGTGTGATTTTGAGATTAACAATTGGCGCCCACCGTGGGGCTGGAGAAAAAACTCTGAAAAAAGTCAATCAAGGTTCAAAGATGGCACCTCCAGCTGATGATCCCAGCATCAGAACAGGCGGACTGCAAAGTCAACTCGGCGCAGATGGAAACCCCATCGTCCATCCCGTCGAAGTCGACGCGACCAACGGTCACGTCAACCCTCCGCCGCCACCGGTTCCTGACGTAGAAGCTCCCGTCACGACCGCCGCGTTAACCGCCGCCATGCAAGGCTTTGCTGCTCAAATTGCTTCTCAATTCGCCGAGATGCAAGCTCAGCAGCAAAAGTACAACGAGCCCGAGAAGACACCGATCTCGTCATCATATACGAAATCGAGCGGTCTCGTCATCACACGAGCCCGATAAGACACCGATCTCGTCATCATATACGAAATCGAGCGGTCTCGTCATCACACGAGCCCGAGAAGACACCGATCTCGTCATCATATACGAGATCGAGCGGTCTCGTCATCACACGAGCCCGATAAAACCAATCTCGTCGAAGCTCGAATCCGAGAAAAATCGTCACAGCAATCTATTCTCCTTGACGAGACAAAAGAGTCATCTCGTCAAGTCCGAGAGAAATTATCAAAAGCATATTCTATTTGCGGACAAGATTACGTCACTGTACTCTTTTCCCTTCTTATGGTTTTTATCCCATAGGGTTTTTCCATATCAAGGTTTTAACGAGGCAGTACGGATCTAAAGTCAATAACGCAACGCAGCATCACGTCAGCGCAGCATCGCGACAGCATCGGCATCACATAGTTATTATTAATTGCTCTTGAGCTCCTCTTTTATACATGAAGTTCGCCGAGATTAAATTGCATTTATCTCGCCAAACTGGGGGGGACTTATTGTTAGAGCAGAAATTAGCACAATTTCCCTGAGCCCGTCACAATTAATAATACTATGTAAGCCCGGCCCGCTTCCACTTCCACCTCCTCAAAGAAAAGGAAGTACTTGGAGAAAAAGACTACATCCAAGAAAAATAGAAGGAGATCAACGCCAAAGAAGAATATTTCCAAAAGAAATATGGAAGAATATCTTGAAGAAGCCAACCTCCTCTCCATATAAATAGAAGACCCCCTATTCCTTGAAGACCATTCAGAATCATCCAGAAATTCTCCACAATCACTGAGAGCAAAGAGGCAAAACCCTAGTTATAATTCGTCCTTTGTTCTTAGTTTCTCTATTCTTTTCGTATTCGTCTCGTCAAGCTTTCGTCGAGACGAATCACCCCTTGTATCATCTTTGTCTTTGGTTGATTTAATAAAGAGTCTCTCCTAAACCTCACATCTCTTATCTTACTATTATTGTGTGATTTTGAGATTCAACAATCGTTTTGATAAATCAAGAAATAAAAGAAACTTTGATTAGTTTTTTTTAAAGAGATTAGCATTGGAAATTAGGGTTAAATAAGTGGGGTATAGTGCGCGTGAGCATTGAGGTGGTGGGGAGCACGTCATTTTCACTTGCCCCGACGTCTCCACTTTCGACAAGTCTCACCTTATTTCTATAATAAGATATTCACATATTTTGCTTAGCTAATACTATGACGGACATGATTACGTTTAAAGATATTTATGTACAGCTAACTAACTTCTTGTCTAATTAGCAAGTCTGTACTTGTTAGATGTGATATGATATGAGATAAACTTAAGTGGCCAACAGTTAAACGGTTCACATATTAGGAAGTGCAATATGCATGCAAAACCACAATTAAAGAAGCTGACTGGAGAGCTAGATTGGGATTTACCTATCAAAATGAGGGAGTTTGCCATAAGGTTTTAAGGATATTAAAGTTTTGTTCCAAAATTTGAATTTTTAAACGAACATTATCTTAGCCTGCACAGAATGTACATTTGAACATAAACTCAAAATATAACCTATCAAAACGATCGGCAAACATCTATAGTGAGAGTTGCATCGAAAATGTATACAGCGAAAATAGTTGAAATTTCCCATAAAGCCAATGTTGTGTGAACACGTGATATTTATAAAATCTAGGGACAAAGAAGCAAGTCTCATACAACAGACTCGCATGGTCGGTCTGCAAAGTCTGAACATGATTTGTCCTAGAAATACATGCCAAGTTGTATTCTATCCCCTTCGTTTTTTATGAATTTTTTAGTTTTTTCACACATATTAAGAAAAAGTTAATTTTCAATCATTAGTGTTTTAATTTTTGCAAAATAACAACTTTCTATAAATTTAAACCAATAAAAATTTAACAAATCTAATTATTATTTCTTGGAAACTGAAAAAAAATACTTTAAAAAATTAAAAATTTTATCTTTGTAAAACAATAAAAAATGTCTAGAAAATTCATCTTAAAAAAACAGAGGGAATAATAAATAAATTTTGTTTATCCATATATTATAGGGTTTTGTGAACATTATAAGTTCAAATATAATTTACTAAAGAACATAAGATTTATATATTTTATAAGTTTAGTTGTGGTTTATGTGAGATACAACAACAAAAATGTTAAATTTTATAAAACTCAACAAGCTAATTTTATCAAGTTAATGCTAAACGCCTAAACCATAAAACAAGTTTTAGGGATACTGTATGTAGAATGTTAAATCGTATAGGAACAAAAATCTACAGAAATATCAAACAACTAATTAACCTGCTTGTTTTGTTTCTTCTGTGTGAACCATTTGCTCCGCAGCACTTATTATGTTGATACATATAACCTATCCATGCCTTAATTTACGTAAATGTAAAGATGATTTGACCAAAAACCGAACCATTGGAAAATGTACATATCAACTTGTCAATTTTTGTCAACTTGTTACCTAAAGTGGCAAAAATCAAATTCTTTTGTAGTGTTCTGTCAACTTGTGATTTTACCCAAATTTGTTTTCAAAAAATTAAACATTTTGAACGAAACGCAGTAATGTGTAGCAAATGTCAGAGTAAATCAATATGCACGACGGCATTTTCGTCTGAAAACTTCTGAAATTTGGTTTCAGAAATCAGACTGCCACAAGTTCTTTTTTTCTTCTATCAATTATTTTGATACAAGTGCTAAACTTTTCCACATAAACCAAAAAATTAAACTTATCAATCAATTTAAAGCTTTTTTTAGCAGACAAAATTGTTAAACACGATCCAAGACTTTGTTGGTTTGTGATCAAATAGTTGACAACTCATAAAGAAGCTTTTACTACATTACATGAAATGACATTGAGATGATTCTGCTTCGGACAAACAAGTGTCTCTATCTACCATTTTTCTTTCGGTTCACCAGTCTCTCTCACAATCTCTTTCTTTGTCTTGTGTTTCAACAATGGGTCCCTTTGACTTGTTAACTCTGTCTGCATCACTCAGTCATCAGGAGAAACCCAAAAACTGAAGAAATTGTTTCAGCAGATTCCGAAATGATGTAAACATTATACTTTCTTCTTGTATTTAACTTCACCCTCTGATGTATGTTAATAGCCTGCACAATCCAAATGATCGGTTGTGTTAAGTAGACCGTAAAAAAAATCAAGTGGTCAGATAATTATATGAAGAATCAATTTACCTAATTAGGTAATACATGATCAAGAACAAGAGCACGAAATACGCAATGAGTTTGCAGCTTCTTCGATTAGATTTCTTCTCGAAGACCTGTCATGTTATTTGTTTAGATATACAAGTTTGATAGTGAGATTGCATATGAAGTTTTAAGCGTAATGAACATACCAACTTGAAACGGTTGATTGTTCCTGACATTATTCCCCTTGCTGAGTCCATTTTGTTCCCCTAGAGACATGCGAAAACAAATAGCTCAGAAGAAAAGCATGTAACAGAGCAAACTGAAACATATGAAATCAAAAGCTTGAGCCCTACCACTTTGTCAAGCAAGCGGTTATGATTCTCAACTTCTTCATGTATGTCTCCGGTCACCTGATAAGATATCATTGCTAACTTCTTATATCTCAGGCAAAGGGCATATTGCAAGCTAGAGATATCACAGAGCAAAAGGAGACTTAACAGTAAAAATGAAAAACAGAAAATAATTTATCTTTATGACCAGACTTTTTCGAATTTTATGCTCGGCTAGTCCAAAAGATTCAACAGGATAACATCACAAATCATAACAAAAAGGCATTGTATTTATGGCTAGACTTTTCGAAAGCAACAGATCATAGCTCGATGCTCGTGGTCTAGTATTAGAAATGCAAGAAGATCATTCTCAAACAATTCAGATCAGTGTCCCAAGTAACAGCACTAGCTAATTCACAATCAAGAATAACAGAGTCGAAAACATTTATAAACATGATCTTTGATTCTTTCTCGAACAATTCATACTTGGGAATCCACCAGCCAATTTAACAATCAAAGATGTCAAAAACATTGCTAGATCTTAGTTTTTTTTTTTTGCTTGTAAGTGATGATCATTGATTCTTAGTTCTAGAGATGAAAGAGCATACTCTCTTGAGAAATGAAACTCTGTCCTGCAGATTTTCCAATGCTTCATCATTGTCGCGTTCGCTGGTATCATGAGGATACGAAGAGGAAGCTCTCAGGCGACCTTCCTCAAGCCCGTCAAGGCCGTCGAAGAGAGACGATCTTGAGGCACGATTCTCCCTGCAAAAGTAGAATCGTTTGTTTCTTAATCAGAACCATTTTTTCCTCAAATTCTACTTCGAAGCAGATCCAATGAAAAAACTCTAATTCGAATCGAGAATTCGAAAAACCCTGAAGGTGTGGGTGTGTCGGTGATGCAAAAACTAAAATTTCCAGAAAGGATTCTGAGCATTGTGAACAGATCTGGATGAAATTCGATCGGAAAGGTGTGAAAAAGACCAGAATTAATATATAGCATGAGAGTTGTTAAATCGATTGCAGTGAGAAGGTGCGACGAAATTGGATACAGAGAGAAAGGGATCATCATATATACCTTCGATAGTTCATATCTCGCACCATCATTTGTTGCGTCTTCGCTTACGAAGGACTCACCATCACAGAGAAATCAGAGCATTGCGACTGGATTCTCTCGATTGTTCGGATTCAGTTCCAGAGACGCAGAATTTCGTGTTTGTTTGCTGAGAAACGTGCGAATTGCGCGAAAGCTCCGTGCGAATTGTTGCAAGTCTCGAGAAGAGGGAAAGAGCAGAGCTTGTTGGGCCTAGTCTGGCCTTTCGGGTAAATTTGGGAGACTGTGAACATTAATTCCTCTACTTTTTTTTTTTTTAATTCCGCAAATAATTCGTCAATTTTTAAGTTGGAAAATTAATATCAACTCTTAGAATCATAGGAAATTTTTTTTTTTTTTTTTATTTAAGTTTTTTCCACTAATATAAGGCAAATCAATTCTCAGAGTTGATATTAATTTTGGCAAATTAATGCATAGGAAAAATGGCAAGGAGCATAAAGTAACCAAGTGAGGGGACTCCACAACAAAAATTGTGCGTGACCTAAATGAACGTCATCGTATTGAATGGAATACTTCACCTGGAGTTGATTGTTCAAGTTCATCATCTGATTCATGTCCATAGACCATAGAGGCATATATTAGACGACTGTGTCCATCGAGCGAAAGAAAATACGGTGGTCCATATATAACACACCACAACATTATAAAATTACGTAGAACGGTTCTTTTGACTAGTCAATATTATTATAATTTAAATCTATAGATATTCTTAGTTTGTTACACTATTCATTATGAGTCGTTAAACGCGCGTTGGGTCGTCAGATCTACTAAAATGTGAGACGATTTAAACCGGAATAAACGGTTGGACAAACATGGCTTGCGCGTAGTCGTAGCAGAACGGCACCGCCGGATGTTGCCATTTCCTGAAAACCGGCGTTTTCTTCTCCTCCTCCTCCTCCACCACAGGTTTCCCAGTCTTTTTCTGTGGCGGATGAACATGCGATTGGTCCAAGGACGACGTTGGCGAGGGTGCGAGTGGCGAGAGGAGAGGGATCGCCACGTTAACGTTACTAACCGACACAAGCTCAATCTTTAAAGACGGAGCTCGTTTATGGAGTCGGTTAGGTTGCTGCTCATTTTCTCCGCAAGTGCTTGTTATCGGCATCGTCGAGGCCATGGAGATTTAGATAGATTCGTGAATTTAGTGGGATAATTAGAGTTTCGTAACTGAGGATATTTGATTGTGGCGTGTGATGTATATCGTATGTTTTGCGTGTAGATAATATATAGGAAATAGAAGACACAACATGACAACATGTTGACTGCATACACGCGTGGGTTTGGTCAAAGAGTTGAAGAGAGAAATTAGCTGTTTTGGCTTTGGCTGGGTCGCCGACTGTTTATAATTTTCTTGGGACTATTCTTTGTGATCACTTTGACCATTTTCTCTGTTTTTTAAATTTCTTTCAATTGTATGAAGTTCTCTACAACTTTTAGCTCCATAACAAAGGAAATGGTCCCTGTTTCATATGACTTGGCTGAATTTGATTTATTTACCTAAACTTTGTAATGTGTTTGACTACTAGTTGTGTGAAACTGATCGTATTTAGGACAAGTTGTTGAATTGGTTGTATGCTTAACCTAAAATTGATCTATACAAATTATGTTTGCGAAAACAGATCGTTTTTTTTTCTGTGCATCACAAATTAATGAATACATTTAGCGATCTACTTGACGTGTTGTGTTTTGAAATCCTCTGGCAAAAATATGATTTGTTTCCTTTTTTTCTAAAATAAAGAAATAATGAATACTCATAAAAGAAAATGATGCATATTTGTAAAAAGGAATATAAATCAAACTAAAAGAGGGAATGTTTGGAATTTCATTAATATAAAGCTTATATCACCAAGATTTTTTTTTTTTCCTTTTTTTTATTAATTTTCTTTTTTTTTTGGAAAAAGGGCATTATATCACGAGAAATTTGAAAAACTAAAAAAATTTGATGTACAAAGTAGTATTCAAATTATCCTTTTTTCTTCCAGTTTTCTCCCTTTTCTTTTTTTTTTTTTTGTAGTAGAGTACTTTTTCATTAAAAACATAAAAAGAGATTTGAGGCCTATCATTGTATTACGCAGATCAGCTTTTCTGTCGAGAAGTGAAACAAACAAAAGCATGGAAACTCCTAATTCTTGCCTCTGGTCGAAACTCCCTATTGACATCGTGACATATCTGTTGGAGCGTTTGAGTCTTTTGGATTTCCACCGCGCTAAGTTGGTGTGTTCGAATTGGTATGTGTGCTCGAAACAAACGGCGCGACCAAAATACGGATCTCCGCTGCTGATGCTGTCTCCAGAAGGGGATGGTTGTTGTATATACAGCCCAGACGAAGATAGGTTTTACGAGACAAAGATAGACTTTTCAGGGATTCGAATCCTTGCAAGCTCAGGTAAGTGGTTCCTGGTGGCAGATTCTCGATTAACACTCTTTATTATAGATGTGTTTGGCGCTAAGAGGATCGATCTTCCACCTCTAGAGTCAATCAAGGGTGGCCGTTTTAGACTCGAGCGAGTAGGAGATAATAGTTTCAAGGAGAGATTAGATAATAATAGTGCACCGTTTTTTTTTTTTCAGACATCCGGAGATCTGAGAGGTTTTTTATGGGTAGACGATAAAAAGGAATTAGAGTACGTTGTTGTGTGGTATATTAGAAACAGTGTTTCTAGTCGTTTAGGCTTTTGCAAGAACGGACAAGATCATTACCGAGAGATTTCAACAAAGGAATTTGAGATTTCTGATATGGTACTCAATGGTTACATGCTTTACGTCCTTACGGACCGTGACTACATCCGAGTGCTGGATTTGTCTGGAAAAGAAGTTTTCAAGGAATTGTCTCCGAGTGATAAAATACAAATGCATGAGCTAGGTCGAAAGAGCGGTGAAACCACAGATGATATCAAAATCTCAGCTAGCAATAATATTGTTGTTACAACATCAGGAGAGGTTTTTTTGGTACGTAGCGTCCGCTACAAGTCAAGTAGGGTTACCTTCCGCCTCTACAAGAGGGATCTTAATCCATACCCGAATGGTCGTTTTCGTCTCTCCTCCACCAAGCTTGTTGAGGTTGATTCTCTAGGTAATGAGGCGCTCTCTATGGATTTGGGTATCACCGTCCCTGCTGATCATACTCTTGGTATCCAGCCAAATTCTATCTATTTCACCCGTCATGACCGTATGTGTCGTAAACCTAAAAGTTACCGGGTGAGTCCACCCCCGAATATATGTGTGTTCAATCTGGAAACAAAGACCCTTAAACACTTCTCTGCTCTCTCCAACTTAAAGCTTAAGGATGCTCTATGGTTTTTCCCGTCTTAGATTTGTTTATTTCTGCAATTTGGTGTTCTTGAGAGATTTCGATTTTTTTTTGTCTTCTCTTGTGCTATTTTCCTTTATATTACTATGTAATGACTTATTTGAAAATAATTATGATCTTAGGAAACATCACAAATTAAGTCATCTCACTGAACATAATTGCTGGCTTGATATTATGATACATACCTTCACTACCATTAATGTTACTGGCTTGCTGTACCAACATGTTGTTAAAGCATGTAACTTCTTTTAGACCAGTTCTTACGAAAAATAAAATTGCACTGCTGCTTTTCAAGTATATATATTGTCACATTTTGTAACACCTTTTTAGAAGTGATTGGTTACATGGAATGCTATGCGGTGCATTTCATCTTTATCCACATGCACTATTTTCAGTCACCAATTAAACCATAGAAAAAGTATCAAACGTCAAGCTGTAAGTGTTATAGAGTGCCAAATTCATCCAACAGAATTTATTATTTAAATAATTATGTAGCTAAATGTTATCTCTCATACAATACAAGAAAAAAGGTAGTTTTGACCGGAATCCTGACTAAAACATGTCGGATGAAAAAAATTATATAACCACTATAAATTTGTGCACCAGATATTTTTTACTATAGTTGTTTGGTCGAAATGTGGTCACAAAGACCGATTTCTGATCATTTTTAGACCGATTCCATGGTCAAAATTTTCTTCTTTTTTTTTTCTTGTAGTGAAAGTTTTTAAAGAAATGTATTTAGTCATGGGTGGAACTTGTATTTACATAAAATGTCAAGAGAATTTTCACAAAATGTATTCAATTCTGAGCAAAACTTGTAATACATATAGTCCGAAATAAAGAATAAGAAAAAATGTTTATAATATATTTGTTGTACTCGGGGTACGAAACCTACGTACCCATGTAATTTTAGGATAAAGGCATAAAGCTAAAATGTAGTTCATTTAAGTATCAATGTTCCCAAAATAAAAACAATATTGCTACCTAAAAAGAAATCGTAAGGATATGCTTGTGATGCTCGGTCTTTTCATAATAATGATAATTAAGGTGAAAGTCCAGGTTTTTCTATCGATGTTCTACTTCTATTCGATCAAAGTGAACACGACTCTCATGATTGGCTGGATTGCGCTTTTGAAGAGAATTTTTTTATAGGGAGGTTACCCCCTCCTAAGTTATTCTCTTAATTAGCTTTTTCTGATAATTTAATTTGGTTTTGCCTTTTTTCTCCTTCCAAAATTAGGCTTGTTTGCATTGTGGTTATCATGATGGAAGAAGATGGAGATGGGGAACATATTTCTACAATGTAAGTTGTGATGTGTTATTGTTAGTTTAAATTGTTATGGTGATCCTAATCTAGTGTAACATATAATTAGTTTTTTTTTTATTAATAAGGAAAAAAATTGACGAAAGAAGAAATAAGAGGAACACATTAACAAAACATAAATAAAAAACATAAGCATAAGTATACTAGTTTGAAACTTGTTTTTTGCTTCTTTCAAAGTAGTTATCTTTTTTCAGGATTTTAGCTTTGGCACTTGCATTTATTAAATTAACTCGGACCACAGAAATGAATCTAATCCTATCGAGATTGGATTTTAGCTTTGGCACTTGCATTTGTTAGATTAACTCGGACCACAAAAATAAATTAAAAGTCCACTCAATCTCTAGTAAATGCAGCTCCAATTGTTTTTAAAAATCTCTTGGTCCGAATCCTTCAATATCGTTGGGCTGAGAGCCTGCCAGTTTGCTCTGTTGATAAAAATCAAACGTAAAATCGGGTTAAGATCCGAAGAAATCGGCAATGATTAAATTTGAAAAGTCAACGATGACAGCCTAAGCTATAAAACAAGAAACAAAAATGACAGCCTGATCGCGATCGATCCACACTATTCCACTAATCACATCCGAATATTTTTGTAAATATTATAAGAGCATGTCCAGATATTATTAATAGTCTCAAAAATATAATACTAATATTTTAAATTTCGTTTAATTATAATATTTAAATTTAAGTTAGGAAAAAGATAAAAACCAATACCAAGAGAGACTCTCCCTTCCTTCTCTCTTTCTTTATATTATTTTTATTAATTTTTTAATATCTGAGACACTATCTCACGGCTGAACATGCTCTAACAAGTTGAATAAATGAAATAAACGTGAAGACGCAAATCGGTAAACACAAAGGAAATTTCTATATAAAAAAGTCATAAATGAGCAGCCGCAGAAGATTTGTAAACAGAGCAATTACTATAAATAAAACAGCAAAGTATAATTTCCACATTTGCAAAAACACAAAGGCAACGACTTTAATGGCTTCCAATCATCTTCTCACCGTCCTACTCGTACTCGTCTCGGTCTTTCTAACTTCCGGACACTCTCTTTCCACAAGAGATGCTGTCATGAAGTAAGAACACCTCAGAAATCCTACTTTTCCGTTGTTTCATATGCAAACATGCAACTATATATTTACAAACAAATTCTTTTTTTGCTCTCTGTTTAATTAGACAAGACGATGAATCATATCTTATGGCTACGGGTGATCAAGGAACGTTGATGATCGTTGTTGAAGATCAAGCGAAAGCTCGAAGTCTTCAAGCTCTAGTCACTGGCTCAAAAGTGGTTGCGGTTTCTAAGGAGTCTTCATCCACGGGTAAACAAGCTTCTCTAAACTAAAGAGAAAAAACTGCTTCATTTTTTTTTGGTTTTTTTTTCTTAATCCTTTTAGAACCTTAACTGTATTTGATACGATATACAGTTTTTTGTCATTAAATAAAAATTATATATATATATATATAGCAGGTACGAAGAAGAGAAAATATAGCAAAAAAGCAACCGTTGCCTGGATCATAGTCGCAGTTATTTTGGGTACCTTTCTGATCACCTCTGCTATATATTATTGTTATCTGAAGAACAAAACAAGAAAGGCTCAAGGTACTGAACAAGGTAACTCAGTACCTTGTATATTTTTTTTCACTAGATGATTCTCCCGCAAAGTTTTACTATATTCTTTTTACAATGATATTTAAAAAATAAATTAATAGCATTCATTTACTCCATCCGTTTCATAATAAGTATTATTTTAGCAAAATGTATATGGACAATAATTAGATGTATCTCGACAATAACAAGTGTTATTTTAAGTTTAATACATTCAAATACATTCAAATACATTGAATTTTTATTTTGCTTAAATGACACTTATTATGAAACGGAGAAAGTATTTATAAATGAATTATCTATTTTGTGCAAATAATAGTATAGATGAAATGTCACTAATTAATTTTCACCAATGCATTTAAAAGAGAGAAAATTACATAAAGAGGCACTTTCCAAGAGTCTTATTACAATTAAAGGCACTTTTTACTCCAAGGTGACTTTGCCCACTTCTTCTTCTCTTTCAAAAAATAAAAATTCCAAAATTGCCCTTTTTTAATGTTTGTTTTATTTCCCCTTCATTTTGTTTTTACTCTTCTATGTGTTTTTGAGAAACTTTTTACCATCACCGGAAGAATTTGCTGGCGTTGCAGGCTTCTGTACGCACCACCGCTACCGTAGTTAACGAGGTCCAAAGTTCCGAGGAGAACTCACATTCGAAGAAGAGATGGGAATGGGTTTCTATCCCTTGAGAGCAAAGGATGCACTCAGCAGGAACATCAACCCCCACCTTCTTAATCTATCCCTTGTTGGCAAACGTAACAGAACAGCCAGCCAAGTAATAAACGAACATCGTGGGATTTCCTCTTTAAACCATACAACTTTCTCCCATGGAACCGTCGGAGACAGAGTGCGAAGGAAGTTCCAAGTAGATTTGGAAGAGAAGTTTGTGTCAAAGGAACCTGCCGAGTTCCTCCAAAGATAGCGATCTGGTCCTCTGTTTTGAGCAGGAGGATCCATAGTTGTTAACACAATTTGCAGAGTTTCAGCCTCAGTTGATCGGGCAGGTGGGATCCACCATCTCCCATCCTTTGTTAGCCCTTGAGACTGTGGCGTTCAGCGGGATCCGAAGGTTTCGTGGTCCCGATTGTCCCATCACCAAGAGTAACTGTCCCATATCATTCCAGTAGTCAAACCAGAAAGAACCTCTATTCCCATCACCAATTTCACAGCGCAAGAGATCCATCAGATCGTTCTTTAGCTGGAGCATAGAGCGGATGTTCCTAGATATACGATTCGAGTCCTCTGTTAACCAAAAACCCTTCCTTCCGAAAACATGAGCCTTGACCCAAGCGACCCATAAGGAACCTGAGTTTGAGAACAGATTCCAAATTTGTTTCAGTCTAAAAACCTTCTCATACTCCTCCAAGAGTCTGATCCCCAATCCTCCTTCAGCTTTGGGCTTACATACATCTTTCCAAGCGACTCGTGCTCCTCTTGCCGATTCAGTTCTCTTCTTCCAGAGGAACGCCGCACATAGAGAATCAATTTTTGCATAGAACTGTTTGGGCAGAGCAAAGACTGAACTCCCATGAAGTCGTGGACATAATACTGTGAATATGAAGTCGTGGACAAGATAACATGTACATATTTAGCTCTCTCATTATCTTGGTCTTTTAGCTAATTTCTTAGGCCTCTCTTTCTTTGAGTTTCGCTCATAACTATTTGTATTGCCTTTGAATATTTTTTGTTTAAAAGCTTTCGAGACATCAAATTTGTAAATTTTCTTCTTTTCGGTTCTTTTAAAGCTTGTATATATTATATATATTTTTCCCAGTGTATGAGATTTGTATCATTCATCTTGATCGATGTGCATTTCTGCATTCAATGAAACGTATATGTTAATGAAAGAAATTTAGTCCACGATTTGTTGTTTTTGATTGTACTACGAGATGGTCAACTGATCCTCATACTATGGACAACTGAATCTTAATAGATGTCACATCATATTAATTATATTATGTAAAAACACCCATATGGCAGTTCTTAGGGTAGCTGTCATATGAACGGCTTCACATGGACAAGGAAATGAAGAGAGACCACGATTGCTTAATTCAGAGAAGGAGTCCCACTTCTGCTGCTAGTTGGACGGAGACTCTGTACAAGAAGACTTATCCATATAAGAATCTTTCGAAAGTTCAAGGTCCTTGTCCATGGACTACTATACATTTTGATCACCAATTTTTTCAACATCCACCTGAGCAAGTGGTGTAAGCATGGATATCCGAATGTATGTCATGGATATGCATGTTGTACATAGATACAAATGATAACCATTACAACATACGAAAACCATTGCCATCACATTCTGCACCTGACAAATTGCCAACCACATGTGGCCAACATTACATGGACAGCTGAGCGTGGATAAAATAAGATTTTCACCCATCTTTCTCCGTCAGCTTATCCATTATCAAATTCTATGAGAAATCAGAAATTTGCCTAGCTCCCTGAAAGCAGTTACATCATAAATAAAGAGAAACTAGTTACATGCAATAATCCAAGAAAATCAGACTATAGGTCACGATGCTTAAGAAAAGAGGAAGGAAATAGAGAATCGTCTCACCTTCCATCACTTCCTCTGTTCGTGGTTCAGACAATTGAGAAGACGATGGGATCTCCAACGGGTTTAGTCGAGTGATAGACGGCGAAGAAGCAAGATGTTTGAGGCGGCGTTGTTGATTTCTCTGAACAGCCCATAATCCGTTGATTCAGACGGTGGTGGATGCGGTGGCGTTAAACTGTGTATTATGGTGTCATAAGTAAGACAAATTATATGCCTGAAGCACATGATACCGTGATCATATTTTTCTAAAAAAAAACCTCATTCTTACGAGGTGGTCAACATACTATGGATAAGTAATTTTGGATAGGCTTCACATCCTGTGAATTACATTATGTACAAACGCCCCCCCCCCCCCCAAGGAAGTTTTTATTGTGGATATCCTTATGGACAATTTCACATGGACGATAATATATGGACGAGCTTCATCAGTTAATACACATAACTAATCTTACAAGTATGGTGTACAATGGATAGAAAAGTGAAAATATACTAGCATAAGAGATCGGTTAATCCAACTAACAGTTTTTCATAAATATTGTTCATATTCCAAACAATTAAAATTGAAAACAAAAATGAAAATGAGGGGTGGCTCACCAAAAACACTAATTAATGTATTGACATGTTAAAGTAGACATGAAATTGAGAAGCGATGTAAAACGCCAAAGCTAAAGCTAGCAACATAAAAACTTTCAAATACAATGACATAGCCATGACAAAAAATTTCATCGATGTGCATTTGTGCGTTCAATAAAACGTATAATGTTGATGAAAGAAAACTTAATCCACGATATATTGTTCTTCATTATACTATGAGATGGTCATCGTACTATAAAAAACTGAGTCTTGTTATATAGAATGTCACATCATATTAGTTACTTTTTGTAAAAACACCCATAAGGCAGTTCTTAGGGTGGATGTCCATATGAACGGCTTCACATGGACAAGGAAATGACGGGAGGGCACAACTGCTTAATTCAGAGAAGGAGTCCCACTTTTGCTGCTAGTTGGACCGGGGACTCTGTACAAGAAGTCTTATCCATGCAAGATTCCTTCGAAAGTTTGAGGTCCTCGTCCATGGACTGTTGTACACTTAAATCACCAATCTTATCCCCATCAACTGACCAAGTGGTTTAAGCGTGGATATCCGAATGTATGTCATGAATATACATGTTATAAATGGATACAGATGATAACCATTACAACATACAAAAACGGTTGCCATCCTATTCTGCACCTGACGGATGGCCAACCACATGTGGCCAAGATTACATGGACAGCTGAACGTGGCTAAAATAAGTTTTCCACCCATCTTTCTCCGTCAGCTTATCGATTATCGAATCTTTGACAGAAACTTCAATTCCTATGAGAAATCAGAAAAAAATTAAAGACATCTACACCATTTTTCCTTCTAAACTTATGATAATTCCAATAGTAAATAGAGTGACAGATTAGAATCACCTTCTATAGCTTTTCTTGTATCTCTTCTTTCAAAACACACAAAGAGACGACGGGATTCCTATGGGATAGCTGTCCTTCGAATAGAGAAACCTCGTCGGAAGAAATCTTTGGTTAGAGTGGTTGAAAACTCAACAATGGATACGATGGTGGTACCGGCAGCGTGAACGGCGAGAAATTACGACGGTAAATTTTAGGGTTATTCTGTTTTGGCTATTTAAGTTTCTGATTTGTAGAAAAAAAGGTAAAATGTGGAAGAAGGTGAAACGGTGGAATTCACATTAAAAGTAAAGAGAAGAGTTTTTGGTCTTTCTATTAGCCCAAAGTCACCATGGAACACAAAGTGCCTTTATTGTAAGATTGAAACTCATAAGTGCCTTTAGTGTAAATCAGTCGTCGTTTTGGTACCTGATCATAGGTATGAGAGAATTTTACCCAATAGGTTAAAATGCCCATAGCCGAACTGGTTTTCTGATTGGTTCCAGTTCAGGTCCGAGTAAATTGTCTAGGCTAGTGCCTATTTAAAATTTGAAACACCTTTTTTGTATCACACAAGTGATTGGTTACCTAGAATTGTACCATCTTGAATTACACTATTTCGAGTCACCAATAAAACCCATAGAAAAATTGCTAAACGTCAAGTTATTTAACTTAAAGTGGTACACTACCGAATTCTTTCACTAGTCACTCATAACATAGACGTTGTCATTTTCAGCAATAAATAAAGAAAGCAGAAACAAAAAGTGTACGTTACATTTTTTAAGTTTTAGAGAATGTTTAAGCATTTGTTGTCTCCCATTAATGGCAAAGTTACCGATTAAGGAGTTGCAGAGAACTTGGCCAAGGCCGTTAAACTCAGCATCCCACACACCTCCGGATATAAACTCTTCCTAATAGACGCATAAACCTCACCTTTCCACTTCTTCGCCGCCAAACTCTCACCAAGGCTCACCGTAGCCTCCACCACACCTTCCGCACTATCGTGCGCGGCCGAGTCAACGATCCCTAAAGCCACCGCTTCCTCTCCTTTGATCTTCTTCCCGCTAAGCAACAGTTCCCGCCTCGCAATACTCGTCCCGATCTTTGCCACGAACATGACTGCGAAGTAGTCCGGTATTGGCAGGCCAAGATCCACCTCGCTCATGTATAAAACCCCACGGTCTTTCCTCATGTAAACGTAGTCGTGGCTCAGCGCAAACATCAGCCCCGAGGCGGCCGCGTGGCCGTTCAAGGCGGCGATCGTCGGCATGGGGAGATCGAATAGCGCTGCTACAACAGGTTTAAAGGATTCGACCATTTGGTGCATCCGGTTTATGGCTCCACTTTCGGATCCAGAGGATTGAGCCCATGCAAGATCGAAGCCGTTAGAGAAGAACTTTCCATGACCTGTGGTGATGAGGACGGAGCCACGAGTGGACTGAGATTTGGCTTGTTCAAGAAGTGAAAGAATGGAGGCGATGGTGTCGGGGTGGAGTTTATGCTCGTCGTCGCCGGTTAAGGTTAGGAAGAAGAGATCGCCACGCTTCTCTAATGTGCACATGATGTCGCACGTTAAGGGTTTACCGACTTAGTATTGGAGCTGATGAAGAAGAGAAGAGTTAGAAAAATGTCATGTGTGAGTGAAGTATAAGAAAGAGAGGGAGATAGAGAAAGTCCCAAGTCCCAACTGTATATTTTATTAGAGGTGGTGATCAGATGTAGCACCGAAAAGTCTTAAATTTGGTAACCTTCTCAACCATTTTTTGTCACTGTAATTAATGCACACGGCAACGACGTGCATGAATCTGTCAATATGAGCTTTTTCTTGTTGACAAAGAATTGTAGTTGTTGGATCTAGAATTTAACAAAAAAAAGTAGTTCTGAATTTCTGATATTGTGGAAAGTCTACTTTAACAAAAAAAAGAGATATTGTGAAAGTTTGGATATACCTGAAATTATTACATCTAATCTTATTCGACATAGGTTCTAGACTTTTAGTACATTACATATATGAGATAGTGTTTCAAACAAAAAAGTTGTTTTTTTCCTATTTACTACTCCCTTTGTCACATATTATAAGTAATTTGGTAAAATGTATCTGCAAAAAAAAGGATGTGTCTGGATGCAATAAAGTCCAGATACATCCATTTTTTTTGCAGATATATTTTGCTAAATTGTTTATAATATCGAACAGGGAGTAAGATTTTAATCAATTCCATTAAGGACAAGAAAAAAAAAATCCAGTTGGATGTTTATTATGTTGGCATCTGTCATGGACGCACACTTTTACCAAATTTGGTTCGACAAGAGAAACAGGTTCGGAGATTCGCACATGCTGGGCCGTGGGTCTTTTTTCCCAAATAGAATGAAACTGCAACAACTAACTACTACTAGGCCCATTTTAGTTGTCTCAACTTTAAGAATGTTTACAAATCGGTATTTTCACGTACTATCACCAGAAATACAAGGACTAAATTGCTAATTACCAACTAAATTAGATAAGGGTCTCTCTCCTCCTGCCTACTATAATCCAACATCTCGATCGATTCACGCATTTCAATATCAATATCTCTTTATTCCACCATGTGCACGTTAGAGAAGCGTGGCGATCTCTTTCTCCTAACCCTCACCGGCGACGGCGAGCACAGATTCAACCCCGACACAATCGCCTCCATTCTCTCGCTTCTCGACCAAGCCAAATCTCAATCCACGCGTGGATCCGTCCTCATCACCACCGCTCATGGAAAATTCTTCTCCAACGGATTCGATCTCGCCTGGGCTCTAGCCGCGGGATCCAAAACCGGCGCCGCCGAGCGGCTTCACCAGATGGTCGAGCTGTTCAAACCGGTGGTTGCGGCGTTACTCGATCTCCCGATGCCGACGATAGCTTCCTTGAACGGACACGCCGCCGCGGCGGGACTGATGCTCGCGCTGAGCCACGACTATATCTTCATGAGGAAAGACCGTGGGGTTTTGTACATGAGCGAGGTCGACATCGGGCTCTCGATGCCGGACTATTTCTCGGCGATGGTTCGTGCTAAGATCGGGACGAGCGCGGCGAGGCGGGAGCTGTTGTTGAGTGGGAAGAAGATTAGAGGAGAAGAAGCGGCGGGTTTGGGGATCGTTGACTCTGCGGCGCATGATAGTGCGGAAGGAGTTGTGGAGGCTACTGTGCGCCTCGGGGAGAAATTGGCGGCGAGGAAATGGAGCGGTGAGGTTTATGCGTCGATCAGGAAGAGTTTGTATCCGGAGCTTTGTGGGATTCTTGGTTTAGAGGCAACAATCTTTGCAAATCCTAAGCTCTAAACTCTTTGAGAGCAATTGATTTTGGGCAAAAATAGAAAAAGAAAGAAACACACATTCGTTTTTGAATAAGACAATGTTTATGTTCACTGAAACATTACTTTTACATATGTTGTCGGAAGAGTAGTTGTACTAGCAGCGCTTTGAGCAACAAACACATCTTCAACTGTATGTCCCAAAACCATTTCCCCAATAGATATATTGTTGTTCGGGAAGGAAATCATGTTTTACCCTTAGAAGATTTTTAAATTGTTAGAATCGAACCTTGGACCTAAATTCAATCTGAACCAAAAATCAGGACCGAGTATTAGCCAAGCCAATAGATCGGTCCATTTTTATTTGTATGGATCATCATTTTCGACAAACATGACTGCCAAGAAACAACTAATTCTGTAGAAGAGTAGCGGAATAGGGTTGGAGAAGAACGAATTATCATTTTTTGTAAAGGTGAAAACACGATTTTCCAATTAAGTATATTGATTTTATGTGTTAAATTTTCAAACAGTTAAAAAAGGAAAAAGAAGTTTTAATTTTTTTTTTTATAAAAATAACTATAAATCCAACAAAACTCGATGAATGTAAAATTATGGTTTTATGATAAAAAATATGATGGTATCTTATTATATAAAGCTGGATGCGCGCGACGTGGTTGCGACACGTAGGATTTTTATAAAATTTAGGATTGCGATATGTGTCACTTTTAATGTTATATCCGTTAAGATCGTGACATGTGTCTTATAAAAAAAGAAAAAAATAACAATTAAAAAAATAGATAAAGGAAAAAAAAACGAAATTTTAATCTTTTATAGTCAAAAGAAAAAAAATTATATTTGTCATATTCTAATAGAAAAAGGTTTCTCATTCATCAAATTTATATTATCCAAACACATATAATATTTAAAATAATGAAATAAATAAAATCCTATTAGTACATGAAATAGGTTAGGTAAACTAAATTTCCTATAACTGCATGGAATAAGTTACATGAACCCTTATAAAAAGAGAGTTAAAGTACTCTTATTATATAAAGCTGGATGCGCGCGACGTGGTTGCGACACGTAGGATTTTTATAAAATTTAGGATTGCGACATGTGTCACTTTTAATGTTATATCTGTTAAGATCGTGACATGTGTCTTAGAAAAAAAAAGAAAAAAATAACAATTAAAAAAAATAGATAAAGGAAAAAAAAACGAAATTTTAATCTTTTATAGTCAAAAGAAAAAAAAAAGTTATATTTGTCATATTCTAATAGAAACATGTTTCCCATTCATCAAATTTATATTATCAAAACACATATAATATTCAAATTAATGAAATAAATAAAATCCTATTAGTACATGAAATATGTTAGGTAAACTAAATTTCCTATAACTGCATGGAATAAGTTAAATGAACCCTTATAAAAAGAGAGTTAAAGTACTCTATATTAGTTGGATAGAAATCAAAATTATTGTCGATACATGTATCTAACTCTATATCGGTTGGATAGAAATCAAAATTATTGTCGTTACATGTATTTGATCCGGTGAAGACATGTTAATTGGAAAAATGTTAAACACATATAAAAACTAGCAAAAAAAAAAACTACCTAATAATGAAAATGAAAATTTTGTAATGGTCTGAGTCAAAAAAAAAATTGAGAAAGAAACAATATAAATAGAAAACTAACAAATTATTTATCAAGCAAGTAACTTTTTTTCCCAAACGAAAACTGTTACATCCATTACGAAAAGGAAAAGTAAAACATATTTCAAATACAAAAAGGAAAAAATAATAATATATATATACTAAGCTATAGCCTTCATGATTTAATTGTGTGAATCTATCTTTTGTTTAAACTTCTCTCTCATTAAGAAATAAATATAATGTATTTAAAAGTTCATAATATTAATGAAGAATATTCAACTCTAGATCAATTGGATCTAAATCAAAATTATTGTTGCTAATTGTGTCTAATATTTTGAAAACAAGTGTTAACACAAGAAAATTGGAAAAATGTATAAACAAATAACAAAATAATTAGAAAACAACTAACTAATAATGGAAAGAAAATTTTATAATGGCGTGAGTCAAAAACAAAACTGAAAAAAAAAATAGAAAACTAATAAAATAATTACCAAACTAACTAATATTAAAAGGAAAAATTTGTAATGAACTAATATTCTAATTTTAATAGTTTAATTTTTTTGTTAGGTAAAAAATATTAAAAAAAAAAGATTTCATCAACCGAAATCTCTTCAATGAAATCATTAAATGTTCACAAATTAATCAATCAATCACACTTACACATGCGTAAGTCTTTCAATTTTAGATAAAAGTAAAAAGATAACAAATTAATTCATTTTTCATATCATGAATTCAGAAAATATGTCAATTGTAATAAAAATGTAAAAATATTATTAATATAATATAATATAGAGGTCTTTTATCGGGGTTTTAATATTAATGTACTTACTTTTAAAGTGTCAAATTTATTTAATATTTTTCTATGATTATTTCAAAAATTGTATAAATCCGCGTATACGCGGGACCTAATCTAGTAAAATATAAATGTTTAGGAATCAAAATCATTTTTTTTTTGTCGTTGATTGGGAATCCCAATGGAACATGTTTATGTGCTACTTTGTCTTGTCTGTATTATTTGTCATTGGCATATGTGTTAAAGAAGAAAAAAATATAACTCGTCGTCTACTAGCTAATAAATGGTTGTGATAAAAATGGCTGGCTGTCTTTGTGTTTTTTTTATGGTTAAACTTTGTGTTTTTGTGTCTCTGAAGAGATTTGGAGTTAAATGAAAATCATTTTCTTATTGCATTTTTTTTTTGGTTTTAATGTTAAGATTGATTACCAAACTTTTGATTTGCAACAGAAGTTATAGAGAAACTAAAAAGACAGAAAGACCGAAAACTACAAACAAAAGCAAGCTATAACAAAAAACAAAGACGGACAAAGCTGACAAGATAGACACAGTTCGTAGTTTAACTTAAAGATCCTCCAAGAGAAACACCGATTCCAAACCCGAAAGCTCAGAAATTTGTGCTTTTGCCAAAGATCCTAAGATCTTGAGTCCTCATCATCGTTGCCGCGAGTCGTTGCACCCAAGGCCGTCCTCAAAACCTCGCAGTTAGCAGCGCCTACAACTTCTCCAAGAACTAACACAAAAACGGAACCACTTCAATGCAAAACTCTAATCCGGCGGCATGGGAGCCTCTTCGAGCAGCCAGAGAAGCCGCCTCCGACCGCCATTCTTGCAAACTACAAGAATCATCTCCCTCGGATCACAATAGAGGTTGATAGCTGAACCGCCGCCTCTATTCTACTTCGATTCACTCCAAGAGCTTAACTAAGCCATCTCCAATCAAGCCATTGAGCCACTCTTGCAAACAAGCCAAAACCAGAAACGGGGGATGCTGCCGGAGCCACACCGGAGGTCTAAAAGGAGCACAGATCCGCCGGTCGTCACCACCAGATCTTACACCAAAGACAGCCACCGCCTAGCAACAACCACCGCCAGGAACGAAATCGAGAAAGACGACAAAAAGAGCCACTTCTCCGATTCACCGGAGACCTAACCGCCGCTACCCTTGACGACGACTCAGAAGAAAGGAGATCCACCTACTTGGACACGAGAGAAGCTCGTCCTCAAAGCCTCCACGATACGCCAGCCGACCAGATCTTATGGAGATCTCTTCACGAGAAACGCCGAGAGGAAAGATCAGAGTACAGGAGGAAGGAGCCGAAGCGCCACGCTCCACCACCACAATGATCCCCACACCGCGAAGAAGAGGACCTCCACACGGAGCTCGAGACGAACCAAAAAATCCCTCCGTGAAAACTGAGCAAAACGGAGAGACTGCCATAATGAAGAAAGAGAAACAGAGGGAGATCCTCTCCCGGCGGTGGCGAGGAGCGCCGGCCGCCGGAGAGGAAGGAAGATCGAGACTTGAAACTCTTTGACGGTGGCTCTTTTGGGAGAGAAGGGGAAAATAAAATTAGGGCGAACTCGCGTCTCCAGAGGCTTATTTTAAGCTAGACATCATCTCTTATGTCACAAGACAGTAAGGCAAATCTGTTATGTGTAGTCTTTGCATTCTCTTATCTTTTCCGCATTGCTCGGCTTCACTTTAGTCATCTTTTCGTTTGTCTTGTTTTGTACGTGACCGTTGGAGTTTGATGGATCACCTATGAGCTCATTTTGTATATCTTTGGGCCTCCATTTCTTCTGGGTCTGCACCTTATTCACCTCCGATGCTACTGTGTCGTTTTGTTGTTTCATAGTCTTATATCATCAGTGACCCAAATAATATTTTCTGAAATTTTCTTCCAAACTTATTCGGTTGATTAGAAATGGAGAATCTTTGCCATTATGTAGATCATATGAATGTTTCCATTTTTTAATTTTGATGTGTGATGTTGAAAAAAACGCCAAACTAAAAAACTCATCAAGATTCAGATTTAAATCTAACCTCTACCGCATATTCTCTTTCACATCAAGAAAATATCTTCAATCTGCATAAACAAAGAGAAGTAAAGGAGTTGAGAACTGAATCTAGAAACAAAATCAGAATACAGATTCACAATCACCAAACTAAGGATTCAAATACGAATATAAGACATTAGAGAAGCGTAGAGATGACAAAAGCCAAGTCAATGGGACATGCCTCAAAAGCATGTTTCTTTTTCATTTCTCCATATTTTCTAATAGAATTTCGAACATCAACCACTTTTCATGTTAAAACATCATATTCACCAAATCAGAATAATTCGTTTGGAATTGCATTAATCATTTCTTGTGTCAAATTACATATTGTTTTTTTTTGTCATCTAGAATTATATTGAATTGAGAGAAACACAAGATGTTAGACACCATATAATTTTACACAACCACAACAACCACGATAAAATACTAAGCCGGACGAAACGAAAATACTCTGGAAGAAAAGTCGGTGAAAAAAATACACCGGAAACTAAGCCCACACAGGGAAACTAAGACCACACATGGAAACTAACTAAAAACTATAGAACTAAAGAAGAAGAAAAAAAGGATTTAAGAGGTTAAACCGAAATAAAGAAGATACCAACTCACACTAATGCACCGCTGAAACCTGCTTCAAACTTCTTGAGCACCTTCAAAAAGATTCACCCTCACCGTAAATGCACAAGGCCAGACTACGGTCACAGAGGCTTGAAACTTCCCTTCCCTGAAGAAATGCAAACTACCTAACAACTCAAACTGCTAGCCTTCTAATACGCTAAATAGTCCTAACTGGCATAAGCGCCAATGATGGAGTGAGCTCTCGATCAGAAGTGAGATAGCAGCAGGGAACAAACCGGATAACACCAAACTCTAGTGACAGAGGAGGTGAAAGATCGAACCCGAGAAGCGCCAAGACCCAAGCGAACTCCACATAAGCTAGACGAAACATGGATGCACCGCTAGAGACCGAGCAGGAGAAAAACCAGATCTGGAACAGGAAATGATGACCGGAGAGGAGAAACATGGGGATTGCAGCCAAGCCACACCGAAGATCTACCAGATCCAGACCCATCATCCTCAAAAATACCTAGATCTGAACAGATCTGGAGGAAAAACCATATAAGCACCTAAATCTTCTTCAAACAAAGAGAACCATAGAGGAAATGGAAGGAGAAAAGCAAGACAAAGCAAAATAAACAAACGAAACCGGACTCCGGCACTGTACTGTAGAAGCCACCGGAGCCGCCAGGAAAACTAGCAGCGGATTTCTACCGAAAAGGCAAAGAGTTTCACAAGAGAAAGAAAATTCACAACAAATTGTATATTGCTTATAGCTCTATTTGAAGTGAGAATCTCTATTATATATTGCTTATACCAAAGAAGTCATAGATATATCAATGTCCTATATTTTTGGTAGATTCAATAACAAATCAGCTATATTAGCAAATAATGTGCAATTTGTTTATCACTTATTAATTTATAAAGTTTCTAATGCATGTAATTTGATATAGTTTTATTAAAAATTGATTTTTAGTATTTATTTTGTTTAGTAAAATTACTGTTAATTTTTTTTTGGGGATCAAATGAAAAGATTGAAAATAGATAAATACAATACAACTGCTAAAAAAACACTCTTTAAACCACTTTGTTTTCGTAATCACCAATTGGTTGGACCCATAAAAAGGAGAGAGCATACATGTAATGTAATGAGTAGCGTTTTATTGGTTGCCGTCTCAGATACTTACTGACTAGGACGAGTATCATTGGCCAATCGACGTGTAAAAGCACCCACGTGGCTTTTTCTTCGCAACGAAGCAGCGAATAACCAAACAATTCGCATTGTATTACTCGCGCGAGTAGGTCAACGCACAAGTCACTGAATCCTCTCTTTCCTTTTTGACCCCTCAAATTTCTAAATACTTCTAATTTCGCCTCTATGTTTTCTTCTTTTCTCCTCCTTTTTATGTCCGTCGATTTACGGACCCAAATCTAAACTCTCTCTTCTCTTTCTGTTGCTGTCTCTCTCTGCGTCCGATTCGGAGGAAAAAAATCATAAAAGCAAAGAGAGAGAGCTTCAATGGAGTTAGCTTCCTTCCTTGGTAGAGCTCTGTTCGTTTCCGTCTTTCTTCTCTCCGCATGGCAAGAGTAAGCAATTTTTTCAACTTCTTGTCCTAGATCTGCTCTTCTTGCTGCTATTTATTGGAATCTCCGGAATATATAGCGATCTAGTTCGTTGATGAATCATGGATTTAGGGTTTTTGCTTAATTCAATAGCTAGATTATAGTTGATTGAGTGAGTTTTAGGGGAAAATAAGAAAGAAAACAGAATGTGGATCTTGCTTGCTTAGCTGGATGGGGTTGGATTTGAAAGATTATAAGCTATTTCTGGTTCGATTTTGTTTATGATTACCTAATTAGCTCCAACATTGCTAGATTTTTTTTCTCATCTCTTTCTCTGATCTTGGTACCTAGAATTTGCAAATTTATTTCTTTTCTTGCTCAATTAGATAGGCTGAATTTGCTTGTTGGGATGGTTCAGAATCTAATGCTTTCTTTCAATTAATTTTTCTTAAAACTCAAGCAAATCTAATGCTCCTTTGACTCAACTAATGAACTCAAATCTGTAGTGCCTTGTAAAAGAAATTTCTTTGCTGATTTCATGCTTTAAAAGTTACACAATTGCTGTAACTCGACTTGGTACAAATATGTTTGCTTTCTTTTGTTTCTGCTTTGATAGTTGACTTTGATCTTTCATACATCAATTTGAGTCGCTTTGCTTGGTTATCTCTGATGCCTTGTAAGTTGAGTCACTACAGATACTGTTATTTCGCTTTCTATGTAAATTACAATACTTTTCTTGTTTCCTTGAGCAGGTTCAGTGACTTTGGCGATGATGGAGGTCGATCAGCTAAATCTTTGAAACCAAAATTCAATGCCTTTGTAAACCATGTGGCAACTCACACTGGCCAGCAATTGCCACCAGTCGATGTACGTGCTTCTCCATTCAATCTCTATGTTTTGTCCATAAACAACAACCAAATTGTTTCTGAGTTTTCTTGTTTTGTTCGATCTTCTTGGTTTGCAGATGAAGATTCTTGTTGCTGCTGCTATAGCCTTGAAAGGTGTAGGTGGACTATTGTTCGTCTTGGGCAGCTCCTTGGGAGCTTATCTCTTGGTATGTAACAACTGTTCTTTTCCATTATATCATCTTTTTAGCTGTATGACAGAAGAAAACCTTTTAAACTCTATGAATCTTGTTTCAGCTTCTGCATCAAGCCGTTGCCACTCCGATTCTGTATGATTTCTACAACTATGATGTTGACAAAAAGGAATTCAGCCTACTCTTTTCAAAGTTTACTCAGGTTAGCAATTTACTGGTTGAAAATTCGAGTTCTGTATTCAGTCTTGATCAAACCTGAGATCTTCTATTTTGTGTTTTTGATTCTTTAGAGCTTGGCACTCCTTGGGGCACTGCTCTTCTTCATTGGAATGAAGAACTCGAGGAGACACAGTAGGCAACTCCGGAAGAAGGCTCCAAAAGCTAAAGCAAACTGAAGAAGCTGATGTTTTCAATGTTCATCGGTTTATTCGGGTCTGTATTTTGTTTTCATTATGGAATCCAGGATGAGTTTAAAGAGTGTATCTTCCGATGAGGTCATGGAAAGGCAAAATCTTTGCAAATCATTTTACTTGTTTTCTTGAGCTTATTGACACTTTTTGTAGAGACGTTTGGTTCTCTAGAGAGATACCATTTTCATATTTCGGATTTTGACTTAATTAACACAAGGAGTCTTCTTGTTTTACTGTTCCTCTTTCTGCCTCAGTTTCATAATTTGACATGCATTTACTTGCGGAAGAGTAACTAACGATGCAAAAACTTGCTGCGAAGGCTTACTCATTGAACAGTGAGAATGAATTAATTTAGGTAACAAAGTAAGTAACATCTAAAGGCTCTCGTAGCTCAGTTGGTTAGAGCACCCGTTTAGTAAGCGGGAGGTCTTGAGTTCAACTCTCAACGAAAGCATCATTTGATTTTTAACCTGCTCTCAGATTTTGGTGCCAACATGACTTTTTGGGTCCCTACTTTTCTTAGCTTCACACACTCATATCTCAAACTGGTCTACCGGAGTGGTTCAAGCATTAAACGTTAAACCCATAGGTTAAAAGAAGAATCAGAACACACACAGTCAAAATCACTATTTGCATAAAATCTACAAGAAATCACAAAAGTATTCTAGAGTTAAATATATTTTTATTTAAAAATACAACCCAAGACCAAAGAGTAAAAGCTTTTACACTTGCAAGTGGGATCAGATATCTCTCTAAGTAGTTCACCAAAAAAGAAGAACAGATAGACAATATGAGAGAGTGTTTCAAGCAGCAGGAGGCCTGAGTTCTTGATCACGAGACGTATCACGAACCGACTGAGGCAAGTAATGCCACATTGGCATGTAACCGTAACTCGGATAAACCGCCATCTTGTTCTGACTAAACGCAGCTGGAATCTGAGGCATGTACCCTGTAGATGGAGCCACCATCATAGACTTCAACTGTTGTTCCGTCTTCTCCTTATCCGCCTTCAACACCAGCTTCTCCTCCCTCAGCTCATGCTTCTCCGCCTACAAAGAAACGCACAAACTTCAAATCCGTTCTCATTCCATAGAACAAGATTCTTGGTTTAGGAGAAAGTGAAGAACCAACCAACCTTGAGAGTCTTGATCTCTTCTAAAAGCTTTTGGTTGGTTTCTTCAAGCTCATGAGCTTCATCTCTGAGTTGATTCAAGACACGGATTGCGTCGTCGAGTATAGCTGGTTTATCTGTCTTTGGACTCCTTCCTGGCTCCAAAACCGAGCTCAAATCCATGAACCTAACCAAAACAACAACCCATTTAAGCTCAATTCACAGAACAACATCAAAATTAAACACATAGACTAAGCTTTATACTAAACATACCTCTCATTTAGTTTCTCCCTCCTCAATCTTTCACGACAGGCTTTGGTTCCTCCTGGCCTTATACACGATCCAGTCCTTCCCCTATATCAACAACCACCACAGATTCTCATCAAACACAATCAACTACCAAAGATCACACAAAGTTTGGATTTTTCTTAAAAAGCTTACCGCTTTCTTGAGCAATCGTCATCTAGATGTTCATGTTCTTGCTTGACAGCTCCACTAGATGATCCAGAATTGTTCTCTACTTCTTCTTCTTCCTGCAAAACTCCACAATCATTTTGCAACACTTGTTCTTGCTCTTGCGGTTGCGGTAAAACGCCATTGTACGATGTTAAATCCAACTGAGCTCCAATGCTGAAGACGTCTTCTGGTTCTTGCTGCAAATTTACACCGTAAGACTCGAAATCTAGAAAGGTGTCGCCTTGATCAGGCTGCAAATTTACACCAAATTGTGTGTAATCGTCGAGTTCTGCTCCATTGCTGATTCAGTTAGAAAACAGAGATCCATCAATAAATTAGCAGATTAAACGCAACAAAAGATCCATAGAGTTCAACTTAACAGCTTTAATCGAATCAGCAACGTTGTTAAACAATAAATTACATTAGGGTTCGTCAAATTCTCATAAAAAAAAACACAATTTTTTTCCTTGAAATGCGCAAAAGCAAACATCTTTACACAGAATTTGAATTCACCTACAGAGAGAATCATAGCCTGAGTATTCAAATATATACGATATTACAATTGGAAAAAGGAATCAAATTTGAAATCGAAAAGAGACAGAGAACAGAGGAAAAGAGGAAGAATGGAGAGATAAGGATAAAAGAAAGGACCTTTGATCGAAGCAAAACAAATCATTGACGAAATCTTCATCAAGAGAAGGATACATCTGAGTCTGCAAAAACAGATAGATTTTGAAGATTTGGAAAACTTCAAAGAGAGACGCCAATATCGGAATTTTTTTTTTATGACAGATTAAAAGGGATTTAAAAAATCGAATGACGCCAAGGAGATAAAGAATGGTGGGAACAATATTCTACGATTTGATATTAGTGGAAATAAAAGAATGGTGTTAGCTGTTTTTGTAGATTTTATTTTTTCCAGTTAAATTCTTATTCGGGAGAGACAAATGGCGTTAAAAACTTTTTTAAGTATTGAAAGACAGCAAAATAAAAAATCAGAATCAGAGTTTATATGTTGTGCATAGATGACTAGATGTGGGGGCTATATATTATCAACCGCTATTGTGGAATTTTTATTGCATTTGCATGATTGGGTTTTTCATTTTTGGGTACTTTTTTTGTTTGTTATCAACAGTATTTTATTTATAAGACAAAAGTAAGACATCAAGCTGGATTGGTAAACTAATCCACAACAGAAAAGCACAAACTAAAGATAACATTATAACAAGCAAGCAAATTAGTTGGAGAACAAATGTAACAGATTTCACTATCACTGAAGATGATACATCAGTTTTTAGGTAAGAAAAGGAGAGGTTCGAGTTATCCTCAAGAGAAAAATAAGCCAAGTATTAGCTCAAGTTTGCCTTAGGCTCGCATTGGGTCAAAAGGAAGGTCCACTAGCTAGGTTAGTATAGTGGATGTTTCTCTTTCTCATGCATTGGTCAAGTACTCAAGTGTGTATTTCACACGTGCTTATATTAGCTGACCTTAAGCTTGTTGATTACTTGATTGTATACGTATTAACGTATATAGCTTATCTTGATCTGATTTGAGAAATTGTAACAGACGAGATGGAGAGATTAAAAAAAAGGGAGAGAAAGAGAGCAAGAACAATCTGTATTGTGACGGTTTGGGTTTGAGCTATATATCATAAAAGGAACGCGATTAACTTCTTTCTTTTATGCATCATTGGTTTATCTTTTAACGATGGATTGTGTTCAAAGTTTGTAAAGTAGAGACAAATTAGGTTTCACAGTCACAACAATTTATATGGTTTTGTTGAGGAATTTGACCGCTTCTGTAGTGTTTGGGTTATAGAGATAGCTAGGTCTATGCTGCTGTCTCGAATATTTTGATAATTTTCGAGGTAATTTTATTTAATGTGGAATATGGGTTTATCATAGCAATCTAGAATCCCACGGTAATCAAATCAATTCGACACTAACGAATAATCGAACTCGTCTCATCAAAATCGTATAAACATCAACATCGATAAAAAGAAAGAGTCTACGTAGTCATCTTTTAGTCAGTGGTCACAGTGAAAGAATAAAGGATATGATCCCTAGCTAATTTTTTTGCAACTCTTGGAACCATGTAACGTCGTTTGTCGTTCCCAAACGCATATTAAATTTTTTTATACCCCAACATAAAATAATAATCTTGTGAAGTATCATCATCTCATAAAATTATATTGCTCTTGAAAACGACTCATGTGGAACGCACGACGAGAATAAAAACAAATCATGTTTTTGTCAACTATGTCGATAACTATACTACTGCTACGACTTCTTACTTGAGCCATTGAAAAAGCTTTATTGGTATTTTCGCATCGTATGTGTATGCTTTTCCACAATAATCAATAACATTTTAAGATTTTTACAAAAAAAAAGCTCTAAACTACAAGTCTACAACATATATGTTTGAACAGAATTTTCGTATGTTCCTTTGCAAGCTCCTGATTTCTTTGATATGAAATCTTTGTAGTTTTATCATATGATTAAATTTTAGTTTTAGGAAAAAAAATAGACACATTATCATAAGGGATGTATGAGAGTATCAGTAGCAAAACACGTTTTATCAGTAGGAAAAAAATTAGACATATTCATCATCCTCCAAATGCTAACAGGATTTTTCGGCATATTAAAAAATTTCCAAACTTAAAAACATTAAGAGAATTTTCCGGCAAACTTCAACGATTTTTAGTAAATTCCAACATATTTTAGTGATTGTATAAATTCAAAATTTGAGCTCTTAAATTGGTTGAAAATTGCTTAAAATTTCCGGAAAAAGCAGGAAATTCCCTTAAAGTTTTTAGGTTTGAAAATTCTGAATTTAGAACTGAAATTCCCGACAGATAATGTTACAAATTTAAAGGAATCAATTTTCATGTTGAATGTTGACTAATTGAAACCCAATTTGGTGAAGTCAACCATATTTTGAGGAATTATTTGTGCAATCAAGAGTTCGGGAATAAAACGTGAAATTTCATAAAGTTCAGGAATTTTTTGGGCGTTTTCCCCACAAAACCTTACATTTTCCCTCCTTACAAAACCTTGCAAAACTTTACAAATGTTTTTATATTTACATTTTCCCTCCTCCTTTTGTAAGGTTTTGCAAGATTTTGTAAAGTTTTTTGCAAAACCTTACATTTTTGCAAAACCTTACAAATACTTTTTTATTTACATTTTCCCTCCTTTTCTCATATTTTGCAAGATTTTGTCAAGTCCCTTTACAAAATCTTGCAAAATCATACATATGTTTGCAAGATTTTTTGTTTTGACTATATGAGTGTAAAATGTAAACATTTGTTGTAAAAGACTAAGTAATTTATAAGACCTTGTAAACACCGAAACACTTGTATAGGGAAAGTATAATTTACCTCATGATTAGCTTCAACTTTTAGAATTTTGCTCCGCTCTATCAAATTTAACTCTTCCCACTGCAAATAGAGCAGGTCTTGTATACCTCAGATTTCACTATTTTCCACCCGAAACGCCAAGCCCAGGAATTGAAGACAATGTCCAAATTTGCAATGCAATTGACAATCCGTAGAGAGTATATTACTTCTTCAAAAGTGTCTCAGGCGTAAGAGACTTGACCTTATTCACTAAAGCACTATATGCCTCGTTCGCCCAAAACAACCCACAAAACTCCCTAAAATCAGCTGTTCTTTTGAGATCTTCATAAGTTATTTTTTTAGTCCTAGATCTTGCCAACAGTGTGCTCTCCACTATTATAACTGCACCAAGTCTGATTCTTGAATTAGAGCTCAACTCCTGCACCTTACAGCTTTGTAAATATTTAAGGTCGATTGTCAAATTTATTTAGTGCTTATCTAGTGCGGATTGAATTGTTTCAAGATGGATGTGTAGTCTCTTTGGATGTGACCTGAAACACAAAAAGAATCATCTTAGGAAATTAAATAAAGCGAAACACTCTAAATTTTAACACTAGAATGCAAGCACTTCGGAAAATTAGTTATTTTTTAACAAGTGATGTAAATTCGTTGCTTTTCTTTTGCGTTTTATCCAAGATAGATGACTCATTTCACTCGATCTGAAGACAAGTTGTGAACCATTATGTTGAAACTAATCGATTTTAAGATATGAATTTCTCGATTACAATCTATAATCCTTGTGAACTAAGTAAAAAAATAAGCAGAATAAACCATTTCATATGAAAATACGTGAAAAACCTAACATGAATTGAATTATTTATCATAACTAAACACGAATAGAGTGCAAAATCCCCAAATTAGTTCATGTATAATATAACTTGGTCCAAGCCCCCATTTAGGAGATGATGATTATTATCCCTATAAAGTTTAGAATCCATTCATGTAGTATTATTTATCTTGATTTTGGTTCGGTTTGATGCCTTTAATTCGGTTCGATGCCTTTAATTTGACTCGGTTTGATTCCGTTCTTCGGTTCGGGATAAAAATCAAAATTGAAAGAAAACAAGTCCAATTTCGCGACACTGAATCTCCCCCACGAAACATGGGAACCCGACGTTAACCACCGTGACAAAAAAAACCCCAATTCGCAATTTCGCATCCCTCCGTAGTTCGTAATCGACTCAAATCAGGCAACGTCGATTTTTAGCAAAAACCTATCTCGGATTTGGGGAATTTTTCCCCAGAAATGTCTTTAGGGCAAAAGGGTTCGGGGGATCCTGGAGCGGTGCTCACTTCTATTTTGAACAAGCGAGAGAAGCTCCGGCAAGAGTTGCGTAGCATCGAGAAGCAGGTTAGGGCTTATGGTCTAGCTACTGTTGATTTAATTTGGTATCGAAGCGAATGTGAAATTCCAACTTGAAATTTGTTCGATCTCATAGAGAATTATAAAATATCTTAGTGTTGTTTTGTCTCTTAGGTTTACGAATTGGAGACAAGCTATCTTCAAGAATCGAGCCATATCGGAAATGCACTGAAAGGGTTTGAAGGGTTTCTCTCTTCCTCGAAGAGCTCTGCTAGGTCTCTCATTCTCTTCTTCTCTTGTTTTCTTGATAAAAAAAAAATTGAACTTTAGATTCAGTTTGAAGCTTTAATCATCATTTGTTCATGAAATATAGACAATACAGTGAATTAGACGCAAAATATGTTCTGTGTCAAACCATTGGTTTCTAGATAATGTGTTTAACTTCTTATGTTTAGCAGATTGATTGAGTTTGATATGAAACGAAATTTGCAGTGCAAAGAGGTCAAGGAAGTTTCAGCCTGAAGACAGAGTCTTCTCATTGTCCTCAGTCACTTCACCGGCTGTATGTTCTTATACAATCTTTATCACCTTAAGACGTTTTCTTTGTTTTCTTGTGTTGCTTGGTAATAGAATCACTGCCAAAAGAATCAGTGATTCACAATATATACGTATTAGAGTTTGGCTTGAGGATATGTACATTTCATTAAGATATGGTCACTTGGTCAGTTATCACATGGCTAACATCTCTAGTAGATTCAGAAAAAGCGTAAACGCTGAATAAACTGTCATGTGAAAGAGCTCAAGTTCTGTGAAATGACTGTGTATCTTCTTGTCTTGGGACTGTTATTTGTTTCATCACTCTGCCTTCTTTAGTCAAAATTGTTTTACCTTAAGTAGTGAAAAAAGTGTTTGTTTGCAAGTGGATGCTTACTATTAACCGCGGTTTTATAGACTTGTATGTTGATCTTCCCTGATATGTATTCAGGCTGAAGAACTTGGTGTTGGAAGAGAAGGTAATACCCTGCAACTACAACAACGCTGAAATTCACTTTTCCTATTCATGGATTAGTTTCTGAGACACTTACTCTGCGGATATTGTAGATGGACGAGCTGAATTGGGACCAGGAAGATCCAAGGGTGGATTGTCCACGGCACAGTTAGTTTCCCAACCTTACTTAATTTACCTCTTTCTTAAGTAAACTGTCTGCGTCTGTTACGCTGTTGCATGATTTTGGTTTGACCAATGTGATACAATCGCAGGGGAAAGCCGAAGAAAGGGAGAGGACAAGCAATTGTTAGAGAGGCAAAGAGAAACAGACCATCTACAGAACCAGATTATGAAGATGAAGATGATCCGGATATGAACTTGTACGCCCCTGGTTCACTCATCTAAGTGCATCTAAGAAACAAATCACTTTGTAATTTTCTTGTTTGTTTCCCAGAACAGAACCATAAGTAAATCTAGGAACTACTGTTGCAGCTATATATCATCAGTTAGTATGAATATTTCTAGAGAAACTATATGGTCTTGAGATTCTGTAGTCATTTTTATTATACTTCATTGCTGGATGAGAGAAAGCAGGTTTAGAAATGTGAGAGTTGGAATTGGTTGGCTTGCAATTATGATTCATTATTTGTGATGGAAGCTTAATATAGAATTTGCTCTCCTGGGTCCAACTTAGTTGTGCTTTCTCTTTATTTGTTTTTTAGGTTCTTTGTATTGCTTTTTTGATAAGCAAAAAAAAGAAGAATAAGTTTGATTATAAAATATAAACTTTTGTAAAGGGAATACATAGAAGAAGAATGTTTATATTTTTATCCCATGCATACAAGTGCTGAGCTATATCTATTGGAAGATAAGAATGTTTTGCCAAAAATTACATAAAGTTGGACTTGAAAATATAAACTTTTGTATTGAAGAAGAATGTTTATACATTAACATTAATCAAGAAAGAGTTTTAACCCATGCATACAACTTTTAGAGTGGTGAGCCATATGTATTCACATCAACATCAGAAAAAAAAAGCCAAATGTTTTTGTAACACTTTTGAAAAAAACCAAAGTTTTAACAAAGAAGAAAGAATGAGAAAAAACAAAAGTTCCTCAGAAATTTCAATAAGAGAAGAACATGGAATACACACATGATTTGATCAAACATTCAAGCACTTCGTTTTAACCTTTCTTGAAACTCAAGAAACGACCTCTCTTTCTCCATCTTCATACTTTCTCTAAACTTGTAGATAAACTCATCGGCTCTCTCGTTAACCCTCAAATGCGGCGAAGCAGCCACCACTCTCCTCCAAGCATCTTCCATCGAATCAGCAATCTCCGGCATCACCTCTCCTTCTTCTTCTTCTTTCTCTTCTTTTCGCACCACAACTCTCTCTTTACTCTCACTCGTCCCCACGCTGCGTGATTGGCTTTGGTATTGATACATGTGAGAGTAACTATCATCCTCGTATCCATTGCGACGACGCTTTGGTTTTGTGAGAGAGAAGAAGCTAAGAAGCCGCCGAGAAGTTTGATTGCGGCTGTAGTATTTGTCCGTGTAGCTAGTGTTCTCGAGGTACCTTGTTCTGAAAGGAACGATGAGACGGCGAGAGAGGAATCGGAGAACACGAGCCGTTGATTCTCTGACCGATGCAGCGATCTCTATGTCTCTGAATTTGGTTTTCACCATGTTTGTGAAGCTCTTCCATGCTCGCTTTGCTGGATTTTGCTTCTTCTTTTGCCGCATCGAAACCATTCAGGGACTTTGCTTTTTTTTTTCTCTTCTTCTTTTTGGTGTGTTTTTTTTTTTGCAATGTGTTGGGGCCAAACGTGTATTATTGTCAAGAAATGGTTTATATTTTGGTACGAGCCATTCATTTTCTGATTAAATTACTCAAACGCCATTGCTTTTTAATAAAAAGTAGGGAACAAAAAGTGGCTTCTCTTAGCTTACTTCCGGATGGCAAAAAACACAGAATCTGGCGAAAATAGGGCATAATTGCACATATTTTAGATGTTCATATTATTCATAAATAAATATGTATATTCTGAAAGTGAATTATATATGTTAATAAATGAATATAATGGCTTGAAGAATATATGATGAAAAGTAATAAAGTTAAGTGTTTTCCGTATTTGTCGGCTGAAAATAAGAGCTTTGAGTTATGACAGAGTCTTTAAAAATGTATGAATCTTAGTTGTTTTTCTGTTCTTTTTTACTATTCTGAGTTGTTTTGAAGTTCTGTAAAGAAACATGGAAAAAGTATTAGTTTATGCTCCATGAAGCTACGACCATGTGAGATCCGACCAAGGGAAGGCCCATAATTTTATTGGATAAAGACTACTAAAATGTAATTATTGGATTGGGACTGTTGAGCTAATAGTTATTATTAAACCAACCAACCAATCAATCAATCATACAATTTATCTGCACATTCCATTTTTTTTTTAATTAACCATATTCTTTTTTCTTACCAACTAACTTTTTTAAAGACATGTATTTGACATTATCTGCTTAATTCTGTCTTAGTGTCTTACGTAGACATAAATCCAAATTTTTTTCCAGTAGAAAAATTCCTAGGTGTATTTTAAACTAATCATCTTTTTGAAAACACTAACCCATCGTTGTCAAAATTATTAGTCTCAGCTCTCAAGTTAGCGACCAGAGATATTATTATAATTATGCCCGGCTTAAGCAAGTGTTAGTTCTCTTTTACGCACTTTAAATTTGTCTAGTTAGTTGTTTAAGGTTTATTTTTCGTGTGTTTGAAAACTACAAAACGAACCGATCCTTTTCTTCTTCCTTAAAGGTTTTAACACTAAGATTAGTAGTGAGGCAAGATCTCTACCATAAAACCATCTTGAACGGAGTTGTCCGAATGGAAGTGTGAGAAGATGTGTTATACCATTACTCTGTCCATGTCAAGAATTTTCACCAGGTTTCCGATGGTAAAAAAAGTAAAACAAATGACCATTAAATTGAGGGTGAAATACTATACTGAAATGTAGTTTACAAAATGCTAATTAAAAAGGGGAATCAAGCTGAGAGTAAAATGTGGAAGGAGAAGACTACGTGCGCTAAAGTCTGAGGTTATTTGCATGGGAGCTTCAAACACTCCTAAAATGTCGATCTTCCTAAAGAAACTGTCCTCTCTCTTTTTTTTCCTTAAACTAAAAACTATTCTCCTAATTTCTAGGATCATTATTGACATTCAAACTAATCTTTCTGTCTATGATCGGTTTCAGAATTTATTTTTGTTTCTATCTTTATTATTATTACGTGTTCAAGTTCATAAAAAAATAAGAACTGAATGAGCATAGTAACGGATCAAGTAGGAGAAAGAAGTGAAGACGGATGCATCTATGAAGACAGATCAGCTGATGCTTCTTAAGTTTATCCTTCTCTTCGACTTTTCTCAGATGGAATGGCAGATCCTTCTAGCTATGTCAATCACGATCGTGACGTCGACCAAGTTTGTTCTCTCTCTTTTTGAATGATCATTGTCTTGATCTTCTCTGTAGTAAAATAGATATTAAAATGTTGTGATTTCATATTTCTATTGCAAGAAAGAAGTAAAAGGAAATTAAACTACTAGTTTATACTCCGAAGCTTCATATTACCATAGTTATTTTTTTTTTATTTTTTTTTTGGTTTTTTTCTAATTATGTACAATTTTTTTGCATGTAGGCAATCCTTGCTTTGAAAAAAGGTTGTCAATTACTTAAGTATAGCAGGAAAGGGAGGCCTAAATTTCGCTCTTTCAGGCTTTCGCCGGTATTTCTACTTCTTTCATATGTGTATATAAGTGTATTATGTATCCACAATAACACATTCGTTTACTCATCAAGAACTTTGATATATATGCTTAAATATTATTTTGGTGATGATAGGATGAAACAACGTTGATTTGGCTCTCACACGGAGAAGAAAAACGTTTGAAGTTATCTACAGTTTCACGAATTCTCCCTGGACAAAGAACTGTGAGTCTTTATAACAAGATTTAGCTAAATATTGATTACTTGGTTCTATCTATCATTCAAAAGAAACATTTTTTTTTTTTTTTTACTTTCCTAGAACTCACAAGTTTTGTGTGTTTATTACATAGGCTGTGTTTCGAAGATACTTACGTCCGGAAAAAGATTACCTGTCATTTTCTCTTATATATCACAACGGAGATAGATCTCTTGATCTGGTTAGTAGGAAGTTAATACATTAAATTTCTTTGATTTTACACTCTTACGAAAATTATTATCACAACTTCATGTTAACACTCCACAGATTTGCAAGGACAAAGCTGAGACAGAGGTTTGGTTTGCAGGACTTAAGTCTTTAATTTCAAGAAACCGTAATAAGCACGCAAGAAGTGAGATCCCTGAGGTCTGTGTGCGTGTGTGTGTGTGTGAATTTGTGTTTATATACTTTCGATTTTTATATATCTCTAATACGTGATTGTAACTCATTTTCAGATACATGACAGTGAGTGTTTCTCCACGGGCCGTCCTTCTACCGCATCTATAGATTTTTTACCAAATAATATTCGAAGAGGAAGAACATCCATTGATTTAGGAATAGGTCCCCATAATAACTCTCCAAGAAAATCAGATGTGGCTTCAGAACGTGGAAACATGCTAAGACCAAGTACTGATGGTTTTCGGATTAGTGTCTCAAGCACACCGAGTTGTTCAAGTGGAGGGTCTGGCCCTGATGACATAGAATCCCTAGGCGATGTTTATGTCTGGGGAGAAGTTTGGAGCGACGCGATATCACACGATGGAACTGTAAACTCCAAAATCGTTAGAACAGATGTGTTGATTCCAAGGCCCTTGGAATCAAACGTTGTTCTAGATGTTCATCAAATTTCTTGCGGCGTAAGGCACATTGCTCTTGTGACAAGACAAGGTGAAGTGTTTACATGGGGAGAAGAAGCTGGAGGAAGGCTTGGACATGGGCTTCAAGTAGATGTTAGTCGTCCGAAACTTGTTGAGTTTCTTGCTTTGACCAACATAGATTCTATCGCTTGTGGAGAATATCATACTAGTGCTGTTTCTACTTCTGGAGATTTGTTTACATGGGGAGATGGAATCCACAACGTTGGACTATTGGGACATGGTAGTGATCTTAGTCATTGGATACCAAAAAGAGTCTCTGGTCCTGTTGAAGGGCTTCAGGTCTTATCTGTCGCCTGTGGCACGTGGCATTCCGCGATTGCAACAGCTAATGGGAAGTTATTCACTTTTGGTGATGGAGCGTTTGGTGTTCTTGGGCATGGAGATAGAGAGAGTGTTTCGTATCCTAAAGAAGTGAAAATGTTGAGTGGTCTTAAAACCATGAAAGTAGCTTGCGGCGTGTGGCATACCGTGGCTATAGTTGAAGTCATGAATCAGACCGGTACGAGTATGTCATCAAGAAAGTTGTTTACTTGGGGTGATGGTGATAAAAACAGGCTAGGGCACGGAAACAAAGACACTTACTTGCATCCCACGTGTGTATCTTCACTAATAGACTACAACTTCCACCAAATAGGTTGTGGTCAAACAATGACAGTTGCACTCACCACCTCAGGACATGTTTTCACAATGGGAGGGACTTCACATGGCCAGCTCGGTAGCTCAAATTCCGATGGTAAATTACCTTGTTTGGTTCAAGATCGATTAGTTGGTGAATTCGTTGAAGAAATCGCTTGTGGGGATCATCATGTTGCTGTATTGACATCAAGAAGTGAAGTGTTCACTTGGGGAAAAGGATCCAATGGAAGACTAGGACATGGTGATACCGAAGATCGAAAAACGCCAACATTAGTTGAAGCTCTCAAAGAGAGGCATGTAAAGAGCATATCATGTGGCTCTAACTTTACATCAAGCATATGCATCCATAAATGGGTCTCAGGAGCTGATCAATCAGTTTGCTCTGGTTGTCGTCAAGCATTTGGTTTTACAAGAAAGAGGCACAATTGTTACAACTGCGGTTTAGTGCATTGCCATGCTTGTAGCTCCAAGAAAGCTTTGAAAGCAGCATTAGCTCCAACTCCAGGGAAACCACACCGTGTGTGTGATGCTTGTTACACAAAACTTAAAGCTGGTGGAGATTATGTTTATAACTCTGGTGTTGGTAATAGAAATTCCACAACTCCTACACGGTCACTAGATGGCATGGTAAGACCAGACAGAGATGCAAGGTCTTCAAGGATTTTATTGTCTCCAAAAACTGAACCAGTTAAGTACTTTGAAGTTAGGTCATCAAGATCTGAATCTTCTATTATCCGAGCCTCACAAGTTCCAGCTCACCAGCATCTTAGAGATGTGGCATTCCCGAGCTCCCTTAGCGCAATTCAGAATGCATTCAAACCCGGTTCCTCACACTCCTCAAGTACAAGAACATCAAGAATACATAGCCCTCCACGAAGCTCTGGATTTTCTAGGACTGTGGTTGATAGTTTAAAGAAGACAAACGGTGTTATTAACCAAGAAATGACAAAACTTCAGAGCCAGGTTTGTCTATCATCTTAAGTTTTCAGTTTTTATCAAAAATTGAGATGACTTTTTAAACACACTAACAAAAATCTTGTCCACTTTCAGGTTAGAAATCTGAAAAAGAAATGTGATCATCAAAGTACAGAGATTCAAAGATTAAAGAAGACAGCAAGAGAAGCTTCAGAACTAGCTGTAAAGCATTCTTCAAAGCATAAAGCTGCAACAGAGGTCATGAAATCTGTCGCTGAACATGTAAGCTACTTACTTATATTATGGATCATGAAAATGCTCAAAAGATTTTCATAATGAGTCATTGTTATATTGATCATTCCTCTGTTTCACAGTTGAGACAGTTAAAAGAAAAACTACCCCCTGAAGTATCTGGATGTGAAGCTTTTGAATCAATGAATTCTCAAGCTGAAGCATATCTAAATGCGAGCGAAGCATCTGAAACATCTTTACCTACAACTTCGGGAACGAGTCAACAAGACACAACAACCCTTTCTGCAAACAAACAAGATCAAAACATAGAGGAACAACCATCATCATCCAATGGAAGTACAATGATGTCTCATCAAGAACCTTCAAACATAGCAGAAACATCTTCTCACCCGTCGAGTTCAAGGCTACCAACAGAATCTTCAACATCATCACCATCTAAATCAGGAGGCAAGGAGCTTATCGAACAATTCGAGCCTGGTGTTTATGTTACTTATGTATTGCACAAAAACGGTGGAAAGATCTTTAGAAGAGTTAGATTCAGGTACTTCATTAACTTGATAAATCCAAGAGTTTCTGATTCAGTTCCTACACCAACTCCACCTCCACCACCACCTCCTCCTACACTGCCAAATTCTGATCAAGGGGAGGATTCAAAAGAAGTTGTTGAAAGCTAGTACTCATGTGTATAATAATAGTATTTGGCAGAATAGATTGGAGAACAAGGCATCATTAATTGTAATGTCATCCAAAATAGATACAAATATTTTTTCTTTTTTTGCTTTGCATGTTAGATTCAAAAATTTCAGAGTATCAAGGCTTTTGATCCAAACAAGTTTTTTTTTCTTTTCCAAAGGATTTTAGGTAACAAACGGGTAAAAAATCATAAACAAATGTATTGAATAAGATCACCAATCTGATATCAAAAATTAAAAGGGCACTTAAATAGCATATAAATCAAACAGAATCAAGGCTTTTGATCCAAACAAGTTTTTTTTTCTTTTCCAAAGGATTTTAGGTAACAAACGGGTAAAAAATCATAAACAAATGTATTGAATAAGATCACCAATCTGATATCAAAAATTAAAAGGGCACTTAAATAGCATATAAATCAAACAGAAACAACTAGAATTAATAATTTGAGTAGGCTCTTTCATAGAAACTAGGTAATTGAATGGACTAGTCACCACCTTTTTCATTTGCCTCCAATTGCTGAATGTGAACCAAACTTGGAACATAACTGGCGAGAATTGGCCAATAATCACCTGGTACTTGTGCAACCTCTCCATGAACTTGTTTACATGCATGTATTTTCTTGTCTCCTTCAACAATGTTAAATATGGTCTTTCCCCCTCTTTTTTTTCCATCTTCTCTACCACAACACACGACTGTTTTATTCTCCTCGTCCACCAAGAAACTCTTCACGAAAAGCATATCACATGTCCAGATTTCACTGAAATCCACTACTAAGAAATATCGGACATTAGTTTTGGCCTCATTGATCTTAGAATCGGTCACCCATACCCAAACCTTTTTCTCTAATGAATCCAAACTGCCAAACCTCTCACGTAACCGCAGACAGTTTCTAGTCTCTAACAACTGAGAGAAACATACTTGCCTGATAGGTTCTTTTACACTGAGACGGAAGAGAAAGACGTTGAAATCTCTCTCTTTGAAAATCAAACCTGAGTAAGAAAGGAGGAGTGGAGTGTTTCTTTTTCATACTCAGCAGGCCAGTAAATCTTTCCTTTCAAAGATACGCCAGAGTTTCTTGTAAACGATAAACGAGCGCCCGCATAATCAAGTTCTTTCCATGAATCAGAATTAAAGTCATAGATTTCAAACCGAGTTTTAAAAAAACTAGAACATAAGAGTTTGTAGCTATGGCAAGATTTATTGTTGTTTACGTAACCTAGAAAATACTCATCGCTCCCTCTGTCAAAACTGCTGGGTTGGATCCACCTGGTTTGACCAGTACAAGGGTTCCAAACCACGAGTCCATGGTCTTTGGTCTGGCACAAGAATAAACCGTCACACTGAAAGATAGAATATATCATGACCTGTTCTGAATCGTTTAGACTGTTGAGTTTACCTGTAAACTCAATGGATGGATCAAAGCTGTTGTTTCTTCCATGGAGATTGACGTTAACTGAAAAAACCCCAGAACGTGTCTTTAAGATCGCCTGCCTTTCTGCTTTACCCAAATTCTTCTTGATGAATATAGGGTCTTTGAATAAAGCATACCATCGTGTGCAAGTAGATCGGAATTGGGTTAGAGTTGTGGCCGGAACCCTAGAAAGTATTTCCCATTCCAATTCCCGTGGGAGATCGGTAAACATCATTGTTTCTCTCCCAAGGAAGAAAGCGGCCACAGTACTGAAATGAGAAATTAGGGTTTTAACTTTTTAACATTCACAATTAATAATACAAGGAGAAAAAAAAAACTTAATCTAACGGTTCAGATTACTCCTTTTTAATCCAACGTGTCTCTTAAGAGTTAGTAGTAAATATATGTACATGTGAACTAAAGTAGAAAGTCTTTTGGTTTTGCTAGTCTTTGTCTCTTTGACCATTTCTTCTCCGAGTTGTTTGAGTTTGAACTTTGAAGTCTCGCTGTTTTGTCGTTATTTTGTCCTCTGAGTCAAGTCAACTCCTTATTTTCTCGGACATTTCTTTGCTAAAGAAAAGAAAAATTATAAGGAACAAAACAAACTGTCGTATAGTATGAAAGTCTTCGGGGGTTTCGTAATCGTTTCCTTTTTCATTTTCCAATTATTTCAAACTGAAGAAAAGTCCTCGGGGTGTTTTCGTAATCGTTCCCCTTTTCATTTTCCAACTCAAAGGCAAGAACTTTCCATATTCTATATATTTGAGATTTGATTTCAATTTTTTTCTGAGGTTATTCATTCTGATTTCTTCATAATTCTTGTGAAAATGGGGCAACAACAGTCGCAGGAAGAGCTTTTGTTTCAACAAGTGAGTCATAGTAACGTCGAAGGTATCAAATCCCTTCGCCACGAAGGAGCAGGAGTAGGACTCGAGGTTTTTCTTCTTTCTCCTCCATCTTTTTTCAAGCTTTGTAAGATTTCTCGTTTTTCTGAGGTTGTCACTGTGTTTTTGTATGTAGTGTGTTGATAAAGAAGGAAGAACGCCATTAATCTTAGCTTGTACGCAATCCAAGCTATATGATGTTGCAGAAACTCTGGTTGAGTTGGGCTCCAATGTCAATGCTTATCGTTCTGGTATCTATTATTATCAACAATCTTCTTTTCATTTCAAATCTTCTCTTTCTTGTTTTGGAGTGTTTCTGCTTCAATCCAATAATGAAATTTGTTGTCTTTTGAAACAGAGAAACTAAGAAAAACAGAATGTGAGAATATAGTGAATGTTTACATTTTGTTTTTTCATGGTATCACAGGTAGCAATGCTGGGACTCCTCTGCACCATGCTGCAAACAGAGGTCTCGAGAAGACGGTTAAGTTACTTCTGTCTCACGGTGGTAAGTTTTTGATGTCTTTCTTACCAAATTTTGATGACTGTTTTTTTTTAAGTGATCTATTTATATTGGTATTTCTGTTAATCTTTCTTGTAGCAAATCCATTGGTTTTGAATGATGGTTTTAATACACCTCTTGATGTTGCTAGAGCTAAAGGTTACAGCAATGTTGTACGCGCAATTGAGGTTTGCTTGTAACACTTATTTCATATTTTCTGGAATTGAAGTAAAAATATATGAAAGATCATGAAGCTATAACTTTGATTCTGTAGAGTCACATCTGCTTGTTCTCTGGATGGATGCGTGAATTCTATGGCCCTAGCTTTCTTGAAATGGTTGCTCCTCAGCTTCTTTCAAGAAGAGTGTGCGTATCCACTTATCTTTCACCATTTCTCTGTTTTGTTCTTTCTTATCTTTTCTTCTTGTTGCACATAAATATGAATCTGCTTTAGGAATTTTTTTGTGTGTGTTTGCAGATGGGTAGTTGTAGTACCAACTGGTTCACGAAATCCTGCAAAGCCTATCAAGTTGGAGTTGGTTGTGTATGCTAGTCTTGAGGTGCTTGAAAATCATAATTTCTCTTATGAGAACTGAGATTTGTTTAGAGTATTGTGTTTTCTTTCTTTACTTATGAAAATGTTATAATGATATAGGATGCACAACCAAGGACGGTGATGCCTTTGTGGAAAGCCAACTTGGAGGAACCGAAATCAGATCAGTCTGATGCTTCAGTGTCGATTGTTGATAACTCCAAAAGTAATTTTCTTTGACATTGTTTGCATGTTGATGGAATCTGTTTCTTCCTTGTTTGATTGAAACTTAATTATCATGGATAGGTCCAATGCGCAGAAGGGCGAGAATAAGAAGAGCATACATTTCTCACGCAAGGCGTTGGGCTCAAGTAGATTGGCGTAAGTAAACATAGTTTTCTTCTATCAATTCTTGTTTGCAAGAAGAAGGCATAAAAGCTATACTAAATTTGATTGATGCTTATGTGTTATATGCTCTTGCATTTTGAAACTATTCATTGAGTAAAAACCAAAAGTTCTTGTTGTTTTAATCTCAATTTTCTTTTTTCAGAAATACGTCTTAAGCTAGCAGCTGCGACCAAAGGCGACATGCAACAGCTAAATTGGTTTTGTGAGGCATGTAAAGGATTTCCACAGGTAGATATATTGCCATAAGATACAACTTTGGACTTAAAATATATTTGCTATTTGTGTCTCTTTGACTCTTTTGGACTTTTGATACAAATTTGATTTTTTTATACAGCCAATGAATCCTCCAATGTTTCTGCAAACATCTCAATCAACAACCTATGAAACCATCATTTCCAATGAGCTCACGCCGCCAGGACATGACGGTTCCATTCACTATCCTTCTGGCAAATGTGAGAGTAAAGACGATACTGGAGGATATGGAGAGTGTGTGATTTGTGTGGATGCATCATCTGAAGCAGTGTGTGTACCGTGTGGACATGTCGCTGGATGCGTTTCTTGCTTGAAAGAGATCCAAAACAAGAAATTGGGATGTCCCGTTTGTCGTGCCAACATTGATCAGGTCATTAAGCTTTACCATGTTTGAAAAAAGAAAAGACAAAGGGATCATAAGGATCTCCTCTATGGCTAGAAAGAAATAAGAATGTTGTATACCTATCTTATTTATTTGATTTAACATTTTTTGGATCCAACCTATAAAGCTATAAGAATTCTATAGCCTAAAGGAACTGTTTTCAGGATGTCTTTGTAAGATAACTACAATATTTATGTGTGTGATTCTCTCTCCATAAGTCGGAGTCTTATTTAGAACAATCCATACATAAATGTAGGACCACTTGGATGAGTTATGAACCTAGTCTGCATTTTATTATATTGAAACCAAGATCATACAAGGCTTCATACACAAAGAAGAGAGGACTCTTGGTCTCTTGGAAAAAAGAATAATCAAAGAAAGTAGCCAGAGACATATACACAAATTTACAAAGCAAAAAGGTAGAAAAAATGAACCTCAAAAAAAATTCAAATTACGTATATAACTTAAACTTTTAATTTTCATAGGTCAATAATATATTGGGAAAATGAGAAAGAACAAAAACACAATCTAACGATCTAGATGATTCTTTTTAATCCAAACTCCAAAGTATGTCTTAAGAGTTAAGAGTGAGTGTATATGTCAACTAGTAGTTGATGCACGGGGACGACAACTACAAGTCTTTTGGTCTCTCCTTTGAACATTTCATCTCCGAGTTATTTGAGTTTGAGTTACTTTCTCGGACACTTGTCACACTTTCATGGTAAGAAACGAAAACCCAAATTAGGTAAAAATATTTCGTACTGAAGAAAGTTCCTGGTATTTTCTCGATCGTTACCTTTTCTCATTTTGCAATGTCTTTTATGGATGCGTCCACACTCAAAGATAAGAACTTCCTATCCTCTATATAAATTTATATTTGATCTTCCATTTTTTGCTCATTTATTCATTTTTTTTTTTTATCTTTCCTTCTTGTGCAAGATGGGACAACAACAGTCTAAGGAAGAGCTGTTGTTTCGAAAAGTGAGTCACAGAGATGTGGAAGGTATCAAATCCCTTCGGCGTAAAGGTGCAGGACTCGAGGTTTTTCTTCTTTCTACTCCATCTTCTCATCTTAGCGATACTTTACTTTTAAAATCTTTGTGTTCTTTTTTTTTTCTGAATTTTGGCACTGTGTTTTTGTATGTATGTAGTGGGTGGATAAAAAAGGAAGAACGCCATTAATCTTAGCTTGTACAAAATCAAAGCTATATGATGTAGCAGAAACTCTGGTTAAGTTGGGTTCCAATGTCAATGCTTATCGTTCTGGTATTATTTATTATCAAGAATTTTCTTCCACAAACTTCTCTTTCTTGTTTTGGATTATTTCTACTTTAGTCTCAAAAAAGTGAATTTGTTCATTTTGTTTGATTTGTTTTATATCACAGGTCACAATGGTGGGACTCCTCTGCACCATGCAGCAAACAGAGGTCGCAAGAAGACGGTTAAGTTACTTCTGTCTCACGGTGGTACGTTTTTGATGTCTTTCTTGCCAATTTGAAGACTGAAATTTTAGTTTTTAGTAATATATTTATACTGCCAAACCTGTCTTTTTGTTCTTGCAGCAAATCCACTGGTTTTGAATGATGACTTTGAGACACCTCTTGATGTTGCTAGAGCTAAAGGTTACAGCAATGTTGTACGCGCAATCGAGGTATGTTTGTAACACTTTTTTTCATAGTTTTTCCTCAAATTGACTTATATGTAACACATGAATATGTCATGGAGCTATAACTTTGAAAATGTTTTGATTCTGTAGAGTCACATCTGCTTGTTCTCTGGTTGGATGCGGGAATTCTATGGCCCTTGCTTTGTTGAATTGGTTGCTCCTCAGCTTCTTTCAAGAAGAGTGTGCGTATCCAAGTTATTTTTTTACCATTTCGCTGTTTTGTTCTTCTTGTTGCACATGAATATGAATCTTCGTTACGACTTGTGTGTGTGTGTGTGTGTGTGTGTGCAGATGGGTAGTTGTAGTACCAACTGGTTCACGAAATCCTAAAAAGCCTTTCAAGTTGGAGTTGGTTGTGTATGCTAATCTTGAGGTACTTGAAGTTCATCATTTCTAGTTCTTATGAAACCAAGATTAGTTTTTAGTTTTGAGATTTCTTTATATACTTATGAAAATGTTATGATGATATATATATGGTTAGGATGCACAACCAAGAACGGTGATGCCTTTGTGGAAAGCCAACTTGGAGGAACCGAAATCAGATCAGTCTGATGCTTCAGTGTTGATTGTTGATAACTCCAGAAGTAATTTTCTTTGGCATTGTTTCCATGTTGATGGAATCTGTTTCTTCCTTGTTAATTGAAACTTAATTATCATGTATAGGTCCAATGCGCAGGAGGGCGAGAAAAAGAAGAGCTTGCGTTAGGCGCTGGGCTCGAGTATATAGGCGTAAGTGTTGTATCCATGAAACATTCTTACAAGCAGAATTTTAATGTGCATGTGTGTAAGCTATTAGTTCCGGACTGTATATAAGTAGAAATTGATGCTTCTATGTTATATATGCTCTTGCATTTTTAAATTGTTATAAACTTATAAATATCCTTTTTTTTTTTCAGAAATACATCTTAAGCTAGCAGCTGCAACCAAAGGTGACATGCAACAGCTGAACTGGTTTTGTGAGGCATGTAAAGGATATCCACAGGTATATATTGCCATTAGATACAACTTTGAAATTGAAGATATTTGATATTTTGGTGTCTCTCTGACTCATTTAACTTTTGATACTTAATTTGAAATTTGTACAGCCAATGAATCCTCCGGTGTTTCAGCAAACATCCCAAACAACAACCACTAAAATCACAGTTTCAGTTGAGCTTACGCCGTCGGCTCCTCCAGTTATGTAGAGTGTGAGATTTGTGTGGATGCATCATCTGAAATAGTGTGTGACATGTTTCTGGGTGCGGTTCTTGCTTGAAAGAGATCAACAACAAGAAATTGGGGTGTCCTGTTTGTCGTGCCAAGATCAGATCATTAAGCAATACCATGTTTGAAACAAAAACAAAATAAAAATTGGATCCGATCTCTCTGGTTGGATGATATAAGAATATTGTATAACTATCATCTCTTTTTGTGTGTGATGTCTTTGTGAGATAACTACAGTATTCTTACAAGTATTTAATGGATCACTGTATCACAGATTCACAGGTGGTTTATGTTTATCTATTTGGCTGTTACAAGTTATTAAAGTCGATTTTCTCTCTATAAAATATTAGTCTAATTTAGAACAATCCGTACCACTACTCCATTTATATTTTTTCTCATACTTTATGTACACACAACACTACAAGAAAAAGGGGTATCCACAGCTCACGTTAAACGCTATCATTAATATTTCATAGCGCTACTATGAACGCTATTTTAGTGTAATGTTCTACAATAATTGAAACGTGACTGATGTCCCACAACATTTGGTTACCCGATACATAAACGTTTGTTGACTAGCAGAGGATTCAAAAGAAGTTCTTGAAAAGCTTAGTACTCATGTGTATAATAATTGATTGGAGAGTTCGAAAATATAATGTCACCGATGTAGCTTCTCGTCATCGAAAATAGGTACAAAGATTAATATATTTCTTTGCATTTTAGGTTTTTAAACAAGTTTCTTTTCCAGTCGCTCCATATTTTCTGGTGACTTTATCCTTTCTTGGTTAACACAACGTTTGTAATTAAGGATAAGTCATGAAACAACATCAACGTTAAGACAAAAAAAAAGTCATGAAACAAGATGACCAAAAATCTGATTTCATAAGTAAAAAGAGGACTAAATGTATGTATATAAAATTAAGCAAAAAAAACAACCACAACTTATAATTTGAATAATCTCGTTAAAAAAACAAGGTATAATTAAATGGACTAATCGAGAATGAAGCTCATATAGAGCAAAAGGTTCACAAAAGTTCAGAAACGTGGGTACCAAGGAACAAAAAGAAACCTGACGAAAACATAAAAAAGAAAAGGTAGAGCATTCTCATAACTCTTCCTAGGTCGATGATGAAATAAAAATTTTTAATGGACTAATCAGCTTTTTCATTTGCCTCCACTGGCTGAATTTGAACCAAACTTGGAGCATAACTGAAAAGAACATGTGGCAGAAAATCAGTTGGTCCTTGTACAATCTCTCCACGAATATGTTTACATACATGCAGTTTCTGGTCTCCTCCAACAATGTAAACTATGATCTTCTCCATATCTTCCTTGTCTCTACCACAACACAAGGCCTTTTTATTCTCCTCGTCCACCAAGAAACTATCCACGAACGTCATAAATGTTCTCTTGATCTCACTGAAATCCACTACTAAGAAATATTGGATATAAGTTGTATCTTTGGCCTCATCGATCTTAGTATCGATCACCCATATCTTCAACTCAAATGGCTCCGTATTAAACCTCTCGAGTAACAAAGAAAGTTTCTCTTCTCTAACAACTGAGAGAAACAAATTTGCATTGTAAATACATTGAAACGGAAGAGAAAGATGTTCAAATCTCTCTCTTTTAAAATCAAACATGAGTAAGAATTTGCTACTGGGAGTGTTTTTTCTATCCCAAGCAAGCCAGTAAGTATTTCCCTTCAAAGACACGCCTTCACTACTTATCCTCCAGGTCTGAGCGACTTCATCAAGAAACCTCCATGAACCAGACTTGAATTCATAGATCTCCCACTCTGTAACCCGCCTTTTCAGGTCTCTGCTACACCTCAAGATTTTGTAGCTAGGGCACGAAGGTTTGTTGTTGTTTTCGTATCCTAAAGCATACAAACTTTCAACTTCACGATTACTGAATTGGATCCATCTGGTTTGGCCAGTACAAGGGTTCCAAACCACGAGTCCATGGTCATTGGTCTTGCACAAGAATAAACCGTCACACTGAAAGATATGAGATATCAAGACCTGTTCTGAATCTTTTAGACTGTTAAGTGTACCAGTAAACTCAATGGATGGATCAAAGCTGTTTTGGTTTCTGATGCTAACTGAATAAACACTACGATATGTCGTCAAGATCATCTGCCTTGCTGCTTTATCCGAATTCTTCTTGATGAATCTAGGGTCTTTGAGTAAAGCGTACCATCGTCTGCAAGTAGATCGGAATTGGTTTAGAGATGTGGGCGGAACCCTAGAAAGTATTTCCCATTCCAATTCCCGTGGGAGATCGGTAAACATCATTGTTTCTCTTGTGTCTCCCTCACAAGGACGAAAGCGACAGCACTGAAAAGAGAGATTAGGGTTTTAAGTTTTTGACTTTGACGATAGTTTCAATAATACTTCATCAGAATATATATAGGAAAAAGAAAAAGAAAAAGAAAACATCATCTAACGGTTTAGAATTTTAGATGACTCCTTTTTTAATCCAACGTCTCTCTTATAAGAGTGAATTTAATATGTAAAACTAGAAAGTCTTTTGGTCTCTCCTTTGAAAGATCCAACGATCTACCTTCCTGTTTTTTCATCAGTTTCATTATTTCTTGATTAACTTACTCCCTTGCTTACATTCTGTCTTTCGTCCTTTTAACTTCTTTACTTTCCATACTTAACGTACGTGCTTTGCTTATTTTCTCACTAACTACCCAACCTCTAGAAGAAACAGAATTTGGAACCGTGTGACATTAGGACCAAAGCCGTTCACAGGCAGGCTTGCATTGTCTCTCTTCCAAGAGAGCTAGCACCCCAATCTCAAAGCCAACGACCACACACACCACACACCAAATAAAACAAAAGCTCCATTCCCATATTTATAGATGTATTATTGACAATTCACGGAATTTTAGGTAAAAAACTGTTAGAAAATTATAAATTTTTTTAGAATGGCTCTTTTTTTAGAATTTGCAAAATCTGAAGAAGAAATGTGTAGTTTACAAATCTCCCCCAATATTAAAGAGAGAACGCCGACAAAAACAACTCTGTCGATTGGTAAAAGTAGAAACCAAAAAAATATAAATATTAACGACCTCCACTCCACACGGCTCTCTCTCTCTCTCTCTCTCTCTCTCGTCACTTGCAGTGTCGCTGCCGCTTTGCTGCCTTCATTCCCATTTCCACCAGTCAATAACGAGTAGAAGAAAGTTCGTCTCTTTCCTAATTTTAGAAGATAGAGAAGCAATCCCATCTTCACTTCTTTAGATCTGACACTCTCTCTCCTTCTCCGTTTCTCTCTGTATCCGGAGACACTCTCTGCCTCGATCTGTCATTGTCTCTTTAAAAACCGAGAACCTTACTCGTGTGAGTCCCTCTCTGATCTTTCGGGGGTTTCGCTTCTGTCAGTTGATTTTTCGGATTTCGATTCTGTTCTTATCAACTTCTTTAAAATTGGTGGAGATATACGAATCGGTTTTACTGTGTCTTGTAGGTTTGATCAATTCGATGATTCTCTTATGATTTTCGATATTCCTGGGGTTATCCTTATATGGTTAGATTGATACAAGTGAATAATGTACTGTTGATCGATCCGGTTCTGTTTCATACCAATTGTTCACTCTTGTCCATTAGATTCTGCTTCTGTTTCACACACCATATCTCTGTTATCAAAGCTTCATATTGTTTATGGTTCCAAATTCTTACAGGACGCTGACAATCAACTGTTTCGTGAACTGAGTGTTACTCACTTCCTCAAGTGCCAGATTCTGTATTATTGTAACTTGGTATTCGAATTGTTAAGTTTGGCCTTATTTTTTGAGTTTTGTAATAATTTCCTTACCATGCCTTGTCCTGAGTTTCTAAGTTTAATCATGTCAGAGATGTAGTTTCAAGCTTTTCTGTTGTAGTTTCTATGTTCTTAGAAAATCTCATCGCTTCTATTCTTACAGACATTGATCACTGTCTTTTTTTTCTCACGTGGAACAGACATTGATCATCAATTTCTTTATACTGAAGTCGGAGCGTTGAATCTCTGTATAGAAAGGCAATGAGAGGTAGATCAGAAGGAGGGCAAAAGAAACGAGTGATCGCTTTCGTTTGCTTTGTAGCGCTAGTCCTCGTGATCGTATATCTGTTCTACGGCTCTTCTGATCATAGAGCATCAGCTATTGAATACGGTAGAAAACTAGGATTAAATGGAAATGATGATGATACCACCAAAAAGGACGACACTTCCAGCTCCTCGTTTGTTCTTGCTGATGGTTTCACGCCGAGAAGCTTCCCCGTAAGTCTTAGATCATCTTCTCATTTCCCCATTGATGGTTAGGTTCTCAAGTTTTCTTCTTTTTTCCATAGGTGTGTGATGATCGGCATTCAGAGCTTATTCCTTGCTTAGACAGGAACCTCATATACCAAATGAGACTGAAGCTTGATTTGTCGTTGATGGAGCATTACGAACGCCATTGTCCTCCTCACGAAAGACGATTCAACTGCTTGATTCCTCCTCCCAATGGATATAAGGTATGCCTGTGTGTGTGTGTGTATTCTCTCCACTTGTCTTTGACTCTCTTGAACATAAACTGTTTTCTTTCTTATAGGTTCCAATAAAATGGCCAAAGAGCAGAGACGAAGTGTGGAAAGTGAACATACCTCACACTCACCTCGCACAAGAGAAGTCTGACCAAAACTGGATGGTGGTCAAAGGAGACAAAATCAATTTCCCTGGTGGTGGCACACATTTTCACTACGGTGCTGATAAGTACATTGCATCCATGGCAAACGTAAGCCACTCTCTTGCTTTGGTTTATCAGTTTATGTTATGACTCTTAACAAACGAAATTTTGTTCTTCAGATGCTTAACTTTCCGAACAACGTTTTGAACAACGGAGGAAAGCTAAGGACAGTGTTCGACGTTGGTTGCGGTGTTGCTAGCTTCGGAGGTTACCTTCTATCATCAGATATCTTGGCAATGTCTTTAGCTCCAAACGATGTGCATCAGAACCAAATCCAGTTCGCTCTCGAGAGAGGCATCCCTGCTTCTCTCGGTGTTCTAGGGACGAAGCGGCTTCCATACCCGAGCAGGTCGTTCGAGCTCGCTCACTGTTCTCGTTGCAGGATCGACTGGCTTCAGAGAGACGGCATCCTTCTTCTCGAGCTAGACAGAGTGCTCAGACCTGGCGGCTACTTCGCGTATTCGTCTCCGGAGGCGTACGCGCAAGACGAAGAGGATCTCAAAATCTGGAGAGAGATGAGTGCTCTTGTGGAGCGTATGTGTTGGAAGATTGCTGCGAAGAGGAACCAGACTGTTATTTGGGAGAAGCCTTTGACGAATGATTGTTATCTTGAAAGAGAAGATGGAACTCAGCCTCCTATGTGTCGCTCTGATAATGATCCTGATTCTGTTTGGGGTGTTAACATGGAAGCTTGCATTACTCCTTACTCTGAACGTAAGTTTCTTCTCTTGCAAGTTAGGTTTGTGATTAGCAAAATTTGAAAATTGATTCCGGTTTATAATTAGATGATCATAAAACCAAGGGGAGTGGATTAGCTCCATGGCCGGCTCGGTTAACCTCTCCTCCACCTAGGCTTGCTGATTTTGGTTACTCAAATGGCATGTTTGAGAAGGACACGGTAATAAAGAAAAAACCATAACTTCTCTGTTACTGACAATCTAAAAACATGGACTGTTTAGTCACATTATTTGTTTTTTTTTTTTTTTTTTTTTTTTTCTGTATAGGAACTTTGGAGGCAGAGAGTGGATAGTTATTGGGATCTCTTGAATCCTAGAATGGAGTCAGATACAGTGAGGAACATAATGGACATGAAAGCAAGCATGGGCTCATTTGCTGCTGCGCTGAAAGAAAAAGATGTGTGGGTCATGAATGTTGTCCCTGAGGACGGACCTAACACGCTGAAACTGATATACGACAGAGGTTTAATGGGCGCTGTACATAGCTGGTCAGTTTCTACTTGAATAACAAATGAAACGTTGCAATATTATCTCGAGTCTTTAGTTTCTTGATTTGGTTTCTTCAGGTGTGAAGCATTTTCGACATATCCAAGGACCTATGATCTTCTCCATGCTTGGGACGTTCTGTCGGATATGAGTAAGAAAGGGTGTAGTGAAGTGGATTTGTTGCTGGAGATGGATCGGATACTGAGGCCGAGCGGGTTTGTGATCATAAGGGATAAACAGAGAGTTGTGGATTTGGTGAAGAAGTATCTAAAGGCATTGCATTGGGAGGAAGTAGGGACAAAGGTAGATAGAGATTCAGATCAAGATTCGGATAACGTTGTGTTCATTGTCCAGAAGAAGCTTTGGTTGACTAGTGGGAGCCTTGGAGATATTGAGTGATGATAAGTTATGAAGAAGCCACACACGAGAGAGATACACAGACATTCCGAGCAATGAGAGCATACATTACAAACCAAAGATACTTCATTATTGTAGCAACATTTTATTAACGTTGTTTGTTTTAATTTTTGTTACATTCTTTTATGTTGTTTGTATGATTTGGTAGAGAAGACTCATATAAGTCATGATCGATATAAAGCTGCAAATTCTTTTGATATGTTTTTTTTTTGGTCAACATTCTTTTGATATGTTATGATAGATTTATAACAAAATATTGCTGAGAAAAGAGAGTCTCGAGAGAGAGAGAGTACACGCAGAAGAAGAAAGAAAAAGCGGTTTTGATGTCTAACCAAAACGACGACGTTTTGCGAACTGAAAAACCTTAAAATCGATTTGTGTTTCGCGCCTTGGAGATTTTTTTCACGGCATTCCGAATTTGGGATTTTTTTTTTTCATGAGCAAACCCTAAATTCGATTACTCAGATTGAAATCAAGGGAAAATCGATACCATCTTAAAAAAAAATCGACTTCTTCCATCACTTGACCTCTGTTATTTAGTGAATTGAAGGTAATAGTACTTTCAAATCGTTTCTATTGTGTGTTCTTCTGGTTTTGCGATATTGAGAAATTGGTGAAAATTTGTTTGATTAGGATTTGGTCTGATGATTTTTGTGCGTTTGTTTAATATGGGTTCGAATTTTGTGGGTTTGTTTCGTGTGTGTGAGTTAAGGAAGAGAGCTGTGAAATGTTTATCGAAGAAACCAAAATCGGCTGCTTGATTTATGATGCTCAAGAAGACTTAGCAGTTTAGTGGTCTTGAAAGAGTCTAAATGTTATTTCTGGATATTACTAGGGTTTATGAATAGGTTTAGTATTCTTGAAAGAGTCTAGGGCTTTTAAATTGTTGATGCTTACCACTTGTTTGATGAAATGTCTCAGAAGAAGAGTAGATTCGATCATGAGTTTATACAAAAAGATATATAATGCTCTTCTATGTTATTGCTGTGATCTTTACTCTTTTCATGATCCGTAAAGGCAAACGATAGAGATATGCAACATCAATAACATAAAATATTTTGCCTTTCTTGTTTCTTTGTCCAGATGTTGTCATGCAAGGACATAGACGAGGCATTGCAGAAGAAGCACCAGGACATGCTCCAACGCCTCTCTGCTCGTCACCAATCTCTTAAACCCGATTCACCTGACTCTTCCTCTTCGACCTCCTCCTTCCTCGCCAGATTCGCCGATTCCAAGCGGTCAGTCGATTCTCGAATCGCCGCAGAGTCACGACTCGCTTCTTCAGCATCAGCGGATACGTCCAAGCTCAAATCGGATCTAGCGGAGATTTCCTCGGCGATTGACGATCTCGAGAAGCTCCTCGCTGAGAACTCCTATTTCCTTCCTTCCTACGAAGTCCGGTCGTCTCTTAAAGCCGTATCAGATCTCAAGCAGATTCTCGATACCCTCTCCACCGAGTTAGTCCCGAAGAAGAAGTTCTCGTTCAAGAGCAAATCCACTTCCAGAAAGCCGCCGGAGATCCAGAAACTCAGTGTCGTTTCACCTCCGAAACTACCCGTCCGCGTCGGCGATTCTCCCGGATTTAGGAACAAACATGGAGAGACTCTGGTGAAAAGCTTCAGAGGCTCGTCGTCGATCGGAGAATTCAGACTCTCAGATCTCGACACGTGTCAGATAAAACTCACGGGGGACTGTGAATTCTCTCTTTCTCCACCGGTTGAGAAACTGCAGTGTCTACACAGGTCCGGTGATCGGTTCGATTCTGATCGACGACGTGGAAGATTGCGTTCTGGTTCTGGCCTCGCATCAGATCAGAATCCATTGCGCGAGGAAGAGTGATTTCTACCTGAGAGTAAGGAGCCGTCCCATAGTCGAAGACTGCAACGGTGTCAGATTCGCGCCTTACTGTTTGGATTATGAAGGGATCGAGCAAGATTTGAGGACGGCGGGTTTGGAGGTGGAAACGGGGAAATGGTCAAATGTGGATGATTTCTTGTGGCTGAGAGCCGTACAGTCTCCTAACTGGTCCGTTTTACCGGAAGAAGAAAGACTTTCTTCGGTTTTCATTTCCTGCGACGGAGATTCTTAGATTCTTGATCAAATCATCAGGTACCACTTCCTTCAAGCTTGTGATCTCTGTACATTTATGTGTGTCATCTCCAAAGAAATAGCGGGTTTGTAGTCATAAGGGATAAACAGAGAGTTGTGGATTTGGTGAAGAAGTATCTAAAGGCATTGCATTGGGAGGAAGTAGGGACAAAGTTAGAGACAGATTCATATCAAGATTCAGAAAATGTTGTGTACATTGTCCAGAAGCAGCTTTGGTTAACTAGTGAGAGCCTTAGAGATATGGAGTGATGATGATTGATGAAGCCACACGAGAGAATAGATACACAAACATTACGACCAATGAGAGCATAGACAACCAAGAAACTTTATTATTATTGTAGCAACATCTGTTAACATTGTACTTTTTTAGAAGAAATGGTTGTTCTTTTTCTTCACATTCTTTTATGTTGTTTTGTATGATTTGGTTGAGAAGACTGATACAAGTAAAGATCGATATAAAGCTGCCAAAAATTATATGGTATGGTTTTTCATTGTAAATCTGTGTTTTGATGAATATTAATTTTTTTTTTCAAAAATATTTTTTGTCAATAACTTTGACATTTATTCTTGGCTTTTGACATTGCCATCGAACATATTTCCCGTGGAGGGGTCCACGCGGAATAATAAAGCCGCTCAATCCACACTTCTCAAAGCTCAAATTTAATCACTTTCCCTCAATAAATATTCAGTTTTTGGCATTAAAATCAATTTACTTCCTTTCCTTTATAATTATCCTGACAATCTTTTATTTTTGGTTAAGAAGAAGTGTAGAACCAATTAAACCCTTAATTTACGCTAATCAACTTTAGTTACTACATAAAATTAATTTTCATTTGAACCTAATCCCCTAAAAGAATATTATAACACAATATTGCTGAGAAAGGAGAAAGAGAAAATAAAAAAACAACTGAAAGAAGAAGAAGAAGAGAGAGAGAGAGAGAGACGGAGAAGAAGAAGAACAGTAGTGCCTAGTCATTTGCAATTCACACACATCGAAAGCGATTATATAAAAGTTTCCAACTTTTTCTTTCCCCTTTTCTTCTTTCAATTGTAAGAATTCGATCCTCAAAAATTTGAAGAACATTAAGGCAAGAATTGAGGAATCCGAATCCCAGGAATCGAGGTATGTCTTCTTCTTTCTCTCACCACAAATTGCGGGTCTCTGTCTCTGTGTGGTCTCCATGTTCTGTTCCCTAATCTAACGCTTGTTTCTTGAGGTTTCATTACATCTCTGTCTCTGTTCCTCTTTCGTTGAGATCGAGCTTTGTTAAAATTGAGTAATTTCAGGTTTGGTGCATTTTAGGGTTTCCTGTTTGATTTCACATTTCCCCCAAATTTCGAGTGTGCATTTGGTATTTCCAGTGATTCCCATATTAATCTAATCATCACAGATCTATTAGGTTGTGTCCTGCTTCGAAATGATCATGTAATTGACTGATTTCTTTCTTAGTAATCAGTGTAGAATTTCTCAATTTTAGATTCAGATACATTATTGATTTGAGTATAAGGTTATGCTGTGACCTGTGAGCCCCAAAGTTATCACCTTTGAGCTCGTTTATGTTATTTGTTGAATTGCCTGAGTTTCTGTTCAATGTTCTTACTAATATATGTCCGCTTGTTGTGTAGGTGTGAAGCAGTAGAAATCTAATCACTGTTACACATAATTGGATTCAAACTCATTCGTCTCGCTTATCAAACTCTTTGCTCACTTGTACATAAAGCTCTAGTTTGGTGGGGAAGCTAAAGGGGGAGAGAAAATGGAGACGGCCAAAGCTTGGCTGAATAAGTTAAAATCTAAAGACAAAGCGAAATCCTCGAAAAAGAAGGAAGCCACAAGTAATGTAAAGGAAGCACCGAGAACACCTGGAGGTGAAGAAGTACTGTCAAATGTAACCAAGGAGAAAGCTGCTGCTGCGAAGCTATATATTGAGAATCATTACAAAATGCAAATGCAGAGTCTTCAGGAAAGAAAGGAGCGGTAAGGTTTCATTCATTACATGCTTTTCACTATGTAATTATTTTTTTTGTCATGCTTGGAAAGATTTCAATGGTTGCTTTTTCTTATTTTTTTGGTATTTGTATATTATGCAGACGCAAAATGCTTGAGAAGAAATTAGCTGCTGCGGAAGTCTCTGAGGAAGAGCAAAACAACTTGTTGAAGGATTTGGAGTTGAAGGAAACTGAGTACATGCGTCGTCAGAGGCATAAAATGGGAGCTGATGACTTCGAGCCGTTGACAATGATTGGGAAGGGTGCATTTGGAGAGGTAACATATCTTTGCTTCATCTCTTTCACAGATCATATTTTGTTTACTCAACCTTCCATTGTCATGCATCTATGGACATCATCTCGAAAGTGAATCCTTCCTCTACATGAGTGTTACGCGTAACCCTAATTTATCCTCCTTTATAATTTCTGTTTTTCTCTCTTTTTGCAGGTTAGGATCTGTAGGGAGAAGGGAACAGGCAATGTCTACGCAATGAAGAAGCTTAAGAAATCTGAGATGCTTCGCAGAGGACAGGTATTAAGATTCCTCCCAGCCGCTTTCGATTTGACACTTGTTTGGTTGGTTGATGTGTTTGTGAAATCTGATTTTCAGGTGGAACATGTGAAAGCAGAGAGAAACTTACTTGCAGAAGTTGATAGCAATTGCATTGTCAAACTGTATTGTTCTTTCCAAGATGATGAGTATTTGTATCTCATAATGGAGTATCTACCTGGTGGAGATATGATGACTTTACTTATGAGGAAAGACACTCTTACTGAAGATGAAGCCAGGTTTTATATTGGAGAAACTGTCCTGGCTATTGAGTCTATTCATAAGCACAACTATATCCACAGGTCAGTGAGGCAGAACAATTACTTAGTTGTAGCTCCCATGTCTGTTAATATGTTCTAAACGTCATTTTGTTTCTTTTCCAATGCGATACAGAGATATCAAGCCTGATAATCTTCTACTTGACAGAGAGGGCCACATGAAATTGTCAGATTTTGGATTATGTAAACCATTAGACTGTAGTAATCTTCAGGAAAAAGATTTCACAGTTGCAAGAAATGTTAGTGGGGCTTTACAAAGTGATGGACGCCCCGTGGCAACAAGACGCACCCAACAGGAGCAACTGCTAAACTGGCAGAGAAATAGAAGGATGCTTGTAAGTTTCAGTTGTGCATTTTCTCAGATATATGTCCACTTTTGCAAGAATGAATTCAGTATCTTTCGTTCATGGAGGGTGTTTTCTCTCCGTTGATATAAAAATCTGTGTTACATATAACTTAATAGGTTAAGGTTATTGGTTTCAGGCTTATTCCACCGTTGGAACTCCTGACTATATTGCCCCAGAAGTTCTGCTGAAAAAAGGATATGGAATGGAATGTGATTGGTAGGTGCAACCAACTATTGGTTTTTTGCTTTTTTTCTGTAGTGCAGATAATTAATATGGATGAATAATCTTGAGAGTAATCTTTCTAGGTGGTCTCTTGGCGCCATTATGTATGAAATGCTTGTAGGGTTTCCGCCATTTTATTCAGATGACCCAATGACAACTTGTAGAAAGGTAATTGATCCATAGCTTTTTGTGTACTTTCCATTTGAATATTGGAGGCAGACTGTAGATCTCAAGTCTAATATTCAATTTAAGTCTTTTGGTATTGTGTCTCGTTGGTAATATTAATTTGAAACTTACCTTTTTCTTTTTTTCATTGTGTGCCACCTTGTGAAGATAGTAAATTGGAGAAATTACTTGAAATTCCCAGAAGAGGTTAAACTATCACCAGAAGCCAAGGATCTTATTTGTAGGCTTCTATGCAATGTTGAACAAAGGCTTGGAACCAAAGGAGCAGATGAAATTAAGGTGCTGTGTCCGTTATTCAACATTTGAGATTTGAAGGTCCCTTATCTAAGATTATTGTGATGAACCCTAATAAACGCTTTGCTGCTTTCTTTTAGAACCACCCTTGGTTCAGAGGTACCGAGTGGGGAAAATTGTACCATATGAAGGCTGCCTTCATTCCTCAGGTCAATGATGAGTTGGACACCCAAAATTTTGAGAAATTTGAAGAGGTAATCATCAGCTCATGATGTATATATGTGCCAACAATGATATCTGAGCTCCTGATAAAGAAAATCATTTCATATTCTTCTTTTGATTCCTTCTGAAACAGACTGACAAGCAAGTTCCAAAGTCATCAAAGTCAGGTCCATGGAGAAAGGTACGACATAATCATTGACTTTCTCGCGTTATGTCTCATGATTCGACAAGTTCACCCGCTTTTATTATCTAGTAGATGAGTAAACCATACTTCAAAATCTGAGGTATATGAGGGTTACGGTGTGGTGATGATACTATGAGCACAGCTCAAAGATTCCATGCAACAAAGAGCTCAGAATGATGAATATTGCTCATTTTGTCTTTGTCCTATCCGTTTCTACTTTTGCCTTATATAATAAACATTCACTCTTTTAGATTCAAATTTCCTTATGGAGATTTAGAATTTGGAACAGCTGCTTGGGTTGCTATTAGAAGAATTGTGTTGTTAATTTGCCAGTTGTGCTTGTGCTGTGTGTGCATGAGTCTTATATCTTCTTGGACCAACATGAGAACCTGTCATTGGAATATGCCATGAACTAAAAGGAATTGTGTGAAGTTATAATTACAGAATTTTGTGTTGCCTTTGGCTTTCTTATAACATGAGGTTGGCTTTCTGTTTTTTTTTTTTTCTCTTCTCCAGATGCTCTCATCCAAGGACATAAACTTTGTGGGCTATACTTACAAGAACGTTGAAATCGTAAACGATGACCAGTTACCAGGGATAGGTATTTCATTTTAACCCTACTAGTACTACTATGCCTGAAGAAGAAGCAACATAACTAGATTGCCTTGTAATCTAGTTATGTGTGTGCTGCATTGTAATCTCTTTTCATTGGTACAGCTGAGCTAAAGAAGAAGAGCAATAAGCCAAAGCGGCCTTCGATCAAATCCCTCTTTGGTAAAATCCTTTTCCCTTTTTTATTATTTTGTGTTGAAAGCAAGTGGCAGTAAGTAACCAATCTCTCTCTAACTTCAATTGTGGGAAACAACACGAACAGAGGATGAAGCATCTGGTGGCACAACAACAACAACACACCAAGGAAGCTTCTTGAATCTGTTACCGACGCAGATCGAAGATCCTGAGAAAGAGGGCAGTAAATCTAGCTCATCCGGGTGAAGGAGAGCCCCCCGATTTGACTCATTTGCACAGCCTGAATCAGACTTCTTCTTGTTTAACTTGTGTGTGTTGATTTTCTTTGAAAGCCTTTTGTTTTCTCCTGAAGAGTAAGCAAATGGAGTTTCAACAAAAGTAAAGTCTCCTATGGAAGCGAAGGCTCCTTGAGGGAGAGAAGGATTTGCTTAATTGTTTCAACATAGGGTTGTTTGATTGATGTCAAACTTAAAAAAAAAAAGGGTAAATATTCTTTTACTTTCGGGATTGGTTTTGTTTATTTATTTACTTCACGGGGAGAAGAATGAGAGTTTTGGTGTTTTATTTATGTTTCCTTCGTTTAATCAAAACTTGGTTGTATTAATACACCTCAATATGAAATCTTCACCCCCTGCTTTACTAAGTCTGTAGAAAAGTATGGTTAAATTCACTATGACCCCATTCTTGTTTTATTAAGTGCAAACAAGTTGCAGAATAAATTTGCAGAAGATACAATAAACAAAGAAGATGACCGGACGAAGCAGCAAGTTTCAAGAAAACAGAAATCAAGCTTCCATAGTAAAAGACTTGACGTAACATGGAATCTACTGATTAAAACTTAAACGTGTTTAGGGTTTCGAGAAATAGGAGTGCACTGAAGGGGATGAGCCATGCTCAACGTCAATGCTCCACGAGCTTCTTCCATGTTAACCTTATCTCCATCGATCCTCCAATCAAAGCACTGCACCATCATTCCAATCGCCGTTATAAGTACGATATAAGCTAGATTTGATCCAGGACATGCTCTCCTTCCACCACCAAAAGGAAGGTACTTAAGCTCTCTTATCTCTTCCTCTACTTGGCCTGATCTTGACGAAGAACCTAGAAACCTTTCTGGCTTATACTCTTCAGGGTCTTCCCAGACATTCGGATCTCTCATCACAGCATAACTGTTTACAACAAGTAGTATGTTCTTTGGTATGTTGAACCCTCTAACCTTACACCCTCTTCGGAACAGCCTTGTCAATATAGGAATTGGTGTGTGTAACCTCAGCCCTTCCTTGACGACCGCTTGCAAATAAGGAAGGTTTATTAGATCCGCTTCTTGAATCAACCTTGACTTCCCAACCACGGAATCAATTTCTTCTCTTAACCTCTCAAGAATCTTAGGGTTGTTAATCATCTCGGCCATGGTCCATTGTATTGCTTGCGCTGACGTATCAGTGCCACCAACCAAAAGATCCTACAAGTTTTCAAACTTAGCCAATGTAATTCATTGTCTACCAAAAAAAAAATTATTGTCTACAAGTCTGGAATCATGTATTTTATATAGGGTATATATATTTACCATGACCAATGACTTCATTTGGTTCCTGTTGATCTGATACTCTGCGGTTTTGTCTCTATAAGCTGCCAATAGCACATCAGCCATGTCACTACCTTGATGATCCTCTGGCTTCTCTTCGTACTCCGTAAGAATTCTTTCCATCAGCTCGTCGCCTCTGCGGGAAACACTCATTATCTCCTTTTTAAACAGCGAGATCCCGAGCTTCTCAAACGGCCTGCGGAAGATAGCCGACAAGAACGCTTTCTTCATCATGCCAAGGCTGTCGGTTACTAAGCTCCTCATCTTCTCAGCTTCACCGTTCTCTTCTGAAATACTCTTCCCCAACATCATCTTGCAAATTCTATTGTTGGTGAGCTTCATCGCTTCTTTACCAATGTCAACACTCTCTTCCTTCATCGCTTTATCTAGTAGGTTTGAGTAAAGCTGCTCTAGCTCGTTTGCACGGACGTCTCGTGACCTCTCGAGTGCTTGAGATCCAAGCAGTTTTGTGACCGTGAGTTTTTTCATGAACTTCCAGTAATCTCCATAAGGAGCCATGAGGAAGCTGTAGGACCCGAGTAAGAGAGACTCGTCGACTGCAACGTGGCCGCGAGACGAGACGTTAATGTCTTGCACCTTAAAGATCTCATGGGCCATTGAGGCAGAGGAGACGAGGAGAATGCGGACGTTGAAGACGCGAAGATGGAGGAAATCTCCGTACTTGGATGAGAGTTTCTGTAACGACTTGTGGACTAGAGAAGAGAAGACAAGGTGAAGATGGCCGATGATTGGAAAAGAAGGAGGGCTCGGAGGCAGATCATCATCACAGCCAAACTTTGGTTTCTTGAAGAAGAGAGAGTAACAGAGGACTGAGAAGAGACAGAAGAGAGAAAATATGAAGAAGGTTTGAAAGTCAACGGTCATCATTTCTGACATTGTTGTTGGCTTGTTGCTCAACCGTGAAGAACCAGATGGAACGGTCTTATATCAAGAATCCATGAATGGTCTCTCATTTTGGAAAAACGTGAAGTAACAGAAAGCTTAATTAATAACTCTTTTCTTTTTAATGAAAGATAGTAAGAGAACGTGTCTATTACCCAAATGATAAGTAAAACAGTTATGTTAACATGTATTTGCTTTTGTTAAACTCTATCTTTTTTTCTTGTTTTTGCGGTATTGATCACGATCTAATTAATAAGAAAACGTAAATAGGAAACGTGTTCATCATCCATATGTTAAGTAAAATACGTACTTCTGCAACATGCATTTGCTTGTGTTAAACTCTAGCTTTTTTGTTTTGCTGCGGTAATCGTCATCTAATGAGAAAACGTGTTCATCATCCAAATGACAAAATAAAATACTTCTGTCAACATGCATTGGAACTTGAGGCATGAGCTGCACTGGCTTGCCCACGACCACGAACAGGGTTGAAGCCACCACGACCTCCACCTCTTCCACGTCCACCACTCGGATTTTTGTTCCTGTCCGTCCACGGTCCACCACTCGGGAAAACCGATCAACTGCCAGCACTCTTTCTTCTCATGCCCTGAACGCCCACAATGACTGCACAAGGTGTTCCGATCACGCCGGATAGACGAGGACGACGACTCAGAGCGAGAATCAGTTTGACTTGGACGAACAGAGACAGGCAACTCCTCACGTCGAGTGGTGAAACCCAACGTCTCTTGCTGTTGCTCGCGTACTCGAGCTGACGTTAAGCGCTGTTCCTCGCGGACAATCTTGGCATGAAAACTTGGTTGTATTATTACACCTCAATATGAAATCTTCACCCCCTACTTTACTAACTTCTGTTGTCTGGAGAAAAGTACGGATTGATTCACTATGAGCCCATTCTTGTTTTATAAAGTGAAGACAAGTTACACAAGAAAATTGCAGAAGATACAATAAACAGGGAAACAAAGAAGGTGACCGAACGAACCAGCAAGTTAAAAGACTTGACAATCTACCAGATTAAAACTTAAAACGGGTTCAGGGTTTCGAGGAATAGGAGTGCACTTAAGAGGATGAGCCATGCTCAACGTCAATGCTCCACGAGCTTCTTCCATGTTAACCTTATCTCCATCGATCCTCCAATCAAAGCACTGCACCATCATTCCAATCGCGGTTCCTAGTACGATATAAGCTAGATTTGATCCAGGACATGCTCTCCTTCCACCACCAAAAGGAAGGTACTTAAGCTCTCTTACCTCGTCCTCTACTTGTCCTGATCTCGAAGAGCCTCCTAGAAACCTTTCTGGGTTAAACTCCTCAGGGTCTTCCCAGACATTGGGATCTCTCATCACAACATAAGTGTTTAAAACAAGTAGTGTGCTCTTCGGTATGTTGAACCCTCTAACCTTACACCCTCTTCGGAACAGCCTGAACACTACAGGAAATGACGGGTGCAATCTCAGTCCTTCCTTGACGACCGCTTGCAGATATGGAAGGTTTGGTATATCCGCTTCTTGAATCAACCTTGTGTTCCCTACCACATAATCGATTTCTTCTCTTAACCTCTCAAGAACCTTAGGGTTGTTAATCAGCTCGGCCATGATCCATTGTATTGCATGCACCAATGTATCAGTGCCACCACCAATAAGATCCTACAAGATAAACATTTGTTTATTAGTCAGGGGGATTCATTGTGAGTCTAGATTCTAGGAAAACAAAAAAAAAACACTAGGAGGTTCTGGAACAAAGCATTTTATATGAATAAGAAGAAATATTTACCATGGTCACTGACTTGATATGGTTCCTGTTGATATTATACTCTGCGTTTTTGTCTCTATAAGCTGTCAAAAGCATATTTATAATGTCACCACCTTGATGATGTTCCTCTAGCTTCGTTTCTCGCTCCACGAGAACTCTCTCCATTAGCTCCTCGCATCTGTTGGAAACACTCATTATCTCCTTTTTGAAAAGAGAGATCCCGAATTTCTCAAGCGGCCTGCGTAAGACGGCCGACAAGAAAGCTTTCGTCGTCATGCCAAAACCCTCGGTTATTAAGCTCCTCATCTTATCAGCTTCACCGTTCTCTTCTGAAATACTCTTCCCGAACATCATCTTGCAGATGCTATTGTGAGTGAGCTTCATCACTTCCGCACCAATATCAACGCTCTCCTTATTCATCGCTTTATCTAGTAGGTTTGCGTAAAGCTTCTCTAGCTCGTTTGCACGGACGCCTCGTGACCTCTCGAGTGCTTGAGGTCCAAGCAGCTTTGTGACCGTGAGTTTTTTCATGAACTTCCAGTAATCTCCATAAGGAGCCATGAGGAAGCTGTAGGACCCGAGTAAGAGAGACTCGTCGACTGCAACGTGGCCGCGAGACGAGACGTTAACGTCTTGCACCTTAAAGATCTCGTGGGCCACTGAGGCAGAGGAGACGAGGACAATGCGGACGTTGAAGATGCGAAGATGGAGGAAATCTCCGTACTTGGATGAGAGTTTCTGAAACGACTTGTGGGCTAGAGAAGAGAGGATAAGGTGAAGATGGCCGATGACTGGAAGAGAAGGAGGGCTCGGAGGCAGATCATCACAGCCAAACTTTGGTTTCTTGAAGAAGAGAGAGTAACAGAGGACTGAGAAGAGACAGAAGAGAGAAAAGATGAAGAAGGTTTGAAAGTCAAAGGTCATCATTGCTGCCATTGTTGTTGCTCAACCGTGAGGAACCAGATGGAACGGTCTTATATCAAGAACCCATGAATGGTCTCTCATTTTGGAAGAACGTGAAGTAACAGAAAGCTTAATAACTCTTTTCTTTTTAATGAAAGATAATAAGAGAACGTGTCTATTACCCAAATGACAAGTAACAAACTTATGTTAACATGTAATTGCTTTTGTTAAACTCTAGCTTTTTTTTCTCTTGTTTTTGTGGTATGGATCATGATCCAGTAAGAAAACGTGTTCATTACCCAAATGACAAGTAATACTTCTGTCAACATGCATTTGCTTTTGTTAAACACTAGCTTTTTCATGTTTTTTTTCGGAATTCATGATCCAATAAGAAATAAGTTTATGAAATAAATCTGTAAAGTTAAAACAAGTCTTCAAAAAATTAGTAAATCTGTGGTCACAGCCCCAAAAATCTGTGACATCCGATTTCTACTGAGAAATAAGTTTATTAAAAAAAACAAGTCTGAATAGAAATCTATTAATTATTGTAAATAAGTATGGTAGAATAAATAAAAATATTGCCCCATACAATAGACTTAAGGATACAAGTCTGTTATTGTAAATAAATCTCTTAGAAAAAATAAAATTGTTGTCTCATGCAATAGAATTAAGAAAACATGTATGTTATGATTATAAATAAGTTTGTGATAAAAGTCTGTCACCTAAATCAAATATATGGTCAATTTAAGTCTGTTATCATTAAGCAATAGATTTTTCTTTACAGACTTATTTTTACAATGGCAATTTTGTTCTATATATGCCGGTTTTTATTATAAAAAAATAACTAATGGCGTTTTTGTAAATATATTTTTTTCAGAATAAACGATAGAAAGGCTTTTTGGACATAAAATATTGGTCAGTAATTATATATATAAAAAAAGAGTTAATCTACTAATAAATTAAATCAATGAATGGATAATAAGTAATCTTCCCTTTTTTATTGTAAGTATTTTTTTTTTACTTTTGATGTATACTGTTTTTTTTGTTATTTTATAATTCAAGGTAAATCTCATGCCTATGGAAGGGCACAAACTAATCTTTGGGTGAGGTGCAACCCACAGATAGACCCTCTCTTCGGGTATTCAAATGGGCCAAAAACAAGGGCTTGGTCAAATGGGATAAATCTAACAATTTCACGCTTAAGGAAATCGATCATTAACCTTAACCAACTGAACAACTTCTCCATAAAGTGGAAACCACTAGATCACCACCACCCTGTACATTTGTACTTTACCTCAAGAGGAAATCTTCACCTATTAATACTATGACCTAACTATGTTCTCTCCTTAACTCTTAATCATTTTAGAAATTATGTTTAGTTAAACGATTACAAATACTCTGTGCACCTGGATTATTTTTATGATCAATTTCTATGACCTAAAAGAAGGAAAATAATTTGAGGAAATGTTTTCGCCGTAACACATCTGAAAAAAACTATAGAGGCCCTGCGAGCGTTTATTCCAAAGGAACAATGGCAAGATTTTGTGCATCAATAGTTTGGTGACAAAGCTAAGGTGACATAAAAAGTATTCTCTATTATAGTGAGAAGAGAGAACAAAAGAAGAGAGGAATTGGTTGTGTGTTATTCCATTAGTAATGAGCTCCTTATATAGGATTACAATATAGAGTTTTCCTTGGAGAGGAATACATTTGGAGAACAAGCTAGAACATTCTAGAATATGGGCCGATAATGGGCTTCCATATAAACTAGTTATAACATTCTCTTTTTATTGTGATATATTGTTTTTAGTTTGCTAACATGCATAGTTATCCAAGTCGATGAGAGATTTTTGTGTGTACACGTCAAAAAGCTAATGGCGAAATTATGTGGACTGGAGGAAGATACAACCATGGCGAAAGGATGATGCTGGATGGCTGAAACAATACACAGTTGTTACAAGATACAACAAACCGGGAAACCTAAAGATGTTGACTGGACGAACGAACCAGCAAGTTACAGAAGAACAGAAAGCAAGCTTCCTTATTAATTACTTCAAAGATCTTACAAAACACTAATGGACTTGACGTAACATGGAATATCTACTGATTAAAACTTCAACGGGTTCAGGGTTCGAGGAATAGGAGTGCACTTAAGGGGATGAGCCATGCTCAACGTAAATGATCCACGAGCTTCTTCCATGTTAACCTTGTCTTCATCGATCCTCCAATCAAAACACTGCGCCATCATCCCAACCGCTGTTCCTAGTACGATATAAGTTAGATTTGATCCAGGGCATGCTCTCCTTCCACCACCAAAAGAAAGGTACTTAAGCTCTCTTATCTCGTCCTCTACTTGGCCTGATCTTGACGAAGAACCTATAAACCTTTCTGGCTTAAACTCCTCAGGGTTTTCCCAGACATTCGGATCTCTCATCACGGCATAGCTGTTTACAACAAGTAGTGTGTTCTTCGGTATGTAGAACCCTTTAACCTTACACCCTCTTCGGAACAGCCTTACCACTATAGGAAATGGCGGGTGTAACCTCAGCCCTTCCTTGACGACCGCTTGCAAATAAGGAAGGTTTATTAGATCCGCTTCTTGAATCAACCTTGTTTTCCCAACCACGGAATCGATTTCTTCTCTTAACCTCTCAAGAATCTTAGGGTTGTTAATCATTTGGGCCATGGTCCATTGTATTGCTTGCACTGATGTATCAGTGCCAGCACCGATAAGATCCTGCAAGTTTCAAACTTAGTCAATGTAATTCATTGTGTACAAGTATGGACTATATATATATTTGAAATGCTAGGAGGTTCTCGACCAAAACCGTATATAACAGTGGATTGAGACCCATGTATTTACCATGATCAATGACTTGATTTGGTTCATGTTGATCTTATACTCTGCGTTTTTATCTCTATAAGCTGCTAATAGTACATCAGCCATGATGTCACTACCTTGATGATCCTCTGGCTTCTCTTCGTACTCCTTAAAAATTCTATCCAGCAGCTCGTCACATCTGCTAGAAACACTCATTATCTCCTTTTTAAACAACGAAATGCCGAGCTTCTCAAGCGGCCTGTGCAAGATGGCCGACAAGAACGCTTTCTTCATCATGCCAAAGCCCTCGGTTATTAAGTGGTTGAACTTCTCAGCTTCACCGTTTTCTTCTGAAATACTCTTCCCCAACATCATCTTGCAAATGCTATTGTTGGTGAGCTTCATCGCTTCCTTACCAATGTCAACGCTCTCTTTCTTCATCGCTTTATCTAGTAGGTTTGAGTAAAGCTTCTCTAGCTCCTTTGCACGGACGCCTCCTGACCTCTCGAGTGCTTGAGTCCCAAGCAGCTTTGTGACCATGAGCTTTTTCATGAACTTCCAGTACTCTCCATAAGGAGCCATGAGGAAGCTGTAAGACCCAAATACGAGAGACTCGTCAAATGGAGAGTGGCCGTGAGACGAGACGTTAAGGTCTTGCACCTTAAAGATCTCATGGGCCACTGAGGCAGAGGAGACGAGGACAATGCGGACGTTGAAGATGCGAAGATGGAGGAAATCTCCGTACTTGGATGAGAGTTTGTGAAACGACTTGTGGACTAGAGAAGAGAGGAGAAGGTGAAGATGGCCGATGATTGGAAGAGAAGGAGGACTCGGAGGCAGATCATCACAGCCAAACTTTGGTTTCTTGAAGACGAGAGAGTAACAGAGGACTGAGAAGAGACAGAAGAGAGAAAAGATGACGAAGGTTTGAAAGTCAACGGTCATAATTGCTGGCATTGTTGTTGGCTTGTTTCTCAACCGTGAAGAACCAGATGGAGCGGTCTTATATCAAGAAGCCATTAATGGTCTCTCATTTTGGAAGAACGTGAAGTAACAGAAAGCTTAATTACTCTTTTCTTTTAAATGAAAGATAATAAGAGAACGTGTCTATTTCCCAAATGACAAGTTAAAAACTTATGTTAAAATGTATTTGCTTTTGTTAAACTCTGGCTTTTTTTCTTGTTTTTGCGGTATGGATCATGATCTAATAAGAGAACGTGTTCATTATCCAAATGACAAGTAATACTTCTGTCAACATGCATTTGCTTTTGTTAAACTCTAGCTTTTTTTTTGCCGCAATTGTGATCTAATAAGAAAATGTATTCATCAACATGCATTTGCTTTTGTTTAACTCTAGCTTTTATCGGTATTCATTATCTAATAAGAAAATGTGTTCATCATCCAAATGACAAGTAAAATACCTAGCTTATGTCAACATGCATTTGCTTTTGACCCCAAAATAACGATATGAGGCAAATGAAATCCGTATATATTATTTGAGAAGTAATCACTCTCTCTCCTTTTTTCTTCACAAAGCAAAAGATTTAAACAACAATTTATATTGGAAAATATTACAGTCGTTTACAAAATCCAATTTTCTTTGGTTTCGGTTGAGAACATGTTTTTTTTAATAAAGGATTTGCTTCTGTTGAGAACATAAAACCTAAACATCAGATAACAATATCATCTTTGTTTGATCCTCTCTCGTTTTTAAAATTGAACAATCATATCCTTTTCTCATATGTCATGATTTGACTTAAAATAAAAATTTAAAAACAAACACAAATTACTTATTCGAGTCATTTGATGTTGAAATGTAAAATCTCCTATAAATAAGTCACCTCTGTAAACTTGATAATGTGTCATGCTCAGTAAGAAGAATTGAACAACATTTCGTTTTGTAATATTGTAGGTATGTAGCTGCGTGGGTTGTTGTCTAAGTTGGTTTGGTTATTTTCCTATAATTTATTGTTTAGTTTTCTTACTGAATATATTCTCTTCTTCTTGACGCAGTCGGAAAACCCTAGAATAGCAAGCACTAAACCTAGATTGAATTCAAGTTCACAAGCATGAACTTGAAGAGAAAACTCTGGAAATCCACCAGATTAGAGAAAAGCTCTCTGCTTTGATTAATTAGAATAATAAGATATGATATGCCTCATGGCTACAACTTAAAAGTGTTTATATAGAAAAACAAAACCCTAGAAAATATCCAAAACCCAAAAGGAAAAACATAATTAGAGAAAAAGGAAATTTGTGAAAATCTCCTAAATATCTCCTACATCAGTCTCCTCCACCTCTAAAGAACTCGACCTCGAGTTCTCTTCTAGATTAAGAATCTCATATGAATGGTACTCATGAATGCCAACCACATTGAATGTCTTAGAAACTGGAGAGCCACTACATAAACATCATCATTGATTTTCCGCAACACCTTGAAAGGACCATATTTGCTAGGTTGAAGCTTATTATTCCTCAATTCTTTTCTGGATATATAATCACATCTTCTTTAAAAGGTTGACCATAGTTGCTAGGTTGTGCTTTGTTGTATGTAACAACTTGAAACTTCTTGTTATGGAGGAACACAATTAAATCATCATCCTCTTTGAAAACTTTGGTTCCCTTCTGCTTGCCAACATCAATCTTTTTCTTCCCTTGTTCATCTGCAATCAGTTTCTTAAAATCTTTGTAGATCACTAGCACTCCTTCTGGAACTTCTGTCTTCTCCACTTCTGGGATTTCATAGGATAATGAAATATCTGCCTTAGTGTGAAAAGCATTATTATCATGCAGATTCTGTTGATCAATCTCTTTCTCTACAAAGTCTTCTTCAAGAGAACTAGGGTTTTCAATAACAACAACACAATTGTTTTCATCTCTTGGAACCCTAATTGAATCTCCTTCTTTGTCTATTTTCTGACTTTTGCCGGCTATCTTCAATCTATCGATTAGCATGTTCATGTGATTGCTAAATTCGACACTATTGTCTTGAACATGTAGAACCCTAATTCGTTCTCCTCTCCTTTCTCTTTGTCCGGCTTTGATAACCTTGTTGGTTAAAGCTTCCGTCTGATTGGTTAAAACTTTCATCTGATTAGTCAAAGCAGTTAGGGCCGAGGTTAGAGCCACGGTAAAACCCTGAAAATCTGCTTTGGTCAATGGTTGATCTCCCATAGCTGTTCAAGCTCGAAAAAGAGACAGGAGAAAGCCTGCTCTGATACCACTTGACGCAGTCGGAAAACCCTAGGAATAGCAAGCACTAAACCTAGATTGAATTCAAGTTCACAAGCATGAACTTGAAGAGAAAACTCTGGAAATCCACCAGATTAGAGAAAAGCTCTCTGCTTTGATTAATTAGAATAATAAGATATGATATGCCTCATGGCTACAACTTAAAAGTGTTTATATAGAAAACAAAACCCTAGAAAATATCCAAAACCCAAAAGGAAAAACATAATTAGAGAAAAAGGAAATTTGTGAAAATCTCCTAAATATCTCCTACATCACTTCGGTTAGGCTTCACGGATTTCACTAGGGATTCATTAACCCACAATACTTGGTGAGCCACCAAAATATCTCCAATAAAAAACTTATGTTAACATGCATTTGCTTTTGAAACTCTAGCTTTTTTTTCTTGTTTTTGCGGTATTGATCATGATCTACTAAGAGAACGTGTTCATTATCCAAATGACAAGTAAAATACTTCTGTCAACATGCATTTGCTTTTGTTAAACTCTAGCTTTTTTCGGTATTCAATAGAAAACGTTCATCGTCCATATGTTAAGTAAAATACGTACTTCTGCAACATGCATTTGCTTGTGTTAAACTCTAGCTTTTTTGTTTTGTTTCTGTAATCGCGATCTAATAAGAAAACGTGTTCAACTCAACTGTTCATCATCCATATGTTAAGTAAAATACGTACTTCTGCAACATGCATTTGCTTGTGTTAAACTCTAGTTTTTTTCGGTATTCGATATCTAATAAGAGAACGTGTTCATTATCCAAATGACAAGTAAAATACTTCTGTCAACATGCATTTGCTTTTGTTAAACTCTAGCTTTTTTCGGTATCCGTTATCTAAATAGACAGGTAAAATAAAAAAACGATCTGGGAAAATGAAGTCCGTATATTATTTGAGAAGTAATCACTCTATTCTCTCACTTTTTCTTCACAAAGCAAAAGATTTAAACAACATTTTATATTGGAAAATATTACAGTCGTTTACAAAATCAAAATTTCTTTTGTTTCTGTTGAGAACATAAAACCTAAAAAACTCTTTTCGCTTTGTTTGATTTATATGAATTAAGAGTTGGAGATTTGCTAGTTAAAAACCAAAAACAAAGAAAACTACAATGTAATAGTAAGATTTAAAACCTTGTAAAACTTGTTCTTGTTCTCTTCATCTAAAGTCTCTCAAGGAAATCAGACTTGGAATATAAAGAAAGCACCGTCGTAGCTCACCAACCACATCATCTAATTTAATCTTCCTGCAAATATCTCCCCTCACAATATAGACACAAAGCTGTCCTGTTTCGTCGTTACAACATGTGACGACACTCTTCCCATAGAAACTATCATCGACCAAGTACACTTTACTGTGAAGCTGGCATACAATGGGTAAATTGGGTAATAAGACACTCATGAACTTAATCCACTTCACATCGTCTCCATCATCCGCATTAGTAATTTTCTTCTTTGTCACCCAAATCTCAATGTTGCTTGTTATTCTGCATTGTTGTAGCAACGAAAACCGTTCTCCCTTGAAAGCCGCGAGGACAGGAGAATAGCAAGAGACTTTATTCTTACACGGTAGAGTACAAAATGGCTTAAATATCTCTTTGGAACAATCGAGGACTCGGATGAAACACCGAGTTTCGAAATTATAATTAGAAACCCAATACAAATTTCCATGCATGGACACATTATTATATAAAAAGTATCTGCACACTGCTGGGTCGTCATCAAAATACTTCCATGCATTGCTTGCAAATTCATAGATGACATACCTCACGACACTTTTCTGACCAATAGTATAACCAAAAAGCTTGTACCTCTTTTCTGTTCTACTACTATCGTATCCCATGCCACATATGAAGAAAGGGTCAGGCATGTGATCGATCTTAATCAATCTAGTCTGTCTCAACCACGGGTTCCAAACCGTGGCTGTTCTAGTCGTTTTATATGAGAAGAATAACCCATCGCAGGGAACTGTTTCTAAAAGGCGAAAATCCATGGACATCAACTCACGTATGTTTATATTTGGATCTTCGTCATTGAGATTGAAGTTTACCGAGTAAAGCTTGGAATCGGTCATTAACATGAATTCTGAGCGTGGGCGAGCACATGCCAAGTAGTTGTTAATGAATATCTTATCGTTGAAAAGAGCGTTCCATTGTTTGCAAACGACTCTGAAGCGATGGAGAGAGAAAGGTGGAACCCTAGTGAGTATCTCTTCCTCTAACTCTAACGGAAGCTTTGTCGACACCATTAGGGTTTTCTTTCTGTTTTTTTTGTTTGATTTTCCTTAGCTTAAAGCAAACCCTTTAAAGCCTTTATAGGTCTGCCGACGTTAGCTCTATTGATATAGGGAAAACAAAAACTGTAATCTAACGGTTGTGATTTGATTTCTAGAGATTATATCACTGTTATGTTTTTTTTTTTTTTGGTTAATGTCTAGATAGATCAATATTTTTGAAAGATATACTGGATGGGAGCAACGTACATATGATTTTTGTAATTCACAGAATCGCGATATCTATGTGTCATTTTTTTATGTTATAACTATTAAGATCTTGACATGTGTCTTTAAAGAAAAAAAAACTAGTTAAAAAGATTTTTTTTAAGAAAAGAAAAAATTATATATTTTTCATATTCTAATGAAATAAGGAGAAACAATTTTTTCCATACCTCATATTTTAAGAGAACAAATATCGATATTCCAACCGAAAAGGGAAAAAAGTAGAAAAATGATTCATATTCTAACGAAAAAATGAAAAAAAAAATAATTTTCAGCTTTATATTTTAAAATAAAGATGATCCATATATTTTTTTTTAAAAGTATATGTGGAACTGATATATATGATGTTATTAAAAAAAACATTATCGGGTTTTTCATGAATTCGGGAAGAAAATAAAATACTAGTGTACATGTGACAAAAGCACTAGCTTTTTTTTTGTTCATTGTCCAATTATGTCAAGTAAAATACTTATGTCGACATGCATTTCCTCTTGTTAAACACTGGCATTTTTTTTGTTCTTGCGGTATTCATGATCTAATAGGAAAACGTGTTCATCATCCATATATGATTCCATATGTTAAGTAAAATACTTCTGCAACATGCTTACATGCATTTGCTTTTGTTAAACTCTAGCTTTTTTTCTTCTTTTTGCAGTATTCATGATCTAAGAAGAAAACGTGTTCATCAGCCAAATCACAAGTAAAATACTTCTCTCAACATGCATTTTGTTTTTATTAAATTTTAGCTTTTTTGTTTTGTTGCGGTAATCGTGATCTAATAAGAAAACGAGTTCATCATCCAAATGACAAATACAATACTTCTGTAAACATGCATAATGCACTTTTGACCCAAAAAAAAAAAAAAAAAAAAAAAGAACTGGGCAAATGAACCCAAAACTATGACCTAACTATGTTCTCTCTTCCTCTCTTGATCATTTTAGCAATTATATTTAGTTAAACAATTACAAATACTATGGATAAGTATGTTTGTATTGATGTTCAAAAAGTTCTTAGGCGCTAATATTGGTAAAGACATATTTTTAGTTTCAGAAAGGTTTTTTTTTGTTAAAGAGTTTAGTTTCAGAAAGGTTATGGAAAGATATGTCCAATCATATGTAATAGAAAATATTGTTTTTTTTTTCTTTTACCAAAATATATAGAAGATATTGTTTCTAAATACAAATACAGAAGTAACTCATTTGTATGTTGAGAAGACCATGAGAAGACCAAGTGACTGACCATGTAAATTCTGAACTGAATAAAAAAAACTCTATACTTTTTCACCTGAAACCCGAACCCGACCTAAAAACCTTAATAAAAAATTTTAAAATATCTAAAATTTTTTAATATGTCTAAGTCCAAAAACTCGAAATCCAAAAAATCTGGAAAATCCTACATTGAACCAAAAAAAACTCAAACCCAAACCAAACATAAATTTAAAAAAAAAAACGAACATAAATCCACAATTTGATTTAAATCATATGTATTTCTATTTCACTATTGAAAATTTTGCAAATATCATGCGAACTTGGTATTATCAATAGATTATGTTAATTTTTCTTTTTTTGCCGATTTTTTAAGAGCTGGAAAACGGAAGTTTTCTAAACCATCGGTTTGTTTTAAGTTATTATTCTTGTATCCAAACAATATTTTCCATTTATTCTTCTATCCAAATAGATTATTCTCTTATTCTTATATTTAAACAACTTTTTTTCCATTTATTCTTCAATCCAAATAGATGATTCTGTTATTCTTGTATCCAAACATTAGAATGTACTTCTCAATTAATAATATAACTAGAAGAGTACCCGCACGTTTGTGCGGTGTGACGTTGTTGTTTTGTGTAGAAAATTTAAACCCTAAATCCGAACCCGACAAAAAACCCTAATCAAAAAATTTAAAAACCCAAACTTTTTTAATAGGTCTAAACATGAAAATCCGAAATAAAAAAAATCCCGAAAACCCTGACTGAACAAAAAAAATCTGGAAACTTTTTCACCCGGAACCCGACCCCAATACCTAATCAAAATTTTAAAATACTCAATTTTTTTAATATATCTAAACCCGAAAACCAGAAATCTAAAAAATCCGGAAAACCCTAAACTGAAAAAAAAATTGAACCTAACCCGAACAGAAATTTTCAAAGAAACCCGAACAATTTCTATATCTCTATATATATCTCTATAAAATTATGTCTCAGATTTTCACCCAAACCCGAACTTGTCTATAAAAACCCGAAAATCCAAAAAGCATATTCTATTGATTTGGAATTATCGTTAGATTATGTTAAGTTTTTTTTTTGCAGATTTTTAAGAGATGGAAAACGGAAGTTTTCTAAACCATCGGTTTATTTTAAGTTATTATTCTTGTATCCAAACAATTTTTTCCATTTATTCTTCTATCCAAATAGATTTTTCTCTTATTCTTATATCCAAACAACTTTTGTTTCCATTTATTCTTCTATCCAAATAGATGTTTCTCTAATTCTTGTATCCAAACATTAGAATGTACTTCTCAATTAATAATATAAAAAGATAAAGATTTAAGGGTTGAAAACGACGACGTTTAGCCGTAAGGAATTTGGTGGGGAAGACTTTAACGAGTGTGTGTAGAGAAGGATTTTCTCTTACTTTCTTTCTTCTGCTCAGCGAACTCTGAAAAGATGCAGGTATCTCGATCAGAGACCCTAGATTTCGCAATACTCCTCTAAGCTTTTCATTTTTCTTATTATCAGCTTCGAATCCTATTTCTGTTCGCTCTCTGCTCTAGTATCGGAAGCGGACAAGCCTTGGCGTAGAATTATAGATGAAATCGGAAACAACTTCTTCTAATTTCATGATTTTTCAATTTCTTTTGTGCAGGCGAGTGATAGGTTTAACATCAATTCTCAGCTTGAGCATCTTCAGGCTAAATACGTTGGAACTGGGCATGCTGATTTGAGCAGATTGTGAGTTTCTTTCAACTACAATTGTTCTCATTCACTTTTTTTTTTTAATTGGATTTCGTGTTGATTTCTGGATCCCTAATTTGGTTTGGGATTATCGAATTGTTGTTGAAAAAAATGCGCAGTGAGTGGGCAGTGAACATCCAGCGTGATAGTTATGCTTCATACATTGGCCACTACCCAATGCTTTCTTACTTTGCAATCGCTGAGAACGAGTCCATTGGACGAGAACGCTACAACTTCATGCAGGTTTGTGTTACTAAGATCTAAGAATACACATCTGTAAAAGTTTTGTGTTTGCTCTGTACAATGCTCAAATTTTGGATTTTGGTTCTGTGTTTAGTTGATTAGGAGTGAATCATATGGTTAAATGGCCTTTGTCATCATTTGATTTTATCTCTTTTCTTCTCCTTTCAGATTCTTTGATTTGTTGTATGGTTTTAGTCTAAAGTCTTGTCAATGGCGTCGTATTTGTCTGTGATATTTTGATTTCTGAGACTATGGACTTTGCTTTTGACTGGCTAATCAGCAGCCTAAAGTAGATTATTAATCATTAGGTTGTGGTCTCACTCAAATGTTTTCGTTTGTCTGGCATTACTTTGTTCTTGAAACCATTAGAGCCAAGTTCCTTTCACAAACAGTGGTTATCTCGGAATTTATTCATGAATAAACGTCTCTTACATGGTTGAATTGTGTGATAGCGATCTTTTATTAGCTTAGATATATGCACTTTTTGAGGAATTAATCGAAAAGCAGTCTCCAATTCTGAAGGGGTTACAGTTAGAGTAGAGGGCATTGTGTTCTGGTCTCACTCAACTGTTAAAATTACTTGACTTCTCGAATTAATGGAAGCCAAGTTCCTTTCACATACTGTTGTGTGCTCGGTTGGCTTTCGGTTTATTCTTGGAACAGATCTCTTACATGGTTGAGATTGTGTGATAGCCATCTTTTAATTTCTTAAATATATGGTCTTCTTGATGAGTTAATAACCAGGAATCAGTTAGCTTATTAACGGAGATATGAAGGCTAGTCATGAGTTATATAACTATGCTAATTGATTCCAATGCCCATAGAACTAGAAGAAATTGTGGATAGTTAGAACTTGTATATTGTTACTGGATCATAAGTTGATATGCTAAAAGAACTATCTGCTCCATATGTATGGTTCCACTTTTGAATAGATGTTGCTGGAATAACTTTGGATGTCTTTGTGCTTTCACAGAAAATGCTATTACCGTGCGGCCTTCCTCCAGAAAGAGAAGACGATTAGGAGGTAAAAGGATTTGATTCTCTCATTGAATGTTGCTTTTGGATTTAGAGTGTTCAAAAACTCAAAATGTGGTGTTTCTGGTAGAGAATTTTTATTTGAGTGTTCAAACAGTTGTTACTTTCCTGTTAACATCACCTGCGTTTAATCAGAGATCAAGTTTCATCCTCCAACAGTTCCATACATATATATATTCATTTTAGATTTGCCTCTTTGCTCGCCATTGTATCTAAGAACCCTTCAACACATACTCGTAATTTTGATTTCAATAGTCATGAAGAAGACCCCTTCTATGCATGTGTTTAAGATGAAAAAATCTCAACCTTAACTTGTTAGCAACACTTGGTTATTTAAACGAATGAAAAGACTTTAACAGCAAAGAAGCTTAGTCATTTTCATTCTGTTTTTTTGTCCTGTAAGAAGAAAGATAAACAAATTGAGAAACATAGAAAGATTATCAAATCTCCAACTCGTTGAATCACACAAAGAGAGATAGTAGTATTGTAGTGTGTAACTGAGAAAGAAAAGACTCTTGAGAGAGACAACTTTAAGCTTTAACATAAAACGTAATGAAGTTTCTTCAGGTTACTTGGAAAAAGATCAAGAAAGGAAGAAACTAACATCTTTTTTCAGAGAAAATTCTTCATTGGATCTTCATGGTGAACTCTCTTCATCCTGTGAGCTTCCATCTCCTCCGGAGTAACTTCATTACTGTCTTTAACATTATACTTACGTTTCCTCTCATCTTTCTCTTCTCTCTTACGCTCATCCTCTTTCTTAAGAGCATTCCTAAGTGCTTCCTCATTCAACTCCATATCTTCAGGAACATCACTTCCCCATGAAACCATTCTCTTCTCTTTACCCTTCTTCTTTGCCCTCTCTTCAGAAGCCACTTCTTTGCGAGCAACATTAGCCTTCATCAGATCAAGAACAGCCTCCGCAGCTTCAATCCCAGCAGAGCCTGTGCAGTAGCTATTCCGAATCGTCTGCTGGCAACATTTGTATCCCCATTGACTATCTTTCCACCATGACCCATAAACACTAGTATGGTTGTTAACATAAACCTCTTCCTCGTACTTGCTCTTTGGCAAAACTATCACTTCTTGTCCCTTTATAACCCTCCCTGCTCGGTCATACTCAACTTGTCTCTCGCTTTGTCCAAGCAAAAGCTCCATCGGAATCTCATCTTTCGTAGAAGCATTCCCATACTTCGCCGTCATTGCCTCCTTTTGCTGAGATTTCAGCTTCTCCTTTGCAGCCCTAAATCCCTCGTAAAGCAACGCAGCTTGTGACGGAGCGGCTTGCGTGTGCATGTCTTGTCCCTTGTCGAACGCTTCCCATGCGTGGACGTTGAGCTGTTTAAACTCTTGAGCTTGTCCACTGTTTCTGTAATGGTTATCTCCCGAGTAAAACTTCTCGTTAGGATCTGCGTTTGGAAGCGGATCTTGACGCATGGATCGAGTTTTGGGATCGTAGTGAGCAGAGTCGAGATCAAGATTCAAAAGGTACTTGGCCGTGTCTTCTCTGATACGAAGATTCCTCACACTTCCTGTGCTACCACCACCAGTTGTTCGAACACGCTTCTCGACTTTCCCGAAACCCTTCTGCTTGCTCTCATCAACTTTAGCTTCATCAACACGTAACTCATCATCACCATCTTCTTCTTCTTCTTGGTCAGCTCCATCACTACCTTCTAGTTTCTTGATCTTCTCCTCTTTGAGATACTTCGTCCGAGCTTCCTCTATAGCGTCGTAACGCTCTCTCATCACTCTAGAGTGTTTCGAAGTATCGCAACCATTCCATCGGTCTCTTTTGCCGTCGTAGTCGCTTTCGAAGCTCTCGATTTTCTCGTCCGCTGCGATGTTCTTGTTTGTGAACTTGGCTCCGACCTTGCGAGGTCTTTCCGGGCATGATTTATGATCGTGCGTCAAAGCACCACAGTTTTTACATGACCCTTTTCGGAAACTTGAAGCTTGATGAACCTTAGCACCTCTGTCGTAGCATCTCCACTTTGTCTCTGCGTCCTTGGCATGATCACTCTTCTTGTTAAGCCTTTGATGGTCTAAACTAGGTTTTTCTGATTTTCCGAGATTCAAATAAAATGGAGTATCGGACATAAACTTAGGTATGTGAGGATTGATTTCGTTTCCATCTTCATCTACTTCGGCAGGAGCAAGACCGGCTTTACGAGCTTCCTCTAATTCTTTTTGCTTCTTGTGATCGTTCCTTGACAAAAATCTAACAGAAGCCGTCGCCATGGTTGTTATCCAAGGTCGAATGAACGAAGAAGAAACCCTACTAAACGGAACAAATTGAGAAGCTAAAGACGAAAAAATTATTAAATCTCAACCTCGTTAACAATCAGAGACAGAGAGAGGGTATAGCCTCGTTATGTAATGGCTTTTATAACGATCCTAATCCTTGTCAAGTTAGGCTTTTATTTGATTTTATTTTCCATATTAAACGAAGTTTATATCCTTTTTTAACCATATATTTATTTAGATTTCAATCTTTTTGGTTAAGTTGACTTCCTTTTTTGACGTGAGAATAACGTTTTCCTTTTTTTAATACAATCTTCTAAGATACTCTTTTAAGACTAAAGGTGAGACCGAGACCGGGAGAGGCTGATTTCTCAAATATTGTTATAGAGATTTTTTCTATTTCAAGATTCTTTTGATAGTCTTATTATGTAACATCATTTGGTGGTGTTTGGCGTTACTTGGTGCAGCTAGCTGATTATAGGAACAAACGAAAACGAAGTTGGTGAGACTCTTGAAGAAGTATTCAGGAACGGGTTTGGTCAAGAGGGAAGGATCTCTTCCTTATACGAGAAAGGGTCTAAACAGGATCTGCTAAGCTCTGTATTAATCAAGATATGATCACATCCCTAAAGTTACTCACTCATAATCCATATAATTACTCTTATGATTATTCTCATTCATGTATAGAATTTTAAGTTTCTCTTATTATTCTCATAGGTCTTGTGTATATATAAAGATCTCTTGTTATCATCTTATAATATAACACAAGACAATTCCCTTTCATATAATCAACACTCTGTATATAAAATCTCATCAATCTATTTCAGCTCATATACTAATGGAAAGTGAGAAAGGTAGCTCCTATGTTCTGATTATCTGATATATCTTGCCATCTTGGTTTTGCAGCTACGGAATTAAGACCATGACCATTAATCGGTTACCTGTACGGAATTAAGACCATGACCATTAAGCCGGCCATTAACATTAAGCTTTTTTAATATCGGTGACACAATACGAAAATGAAACACAATCAAATTTGATATTAATATAATCATTCGGGAGCGAAGTTGACACGCAAATCTTCTACGATCCGTACAACTATATATGCTTACTACTAATTTTACTTGTATAGTATATTTATGCTTCTTGTCTTTGACTTCTTTTGCTTATTATAGCTTTTCATTGTCATTGACCATTATAAATTCACAAAACACTAATTAAGAAACTTCAAATTACCGTGTACCTCCCATATGAAACTATCATTTGAATGGAAGTGTGTAAGCAAAAAAACATGAATGGACCCTTAAATTTTTTATTAGAGACACGTCTGAATAAATTTACGCTAAAACATTGAAAGTCGGCAAAAAGAAACTTAATCTGACATACAAAGGACATTAGCTATTCCTTCTACTAATAGTAAATTTGTTAATAGATAAAATTAAAAAGTAAAAACTCATGAATTTTTTTTTATGTATTGGGGGCTATCTTTTTGTTGTTATTGATGATTTTAGTTGATAAGTACGAATTTATGTTAAACACTGTACGAAAATCACCAGATTGTTCCCATTAAAAAAAGAAAATAAAAAGCAGCTTTTTTAAATATCAAAAGATTAAAGATAATATTTACGTCCGAGTCTTGTCTTTCTTCGCCTCTCTTTCTCAGTTTCTCTTCCTTTACATAGCTTTCGTCAACAGTTTTCCTCTCACATTCCTCCTCTCATTCTCATTCTTTTATTATTCCTTCTTCTTCTTCTTCTCTTTTCTTCAAGAAATTTCCCCTGAAATTTCAGATCCGAATAATTTGATCCTACTAAATTCCCTTTCCTTCAAATTCTTTGCGCCGATTTTTCTTTTGCTAAATTCTTCTTCTTTCTTTTTCTCTCGCACTCATAAAGAAAACACTAGCACACTCTCTTTCTTGCAAAGTCCTCAACTTTACACCATTAAATCAGCTTTAATCACTGTTGCTTTGGTCACTTCATCATTTTGCTGCTGGGGTTTAGCTTGCATCACCGTATTGATGTAAATGGCGATTGGGTTTTCACTGTTATTTAGTCGTTCCGGCTGGTGAATCGGATTGTGGGTTCCTCCAAAGTTGTGATTTTTTTTTGGCATCGGAATCGAAACGGATGGATCGGAGTCAGAAGATTGATCACGTCATCGGCGGAAAGTTTAAGTTGGGTAGGAAACTCGGTAGTGGATCGTTCGGCGAACTTTATTTAGGTAAGCCAAAAAAACTAATCACAATATCACATGGCTGCTTTCTACTTCTTGTATTTGGTTTGTTTAGTGGTTGTTTGAGTGTATCTGATTAAAAATTGGACCTTTTTGTATTTTAGGGATCAACATCCAAACTGGTGAAGAAGTCGCAGTTAAGCTGGTAAAAACTACATTTTTTTCATTCCAAATTGTACTCAATTGAGGTTTTTTGTATGAATTTATAGCTCTTGTCCTGAGAAAAAGTTTCAATTTTTGATTAATGGATCCTGACAATTGCAGTCTTTATATTTGTATTTGACTAGTTTTGATTAGGAATAAAACTGTACTTCAATGGTCATGTTTCGTTATCAAGGCGATAAAAATTTCTTCTGTTTAGTAGTCTTCTGTTTATTCTCGTTATAAAAATTTCTTATCTTTGCCACTAGGAACCTGTGAAGACAAGGCATCCTCAACTGCATTATGAATCGAAAATATATATGTTTCTTCAAGGAGGAAGTGAGTTTGAATCCTCGGCTTGTATATCTGAAGTTTTAGCTCCAATCTTGTCTGCCTCTGATAAGCTTAAACATGCTTTCATTCTTTTGAATATAGCTGGTGTTCCTCATCTGAAATGGTTCGGAGTGGAGGGTGAATACAGCTGCATGGTTATCGATCTTCTTGGGCCTAGCTTGGAAGACTTGTTCAACTACTGCAATCGAAAGTTTACTTTGAAGTCTGTTTTAATGCTTGCGGATCAGTTGGTAAGTACTGAAAATGCCTTCTGGTTTATGGCATTAGGTTGGTCTTTGAGAACGATGCTGATCTGTTCCTTTGAATATGTTGTATCAATGCAGATATGCAGAGTCGAGTACATGCATTCGCGTGGTTTTCTTCACCGAGATATTAAACCAGACAACTTTTTGATGGGTCTTGGGCGTAAAGCAAACCAGGTAATCCTACAACTTGAGCATGAGTTGGTGTAATCTTTAGCATAGTCTCTGAAGCCTTCTTAGGATAGGACTATTACTACAGCCTTGTGGTTTACTGAGTGAAGTTTCAACTTCAGGTGTATATCATCGATTATGGCCTTGCTAAAAAATACAAGGATCTTCAGACACAAAAGCATATACCATACAGGTGAGATCTGCAAACTTTTACTCTCAGATATCTGTGCTTGTTGATACTTTCCTGTATGCACTTTCTTCCTGCTTGCTGTGTTAAGATTCCTTGTAATTTTACAGGGAGAATAAGAATCTTACTGGAACTGCTCGGTATGCAAGTGTGAACACGCATCTTGGGATTGGTAAGAGCTGATTTCAACTCATACATCCGAGTGGCTTGCTTATATGAAGCATTTGACAACTCTGGTCTTCCTTGCTGACTCATCTTTTATGCATGCCTACAGAGCAAAGTAGAAGAGATGATCTGGAGTCACTTGGTTATGTGTTGATGTATTTTCTACGAGGAAGGTATGAAACCTTCTTGGTTGCGTATTAGCTGATGACTTCTTAAAGAAAATGAAATCATTAAACTTGAGTCCGTGTCTCTTTCTGTGTCAGTCTTCCGTGGCAAGGTTTAAAAGCTGGTACGAAGAAGCAGAAGTATGACAAGATTAGTGAAAAGAAGATGCTTACTCCTGTAGAGGTACATCATTGTTAAGGTTTTGTTTGAGGGTAATGTTTTTAGATGTCCAGTGGATGTTGACATAGCATGGTTTTACTATTTGAAGGTTCTTTGCAAGTCGCAGCCATCAGAGTTCACCTCGTATTTCCATTACTGTCGATCATTGAGATTTGAGGACAAACCAGATTATTCATATCTGAGAAGACTTTTCAGGGACCTTTTCATTCGTGAAGGTTAGAAACTTCTTGTTGTATTTGTTCTCTGTCCTCTCTCTATTATTAGATCTTTTTAAGGTCTATGCAGTTTTGCGGGACTTATCCATAGTTTGTTTGTTCGTTTTGATTGAATGATATGTGCATATAGGTTATCAGCTAGACTACGTGTTTGATTGGACAATCTTGAAATATCCTCAGAGTGGCTCCAGTTCGAGACCAAGGGTTAGTTCTATTATCGATTTCACATGTGGAGGTCCAAATTTTGATTCAATAAGCCAAAATCTTATCCTCCTATTGTTATGTCTATTGTTCACAACAGCCAACTCCAAAACCAGCCTTGGACCCTCCAGGACCACCTGCAGAAAGAGCTGAAAAGCCTACAGGTACATTCTTCTCTGTCTTTATTTTGGAAAAATGTCGAAAAATGTCTTATAGCTTGTAAACTTATGAGACTGTGCTAAGAATTATATCGCCGAACCTTTAGACATTTTTTTTTCCATGGAAGAATTTTGAATTTGTGTCATGAGATTTAACAAACAGTCTCGAGTACTGGAAGAACCAAAACTGAGAGATTATTTTCCAACTCTGTTCAGTGGGACAGGACCTCCGGGAAAGATTTTCAGGGGCAATTGAGGCATTCACAAGACGAAATGTTTCAAGCCAAGGAGCTAATGGTGACCGCTCTAGAAACAGATCTTCTGATGATACACCCTCTCCTGTCAAAGAAGTGGTTAGTTTTTGTTGCTTTCTTTCCTTGGCCATCTTGTTAATCTATCATGGAAATTTCCTTTCCAAAGTCATTCTCAGATTTAAGTATGAATTCTAAAGAATGTGAGAAAGTTTGTATGTTTTGATTTGTTGGCCTCACTTGCAGTACGAGTCTGATAGATACCGATCTTTATCTCGAAATGGAAGTACTTCAAAGAGAGGTGTGATGTCAAGCAGCAGACCTGGCTCATCAGTTGAGCCAAGCGAGAACCGCTCAAGCCGACTGTTTTCAAGTGGATCACGTCTTGGTACAACTCAACGGGTTCAGCAGAGCCCTGAATCCAAGCCATCATCTGCAGCTGGAAGGCCTGGACATGATGAGGCCATGAGAAGCTTTGAGCTCCTTAACATCGGCTCTGGGAAGAAGAGGACATGAAGTTAGGGAAGGAGAAGTTGATGGTAACGAAAATACATGTCCATGCTTGTAGATCCTCATCCTCTGACAAATAAAACGCATTGTTTCTTTACCCTTGGGAATAAGATGAGAACGAGAGAGAGAGAGAGAAAGTTAATATCCTCTCTTGGTATCTGTTGTTAAGAGAAATTGTTCATATATCTTTAAAGTGTACCGTGTAACTTGTGATGACTAATACTTCAGTTTTTTTCTCTATGTTTTCCTTCAATGTAAAATGAAAAATTATGAGAACTTATCTCTCTCGTCTTCCGAGTAAATTTGAAACTGTAGAAAGGTATTGAAGTTCTGAAACATTAATGAAAATGCTTTTGATGTTGTGCAAATAATAGATTTGAAACTGTAATATGGAAAGGTATCGAAGTTTTTGAGGCTGTGGAAATAATAAAGTGGCTAATGATCTGCTTCTGCAGAAATACCGTAGAATATATTGATGAAGATGATGTGGTAGTACATATAGTTCATTACCAACACTGAGAAATAGACAAAGGTTACACATCTCTAAGGCTACCTTTGAACAGACAAAAGAAGAAGACATGGCGACTTAATGTCTTCTCATAGTGATGAATGGAGTGGAGCTGAGATGAGCTACGAGAGGTGATGAGAGTTCATCATCTTGGTGGTGTTTCGGTGTCATTCTTGAGATGGGCGTAAATGGCATCTTATTTTCAATTGGAGTTAGTGGAAGTGGACTTGCTGGTGCAAGATTTAGAAGTTGTGAGCTCTTCCCCGGTCTCAGAGTAGCGAGGTGACCGTTTCCATTGCATAAAGGCAGGCTCGTAGCTAGAACTGTTGATTCTTTCTCCTTTGACACTTGAGCTCCACATGGTTCCTTCAAACATTGAAATGAAAACTGCATTTAGAATCAGAATATAACAAAGAGAATGTAAATGAAAAGCGTTTGGTGCTTTGTTGGGTTACTGGTTTTATTACCCCGAGCTTGAGAAAGGTGAAAGCTTGGTTATCAGAGCCAAGGTAGATCTCAATAAGCTTCCTCAAGTCAGAGAGTGTTGCGTCTTTTGTAACTCTCAGTGTTGCTATGAGCTGCTGTCGAGGGTTATCAGTAGTTGCTTCCCATTTAACATGGACATCCATCTGCCCGTTTTTACTTTCATCCACTGAGAGATTGTTTTCCTTTGCCTCTTCTACTGCTAGTGCCTCAGCCTTATTGGTTATAGCAAACAACTTATCATCTTTCGCAGGTGATGCATTCTTTGGTTGAACAACCTCCTCTTGTCCAGTGTGTTGATGAGACAGCTCTCTCTGATTGCCACAAAGGGTGAATATGTTTTGAATTCTCAGCTTTCTAGACGATTCTGATTCTTTGTCCTCCGTAGTGTTGAAGCAGTTCTCTTTTCCGAAACCTTCAAAGTTCAAACTTGGCATTGGTGCTGTTATCGAGCAGATGCTTTTATCTTCAACTATCACTTTCTCTTCATCTTCATCAACCTCTTCTTCTTCAAAGACAGTGCTCAGGCATACCCGGTCAGGGTACATTTGCGCAACCATATTCTCTGAAGACTTAGGTTGTAAAACGTTGGACAAATTGCTGCTGATTGTGTTGCTTGGTTGTGCAGCTCCCCAGACTTGCTTGACTGGTTCTGAATCACCCATGTCAAGGTCCATTGACTTCACCATACCAGGATCATCATCAGAGTAAAGACTCTTGAGTCTTTTGGCAAACCCACTAGTTTCATCAGTACTTCCTCCATCCTTTGATCGCCGGAATTCAAGCTCAATCTCTTCTAACCGTCTTCTCATCATCTCAAGTTCCTCTTGCTGCTGCACAATCCTTTCCTCCATTCTCCTTCTCTCCATCTCAACAAATTCCTCAGCCATTCTTCTGCATTCCTCGAGTTTCTTATCTAGTTCTGATTTCAAAAGCTGTGTCCTCTCGTTTACTTTCTCTTTTATCGCCTCCTCATTGGTAGCACATGCTTCCTTCCGTGTGAGAAGGGATCGTAAAGCAGAAACTTCCTCTTCCTTCTTCTTAAGCTCCTTCTGTGCATCATTCCTTTCTTTTTCTTGTTGCTTCTTCTCAGACTGGAGTTTGGCTATAAACTCATCCATCGCAGCTATTCTTGATCCCAAAATAAGAGCAGAAGAAGACTCATCACCCCCATTCTTATCTTTGTTCGGAGTATGAGACCCACGAACTATGCACTTTGCTTTTGCGCCATACTCCAGAGTACATAGAGTCTTGTGCATCTCCTTTGGATCCGGACTCGCACACAGGATCATTAGAATCTTTGACTTGTCATCTTCAAAAGAGTCCTGCATATATAAAATATAACCAACACTTAACATCTTCAAGAAAACCAAGCAGCCACAGGAAACTAAAAGTACAATAGAACAAGAATGTTCACCTGGAGCAGCATTGTCAGCTTGCTGTCTCTAAAGGGAACGTGAGAGTCTCCATTTGCTATAGACTCAACAACTCGCTTCAGTGCAATGTTTCCCTGGTTGATCTTTGCAGTCTGTTGAATAAAGATATAGAGGTCAAATGATATTCATATCATTCAATAACTTTGGTAGAATCAAAATGAACTGAGAGAGGCAAGAGAAGCAAAACATTACTTGCATCTTTGCTTCAAATCCAGTCTGCCCAGCTTGGTCTATATTTTCTGAACCAGCCATGTCAACAAGCATCAATCTTCCTCCAACGGTTGGCACATCGAGTATGATCTACAGAGACAAAACAATCACTTATAAGTTGTAACAGAGCTATACATATGCAATCATAAGCTTCAATCATTATCACTAACCATGCAATGACTTCGAGAACTTCTTTCATTGCAAAGTGTGCTTTTCACAATCCTCCGTTTCTCCACTTTCACAATCTCTTTAGCAATTTTCCCTGCCTCTGTCCCTGATATAAAGGTTGCATTTTTCGCCTTCTTCCCCATTACTTCAAGCCTAACCTATAAAACAACAAAGTACAAGCCTTTTAGATTAGACTATTCTAAAACAAACCACAACAGATTCCTCAATTCCAAGCCAAAAACTACAAATTTCCAGCAACATTTCAGGGAATTAAGAGACTTACTTTAGTGCTTCCTCCTTTAGGCCAACCAATCCCTAAATTGTTGCTACTATTGGTGGAGAGAAGATCATAAATTTCCTCATTATAGACCTCAAGAACAGTGACCTGAACAAAAGTAACACCATCTTGATCCGAATCTCCCAAAATATCCCTCAAGGATCTATACACAATCCCAGGTTGCTTCCCACATCCAAACATCGTGTGGCTCTTTCCAGCGCCAGTAGGTCCATACATCATGATCGTGCATTTGTTCCCAAGCTTCACGCCTTTGATCCTCTCTTCTATAAACTTCTTGTAAAACGATTCGAGACCTTCTTGCTCCGAGAAGGAAACGCCGTCGAGCGTGAAATCTCTGTACCCAACATCAGCTCTGACTCGCACCGTCTGGTTATCTGGGTTCACTTGCAAGATCGACGGTGACGACTCTTTCCGATCTGGGTAGTCTCGGATCCGGCCGACTACTTCAACCGGATGCTCCGGTGGGATATGGTCTTTTGATGCGTCTGGGTTTGGGGTTTTCGAGTGGAAATTGAGGCGTTGTTTGGTTTGTGGGGTTCTGATTAAGGTGAATTGGGACTGATTCGATCTAGCAGATGATGGCGTCGGAGCCATTTTAGAAAATTTTCAAGAATTGAAGCTTCAATTTTTCGGATTTCAGAGGTTGAGAGAGAGAAATTGGAATGGAAATTAGGGTTTGAGTTTCTCGAAGTTTGAATCTTCAGTTTGAGAGAGAGAGCCAATGAGTGAAATTGAAAAGGGGATTAGGGCTTGAGAATCTCGTGGTTTGAAGTTTGAACAAACAAACATAACCGTTGTATCTCTAAACGGCTAGTTTTTGTCCACGGGCCAACGAAATAAAGAAACAAATATTTCTTTTTATTTTCGGCAACTAAAATATATTTTCTCACTTTTTGAAAAAAGTAAGCGAGATCTAAGTTTTTTATGTATTATGGGCTTATCGTTGATTACTAAATGGGCTTAAATATTTTAAGAGGCCCAAATTTTGTACGAATGGCACTAGGGTTTTGTGAAAGTTCTCTTATAAACTATGTTCCTTTAGGTGGTGTATGTTTTTTTGTTTGGCAGCGGACGACGACGGCTCGAGCTTCATCCGAAGAGCGAAAATGGTGTGACTCTCTCCTCTTTCTTGCTTTCTGTTAGGTTTATCATAGTTTATGATGGAGCCTTGGTATTTCGTAATGCTATGTTTGGTAGCGAAAAACACTTGTGGAAGTAGGAAAATTTTGTTTATAGATCTGTTAGGTCAATTTTAGTCCTTGAGTGCTTTGTTTCTGATTCTGCTTCTTGAATCGAGAATTAGAGTCTAATTCACAATCTTGAATCTGTTTTGCTACCTACTAGAAGATTCACAATTCAATTCACCTAGTTTCTTAGATTCCGTTATCTCCATTTTAAGGCGAATCAATATGATATAGTGTAATGCTCTTGTTATTTATCACCATTTTTACTGTTACAAGTTCGTTGAATTGTATGTACTTCAGGAACATTATCGATTAACAAAATGTTTAGAGCACCTAACATGTTGTAAACGAAGATTATTAATCCTAATTAGTTGTATGATACCATTCAAGTCTGTTGTGATTAGTAGGAAAAGCGGGGAATCTTTTTAATTCGCTTATGTGTATGAGCTTGAGAGTCTCTTTGAGCTCACGTAATAGTCAGAATTGCAATCAGTTTTTATAATGAGTAGTTAGTTCTTATGATTATATAGATTTAGTTCTTGATGTTATTGACAGACCATTTCTTGTTTGAAGTTAACTCAAGATTGTTTGTTTTGTGGGTGAATGGTAGGTGAACATTCCAAAGACCAAGAAGACATACTGCAAGAACAAGGAATGCAAGAAGCATACCTTGCACAAGGTGACCCAATACAAGAAGGGTAAAGACAGTCTTGCTGCCCAGGGAAAGCGTCGTTATGACCGCAAACAATCCGGTTACGGAGGTCAGACCAAGCCCGTCTTCCACAAGAAGGTAAACCATCTCGCTCTTGACTTTTTGAAATATGTCTCTAATGATGTGTTAATTCTAATGTCCTAATTATTGTTGACGATCTTTGTAACAGGCTAAGACAACCAAGAAGATTGTCCTAAGGCTCCAGTGCCAAACGTGCAAGCATTTCTCTCAACATTCAATCAAGGTAATTAGAGTAAAACATTGTTTATGTTTTGTAACACTCTTTCAAGTCTTGACTCTAGAGTTCTGCTTCTTACATTTGTGTGTTTGGTGGTTTTGGCAGAGGTGCAAGCATTTTGAGATCGGTGGAGACAAGAAGGGAAAAGGAACATCTCTCTTTTAAGTTGTTTCCTCTTTATCTACTTTTTCTTTTTGTTTGTTACTTTCTTTATTCGATACTCAAAATACATTTTGAAATCTTCCAGAAAAGTTTGTGCTCGTTTTATGGTTTAGGACATGGTCGTATGAAATATTTATTAATGTTATGCACCTATCTTTCTTCACCAGGTTACAGACGTACGTAATAATCTATATTTTCTTTTGAATCCATAGGCGAGAGACCCTTCTAAGAAATTCTTGAATCAAAAGTCCATATTATTCTGCGTACCTCAAATATCATTTTTGCTTTAAACCAAGTTTTCACGGCGATTTTCATGTTGATGTGAATATTTGATTCCTGTGTCGTCGACAAACAAAACAGATTTGTCGGGTCTGGTATCGGGTCAACGGGTCGCAGCCGGGTCGACATATGTGCATTAGGCTCAAGCCCACGAGAAGATTGATTTGGGCTGTGCTTTGTCAAAGCCCATACAGATCAGAATAGTATACAATCAAATTGACAAATTCGATCGATTTTGTCATTTACTCTGACCATTTGTTTGCTCCGGTGTTATCTTGTCGCCGGAGTTCATTGTAGTAACTGAAATTAGGACCGGAGTTTCTCGACCGCGAATTTAATTCGTAATTGGGGTTAGTTTCATAATCAGCTGTGTAGTTTCTTCTCCTGCGGTCTCCCTCATTTCGTAATCTTCGATTACAGCTTTTGATGTGTTGTTTTCATTTGATCGATTATGATTTAACTGTTGGACGAATGATAGTTAAATTTCTCAGCCAAGTCTGGGTTTTGAACAATCCATTATTTGTTGTTGTTCTTCATTGATTTGTTTAGATAAAAAATCAAGATGAGCAAGCTGCTGGAATATGGGAGGAAAGCAATGTTCTATGTGAGAGTCCTCTCAGGGTATGAAGAAAGACGAATCCGGAATTATAGGTTGCAACTCGAAAAGCGTATCCTGCAGGTTTTTTTTTTTTTTTCTTTTGCCTCAGATCTCTCTTCTTTGAATGAATGGTATTGGTAGGATAAGATGATGAAACCTTAATTCCCAGTATTGGACTTTAGGATGAGAAGATGAATAAAATTTTATGTTATACTCATTGTGAAACCTTGGTTTTGTTGTATCTGTTGTAGTTACCTTTTTATAAACTGATTGTAATGATGGTAACATTTGGTGGTGCAGGCCCAAGAAAAGAAAGCAGAGATATATAGACTCCCTGAGAAGATTGTATTATCTGAAATCCGCCGTATGGTAGACGAGATGCAGAATTTGAATAAGCAGATTGAGAATACGGTTAGTAGAATTTCAAGTCTAGCTTGTATAAAGTTACAAGTATTCTCTCATAGTCTAAGCACGTATCTACCAATACAGGAGGCTCAGATTGAAGACTACTTCAAACCGATAGACAAGCAAGCTGGTACCGTAATGGAGGTTCAGCTCGATTCCGAGAAGAAAACCATGGGGACTATGATGACTGCAACACAGGCGGAAGCTATAAAAAAGATTGAAGAAGCTGAGAGACTTGCTCGGGCAGAGGCAAACACGGGAGACAAGACCCAAGATTCAGCCATTGAAAAAGCTCAAGCAAGGCAAAAACGGGAGACAAGACCCAAGATTCAGCCATTGAGAGTCTCTGAGCACGTCCAAGGTTCAGATTCTGGTAGTTGATCGAGCTGAGCATCGCATTTGTAAGGTTTTAATAATTTTGTTGACTAAATAGAACAAGACCGAGAGATTGTGGTCTGTTTAGCATGCAACAACTTATAAAGGTGTTGGCCTTGGTTGGGCTATCCAAAAAAGACCTCATGTTTCCACCATTTTCCTTCTAAATGTTTTTTTTTTTTTTTTTTTGATAAATGTAAATTATATTACCAAAAAGGTTTAATTACAAGAGCTACAATAGCAAACTACTTCTATGGCCAAAAAAATGAAAATTGAAAAACCAGTGAGAAACTCCAAGTTAAGTATAGTGTAATAAGCTCTCAAATCGCAGCTTCTGCTCAAACCTTACACGACATATTTTCTAGTATCCAAAGATTCAAAACATGAGATTTTTGTAAGTAAAAACAGGAGACGGAAATGTGAGTTTTCTTCTTTCTTCTATCTTGTTATTTGCTCTGGGTGTGAAGAAACTCACGCATCTGGTTGTGAATTTCGGATTTGACAACAAGTCGCATTCTCTTTGAGTCTTCCCAGAGAAGGCCTCCCCATTCCCGAGCAAAGTCACAAGCTGCCTCAAACACATCCTGCCCACATCATTTTACACAATTCAGATTTACAATAATGGCTCTGCTATGTGGATCAAAAAAAAGAACTCAGGTTTGTTACCTTTGAAGGAAATTCATCGTAGAAGTGAGCTTGAGTCATCTCTATTCTCTTAAGATCTGACTCCCAAAGCCGTATCTGCCAAACACAATGCGTTTCTATTCGTTCATATACACGATTTCATCAAACGGACACAAGGTGGGAGGAGACAGTAGAAACCTGGTCAGTGACATTTTCTGGAATAGATGGGACTCGGCTAGCACATCGTGGATGAGAATTCTGCTGTAGAAAAGTTATAATCTGCAACCACCAAAAGAAATGGGGTAAAAGAATATTTAAAAAAGCATCAACTTCTCATAACATATAACATAAAATTTTGTTCCTTAGTTTTAAAGATTTTTGGGATGAAACCAACTCTACCTGGTCTGATGTGATGCCATTGTCAAATGCATTGTACAAACTTTCCTTGGTAATTGCACAAGCGATAAGGTTTGGAAGTTGGTACTCTATCCTGGAAAAACAAAGCAGCAACTACTTAGACCTAAACGACATTTGAAGACACAGAAGAGCAGAGCAATGTTCAGGAGTTTCTACCTCGAAAACAGACGTAAAATTTCACACTGTAACTTAGATGTCGAGTAGGCGTACATCCTGAAGTTTGTTTCCATCATAACATATCCCTGATTAGGAATAACAAAGCACAAGGACACACAGAATCAAGGAAAAGTGTTGGCACTTAGTTAGGTAGAAATGGAACAAGAGAGATCAAAAGGTCTGACCTCTTTTCGCACAGATGAATCTGCCAGACTGACTGATAAATTTGTAGCCAGTTTAGTAGGAATAAACCAACTGTCTTTTCTTCCCTGTAATAATTATCAAAACCGATTCAGCATTATAAATCTCTCCAACTTTATTCTCTTGGTTATGAAACAGATATCACAAATGGTCTTAACCTGTTGAAGCTTGACTAATCCCAAGTCTGCAAGGTCCTTGAGTGTATTTCTTTGAACATCTGTCAAGGTATTTAAGTTATAAGCCTGCAACGTGTACAAGAATGTTTTAGCTCAACGACATAATCAGTCAAGTAAAGAGTAGAGAAGAACAAGAAGGCATAAAATGACTTTGTAAATTTCTGTTATACCTCACCAGTAACATGAAAACTAAGCTCCAGCAAAAACGAAATCAAGTCTGCTGGATCTACATCTCGCTCCTGAAAAACCAATGGCATTCCGTTACTCATACGGGAAAACAGAGATACCAACTTAACTAAACCTTGTTAAGGCATGATTCAAAGTTCAAACCTCGGCATTCAATATGTATTCTCGGATAATGTACCAAAGCTGAGCATTTGTATCCATTAGCTGCAGAGTGAAGTCGATAAGGTTACTTATATGAACACAAGTAATAAGAGATCAATTGACTCACGTCTTGCATACCAAAAACTGAAAGCCACTCTCAGTTAATCTTGGACCATCTCTGTCTCTGTAAATATCACATGAACGATATTAAATAAGGAGTCTATATGCCACCATTATACATGTATATACATGAGCAGAAACAATACCTTTGACTCAACAAACCTCGCTGGAAGACTTTCAGCATGGACGAACTGATGCCGGTTAGCTTCTCAGCTTGACCCGAATTTATGAGTTGTAGCAAGAAACACTGACGAGCATATTTAGAGATGATCAAATACTAACCAAATCCATACTGGAAGATTATAATTTCTTCCATCTTAAGGATGTTATCAATACATAATTAGAAACTAACTACACACCTCCCATTGCTGAAGTGCATAGGTTTCGAGTTCTTGTAGACTTGGAAGCTTAATGGCGTTGTTAGCGTTGTTGGCGTTCATAGGCTCCCTAGGCAAAACTCCACTGCAAAGTTAAAGTTTAACTCATAAGAAAATTTCCCAGAAAGCCGAAAAAAGGAGCTTACCATCAAGATAAGGTCTATGTCTTTACCCGGAAATGACATGTTTCTGAAGATTTTTCTGAAATGTAGGATTTAGGCTGTAACATGTTTGCTTTTTCCTGGAAAAAAGTAGGAACATTAACCAAAGGCAAACATAATTGGACCTATCATCTTGCTGCTACATATCAATCATAATCAATGGAAGCACAGTGAATAAGTCTAAAAAGAAGGCACACACCTATCTTTGGTTTCGGAAAAGATGCGTAATTGAATGAGTCGATCAATAGCAACTCTGTGCTTAGAGACGCCATCCGCAAGCACCCACTCCTCCATCATCGTGGCAGGTACAGGAATGTCAATGTACAGCAGCTGCAATACGTATTTCTTGGCGAGAGGTGGCAAAGACCTGATGATACATTCCACAAAATTTACTCGAATTCGAATTCACTCTTCAAATCCTATACGACTACAAACAAACGAACCTGAGAATGGCCTCGCAGATGAAGACATTGTTGTAGAGTTTGTCGAGCTTGATGGCGGTGAGAGACGCCACCATGTCCATAAAACTTTTCGCGATGATCTTAACTTGCGGCATCTTCGCCAATTAACTTATTGGTAGACAATTAGAGCAGCGACTGAAGAAGAAATTCCAGAAATCGAATCAACATGTAATTCAATTCAATTTGAAGAGTATTGTTAGTGATTTTCGGTTTAATGTTGCAGATGAAACTGATGAGCCTGTGACTTGCCTCTGAGAACGATATCGAGAGAAGAAGAAAGAAATAGAGAAGAGGAGAGAAATTGAGAAAGTTTGGGGATAATTCGATTATGTTTACAGAGGGAGGGAGGTACTCTCTACTTGTAAGAGACAAACATTAAAACGACACTGCAATATTGTAAAGCCCAATACTAAAAGACTCGAAGCCCATCTTTGACCCAATACAAGACCCACTGTACTGCTACATTTCCCCTTTGATGATCAAATGTATAAACAAAAACACAAATTAAGGTTATCTGATACTTTTTTTTTTGTTCAATACAAAAACATAAATAACCATACAAAGGGATACCTAACGTAAAAGTAAGATGAAGATTAGAAAACACATTTTTTTTTTTAAAAAAAACTCTGTTTCTGTCTACTTGTGTTAGTATTAAATATGCAACATATATACATCGAACACTCTAACAATATGAGAAACAAAAAAGAGAGGAAGAAATGAACAACCAACATGCAGTACTTTGGTTTCATGCCAAATCCAAGAAACAACTGTGTATAGTCAACAAGTTGACCACATGCTCCAAGATCCAAAAACAACGAATCTTATAAAAGTTAGAAATTACAGAATCAATAGTCCATTTTCTTTTCTCAATAATAGTGTAATTCCTTTGCCTATTGTAGTCCTAATCGCTAAATCAGAACAAACCAAGCCAGTACCAAAATTTATTTTCGATTAAATTCCGGTACAATAATCCAAATGTCAAAGATAATAAATTAGCTAACGGTCGGATCAATAGATCGCCTTTTAGAAAAAAAGAAACTTGGAAAAATCGAACTTTAGAAAAAAACGAAATAAAACAAAACGTGTCCGGTTTTGCAACATTCCTCCTTCTATATAATTACTAGATTAGGCCCCGCGTATACGCGGGTTTATTTTAATTTCCTTTTATAAAAATCATGAAAGAATATTAAACAAAATTTGATCACTTTTAAAAATAAGTAAAATAATATTAAAAACCCGATAATAAATCTCTAAATAAACTAAGATATGTAATATTTTTACATTTTAATTTTGAATTCATGATATGAAATAGAAAAGCTTACATGTGTCTAAATCTAATGGACTCGTTAATTTATGAAACTTTGATTATTCCATTGCTGAAACCTTTATTCTAAATATTGATGATTTTTTTAATATTGTTTTATCTAACAAAAAAATGGAAAATTTAACTATTTAATATTAGAAGATTGGTCCATTATAAAACTTTCTTTTTAATATTATTTAGTTCCTTGATAATTATTTTGTTAGTTTTCTATTTATATTGTTTCTTTTTCAATTTTGTGTTTGCCTCTTACCATTATAAATTTTCATTTTCATTATTAATTAGTTGTTTTAAATTATTTTGTTAGTTTATTTATTTATGTTACTACATTTTTCCAATTTTATTGTGTTGACATATGTCATCACCAGATCAAATATTAGACACATGTAGCGATCTAAAGTTAATTATTCTTCATTGATATCTTGAACTTTTAAAACATGATTTTTTATTTCTTAATGAGAAAGAAACTTAAAAAAATATAGCTTGTTATATTTTCCTTTTCGTATTTGGAATATGTTTTTTTATTCCTTATCTTATTGGATGTAACAATTTTTTAATTATTTCTTCATAATTTTCTGATTTTTCGTTTTTTTTTCCTTTTCGTAATAGGATTATGTTTCTTCTTTACTTTTCCTAATGGATGTAATATTTTTTCTTTTTAATTGTTTATTTCTTTTTTTTCTGATTTTTCCTAATGTACAAATAGGATTTTATTTATTACATTATTTTGAATTTTAATATGTGTTTGGACAATATAAATTTGATGAATACTCAAATATGATTTTTTTTTTTTTAAAAATTTTCCTTTTTCTAACATTTTTTAATTATTTTTTTTTCAAGACACGTGTCATGATCTTAACAGACGTAACATTAAAAAGTGACATATGTCGCGATCCTATAAATTATAAAAATCCTACATGTCGCAACCATCTAGCTTTATATAATAAGATATGTGAGGGAATAGGCATATCCTCACCTCGGGTGACCGGTGGGATATGGCAGCGGTGGAGCGTGATAAGGTGACGGTGACGGTTAGCGAATGAATACTGCGACGGCGGTGCAAGCATTGCCGGCGGTGCATACATCACCAGCGGCGGAGGATAGAACACCCGGCGTGTCGGAGGTGTCACGGCGGCAGCGTTAGCAGCGACGAACGCCGCAAGGGTTTGGTTGTCCACTGGTGGTACACCGAGGAGCAACGCCATGGAGTGGTTGATGGCTTGAGGAGTGGGTTCCTCAAAGCCAGCAGGAACGATGGACGGAGGAGGCGACGTCGGAGGAGAAGCAGCGCCATCATGGGAAGGAGAAAACATGATGGTCGAAGAGAAAGAGTGTGAAGCTCAAGGTGAGAGAATCACAATTCTTAGAGGAAGGGAGTTGGTAATCGAGAGAAGAGGAATGAAGTCTCTCTTATTTATAGTCGATGGGAGGAGGTAAAGAGATGAATCCAAATCTCGAAGAAGATCTCATGATCGTTATTCTATTAGGAATATGCTTAGCATATACGAACCTTATACTTGTCTCTCTTAACAACTCGAAAAAGAAATATCCTCAAGGGATCAAGGGAAATTTAATAATGGGTTTCTTGGAGAAATATAAGAGCCCAAAACCCACTTAAAAGTTATCAAACCAACTCCAAACCGAACCACAAGAATCGGGATGTCACAGGTCTTTATACGTTGTTAGTGACAAGGGAAATTTAATAATGGGCTTCTTGGAGAAATATAAGAGCCCAAAACCCACTTAAGAGTTATCAAACCAACTCCAAACCGAACCACAAGAATCGGGATGTCACAGGTCTTTATACGTTGTTAGTGACAAGGGAAATTTAATAATGGGCTTCTTGGAGAAATATAAGAGCCCAAAACCCACTTAAGAGTTATCAAACCAACTCCAAACCGAACCACAAGAATCGGGATGTCACAGTTTAGGTCTTTATACGTTGTTAGTGACTTGTAACGAAGATATTAATTTCTTTGCTAAGACGTTATTTTATCTTATTCACTAAAAACCTCTAAATATCAACGATGACTTTTCCCACATAAATCCATACTATCAATTTATTAAGATTGTGTGGTCCTTCCAAGTGTAATATTCAAACGTCTGGACAAATTGATAAAATCCACACATTCCAACACACACACACACGATCTGAAAATTCTAAAAAGAACAAAGAATGGCGGAAAAGAGCTCTGTATCAATCCTCTGCTTCTTGTTCTTGATCATATGCTTTGTTTCTGCACAAGATCGAACGTGTGATGAATCTCATGGGATTTTCAAACCCAATAGTTCATACGACAAGAACCGTCGTCTCATCCTCTCTAACATGGCTTCTAACGTCATGGCTCACGACAGCTACTTCAACGGTTCGGTCGGGCTTGGTTCCGACAGAGTCAACGCCATTGGGATGTGCGCTCCAGGCACTGAGCCCGATGCTTGCTCATCCTGTATCAACGACGCAGCCGGATACTTGCTACAGATCTGTCTGAACCAGACAAACGCATTCTCGTGGTTTGGTGAAGAGATTATTTGCCTTGTTCGCTACTCTAACCGCCCCTTCAACGGTTTACTAATCTTGGAGCCGTATAAAGTGTTTTTCAATGACATGGACATAAAGAAAAACATCCTCAAGGAGTTTTATAGTTTGTGGGACGTGTTAATGTCTCGTATGATCACAGGAGCTTCTTCGTCGGTGAAATACTATGCAAAGGATGTAGCTCCGGTGCCGGTTTATGGGGACATATCGGTGTTGATGCAATGCACTCTAGATGTTTCTTCGGAAAATTGTAAACTTTGCCTAGAGAGCAGCGTTGATTACTATAAGAGACGGTACCTTGGTAAGAGAGGTGTGATTACACTGCGGCCAAGCTGCTTTTTCCGGTGGGAGGTGTATAGATTCTCTGGTGCTTTTGATAATGCTACTTACGTTACTTCACCGCCGTCTTCTGTAACCAGTATAACCAAGAAAGGCAAGTCATTCTGGTAACATTTCAGAGAAAATTTACTCACACTTTTTTTTATGGCTATGTGTAATTATGTTTTTTTGGGGGTAAATTGTGTTTTTATGCAGATACAAGAATCTCAAGTGGAATTGTGGCGGCAATTGTTATTATTATTGTGGTTACATTAATATTGACTTCTTTAGGCTTAGTTATTCTCAAGAGGAGAAAACAAAACCAAGCAACTACTGCGCTTCAGAGTAAGTTCCTTTTATTTTATTTTAACATTGATTGGTAACTTTGGTCCTTTTTCACAGCTTGGAAAATTATTTGACTGGTCTTAAATGAAGCTGAATCTGTACAATTTGATCTAAAAACGATTGAAGTAGCAACAAGCAACTTTTCTGAAAGTAACAAGCTTGGTGAAGGTGGATTTGGTGACGTCTACAAAGTAAGATCTTAGTTTACTCCACCTCGTTCTTTTGCGGACAAGCAGTGAAAACAATATTTGTAAATGTTTTTGAAGGGTGTGCTCCCAGATGGAACTGAAGTTGCGGTGAAGAGACTGTCAAAAAGATCAGGACAAGGTAAAGAAGAGTTCAAGAACGAGGTTCTTGTCGTTGCAAAGCTTCAGCACAGGAATCTTGTTAGGCTTCTCGGGTTCTCGCTACAAGGAGAAGAGAAGTTACTCGTCTATGAGTTTGTGTCCAACAAAAGCCTTGATTATTTCTTATTCGGTAACTTGGCATATACTTCTTCGCCTTTACATAGGGTTTATACTTTTGCAAATATAGTAATATATATTTGACTATGCAGACTCTATGAAAAGAGCTCAGCTGGAGTGGAGAGTGCGACACAAATCATCAATGGGATTACTCGAGGGATTCTATATCTTCATCAAGATTCACGGCTCACAATCATACACCGTGACCTTAAAGCGAGTAACATTCTCTTAGATCCAAAAATGAATCCCAAAATTTCTGATTTTGGAATGGCAAGGATCTTTGAAATGGACCAAGGTGGCGCCAATACAATAAGAGTAGTCGGAACATTGTAAGTGTACATCCGAATCATCTGATCGTAAAACCTTTTTGAAACAGAATTTACATTAACTCCTGTTATTCAAATTTGCAGCGGTTACATGTCTCCCGAGTATGTAACACATGGCGAGTTCTCTACAAAATCAGATGTATATAGCTATGGAGTATTGATGCTTGAGATCATTAGTGGCAAGAAGAACAGCAGCTTCCACCGTATGGGTGGTTCTGTTACCAACTTAGTCACTTATGTGAGAAATTATAAACTAATCAAGTCTCAAATTAACTTTGTTTAAGCATTCTTAAACAAAAATGATGATAATATTATATTACAGGTTTGGAAACTTTGGGAGAAGAATTCATTGCATGAACTCATAGATCCCAGCATTCAAGAAGAATGTATCGGAGAAGACTGTAAAAAGGATGAAATTATAAGATGTATCCATATCGGACTATTATGCGTTCAGGAAAATTCAGCAGATCGTCCAGCAATGTCGGAGATTCACCAGATGCTCACCAACACTTCACTTATTCTGCATGTGCCTAAGCCACCTGGTTTTTTCTTTCCGAACGGACCAGAATCGAATCAATCTACAAGCAAGTCTTTCACTTGTTCAGTAGATGATGTAACAAACACCAGTGTTGATCCTCGTTGAAAAAGTTCAACACCCTCTGTTTGGTTTTTTATTATTTTATAATCAAAGGCTTGGTTACCTTTTCTTTTTTTTGGCATATATATATATATGTAAAAGTTTTAAGTCAAGCATGTTTCTAGGTCTTCAAAGCCGTCAAATGAATGCAGTATGCGTCCATTGATTGAACGGGAATCGTTCATAGGATGTTGAGTGACAAAAGAAATAGACATATAATTTTGTATGTAAGAAATGTTATGTATATGATCATTATCATTTGCTTATGAAAAAATAATGGACAATATTTTACTTGTGTTTCATTTTCGCTCCAAGAAACACATGATCTTTAGAGATATGTACCATGAAACGGTTACACGCTTTGATGATCAAATGTATGAACAAAAACATAAATTAAGGTTATCTAATACGTTTTACAAAAACATAAATAACCATACAAAAGGTTATCTATTACTAATAAAAGTTGAGTCTATATGCATTAGAGGGTGTCCACCTAGGATTCTAAAACTGTATTTGATTGGTCCATGTCATTATTATTAATTTTTTTAATTGAATAATTAATTTTATTTTTATTCTTATTAGCAAATTTCCCTTTTATGCATATTAGCAAATTTCCATTTTTTTAATATCCATATATTTTCTTTTATTCCAATAAGTATTATTACTTTAACATATAACTTTAGTAAATTTCCTATTTTACAAATATTTTATTAATTAGATTTTAATAATTGTAATTTTTATATAGATTATCTAATAAGAAATGACATTAGAAGTTGTCTTTTATATTAGTGGAAAATTGATTAAGAAGCCCATACTATCTATTATGGCACATTCAACCATTCATTTTAATGAAATCTCAGATTAAACATCTCTATTAACAGTTTTTCATGGCAAATACACTAAGTAGTTAGACAAATAAATTTTTTTTAGCAACAAGGTGTTGTGGTGTAGCAAAAGGAAAATAAGAAATTTAATTTGATCGGTACACATAAGCATCTTAAAAGAATTTCATTTTATTTGTTATTATGATATTTCCTTAATACTCAATTCTATTTTTATTCATATTAAAGTGTTTAGAAAATAGAAAAATAAGATTTCTAATGACATAAAAAGGAAAATTACTTCTATGTTTTTTTTAATTTTGTCTAATGGATGTTTGGAAATTATTAGAAAGATTTGGGGTTAAGAGGATTTGGTATAAAATGTGACCTTCAAAGACATGCAATCTCTAAAATTCTGAAACAAAATGTTTGGTAGTGTGCATATAATTAAAGCAAATGAGAGATAGGGTGATCCGGGTCGGGATATTTTGGTCAAACCATCGCTAATAGAATCAATCAAAGACTTGCTAATGATAATTCGCTTAGAGAACCTGTTTTCGTAACCGTCAATGTGTTGTTCCTCGTCGACGCGAGGAGGATTTTGAATTCGCTGCGAGCGCTGCATGGCTCTCCTCCGTCAAGGCGTGTTTGGCAGGAAGTTTTGCAAAGATTAGTAAAAGAACACAGAGTGGAACCGAAGGATCTGGAAGGAAAAAGTGAGACTCAGTGTTCGATTTGTATTGTGGATTTTTGCAAGAGCCGCGAATGCATTATTGAGATGCCTGAATGGAAACATATGTTTCATGAAGATTGTCTCTTCCAGTGGCTTCGTTGTCAAAACTCGTGCCCCTTGTGTCGGAGTGTTCCGTACGAGGAAGATAGCAACAAAAGAATGATCCAAAGGTTAGTCTTTAGGCCTTTGAGTTTATAACTTTAGGGCATCACATTCCGTTTGATATATGTATATGAAAAATATGTAACACTGCAATTTTTATATGACTCTTTCAATTATTCATATCTTTTCCCTAACGAACCCTCCCTCCCTACGATTTTCATCTGTTGCTCCTTCTATATAAATAAATCGTTCACCTGTAGAAATCAACTTCTCTCTTCAGATAACAAAACGCTCTTCTTCATCTTGAAATCCGAGATTAGGGTTTAGTTTTGGTTGAAGGTATATTCTTCTTCTTCTTCTTCCTCTTCTACGACCATGAATATCAGAACTAGTGATATCATTGAAGTGATGATTACGTCGGTGGCTAATCTACCAAGAAAGTCAGATGTATATAGCTACGGAGTATTGATACTTGAGATCATTAGTGGCAAGAAGAACAACAGCTACCACCGTATGGGTTGTTAATTGGGTGTTAATTCAGTTAGAAAAAACACATTTTTTTTTTAAAACTCTTTTTCTCATATTGTTAGATTGTTCGATGAATGGTTGCATGCATGCACAAGTAGACAAAAACAGAGGAAGAAATGATAAAAAAATAACAACCAACATACTTTCGTTTCATGCCAGATCCAAGAAACATACTGTATTTTAATTGGATCACTCAACAAGTGGAACACACTTGGAAGATCAGTTTTTGTCTGATGATATACTAGAAATTACATGATCGATCATAATCATAAAAATGCAAAAAGAAGATTAATTTCACTTGGAAGTAAAATGGAGATAGAGAATTCCAAAGAGCAAAACGTTCACAGAATGAATGAAAAACAATGAATCTTATAAAAATTAGAAATTACAGAACCAATCGTCCATTTTCTTTTCTCAATAATATATATAGTCTAATTCCTTTGCCTATTGCAGTCCTAACCGCTAAACCAGAACAAACCGAGCCAGTACCAAACTTTTGTTATAAATTTAATTCCGGTACAGTAATCCAATTGTGAAAGACAACAAATTAACAAACGGTCGGATCAATATATAGATCGCGTTTTAGAAAAAGGAAACTTGGAAAAATCGAGCTTTAGAAAAAGGAAATAAAACAAAACGCGTCCGGTTTTGCAACATTCCTCCTCTCTATAACTCGTTCACCTGAAGAAATCAACTTCTCTCAGTCATTCTTAAGTCTTAATATAACGAAACGCTCTTCTTCATCTTCAAATCCGAGATTAGGGTTTAGATTTGGTTGAAAATATTCATCTCTTCTTCCTCCTCTTTTACGACCATGGAAACCAGTTGTGATAGAATCGAAGTGGCGATTATGTCGGTGGCGAATCTACCAATAAACCTCGAGTCAAGAAACACAGTTAAAATCTATCTATACAACATTATCCAAGAGGTTGTCGGAGACGTACGTGGATCGGTAACACATTTAGGAGCATCTTACATCCGTTTGCAGCCACGTGGTGGTTTCACGCCACCTAATCTCTCTGAATTCCTTCGTGATATGTCTGTTCCTGAGTCGGGAGATTTAGGTCAATTAATCGCCTATGAAATCGATCAAAGACTTTCTGCTGATAATACTCTTAGAGAACCTGTTTTCGTAACCGTCAATGTGTTCTTCATCATCGAGAGGCCGATTCTGCTTTCACCGGCAAAGGGTGCTTCGCGGGGAGTTTTGCAGAGATTAGTTGAAGAACAGAGAGTGGAACCTAAGGATTTGGAAGGAAAAAGTGAGACTCAGTGTTCGATTTGTATAGTGGATTTTTGCGAGAGTCGTGAGTGCATTACTGAGCTGCCTGAATGCAAACATATGTTTCATGAAAATTGTCTTTTCGAGTGGTTTAGTTGTCAAAGCTCGTGCCCCTTGTGTCGGGGTGTTCCGTACGAGGGAGATGGTAACAAACAGAGTCAAAGGTTAGGCTTGAGGGCTTTAAATTTGAGTTGAGAGATCTAGGGTTTTCATTCCGTTTACATTTTTTCCTTTTATGTATCGATATTGGTTGTTGTAACTTTAAATATGTAACATTGCAATTTTTTATGGCTCTTTTAATGATTCATCTTGCAGCAATAACTTTTCGCTAACGAAATTTTGTTCCCTCTATCATAAATTTCGGGTTCGGGTCCGTTTTCGGGTTGAGACTAAAACCCGAAGAAAACCCGATTTTTTCGGTTTCGGGTAATTGTCGGGTTTTCGGGTTTTTTTATACCCGATTCCGCCGGATAGACGATCACCGGAATGTCTAGATCCCGAAACCGTAAACCTTAACTCCATAGAGTTCTTCTTATCAGCAGTTTCCCTCTGTTTCTCCACAATCCCCTTCTCCTCCCAATTCCGCAGATTTCAGATCCGCAGATTCGATGAGATTCGGTTCGTCTCTTATCAGCTGTGTTGGTTGCGATGGTGTTCTTGTTGACGACTTATTGCAATCTCAGGTTTGTATTTCCCAAGCAAGATGATTATGTGGTTAGTGTCGTAGATAAGATTGAAGGGAAGAAACAAATGATACAAAGAAAAGGGTTTTGTTTCTGACTGCAACTTATGATTGTTGGTAGAGAGAAGATTTTGATAGATCTGTGTGGATTGTATAAAGAACAAAGGGTGCAAATGGTGGTGGATAGGTGGAATAAACAGAATAAGAGGAATATTGGTGAGTGGAATAACAATTAGAGGAAGGGTCAATTTGCTTAATAATTATATTGAGCACAATAATTAAGAATATAGCAATAGCAAAAACAAAATAAAGAAACTAACCATAGCCAAACTTTCTACCCTAAATTACCCTTGAGACAATACTGTATAGAACAAAATAGTATAGTGTTCAAATTTCATTTTAAACCAAAAATTTGAAACCCTAAACCCCAAACATTAAATCCATAATCTAAACCCTAAATAAAAATATATAAACCCTAAACCAAGAAATAAATCATTAACCCAAAATCTAAACCCTAAATAAAAAATCTAAACCCTAAACCCAAAAATAAATCATAAACCCATAATCTAAACCCTAACCTCAAAATCTTAATCCTAATTTCAAAATCTTAACCCTAAACCCAAAAAGCTAAACCCTAAATTCAAAAGTATAAATACTAAACCCAAAATTTAAATTATAACCCCTAAATCCAAAACCCAAAAATATAAACACTAAACCCAAAATCAATCCTAAACTCAAAAATCAAAACCCTAAAAAAAATCTAAACCCTAATATAAGAAAACATTTCGTACTATTCTGCAGAGGTAAAAAAATAGTATAGCATTAATTTCCAATAAAAATGACAAGGACCAAATGGGTATTATTATATAAACTACAGCTTGTATTCTAGCCAAGACATTCTAATGGTTAGTTTCTTAAATCATGTTCTCAATATAATTATTAATTATAATTTTCCATTAGAGGAATATGAGAAGTTAATTTGAATTACGCTGGTTTTTATTCCTCTAAGAACATGTGCAGCAGAGAGACTATGAGAGTTTCTTTAAATTTTTGTTTTTTTTTTGTTTTTTTAAAGATTTTCGAAAAAATTAAAAAAAACTAAAATAAAAATTTGAAACCCAATCATGTGCTCACACGTGGAGAAATGTGTCAGAGAAACGGTTCTGGAATCTCTCCCCGGAGAGATGTCTCTCGCCTTGGGACTCGCCACGTAGGTAAATGTTTTTATTTTTTCTTTTTTTTGGCTAAAGAAACTCTCATAGTCTCTCTGCTGCACATGCTCTAACTATTGAAAGGGGAACAAATCTCAACGAAACAAGGGTTATTTTTCACTTTTTAGTGGGTCCTACATAATTTAGTGGAATAGTAATTTTTGTCAAATGGTGACTTTTTAGAGGAATGCAAGGGAATTACCAATTCCATCTAATTTTGTTCCACTAATGTGTCAACCATTTGCACCCAAAGAGATGAAAAAAGAAAGATCTTTGTAGATTCGGGGAAAATGTTGAAGAGGAGGTGGTGTTGTTTTAGGTTTGGGTTATGTAAGTGATAATTATCAGTTTTCGGTTAGTACTTCGGTTATCGGGTATAAACAGAACCGAACCTGATCTGAAATTTATATGAGAACCGAACGGTTATTTTAGCAAACCCGAACCCGACTCGGGTCGGGTTTTCCGAGTCGGACACGGGTTCGGTTATCGGGTTTGGGCTAAAGTCGGGGGCCTAGAATCAATAGTCCATTTTCTTTTCTCAATAATAGTGTAATTCCTTTGCCTATGGTGGTAGTCCTAACCTGTGTTCTAAAACTCGGCCTTCCAGCCGATTAAGCGCCGGATTGCTCGCTAGAAGGTGTCTTCCGTGGAGTTTATCAGAACTCGGTCACAAACTCGAAAATTAAAAAAAAAGTTCATTATTTTCTGGATTTTTAAGTTGAAAATAATATAGTAGACAACTAGGGTTTTGGCGTGACAGAGGTGAGGAAGAAGACGAGGGTAATTTCGTCATTCAACTTCATAAGTGTATAGAACATGAGAAATATTAAAATCACATTGTACGTGAGTCGAACTTGTGACCTGCGAGTCATTATGGACAACTAAAACCATTAGACTAGACTACATCTTCATGTTTATTGCGCAATTATAAAATAATATAACCTATTTAAAATAAATATACAAAATAAAATCGCCGAGTACTCTCCGAGTTTTTTCCGACTTTTGCAAAAGTCGCTACTCCCGGACTGAGCGCCCTGGTAATGCCTAGCGAGATTTTGAACATAGGTCATAACCACTAAACCAGAACAAAACAAGTCAGTACCAAACATTTTATTTTCGATTAAATTCCGGCAATAATCCAAATGTCAAAGATAACAAATTAGCTAACGGTCGGATCAGCAGATCGCCTTTTAGAAAAAGGAAATAAAACAAAACGCGTCCGGTTTTGCAACACTCCTCCTCTCTATATAAATTAGTACTCTGATAAGCTTCACCAAAATAAGAAATAGAAAGCAAAGTCTCTGGTTGAAGGAGAGGGTTTGCTGGTACTGAGAAGTAGTATAAATAAGCTTTGTACACTTGCTTTAGAGATTATGCATTTTGTAAGTTGTAAGCGAGAAAGCGTGATGAGCTTATCGTGAGAGTCGCCATGAGATTCTCGTTCACAATCGTCATGAGATTGTGAACTACGGCTTGTAATCTGTACTTCTCTATTCAATCGGATTATCTTTTCTAGCTCAAATACATCTATACTCTATCATACTCATTCACCTGAAGTAATCAAATTCTCTCCGTCTCTCTTCAGATAACAAAATGCTCTTCTTCATCTTCAATCCAAGATTAGGGTTTAGTTCTGGTTGAAAATATTCTTCTTCTTCTACCTCCTCTTCTACGACCATGAGTATCAGAACTAGTGATATAGTCGAAGTGATGATTACGACGGTGGCTAATTTACCAAGAAACCTCGAGTCAACAAACACAGTTAAAATCTATCTACACGACGTTTTCCGAGAGGTTGTTGAAGACGTACGTGAAACGGTAATACATTTAAGATCATCTCACATCCATTTGAAGCCACGTGGGGGTTTCACGTCACCGCATCTCTATGAACTCCTTCGTTATCGGTCTGTTCCTGAATCGAGACATTTAGGTCAAACAATCGCTCACAAAATCAATCAAAGACTTGCTAATGATAATTCTCTTAGAGAACCTGTTTTCGTAACCGTCAATGTGAACTTCATCAAAGAAGAGAGGTGGATTTCGCTTTCACCGTCAACGCTGCATGTTTCTCCTCCGTCAAAGGGTGCTTCGCGGGAAGTTTTGCAGAGATTAGTTAAAGAACAGAGAGTGGAACCAAAGGATTTGGATGGAAAAAGTGAGACTCAGTGTTCAATTTGTATTGTGGCTTTTTGCAAGAGTCGCGAATGCATTATTGAGTTGCCTGAATGCAAACATTTGTTTCATGAAGATTGTCTCTTCGAGTGGCTTGCTCGTCAAAACTCGTGCCCATTGTGTCGAAGTGTTCCCAATCCATTTTAATTTTGTTTCCTTTTTTTTTTATGTATCGACAGTGCTATTACAAATTTGAAAACTCTGTAACATTGCATTTTTTTTTTATAGCTCTTTCAATTATTCATCTTGCACCATACCCTTTTCATTATATCAACACAATGCAACTACAAGATAAGCTAAACCAACTTCCACAACAATTTCTGCTCAAGATTAGATCAAAGTTTCAGTTTTTATCAAAGAATATGAACACGATCGCCTTAGGATTCAAATCGATGCATGTGCCAATTCCACCTATATACGTTACTCAAACAGACAACTGGAGCCGTTTTTCACATTATACATCTACCAACATAGAACAATATCTGAATGAAAAAAGTGAGCTTTTCAATGAACAGTTTTCTGTTAGGAATTTAAACAAACAGTACGCAGGCATGTAAGTATCCCAGGGAAAATCTTAAAAAACTTCCGTCAAAAGCTAACAATTTGTAGAGAAACAAAGGAACCAGAAAGCTTTCCATATTCATTCCACGAATAAGAACCAAAACCATCGTTTTCCCAAATATTGTTCTAGCAAACCACCGTCTAAACCCCTAGACTAAAAAATGTCCTGAGAAATTGGTTAAGAAATCAGCAGATTCAAGAAGACATACCTTTTCTTGAGATTCCGAAAGTAGGAAAAGAAAGAGAGAGCGAGACTGGTTCTGGTTTTGGAGAATCAAACTATGCGAGCGAGAGACGAAGAGATTACTACAGTCGTAGACTGACAGAGAGAGAAAGAGAACTCAGGTGGCCTCGTTTTTGGTTTTTACATATCAATGGGCTGTTAAGGCCCATTAGTACTGATACTCTATTTTTGGCCCATTTTCATACTCACAACCAAACATGGGTTAAAACGGTCATTTTGTCTTCGTGTTATCCGCGCAAATGGAAAATGCCAAAAAATGGGTTTAGCATAGATTTCTTCAAATCGCTAAACGGTGTATCTCAAAATTTCAGCAGCGTTGTTTATATAAGTTTTTTCCAAATTTTACAATAAGACTGTTTGATCACAATCTCAAAAAGAAACTACCATGTTACTAATTCTGATTTACAACACAAATTAAAACAAAACCAAAGAAATTGGGTTTATTTAATCATTTTCTAACCGGAACTTTCTCCGGAATCCTGGTGTTTCCGGTTACGCTCAAACTGTCGTAGTAATCAACAAGCACTTTTATTTATAAAAAGGAAACTTGGAAATACGTACTTGATTGATATATTCCTTTTTCTTAAGATGTATATCCCATCGAACGGGTGCATATTTGGTTGATTTAATGTGTGAAATTCCATGGCCTCTTACGTACATGATTGTTTACGTAGATAATTAACCTTGACACCGATTTCTTCCTACGGAAGTAAAATGAAAATTGCAAAAAAGATGGGAACTCTGATGACTGCTTGTGTAATAAGTATTACACATGCTATCAAATATATCGAACGATCTAAATAATATGAGAAAAGAGGAACAAAATATAGAAAACAACCACATTTCATGCCAAATCCAAGAAACGAATAACCAAGTTGTATTATGAATTTGAAGATAAATATGCGTAACCAAAACGTGATTCTTTATTAATACATGTAAAAGCCAGAAACATATATCGATCAGTGTTGTCTGATAAATCCATATACACTAGAAATTACATGATCGTGATCATAAAAAAGAAAAAAAAAAAAGAAGAAGAGATGATTGTTTCACTTGGAAGTAAAATGGAGATAGAGAAACACAAAGAGCAAAACGATCGGAATCACCAAGATCAGTGGAGGAGATGGTGGAAACACTGGTCCCATCATCAACGGAACGAACAGTAGCATCATCGCAACGCTCACAATCGCCAAGATCGAACCCGATCCGAATCCATATTCATTCGCCATTTTCTTCGTCTACTTCTCTTTCGATGTCGGTTTGTTGTAAGTTTTGTTGAGTACTTTTGTCCCTTTTTGAAGTATTTATAAATTGATTCAGACATTTCTCTACGGTTGTGTCCTTTGCCCGAGAAGGCGAGAACCATACACAACGTTTCGCATGAGAACACAAAACCTTTCACATAATAACCACCACCAAACTCAAAACGCAGCGTTTTTGTGTATCATTGGCACGTGTTTAGCAAAAGACCTCGTGCTATAAAACGCAGCGTTTTCAGCGTCGCAATCGACAGCTAGATATTCATTAAAACGCTGTGTAGAAGGAACCAAATTTCGAATTTTGAAAATTTTCGTAATCCCGCCAAAATCACAAAAGCATTTTGAAAACCTTTTCTTTTTGTCTGCTAGTAATTTACTATATCCTTCATTTATCGTTTTGCGCTTTTCTTTCACAATCAAAAGACCTTTTTAGTTTTTTTTCTCTCCCCAAAGTTTCTTTTCAAATCCTAAATTATTTCGCCCTAAGATTTTTCCCGATGTCAGCTTCATCGAATCGCCGCCGGCTGAAAGATATAAACTCCGGCGCCGGAGAGAATCCATCCACTGGGAAGAAACCCTCGAGGTCTGTAACTCCAGCTCCGATCTCTAGCAGAAATCCCAGTCCTGCTCTCCAGAAATCATCATCCAGCAAAGAGAATCCCAAGCCTAGTCACCGGGCTTTTTTGGGGAAAAGGGTGAATCTGATCAGGATAAGAAATCTGGGTTTAAGGCCACCGGTGAAAATAAGATCGGCGATACATCTGGGCAGTCAATTAAGGTTTGTGAGGAAGCAGATGAAGAAATCAAAACAGTGAAATCAAGCAATTTTGAGGGTTCTATCACGGCGAGAAACTCCATTTCCGATCCAAATGCACCTGCTTTGCTTGTTTCTGGAGAAAAATCTGCTCTTGCTTCGAAATCCGATGCTAAAATTGAAAAGATAGGAGTAGGAAAAGGGACTAGTGTAGCTTTAAGAAGAAAGTCTTTGGATAATGCTGGCAAGGCAATGGAGATGTTAAAGGAGATAAAAGGGAACGAAGGTAGCAGCAATATCGCTGCCAAGTACCCAAGCAAGTTGTTTCTGGAGAAAAATCTGCTCTTGCTTCGAAATCCGATGCTAAAATTGAAAAGATAGGAGTAGGAAAAGGGACTAGTGTAGCTTTAAGAAGAAAGTCTTTGGATAATGCTGGCAAGGCAATGGAGATGTTAAAGGAGATAAAAGGGAACGAAGGTAGCAGCAATATCGCTGCCAAGTACCCAAGCAAGCTGCACGAGAAGCTTGCTTTTCTTGAAGGAAAGGTTAAGAAAATTGCATCGGATATCAAGAAGACAAAGGACATGCTGGATTTGAATAATCAGGACTCGTCAAAGGTTATAATCTCTCATATACATCAGAAGATCACAGGGATTGAAACTTGTATGAGTCGTGTTGTTGATGGTTCTGAGAAAAACAAGACCACTCAAGTGACAAAGGCAAAAGCTTCGGTGAAAGGATTGAATAAAGAAGAGCTGGAAGACAGACTCTTTCCTCACCAGAGGTTGCTAAGGAGCAGAACTCAATCCAAAACGTCTTCACAAGTCTCAAAAGGCCATGATTCTGTTGAGTCTAACAAGGCAGTAAAAGCTGAAGAGAAGCCCTCAGGTCCCTGTGAGGAGAATCCAATAGCACTAGAGTTCTTGGCCTCACTTGACAAGGAAAAAGTGACCTTCACGAGTGACCAGTATGCGCTGGAAAATGTGGAAGTGCAGGAGATGGATACGGAGGAACCGTCAAAGGAAAATGATGCTTCAAAAGATGTCAAACTGACTTCCAACTTAGCTGAAATTCTCAGAGCGGATGAAGACCTTGAGGAAATCGAAGAAGAAGAGAATAGAGAGGACATGGAGCTGGAAGAGATAGAGAATGAGTGCATGTATCAACTCAATGACATTGGATCCAAAACTTCTACCGGAGGATGGTTTGTATCAGAGGGCGAGGGAGTTATACTTGCTCATGATGATGGCTCATGTTCGTATCACGACGTTGCTAACTGTGAGGTACTATGCTTTCATTTCTCAAACGTATTAACTTCGTTATGGAACATATGTCCTGCCTGAAAAAAAATTATTTTATCATCATGCTTGATCTAACTTTAACAATGCTGATGTGGAACATTTGATATTACATTCTCACTTTGACCACAATATACACAGTTCTCAAGTGTTTCTTGATTTAGATTGGTTTTCATCTTACACGTACAGATTTAAAGCTGTATTTTGGCCTATATGTTATGTTCAGGTAAAAGCTGTGTACAATCCTCCAGATGGTATCTCACCAAACACATGGAGAGATTGCTGGGTGGTTCGAGCACCTGGTGCAGATGGCTGCTCAGGGAGATATGTTGTAGCTGCTTCTGCTGGGAACACACTAGAGTCTGGATTTTGTTCATGGGATTTCTACACCAAAGACATAAAGGCAGTCCACATCGAGGATGGATCTTCAAGAGTTTCAAGGACTGCTCTTGCTCCTTTACCCAACAACACATCTCACGCTAGGAACACCTTGGCTTGTTCACTGATACCAGAAACTCAACAGTGGTGGTACAGACCATGCGGTCCTCTCATAGCTTCAACCGCTAGTTTCCAGAGAGTAGTCAAGGTTTTCGACATACGAGATGGGGAACAAATCATGAGATGGGAGTTGCAGAATCCTGTGTCAGCTTTAGATTATTCGAGCCCTTTACAATGGAGAAACCGAGGGAAACTTGTCGTAGCTGAAGCTGAAGCAATCTCTGTTTGGGATGTCAATTCCCTTCACCCTGAGGCTCAGCTCACTATTTCCTCTTCAGGGAGAAAAATCTCAGCTTTTCATATCAATAACACAGATGCTGAAGTTGGTGGAGGTGTTCGTCAAAGGTTAAAACTTTACTTCACCATTATTATAGCCTCTTCTTATTCTTCTTGTTCACCATTGACTTATAAGTTTGTCTTCACCTGAAATTGCAGAGTAAGCTCTATGGACGCTGAAGGCAACGATGGAGTTTTCTGCACTAGTGATTCAATCAACATTTTGGATTTCCGTAATCCATCTGGCATTGGTGCTAAAATTCCTAAGCTTGGCGTTAATGCTCAGTGTGTATCATCTCGAGGAGATTCAGTGTTTCTCGGATGCACCAACCTGAAATCATCATCTGTTAAGAAACCATCATCTTCTTCTTCTCAAGTGCAGCAATTCTCATTGAGGAAACAGCGCCTCGTGAGCACTTACAGTCTACCTGACTCCAACACTCACTCTCACCACTCTGCGATAACACAAGTCTGGGGGAATTCGAACTTTGTCATGGCTACTTCTGGTATGGGACTGTTTGTGTTTGATACTGCAAAAGAAGAGACTTTGCAACAACAGCCATTGACAGGCGACTATGGAAGCTTACAAACTGTACGAGAGATTATCGGCCCGAACGATATGTATTGTCCTTCGTTCGACTACTCAAGCTCTCGTGTCCTCCTTATCTCAAGAGATCGTCCGGCTTTGTGGAGGCACCTCTTATAGGTAAAAGCAGTGAACTTTATTTACTTTCATTGTGTATTACACAACTTGTGTCAGATGTTGATTGTTGAAGTTTTGATTTTTTCAGATGAGTAAAGCCAAGAAACTAAGTTCAGATGGTATGTTCCCACGAAGGGTTGATCTCTCTCTTGTTTAAAAAGAGTCTATTAGAGCACAGCTTGTGCTGCTTTGTCTTGTGCTGTGCTTTTTTGCTCTCTGGTTAAAGAAAAACTATGCTCTTCTCCTTGTTGCTTTTTGCTTATTTGAGTTTTAGTTTGTACATACAACTTTGTGTTTTGATCAATTTTTCACTGGTTTTTTGTTTTGTGTGACTCAGATGATTTATAGGTTAGCTTTGACTTATAAGATTGTCTCCAAAGAACTCAAAGATGTGATTGTGAACTTGTGAAAGAGAGTACCTAACAAAAAAAGAGGGTTAATTGGTGAAATGGCCACACTAGTATAAAGAAACAGCTAATCAGATGAGATTACTACTAATTCAGTGACAGGCAAATAGTATGAGAACTTTACCTGTAAATGTTGGGAGCTGCAACCACACATAGTCATCAATAGACAAAGAAAATAAAATATTCCTAATTTAGGAATAATTTCGATTTCTCTTGATCAAAATCTGGATCTCTCCTAAGTCTTCCTCTGCTCTTGGCTCTTTCGCTTGCTTCTCAAATCTTTTCTCTTTCTTTGGCCATGTCGGATTTTGCTAAAGACGCATGGCGAAAATATCTGATTCAGCTCCAAGCTCACCCTTTACGAACCAAGGTCGTCCTTAATTCTAATCAAGATTTTTCTCAAATCTTCCAATTGTTCCGATGATCATGATGAAGTTATGGGTTTCGTTAAAGTTTTGCTTTTTTCTTCTGTTTGGCTGATTTTGCAGGCGATCACTGCTGGGGTTTTGGCAGGTTGTAGTGATGCCATAGCTCAGAAGATCTCTGGTGTTAAACGGATTCAGTTCCGGAGATTGCTTCTCCTTATGGTTCGTTGCTCTTTTTCTCATGTTTGCTTTGAAGTCTTGATCATACATTTTTTTCTTGGTTTCTGAGATTACTTTGGATGATGATCTGTTGCAGTTGTATGGGTTGTGTTATGGTGGGCCATTTGGTCACTTTTTCCACAAATTGATGGATGCTATTTTCAAAGGGTCTAAGAAGGACAATACAACAGTCGCCAAAAAGGTCTTGCCTTTCTCTTTCAAAACATTTTTGTTCTGTACCAAACTAAGCATCTTCTGTAATGCTTTTTTCATTTTTCATTAATAATAGTTGTGGGTCTAAGTAGTTTGTAGATACTATAGTCTCTTTAGTAAGAAGTTGTCACCAAATTTATGGACTGGCGTTTCTAACCGGATTAGTCCTGAATGCTTCTTACTTGGTTGATGTTGATGTTGAAGTAGATTTGGACTTTCTTGTGGCAATATGAAGTTGAATGTGGTTAGAACTGAAATAGTAGTCCAAAAGTCAGTTTCTTTTAGCTAGAAATGACGTGTATACTAGTAGTACCATTTGTGTCTCCTCTTTTTTTTTGGTTTAACTAGCCAAATTGTGGTGAAGCAGGTTTTGTTGGAACAACTTACATCTTCTCCTTGGAACAATTTTCTTTTCATGTCTTACTATGGTGTAGTTGTGGAAGGTACAGTTGAATTTTCAATGCCATTTGAAATTTATTGTTTGGTTTCTCTTTATTGATTTATGATCTTGAGTGTAAGATCTTATGTCCTGCAATGTTTTTACAGGGAGGCCATGGAAGCTAGTGAAGCAAAAACTTGGGAAAGATTACTCAACCATCCAGTTAACTGCATGGAAGGTAACATAAAAGTTGAGTCACACTTTTGCATTTCAATTACAAACCAAAATCACACACATTAATGTTACACTTTTGATGTCGTTTTCCAATTTATATAAATCTGGTTTATGAAACTTTGTATGCTACAGTTTTGGCCTGTTGTGGGATGGATTAATTATCAGTATGTTCCTCTGCAATTCCGTGTCTTGTTCAGCAGCTTCGTTGCTTCTTGCTGGTAAAATCTTTAACCTTTCTATGTAATTTTGTTGTTTAATGTTTCTTGCAAATGGTTTTTGGTAACATCTTAATTCTCCGGATACTTTTCAGGAGCATTTTCCTGAACCTTAAAGCGCGATCTGCAGTGATCAAGAACGCCTAGAGAACACTCAATCTTGAACAACACAAGCCTCAATCTCCATATAGTTTTTCTTAAACGTACAAAAGCTCCAATATTTGAAATCTTAAAAGGTAAAATTGGAAGATTGTATCAATAATTCTAAATAAAATTTCATGCTAAATATATCATCCCTTGTGTTGGCATTTTCCTATGATTTAAGTGTTCAACAAGAAAAAAGAGTGAAGATCATAACAAACAAACATAAACGAAAACTAAAACCTTAGGTGATGAGTCGTATGACAAAGAGTCATACTACATTTTCAGCATTTATGATATCTACGTTGGCCAAACATGATTAAAATCATGATAATATATATGAATTTTGATCCATTAACTTAAATGTTGAACCATTCAATCAATAAACCACCATGGATTTGTTTTTAATTGGACTTTAAGCTCATATTAGTAGCTAGGTTTACTTCTGCTCTAGTGTCATGAATTTGAATACCATTTATCAAGGAGAACTTATTGTGATTACAGAGCTGTCCTACTTGGCTTTCTAGTTTCCACCTATATAATTAAATCACTCGTACGTAAGAGTAGGACTACAGAAAACAAACTATCAGACTGCATTTACTTCACTTACTCATTGAAGTAACTAGTTAATTCTTATACCACACTTTTAGTAGATTTGAGGAACACACTTAAGAATTTTAACTCAATATTCTTTATTCTTTAACATTTTTTTATCTACAAGAAGTAGCAATTTTTAGCTATTTTTTATTCTTTTTTTTCGAATTGAATGTAAAATTAATTCAAACCAAAAAAACATCATTTTTTACATCATGAATTGATTGAAAACAGAGAGAGCCGTTGGACTCAGTTTCTTGCTTCAAACCATGTGTGAAGAGCTTCTTCGTAGGCTGTGTCACCCAGCAATCGGATGGAGGAGACACGGTTTCTGACCTGTTTGTCGATGAGAGTGATCATAAGATTAGAGGCAAGAGGTTGCTCTCCATGTCGACGCGAGCACTTATTTTTATTCTTTAACACGTAGCTATTTTTTAAACCTTATGTTTCTTATTTTAGCGACAATTTAAACTCTACTTTACGGAAAACTACAGTTTTAAACTCATATTGTACAATTTGTACTTAACTAAACGTCCACCAAACTAATGATAGCCATTGTCCATTTCACTTCCATTTCCATAGAAAGAAAGTTTCTCAATTACATTGATCAATAGAACATATTTGAGAAACCAACTAACAAAAAGAACATAATAAACACGAACTTTAGAAAAGAACATAACAAAATGGGTTCGACACATTTGTTGTTCGCTACCAAAATGGAAGGGGGAAAGACTTAAAGTATGGAGTTGTAGTCTTGTAGACTAGAAATGCGTCGATGGAGAAATAAATAGAGCATGGATGTGATGGGATGTAATGCGAATATGAAAATGTAAATGTTTTACGAATGTCAAGTCCACAACCAGTCAATTGTTAGTTGTTAGTAGTTGAAGCAACTTAATGCTAATGCATATAATTATTTAAATAATAAAAAAAAAAAGTTGGTGTAATTGGCTGATTGCTATATAAACGTTTGTAATGTGGATAAGTTATGCTCATCTCAAACTGCAAAAAGAAAATCACTAGAGATGGGGCGTCTCATAAACGGAGTTGGTCTCTTGGCTTTGTTTTGGCTCCATGTTTTTGTGGTGAATAATGTGGCTGCGAGAGATAGTGTGGGCTTTAGCAAAGATGTAGAGAAGAAGACCTTGATAGGAGGAGGCATTGGCAAAGATGAAGAACAGAAGACCTTCCTAGGAGGCTTTGGGAGAGGTGGTGGTTTCGGTGGTGGACTTGGTGGAGGCTTTGGGAGAGGTGGTGGACTTGGTGGAGGCTTTGGGATTGGTGGTGGTTTCGGTGGTGGACGTGGTGGAGGTTTTGGAAATGGTGGTGGACTTGGTGGGGGCTTTGGCAATGGCGGTGGACTTGGTGGAGGCTTTGGCAATGGCGGTGGACTTGGTGGACGCGGATTCGGAAACGGATTTGGGTTTGGCGGTGGAGGTCACCACTGAAACTAATAAATAAGAAGAAGCTTGTACGTAGTTGCACTGCGTGCATGGTTGTATTTTGACGTAAACAAGTTAGTTAAAGCGACTTTGGAAAAAATTAGGCCTTATCTATGTTTAAATTCTAATTTGGCAAAAGTAACATAAGTGTGAGACACAAGAAAAGAAGAACACAAGAGCCTTTTATATAAGGTGATGGCGTGGCAACGTCTACGTCTCGCCAGGATTCGCTACGAGAAAATCCACTATAATGAGTTTAGGCGAATTACAAGAACTTACAACGAAAGAACATTGATAACCAGTAGAAACCTTTTTGCTCACACAGTCACACGAACAACGGCACAATAATGAAACAAATACATACTGTACATTCTCTAAGTGTTTCCGCAAGCAAACTCTCTTTGTTCTTACAAAGTTATCGCTCTCTATCTCTCTATTCCTAAGATGTCCACAACAACCTTTCTATTTTTGGCAAAACTTGCTTTCCAGCAACCAACTTGTCTTCTTAGCCAAGTACAAGATTTTTATTGTGCTTGTCACTACATCCCTGATGTTACCCACAAAACTTAGTATTTACTATTTAGTAAGCATGCTCTTTTTGAGTCCCACTCCAACTCACTTGCACCTCTGACATATCAGATTTCTTAGAAAGTTAATTCTCATAGTCTAAGGCCTTTCATCAGATCGATATAAGATATTCTTATACTCCACCGCATTTCTGTATTTCATGTAATTTTGGGAGACTTGTGGCCTTGAAGTCTTGAAGAAGAGAATTACGATGGCAAGTTAAAGATAAAATAATAATACACACTCCTTTCTATTTTTAATACGCTCTTTAATTTAGTGCTCAACCAACTCTTTTGAATAGTAGAAAGTTATTTGCGTTACTTTCTGTAGAAACACTTCTAAAAACATTTAATGTTTAAAAAGATTGTAAAAAAAAAAAACTGGCAATACATTCGTTATTGTGTTGTTAGTTGATGATAATCCACTTCCCTAAGTCATCATAACTAGTTAATTGGTTTTTTAAAGAATATATATAACTGTAGCCAATTCAAAAAAAAAACATGACTTAATCATAACAGAAATACTTGAATCTTGGTCTCTTAACTTAAATGATGAACCATTCCATCAATGAACGGCAATGCACTTGGCCAACTCATAACTAGCTTCTTAGAAAATTTTCAATTTTAGAGACTTTTGTAGATTATGGTCTAAATATCTATAAATATTGTAATAACTAATACAATCAAACATTAGTTCACTTCTTTCAAGTGTCATGAATTGAAGACAATATTTTTATAATAATTTATTGTGATTTAGTTGAGTTTGATAATGGTAAGACTATTCTACAGAGCTGGCCTACTTGGGTTTCTGGTTTGCATCTATACAATTAAAGAATTCGGACGTAGAACTATAGAAAAACAAACTACATGTATCAGACTGCTTTTACTTCACTTACTCATTGAAGAAATTAGTTGATTCTTACCAAACTTTCAATAGATTTGAATAACACACTTATCAATTAATTTATTAATCAATAACTTTAACATTGTACCTACAACTTAAAAGAAGTAGCTAGCTATTAATATATGCGCTGCAAACCTAATGTTCCTAATTTTATCCACACTCTTGAACCCCACCTTATGATAGTTTTTTCGGAAAATCTTAAGTACTTTGTTACTCATGTTGCTAAAATGTTCTAATGACCATAATCCATTGTCCGTTGAAATTAAACTATACTTTAGTATCTTGATTCTTTCATTTCCACATAAATAAAATTCCTCAACTACATTTACGAATTTTAAGTACACCAATCAATCAGTTGTTAGTAGCTGACCCAACTTAATGCATACATTTATTTAACTAATTATTAAAAAGAGTCCGTGTTAGTCGGCTAATTGCTATATAAACGTTTGTAATGTCGATAAGTTATGCCCATCTCAGACAGCAAAAAGAAATATCACTAGAGATGGGGCGTCTTGTAAACGGAGTTGGTCTCTTGGCTTTGTTATGCTTCCATGTTTTTGTGGTACATAATGTGGTTGCGAGAGATAGTTTGAGCTTTGGCAAAGATGAAGAGGAGAAGACCTTCATAGGAGGAGGCATGGACAAAGGTGGTGGAGACATTGGCGGCGGAATAGGCCCAGGCACAAGCGGTTGTGGCGATATGCATTGTGGTGGCATTGGTGGCGGAGAAAGCAAAGGCGTTGGTTTTGGAGGCGTTAATAAAGACGGTGGTTTCGTCCAAATCGGAAAAGGCAGTTTTGGCAGTAGTAATGACCCCTGGGGACCATCCACAGGGAAGGAGATGTTCAGGTGGGTCGGTCGACGGACTGGTCACAACTGATAATAATAAGTAAGGGCCTGATTGGTTGGCGTTGTAACTTTGATTTTTTTGCTGTAGAATTTTTGCTGTAGAATTCTTGGCTGTGATTGTAGATTTTAGTGCTGTAAGATTTTTTATTGTAGATTGTGGCATTAAATACATCATTAAAACAAAAAAATAAGATATAGAAATAATAGATTAAAAAATAAATGTTGAAAACATAATAAGGAAAGAGAAAAGAGAAAATTCTAAGAGCACTTAATTTTGTGCTCTAGAAAAATTGCTTTCGAAAGTCAGAGAATTTCCATAAACGAAAAAAATTGCTCTGTATTTCAAAAATGGAAAGAGATGAAATGAGAGCTTGATTGGTGATTTTGGATTGCTGTACAGAGATTTAGTGCTCTGGAGAGCAATCACAGCTCCTACCAATCATCCCCTAAGAAGAATCTTGTAGTTGCGTTACATGGCGTGCATGTATGTCTAACGTAAACAAGATGGTTAAAACGACTTCGGAATAAGATACATTACTTTTCACTTATTTGTCTATCTAATAACTTTCCATTGGATGAGGTTTTTTATTTATTTAAAATGTGGCTGCCTTTGTGCGTCCCACATTATGTGCCTATCTATGTTTTTTTGACATCTCATGAATCTATTTCCTCACAAAATAACCTAACAGCCCACATATACATAGGCATGGATACTAGGAGGGACAAACATAATATAAAAGCAGCAAAGCCTGTAATTATAACTCTGCCAAAACTCAAAAAGTACACTCAAACCGAAAATAAACTTAACAGAAAGTAAAAGACTTATTGTAATAGATATAGCACATGCTTATAAAGATTTTTAAGCATTATGAAGTTGCGGAAACTTTGATTTGAGCTACATTCTTCTTGATAAGGATCCAAAACCCGGGGGTGGTTATATTGACTATTGGCCTTGCCGACCCTAACCATCATTGTACCCACCACTATAACCTTTTGACGGGTCCACCAAGATCCATCAACTTTTATTGGCTTATGTTCATGAGTTATATTTTAGGGAATTTTCTGTACTTGATAGATTTATACTTAAACAAACGGGACGAACATATATATATTTATTTATACTTAACAACATTTTTTAAAATATGTTTCTCCATACAACTTTGCATGACAGATTCTTAACAACATTAGAATACTATTTATTTAAAAACAACATGGAGATGTTATATATATATATATATATATATGTAGATATCATATCAAGTAAAAGAGTGAAAGATCCTCACGAACCAGTAAGGTTTACATAAAAAGAGAATGTGACCGATGGTGAGACCACAGAAAACACCAGGTACGTAGCCTATTGCAACTGCGATCCAGCTAAATGCTTCATCTTCCTCTTGCTTTGTTGCTTCTTCTTTTTCTTTTCTGCCGCAGGTTTCTTGGAGAGGAGCACCGCAGAGCTCGGGGTTGTCAGCAAATGAAGAAGTATCCTGGCCTTGAATCTGAGTGCCTTGCGGTATTGGACCTTCGAGCCTGTTGTAAGAGAAGTTCATCCGCGCTAGAAACGTGAGCTTCCCGAGCTCTGGTGGGATTTTGCCGGATAATCTGTTTTGAGATAGATCCAATGATTCAGATTGGTCAAGTTCCTAGAGATGGTGGAATACGGCCAGTGAAAGCGTTGTTTGACATGTTGAGCACAATCAGTTCCTTGAGTAAACCGATGGATTCTGGAATATCTCCTTGGAATCTGTTTCCAGAGACGTCAATGGTTTTGTACATTGTGAAAACACTCCCAACGAGCTCCATCTTCAACCCTTTGTTCGTTAGACCCACCGATTTATGATAGGATTCTGAAAGATAATCAAACCTAATCCGATAATCTACCAATGATGACATTGCATCCCAACCTGCAAAATAATCTGATGGCAAGACTCCAGTGAAGCGATTTTCTGAAATGTCGAAGATTCGCAGCTTGGGAAAACTCAAAGAATCCCCAGGAGAAGATAATGGCCCATGGAACTCGTTAGAACGAAGGACAAGAATCTGCAAATCAGGCAGTAATCCCAAGTGAAAAGGAAACGTGTCATTGAAGTTGTTGTCTTCCACGTTCAGAAACTCGAGAGAAGTGCGATTGATCAGAGACTTAGGGAGTTCTCCTAATAGCTTGTTGCCACCAACATCAAGTGATTTCAAGTGAACACCACCGATAGCTTCCTCTGGAAGAATACCAGAGAGACTGTTATTCCGAAGATGCAAGACCCAAAGAAGAGTAAAATTCTCGGAACACCGAGGAATGGAACCGCTGAAGTTGTTGTTTGATAAAACAAGAGTACCAAGAACAAACAATTCGCATATTGCCACAGGAATCTCTCCTGAAAACCCATTTTCGGAGCCTAAGAAGTGGTTTAAAGACTTTGGTAATAAAGGAAGATCCTGAAAATTGTTGGAACTTATATCAAGTAAGAATAAGTTGTCACTTTTTTGAATGACATCCGCTGATCCTTCGAAACCACTAAAAGAATTCTGAGAAATGTTTACGTACTCCAACTCTGGCAGACTCCATAACCACTCTGGTACTTGGCCTTCAATTCGATTCGTAGAAATGTCTAAAGACCTCAGTCTTGTTTGGTTTTGTATAAATTTGGGAAACTCAGAAATATTGCAGGATGACAAAGCCAAGTCTTCAAGTGACTTGAGATGAAGGAAGATGTTGAAATCGACAAGGCCCCTCCCTGTGTTCCAGAAAGAGAGGTCAAGATACTGGAGGCCGACTAGTTTCGATATAGAAACCGGGATTGGTCCACTGAAATTGTTATCTCCAAGGATCAATCTTTCTAGTTTAGATGGTGAAGAGATACCCCCAATGTCAAGAGTACCGTTGAAGTGGTTTGTTCCCAGGTCAAGGTTGGTCAATGAAGGGATCATTAAGAGAGACGATGGAACAGATCCATGAAATGAATTTCCATCTATATAGAAAACCTCCAATTTAGAGAGGCTACTCATGTTAGACGGGAGCATACCTTTGAACAGGTTAGAACCAAGGTAGATGAAGGTGAGCTCGGTCAAGTTGAGTAGCGGAAGAGGAAAGTTACCACCGAGCTTGTTGTAGCCAAGTTCCATTTTTTTCAGCCGGTTTAGGTTGCCCATCGAATCCGGTAGCTCACCGGTGAAATCATTATTATACGAAAGATCAAGATCAGTGAGATAAGAAAGATTTCCGATTGAAGAAGGAATTTTTCCAAATAAATTGCAATTGGAAAAATTCAAAACCCTCAAATACTTGAGGTTGCCAATCGAATCCAGTAGTTCACCGGTGAAATCATTCTGAGAAAGATCAAGATCAGTGAGATAAGAAAGATTTCCGATTGAAGAAGGAATCTTTCCAAATAAATTGCATTCGCCAAGTTTCAAAACCCTTAAATATTTGAGGTTGCCGATGGAATCTGGTAGAACACTAAAAAATCGATTCCGACGAAGATCAAGGCTCTGTAGGTGTTGTAGTCTAAACAGACTACTCTTAGATCTCAAAGGGCCACTGAGACAACTGACCCAGAAGCCAAAGCAGTTGAGGTCTAACTCAATGACCATACCCGTGTTATCATCACAAGAGATACCATCCCAAGAACAGCAATCAGTCTTGTTTCTCCACGTCGCTATCTGACCAGCAGCCGTCCTATCAAAATGGAATTCACTCGTGAACTCCAAAAGAGCATCCTTCTGGTCTGGACGACACAAGTGTCTTACCAGAGAAGCAGAACCAAACACCGAGTTGAAAAGGGAGAAGATTAAACACAATCTCCACATCATCTTCATCTTCCTTTCACTATAAGATTGCATCGTATATTTTTACTTGGTTTTTTTTTGGGATTCTTTCGCTGTGAAACAAGTGATGTTGGTGACTCTAGATCATGGTATTCTCTTTTAAATTTGTGGAGGGAATTAAAGCTTGACTTAAACAAGTCTCTTGTAAAAGACAAACGGATGAATGGTCCACGGAGTCAAGTCTCCTCTTATTAAAAAAGTAATCCTAAGAAACTTTTCTTTGAAGATTCGTTAACACTAAGCTACAAATGCAATAGTCCTTGCCGTGTGGTGTGTGTTAGTCGCTGAAACGCGTTATGCAGCCTGAAGATTCCTTTGATTTTTCAAAACTGCAGACGCCATTTCTCTGACGTGTGGTGTGGGTTTAATCATTCAAAGCTCCCATGTAACCTGATATTGCCGTTGTTGTTTTATACCATGTTCAAGTAGATAAATCGTTCAAACGCTTGAAACAATTCAACAGGATCCAAACTACATTTCCTATGTTTTTGCTTATTTCGTATCTCCTTCTTCTTCTTCTTCTTAGGATCAGCTTAGAGATGAATTAAGCAGATTATTACAAAAAGTGTGATTTCAGATCAACCTAAATTTATGTTACTCTAACAAGATATCAGAGTATGGAATGTTTTGTCATAAAAAAAAAAGGGATTTACAAAATCGAAACAATATGTAACAATTTAAATTGCTGTAAACAACGTTTTAAAATACTATGAAGCAGTCATATATTGGAGACATTATTTTTATGATAATTTATTGTGATTTAGTAGAGTTTGAGTATGGTAAGACTATTTTACAGAGCTGGCCTACTTGGCTCTCTGGTTTGCATCTATACAATTAAAGAATTCGGTCGTAGAATTATAGAAAAACAAACTACATGTATCAGACTGCTTTTACTTCACTTACACATTGAAGAAATTAGTTAATTCTCACCAAATTTTTTATAGATTTGAGTAACACACTTACCAATCTATTAATCAATATCTTTAACATTTCTATCTACAAAAGAAGTAGCTATTAATATATGCCGCTGTAAACCTAATGTTTCTTATTTTATCGACACTTAAACCTCACCTTATGATACTTTTTTCAGAAAAACTTAAGTACTTTGTTACGCATGTTGTGCTAAAATGTTCTAATGACCATTATCCATCATCCGCTGAAATCAAATTATACTTTAGTATCTTGATTCTTTCATTTTCCACATAAATAAAATTCCTCAACTACATTTACGAATCTTAAGTACACCAATCAGTCAGTAGTTAGTAGCTGACGCAACTTAATGCATACATGTAATTAACTAATTATTAAAAAGAGTCAGTGTTAGTTGGCTTATTGCTATATAAACGTTTGTAATGTCGATAAGTTATGCTCCTCTCAGACAGCAAAAAGAAATATCACTAGAGATGGGGCGTCTTGTAAACGGAGTTGGTCTCTTGGCTTTGTTATGCTTCCATGTTTTTGTGGTACATAATGTGGTTGCGAGAGATAGTTTGAGCTTTGGCAAATATGAAGAGGAGAAGACCTTCATAGGAGGAGGCATGGACAAAGGTGGTGGAGACATTGGCGGCGGAATAGGCCCAGGCACAAGCGGTTGTGGCGATATGCATTGTGGTGGCATTGGTGGCGGAGAAAGCAAAAGCGTTGGTTTTGGAGGCGTTAATAAAGACGGTGGTTTCGTCGAAATCGGAAAAGGCATTTTTGGCAGTAGTAATGAACCCTGGGGACCATCCACAGGGAAGGAGATGTTCAGGTGGGTCGGTCGACGGACTGGTCACAACTGATAATAATAATTAAGTAAGAAGAATCTTGTAGTTGCACTACATGGCGTGCATGTATGTCTAACGTAAACAAGATGGTTAAAACGACTTCGGAATAAGATACATTACTTTTCACTTATTTGTCTATCTAATAACTTTGCATTGAATGAGTTTTTTTTTCTTTGAAAAAAATGTGGCTGCCTTTGTGTGTCACACATTATGTGCCTATCTATGTTTTGTGACATCTCATGAATCTAATCCCTCACAAAATTACCTAATAGCCAACATACTATACATAGGCATGGATACTAGAAGGGACAAACATAATATAAAAGCAGCAAAGCCTGTAGTTATAAGTATAACTCTGCCAAAACTCAAAAAGTACACTCAAACCGAAAATAAACTTAACAGGAGTAAGACTTATTGTAATAGATAGCACATGCTTATAAAGATTTTTGAGCATTATGAAGTTGCGGAAACTTTGATTTGAGCTACATTCTTCTTGACAAGGATCCAAAATCCGGGGTGGTGATATTGACTATTGGCCTTGCCGATCATAACCATGATTGTAGCTACCACCTTGTGACTGGTCAGACCGCAAAAGATCCATCACCATTACCTTATTATTTTATCGTTTACACTTATCACAAAGTTTTGTATTCATGCTTTGCTTAAACGTTTACGGTTTACCAAACTAATTAATGACAATTAGCCATTGTCCACTGAAATCAAACTATAGTTTAGTATCCTGATTCTTTCATTTCCACGGAAGTAAAGTTTCTCAATTACATTGATAGAACAAATAGTCGACTAATCGAGGAACTAATTAACAAACAAAAAAAATTATATTGATAGAACGTAAAAAGACGAACAAGAACATAAGATAATGTATTCGAGAAATTTATTGTCCTGGACCAAAATGGAAGGGGCATAAACTTAAAGCACGTATATATGGAGTTGTACTGTTGTAGTCTTGTAGACTAGAAGATGCGTCGATGGAGAAATAAAAAGAAAATAAATATGATGTGATGCGAATATGAAATTTTAAAATCATTTACGAATGTTAAGTCCAACAATCAGTCAATTGTACTTACTTGTTAGTGGTTGAAGCAACTTAATGCATGAATTTATTTAAATAATTATTAAAACAGAGTTAAGTGTAACTGGCTGGCTAATTGCTACATAAACGTTGGTATTGTTGATAAGTTATGCTCATCCCAGACTGCAAAAAGATAATCACAAGAGATGGGACGTCTCGTAAACGGAGTTGGTCTCTTGGCTTTGTTATGGTTCCATGTTTTTGTGGTGCATAATGTGGTTGCGAGAGATAGTTTGAGCTTTAGCAAATATGAAGAGGAGAAGACCGTCATAGGAGGCAATGACAAAGGTGGAGACACTGGCTGTGAAATTGGTAACTGTGGAGTCATTGGCTGTGGTGATTATGGAGGTGGCGCCGAAAGCGGTAGAGATGGCTCAGGCGGTGGTGATTATGGATGTGGCGGCATTGGCGGAAATATAGGCATAGGCAGCATAAGAGCCCCAAGCCCAACCGCTTCTGGGTTGTGTAATGGAGATGTATGTGATGGCCGAGAAAGAAAAAGCGAAGGCAGTGGAATAGGCAAAGGCCGTGGTTTTGGAGGAGAAGTTGGAACAGGCTTTGGCTTTGGCGGTGGAGGGACTGGTCACCATTGATAATAATAAGTAAGAAGAAACTTGTAGTAACACTGCATGATGTATGTCGTCTGACGTAAACGAGATTGTTAGAGCGACTGTGTAATAAAATTAATTTGACTATCTATATAACTTTGTATTGCACGAGGTTGTTTTTAACTATGTGGCTGCCTTTAAGCTTCTACATTATGTGCCTATCTATCATCTATGTTTTGTGACATCTCATGAAACTAATCCCTCGCATAAATAATCTAATAGCCCACATACTATATACATACTACACAGGCAATCACTTGATGTCGACTTGACTCTTACATTCTTCAACCGATTACCTCAATTATACAGAACAACTCCGAGTATGAAGAGACCTCTGTTTCAACCTCGTTAAGTCTTTCCTCCACTTAAGAACTCAAGCACCAGCGATGAGTCCTGTACAAACACACGACGCAAACATGATTACGCCCTTCTCAAACCCCACAACCCACTGTTTTCTACAGCTACCTCTCAACTACTTCTACTCTCTACTCAAAACCATACACCTCCATCTACTTCTGCTCGCCATCTGCTTTCTGAATAGAGTACCACTTGGCCAAACCAAAACAACATATCCGGTATGAATACTAGCAGTAGGACAAACAAACATAACATAAAAGCAGCAAAGCCTGTAGTTATAACTCTGCCAAAACTCAGAAGTACACTCAATCGAAAAATAAACTTAACAGAAGTAAAAGACTTAATTGTAATAGATAGCACATGCTTATAAAGATTCAAGCATTATGAAGTTGAGGAACCTTTGATTTGAGCTACATTCTTCTTGACAAAGGATCCAAAACCGGCCTATTAGCCTTGCCGACCCTGACCATCATACCCACCACCATAACCCTGTGACGGGTCAGATCGCCAAGATCCATCACCATAACCTCCTCCCATGTAGCCACCAGCACCACTTCCAGGGTTGCTTGAAACACCGCCACCACCAGGGCGTCCTCCAACCGCACCATATGCAGCTTGATTTCCATAACCAGAGTCATTTCCACTGTACCCTCCATATCCGTAAGCTTGGTTACTATATCCTGATTGTGGCTGCGCAGAAGGAGCTGCACCAGGAACTCCATATCCAGCACCATTCCCATAGCCTTGGCTTCCATAACCACTAGGAGCTGGAGTCTCCCATGAGTTTCTCTGAGGAACTCCAGTACTATTCCCATAACCGCCACCTGGCATGCCCGTTGCTCCATATGCAGCCGCAGCAGCACCGGCTCCATAACCTCCAGCAGAGCCGGTGTAACCTCCATAGCCACCATACCCAACACCATTACTACCATTTCCATACCCAGCGCCATAACCACCAGAACCATAAGACGGTAAACCATTTCCTACGTTTTGATGCTGCAAAAACCTATTGGAATCCATACGTCCCTCGTAACCGCTTTCATTGCCGCCATAACCCTGGTAACCACCACCACCGCCCATGGCTCTTCCACCACCTCCGGGATTGGCGTCTTTAGGAAGAGCACGCTTTACCTCAACTTGCTTACCGCTCAGATCATGGAAAGTCTTGTGCAAGACAAGGTCTACCGCATCTTCAGAGTCGAAGGAAACAAAACCAAACCCACGAGGACGGTTTGTAGCCTGGTCATGCATGATCACAACATCAGCCACAGGGCCATATACTTCAAAGTACTGGCGAAACTCTTCATCTGTCAAAGTTGGTGGCAAGCCTCCGACAAAGATCTTCTTGGTTTTAGTGTGAGCATCACCTCCAGAAGAACCTCTAGATGAATTACCAGGTCTTCCAGAGACTTGCTGCTCCTCTCTTGACATGGCTCTCTTCACATCAACCTAAACGTTAACCAAAATTAATAAAGCTCACAATAAAAGCTCCAAGAATCACCGCAACATAAAATATGTTTATATAGACCAACCAAACTCGTCTCTAATACTATACTCAATCACTTCATTAAGAGAATGATTCACAGCACAAAACAAATGACTCATCCCCAATTTAAATTAACATTAGAGGAAAATTTTCAACCAAACAATTAGTCTAAAAGGAAACGAAAAAGTTTCGATTTTTCAATCTCGTTCTCAATGCCTAGAAATTCGACACAGCTTAAGGCATAAAGGGCAAAAACATAATATACAAGGAAACCAACAGAAATGGAGAAATGGAGCTAAAAGAGAAAAATTAATAACCTCTCTGGTATCAATGTGATGTTTCTCTTGAAGAACCCTTTCGAGAACAGAAGGATCCGAGAAGATAACGAACCCAAAACCCCTAGGTCGGCCTGTGAGCTTATCCCTCATCACAATAGCCTGAGAAACATCTCCATAGTTGCTGAAATGCTCTTTAAGCTTCTCTTCGTCTGTTTCCCATGAAATACCACCGACGAAAAGCTTTCCTTGATCTGAATCCATGAGTATACACCACTCCCTTTCTTCTCACCCAGAATCACAAATTCCCCTAAAATCCCCGAAACCCACTTCAGAAATCACAAAAAGGGTTAGACTTTCCGAGAAGAATCAAGGTATCCGAGAGAGAGAGAGAGAGAGAGAGAGAGAGAGAGAAGAGAACTATGGTCGATTTGAGAGGAGGAAGAAGAAGACACCAAACGAATATTTTCTATTGGTTTTGGTATCGATGTTCGCAAAGAGACGAATCTCTTTGTCTACAGATAAATTAATCAACGGTTCAGATCGTTTCGAATATTTTGACGGTTCAGATCTGTTTCCCGTTGTAAGAGGCTATATTGTAGGCCTAGCTCGGCCCAAAGTTGTAGTTGAAAATACATGGGCCTTTTCGCGACAGAATTTTCCCATTCCATACGTGCCACTACAAAAGAACAAGAAAACCTTTCAGTGCTGTGCCAGGTGTACATTTTGCTGTCCAAAATTCAAAGCTTTTTAGAATTTGTAATAATTAACGTCATGTGTTTATTTGGTCCCTAAATTGACCTCGTAATCGTATACTACTACTACTATATTTTTAAAATAATGCCTACCTACCTATAACGACGACAATACGTGCACGTTCTCGAGTAAAAAACCTTAATTTAATTTTGAGATTTTTTCGAAAAAATAAATTAAAAGAAGCTTTGAATTGTCGCTTTGTCAGCTTTCACTGAATTTTTCTAAAATAAGTAATCATGATTAATGATTATACGACCAATTAAAATTTCCGATAATTACTTTCGAAATGGTAATTCAACGCAGAGAAATAAATACGAAGACGTTGATGTCAAAAGCGGCAAAAATGTGGGGACTAGTTTACAAGTTTTTTTATATAAATTATAAATCAAAAATAACAGTTGGGCTTCAACAACGAAAAAGCCGTTTTTATTGCGTCTTTCTCTTTTCCTCTCTCTTTTTCTGTGTCTTTTCTTCGTCCCCTCCGATCTCACTGATTTCTCCTCTGGAACAGCTCGATCTTCGTTTTTAGGGGTTTTTATAGTTAAAATTTATTCTTATATCTGAAACCATTTTCTTTTTTCTCTGGGGTTTATTCGATTTGAGCAATATTCTACACGATGGGAGAATGAGAAGAAGGTGGTGATTGTTTTTTTTTTTTTCTCTCGATGGAGCAGCTTGTAAACTTCATTATTCGACCTCCAAGGTAAAGAAGCTCTTCTTATTCTAAGAAATGGAAAAGAAAACTTATTTATTCTGAAATTTGGTTTTTGAGTTTATTTTTCGATTTTGGCTTTTCTCTTTACTAGGTTGTGGAATTCTCTTTTGTAAGTCTGGAATTTTAGGTAGTGTAAGTGTGGACATTAAAGCGCTTAGAACTGGCCTTCGCATCAAGTTTAGAGTTTCAGATTTGAAATTTAAAATTTCGACTTAATTTTGGTGATTAGATTTATTCTGGATTATGTAAGGTGAAGCATGCTAGGATAGTAGAATTTCACTTGAAATTAGGTCAAATCCCCCTAGAAAAACACTTTCTTTCTGTTTCAAATCCATTAGAATACTTTTCTTTTTGTTAGTTACCTTTGTTTGTTTTGAAAGAACCTTTGTTTCATCGACAATTGAATATAAATGGTGTGTTGCAGAGCTGAATACAATCCAGAACATGATCTCTTGGAACAAGAGTTCATGCTGAAAGGGAGATGGTACCAGAGGAAAGATTTAGAGGTAAAGCTTTATATTACATATTAGAGTTTATAAAGGCAAACATTAAGCATGAACAATAAATAGAAGGAAACTCTGATTGTCGAAAATCCTCAGTTTTCCACTGTTTTCTAGAATGATTACCTTATATTACAGCCTCTAGTTTTGACTAACTATTCATTTTTTAGTACTTCAACTAGTCAAAGTTGCCTTGTTTTTTTTTCCTGCCTCTCAAGGCTTAGTCATCTTTTTCGTCGCCTAAGGTTAAACGGGGATTTTGTATGTGACAGGTTAAAAACAGCAGGGGAGATGTGCTTCAGTGTAGTCATTACATGCCAGTTGAGCGTCCTGAAGATAGGCCTCTACCTTGTGTAATATACTGCCATGGAAACAGGTAACTATAGCTGTACGAGTGAATTAGCTGTTAGGAGACTAAATACTTATATGGTTGCCAACAGTCGTACAGGAGTTTCCAAATGTTAGAAGTGGTCATGTTGAATTTCCTCTTGTGCAGTGATTTTCCACCTTACTTCCCCTACACCTTGGTTGTTATTGTTTCTTTTAGCATATTATTCATTAATTTCCCTACCCTATGATTATTCAGTGGATGCAGAGCTGATGCCAGTGAAGCTGCGATCGTATTACTTCCTTCAAACATCACAATTTTCACGCTTGACTTTTCGGGATCTGGTCTCTCCGGTGGGGAGTATGTCACATTGGGTTGGAACGAAGTATGTTCTCCTCTCATCTTTTCTTAATATACTTCTCTAGTTCTCTTCTCCACTTCGAATGTTTTGGCTTGTTTGGACGAAACAAATTTTCGGAAGTCGATAGAGGTACCTTATTGTTAGACTGGCAAGTGGGAAGATCATGTAGGATTGTTGGTGCTCTTGATTAGGTTTCTCAACTTTTTTTCCCTAAAGTGGGAAGATCATGTAGTCGATAATTTTTTCCTTCACTAACAGTCATTCTGTTCATTAGTCACTGTTCTGAATTATAAGAGTAATCACTTATTTTGTTACTGTTAAATTTTTACGTGGGTGCTTGCAGAAAGATGATCTGAAAGCCGTGGTTGAGTATTTGCGCACGGATGGAAATGTCTCCATGATTGGCTTATGGGGTCGTTCAATGGGTGCTGTCACAAGGTTCCTTTATGTCATTCATATGTTAAATTTATTTATAAGAGCTTTTTCGGTTTTTAGGAGTGAATTTTGCAATCAACTGATTTACATATCTTGTAAACCCCTTTTTCTTTACTAGTGGGGAAGAGAATAGTTATTGAGATAAACAAACGGTTGCTTAGAGAACATGAGACTTTCCTGTGTTTAAATGATTGGCAGTAGTTATAACATGGACTTCTTTCTTTAGAAGACAATAATTTGTTAGCTGCAATCATTCTCCGTCTGCTGGACTAAAACGTCCTTGTGTTGCTACACTTTTTTTCCAGCTTGATGTATGGAGCCGAGGATCCCTCTATCGCAGCGATGGTTCTAGACAGCCCGTTCTCTGATTTGGTTGATTTGATGATGGAACTTGTAGATACATATAAGTTCCGGTTACCGAAGTTTACTGTAAGTTAAAGTAAAATTGTAGTGTTTGTTCTTTGTGGGGTGTGTTCTTCTGGACTTCTGCCTACTACAATGTTTCCACATTCTCTTTACTATATGTCTTTATGCTCTTTCACATTTTTATTCAGATAAAATTTGCGATACAATATATGCGGAGAGCTGTTCAGAAGAAAGCCAAGTTTGACATAACGGATCTCAACACCATTAAGGTCGTTTCCTCTGGTAGTTGTCCTTATTTTCTAGTTGATTACTTAGATGAATTACTAATCTGCTCACTAGCATGCAATAGCCTCACTGTTCTCGGTGTTCATTTGCTCACATAGCTTGGCATAAAAGATAAATGTTTTAAATTCAAGTGTTGTTTGGAAGTTTTATGTTATGTGATGTTTGGTGTCTCTTCTCTCAACTTTTTTCGTTTCACGTTGCAGGTAGCTAAGTCTTGTTTTGTTCCAGTTTTATTTGGACATGCTATAGACGATGACTTTATTCGCCCTCATCACTCAGAGCGTATATATGAAGCATACATAGTAAGTTATCAATTTCCTGGTAGCCTTTCTTCATATTATTCTTTCCTTTCTCGATAAACCCTTAAGCATATAGCCTTTAAGCATTTGGCTTTTGATTATGCCAGGGAGACAAAAATATCATCAAATTCGAGGGAGACCACAATTCACCACGGCCACAATTCTACTTTGACTCGATAAACATATTTTTCCATAACGTTCTTCAACCTCCAGAGGCGGTTGGGCCAACATATTTTGACCCGGTGGATGATTACTTTGCCAAGGTAAATGAATCTTGCAGCAATGTATCAGACTGTTTACATTTTTTGGGGGTGTTCTTGTCTCAATGATGTTAACTGTTTTATGTTCAGGGCAGTTGGAGCACCATGCAAGAACTAAATTCTCCACAATCCCCAGAACTGAAAAGTAAGTCATTCGGTTTTTGATCTTATGTTTATTCCAGGTTTTCTTGTATCTTTACCTAAGGCAACATATTTTCTCATTGATTTCAGGCTTAGCTGCAAGCAGCACCTCCGATGCAATAAATGAAGTCCGCATGAAAAGACCTATGAGTCGCACAGAGGTTGGTATTGGAATCACAGGACCATATAATTTTTCTTGAATAGCAACCATACTAATAGACTTTGCTTCACACTTGGTTTTTCAAAAAATGAAAAAAAAATATCAATCTCACAAGTGTGTGCGGTAGAATTTTATGCTTTCTCCATCTCCCTGTTGATGATCTTTTGTTATTTCTCTCAGGTTCCTTCCAGCGTTCCTTCTAATCAATCATCATCAGAAACCAAGGTATAAAGATCAGTTTCTCTATCTTTTCGTATTTACTGTCCGTGGAAGAGAAACATAAATGAATAAGATTCCTGTTGTTGAATGATGTAATTTATTTCAGGAAAAAGAGAATCATGAAGGCTCCAGTAGTTCGTCTTCCGATATGATCAGCTTTGATTTGTCTAATGGGGATCCATATCCTTCTCATCTTGCGGTAGCTTTAGATGATGATCAATACGTGGAGTTTCACGTAGATGAGTTAGCAGATTTTCCATCTAATGCAGAGGAAGAAGAGAGGGTGAGAATAAAAATGCAAACTTTGCACCTTTGAAACTTCCTTATGACTATGCTCTGTATTCTCGTTTGTTCACATATCTTAATGGCTTCAGATGCTGATGGAAGCGGTGATGAAATCACTGAAGGACGTTAATGTCGAAACTCATAAGAACAAAGAACCTTCCACGACCAATACAGAGAAGAACAAGGAAGAAAAAGAAGGCAATGCTGCTGCTTCTACTAGAAAATCAGAATCTGCTTCCGGTCCAACACCAAGTAGCCATGGTGCACCATCATCCTGTGAAGACAATGCTCCATGTAAACCATCAGATTCTCTTCCAGGACCTGTAAATGGTTTTGTTCCTGGTGCTTCCCCCAGAATGAGTCTGGACACAAACGACGCCATTGATTTGTCAGCACGAACAAAGGCAACAGTGACTGTGGTTGCACGTAGTAGCACATCAGGAAACGTCTTAGACGGGTTATTACGCCGATGGGATCTTAATTTCTTCAAAAGTAGATAATTCCACTTTTAAGTTATGTGTTTTGGTTTGAGCAAAATAGAAAGGACAAGCTTAGAGGTTTGTCATGACAAGTTATCTTTATAGTTTATATATGATTTTTCTTCATGATGCTGTTGTGTCTTTGGCAAAAATCTGTGTAAAGAGAAGAAATCATCTCTTGTTGGCTTTGACCAAATGGTCTTTTATCCTCTTCTTATGAACAACATGTAATGCAATCAGCTTGCATGTATTTTAATCATGTTTTTCTTTCTTCACATTTCCAGGAAACAGAGCAAATGATTTGGAGGAAGAACATAAGAATATAACAAACCATTTTGACAACAAAAATGTCTATAAAATTGTTTGCTTGTGAGAATTTCGTAGTCTTAACTCAACAACTGCATTGCTTCTTCAATGAGTTCATTGATCGTTGAGCCATGACGTGCCAAACCAACAGTGCCAGAGAATATATCAAAGTTCTCAACCTCAGCCGCAGTCTCAAAGACAGTCTCTAACTCATTCCTCATCCCAAGGTTTTGAAAAGTCTTGACCGTCTTAGGATTAGTTCTCATCATCTGAATGGTTAGCTCTATTGCAAACCTCCTGATTCTTGGAACCTTTGGCACTGGCTGCTCATATCTCTTGAGGATCTTGACTAATGCCTCGGCTAATTCTTCCTTGCTCACTCCTGCTTCCTTGAACATTTCTGTCGATTCCTCAGGACTAATTAACTTGAGAATATGAGGTGCTAATCCCACCATAACTTCTTGAGCTTTGCTCTCTTCACACTGTATCGCCTTAAGAACCTGCATTGACAAGACAACATTAGTAAATGATGATTCATAACTTCTCATGGATCAAGAACATGAAGACTTACTGTTGCTCCTGCATATTTAACTTCTTTCAGCTGTTCATGGAACTGATCAGGAGCTGTATATGCGCAGAGATTCCGCAAGATTCTCGCTGCATTCAACCGAATCAACTGGTTGTTCAAAGCCTTAACGAGTCCCGGAAGAGCATCATTATCTGATCTCAAGATCCGTTGGCAATTGCTCTTACTTCCTTGAGCTAACATAGCAATAGACTCACCAGCCGAGACTCTCACACCACTAGTTTGATTCTCTACAATCTCATCGTTCAAGAAAATGTTGAGAAGTCCCTTCAAAACCCCTCCCGTGCCACCAATCTTCTCGGTTGCACCTTCATCAAGCGCAAGGAAAGTCAAGATCTCTGCACCAATCTTCTGCAACTCAGGTCTCTTCTTCCCATGGCGTAACGTTTCCCTAATGTTACTCACTGTGAAGACAATCCCAGAGATGTTACTCCTCAAGTTCTTCCCCGTTGCACCGGTACTTGTCACCAGCCTCCTCAACAGCTTCAAAGAGCGTCTCACTGCCAAGATCTTGTAAGGCTCTGCAACCGCAGCATTTGGATCTTTCAACAGTCTCTTCTCAGCGTAAGTGAAGTCAACGATCTTTGAGAGTAACCCTTTTGTTTTCCCAATCTTCCCACAGTTGTCCTGATCTCTAGCTAGCCTTTTCAAGATCAACAATCCAAGATTGTTGAACGTCCATAAATCTGTTTGGCTGATACTGTTTTCTCCAATCTCATCAGTGGCTTGACCTGAATCTCTAGTGCTCTCTAGAAGAGAGGATATGGACTCAATAGCTCCAGGGATCTCTGCAACTCTCAGAGAATTCTGCTTCTTGCTAGCTAGTTTTGAGAGAATCTCTGCTGATGATCTTCTCACAACTTCTTGATTCTGGTTTCTCCAGTTCAACATCTCAACTAACCTCTCTGTGATCGCTAGATTAGTTCCAATCTTCTGCAGAGTATCAATAGAATAGTCCTTGTTCGTTGAGAATCTACAGAGAATCTCTGCTCCAATGAGGTGCTCATCAGGAGAATTCGACACCAACAGCTCCATGGCGAAAATCACCATGTCCATCTTCAATCCGTCGAAGATGCTTCCATTGAGACATCTCGAGTAAGCATCGTAGAAGAATCTTCTCACCGATCCAGTTCCAAATCTCTCGAGACCACATTCTTGATTCACTTTTTCAAGAATCTGTAAAACGTTGATCATCCATTCCCAGTAAAGTTTCTCAACAAGGAACAGAAAAGACTCAGCGAGGGCTAGGGCGTAAAAGAGTGTCAAAGCAGCGTGAAGATTCGTGCTTTTAGGTTTGGGATCATTGCCTCTATAGTCTTGCTTGATGAGCTTGAGCATGGAGATGACAATGGTAGCGAAAGCAGAAGCAATCTGAAGCCAGTAGAAGACTCTACTCACGTTTCTTGAAACGAAAACCCATCCTGTGTAAGGCAACATCGGAACATCTGAGCTTTGCCATGTCCTTGTCCGCGAGATCTGCCTTGATTGATCTGTTCTCGTTTCTTGAATCGGTGGTCTATTGTCGTTCACAGCAATGTCAGCCGCCTTGTGGAATATTTGGATAACTTGCCTCACAAGGAACCAGAAGCCGTTGATTCCAGAGATTGTGTATTTAGACTGGTGCTGAAGTTCAAGCTCATGGCTTCTGCTGAAAATCCGAGCTCCTTCGATGACAAGAATCACAGTAACAAACCAGAAATCTGTTGACTCTAAACTTCCGGCGAATCCACCAAGAAGAACAACCGTGGCCCACACGAATCCTAAAGATCCTAACCGTGAAGCAATCTGTGGTTAAGAAACAGATTCAAAACTTAAGAAAAATGACTCTTAAATAACAAAAGAAGAAAGAAGACTGGAATCTTGAAAATACCTTCTCAAGAACAGCGAGTCGTAAGGCAAAAAGAGTCAGTTTTTTCTCCGGTGCAGGAAGTGACAGTTGTGTCGGTCTCCGAGGTTCTGGGGTTGAAGCTTCGTTTGGTCGGAAAATAGTTCCGCCAGCAGAAGAACCGGGATGTCGTACTTCTAAGACCACATCGGTACCACGGTCAACCATTTGAGACAAAACAGAGAATGAAAAAATGCTATGGTTTTTGGTTTTGCGCAGATAATTTGATTTATGATTCTTGGTTTGTCTTATTGTTTTTATTTTAAGTTTAGTCGTTACACTTAGCTGGAGACTATCACCATGCACGTCTTTGAGTTCGATCGATTCATTGACTTTTGGAAGACAAGGCGTCCAAACAACAATTACCTTGGTCGCACTATTTTCATTCTGATGTCATTTAGCTCTCAGTAACATAATAACATTTCTTAATATCGTTAATTAGTTTGTTTTGTGATTTTAGTGTACAAATATGCATAAAAATTAATCTTTACAAGTTTTATTGAGAAACATTGAACGTTTTAGAAACAAAATGAATCTTGTGATGGTTGAGCTGGATATTTTAATTAATCATAGGATCATAATCATGTCAGTGTATTCATTTTTGACTATTAGTAAAATTTAGCAAAACTTTAGACATTTAGATAAGTTTTGATTCCATATATTACACTGGCTTTTTTGTTTGGGATGAATTGCAAACATTATGACGCACGTCGATTTCAATCTGCAAATACATGACGAGGCAATGGTCATGTTCTGACATCAATAGATGAATTACTCAATCGGACAATTATTTTTATTTGCAACTAACTAAAGAACTTGCCAAATTTCTAATTTTTAATTCATAAATTACCAAATTTCTAAGTTTTAATATAATTAGAACTTGCCAAATTTCTTAAAAAAAATAAGAATTGGAACAATTTATCCAGTACAACTGCAGAAGTTTAAATATATAAGTACAGATTACAGAACATATGTTATTCATTATTATACATGTATGAATTTTCACAAGTTTTTTTACATATATAATAATAAATATGTGATTTCATTCTCGTTATTTATGGAAAATTATATTGAAAAGAAGAAAAGATGGGCATAACATGTTTTGCAATCTTTTATTTATTTCAGGACAATGAAATATTATCATATAAATGTTTCTTCATGCGTTATACTTTGGACCTCAATAACAAGAAAAAAATAGTTTGCCTAACAATAGCAATGACACACATGTTTCTTTCCAAAAAGTTTGCAGAAACCTCCTCTTGTGCAACCTTCAACGCAGTATCTCCAGCATCTTCCTTCCTTGTAGACATTATCGTCGATGCCTGGAAGACATCTTCCGAGTTGCGGATGTTCTCTACAACATATCGAGTTTTGATTATTTACCCACGGTGCAATGCTTTCACGTCCTTCTATTTTGTTGGATCCTACATTTAACAGACAAAATTATTGTTAATATCCGATTTCAAAACTTTATTCAAAAGAGTTCACAAAAACAAAACAAAACAAACTTTAGACAAAGCGTAATGTTTAGTAATGAACGCTCAAAGAAAACATACCCATGCATAGCACGAAAGCCACAAATAAAACCAAAGAAAGAACTTTTGTTGTCGACATATTTTTTCTTCTGATCTTTGAATGACAACTAAACAAAAGAAGTGTTACACACTTATAGAGTTAAAATTGAGGGTATCATTTAAATGGAAAAGTAGAAACTTTTATTGTTTAACCAAATGAATTTCCAAAGAATTGAGGTTTGAATGGTGACCATTGACCAACATATATAAAAAGGAAAGGAACTAATAAGAACATTTAATTTTTCTTCATTCCTAAGAAGGTTACATAATTTAAAACTAATGTTTAGAACAAATATAGGCCCTGCATATATAATTCCCCTAAAAAAAAATATTCCTTGAGAATTTATAAGAAAAGTATTAACTTCATCAATTGTGGAAAGGAACAAGAAAGAACAAATATATTTACAAATTAAAATAAGCTCACTGCAGTTGTACAAGGAATTTGGTTTACACAAACTCACTTGTGATGGTTTCACAAAGAACTTGAATTATATAGTTGTAATATATTATGTGCAGATTTTTCTATTAGCTTCTTTTAATTAGTGAGCACTCTTACCTCTTTTAATGAACATACACATCAGTATAGAGAAAGACAAGAGGCAATCTTTATATTATTAATTGAGAAGTACATTCTAATGTTTGGATACAAGAATTAGAGAAACATCTATTTGGATAGAAGAATAAATGGAAACAAAAGTTGTTTGGATATAAGAATAAGAGAAAAATCTATTTGGATAGAAGAATAAATGGAAAAAATTGTTTGGATACAAGAATAATAACTTAAAATAAACCGATGGTTTAGAAAACTTCCGTTTTCCATCTCTTAAAAATCTGCAAAAAAAAAACTTAACATAATCTAACGATAATTCCAAATCAATAGAATATGCTTTTTGGATTTTCGGGTTTTTATAGACAAGTTCGGGTTTGGGTGAAAATCTGAGACATAATTTTATAGAGATATATATAGAGATATAGAAATTGTTCGGGTTTCTTTGAAAATTTCTGTTCGGGTTAGGTTCAATTTTTTTTTCAGTTTAGGGTTTTCCGGATTTTTTAGATTTCTGGTTTTCGGGTTTAGATATATTAAAAAAATTGAGTATTTTAAAATTTTGATTAGGTATTGGGGTCGGGTTCCGGGTGAAAAAGTTTCCAGATTTTTTTTGTTCAGTCAGGGTTTTCGGGATTTTTTTGATTTCGGATTTTCATGTTTAGACCTATTAAAAAAGTTTGGGTTTTTAAATTTTTTGATTAGGGTTTTTTGTCGGGTTCGGATTTAGGGTTTAAATTTTCTACACAAAACAACAACGTCACACCGCACAAACGTGGTTAGGGAGAAAGTACTAAAACACGTCCGATTCAAAACGAATTGAACACCCAAGTAGTCAACTCAAAAATTCATATACATCTAATTTCACTCCTCCAAGTAATGAGAGATTCATACTGTAAAATGTTGTATATATATTAATCAAGATTAAAATAAAACACTGATGCAAATCTTTAGCAATTGCTTCCCTTGAGCACGATGGCGATCGACATTACTGTTGTGAGAAAGTGTTACAAACGGAACATCGGATAGATGTCGCATGAGGTAGGAAATATATCATATTTCAATCTCCATCATTGATACGGATTCAAGCCTTGTGAATTCAATTATATGCTCATCCTGTAGAACAGAAAATGATGTACCAAAGCAACTATCAACAACTCAATTTCTTTATAAAAGACTATAAAAACTATTGACTTATAAACATGGTTCTTGGAATGTTTCTGTTCAGTTATTAGTTTTCATGGTATTATTATATACAATAAAATAACAGAGGTTTCTGGTAAAGATACATACCATTGGGGTACGAGCACTTATGAATCAACACGGCGGAGCTTGGCAAGAGAGAGAATCTAACAAAAACAATTGAAAGAAATAACAGAAAAGTTAAATCTCTCTTTTTTTTTTTTTAAAGCATAACAAGAAAATTTGTCTAACGTAGCAAGATTCATGTTTTCAACGCGTTGATAGTACAAGTGATTATATACTCTTAAAAATGAAACCTTAATCATCATAAAAACATCTGAAATTGATCCCTTATATAGTATGAGAGAATGACAAACATACCTGGAGATTGGTACGTTTGCCTCAGCAATAAGCCTCTCGACATCCTGAATTTTTGGTACGTCTGCCCCAACAATAAGCCTCGCTACATTCTGCAATTTTTCTAGCATCTTTGGCACCTTGGTTTCATGAACATTAAACTCTACATAGAAGCGAATGTCAAGGTTGGATTCGATCAAAGAAGAGACATCAACTAAATTACATGGCCCTTCATCGTCTTCCAATCTCAAATAACGGATGTGTGGCGCTACAATCTTCCTTGGTCCTCCATATGCACGATGTATCTCCAATCTTGTCAGACTCGGTGACTTACTTAGGTCAAGACTCTCAAGTAAACGACAGTAGCGCAGTGTCAAGCTCTCAAGCTTTGGACAACCAGATAGAATCTTTGCAATGGATTCATCAAGAAGTCTACAATTACGCAGTGACAAGTTCCTTAGGGATTCCCAGGACACTTTGCATTTGGGAAACATATCTATGTATGACATAATTTCTACACTGAGTTGCTTTATAGAAGAACAACGATAGAAGAAATCTGGGAATCTATACTCTCTGTAACTATAGAATTTCACAGACAGATTCTGCACATTGCGGGAGATAGCAAACTCGATCCAGCTATCAATCTGTTGTGTATAGTTATCATAAAGGCCCACATGAAGATGAAAACTCACGATTTTGGGAGCTCTGTAGTAAGTCAAGGTTTGGTTTATCCCTCGAACATTGGGTGTACGGTCTTCAATGTACAGAGAAGGTGTGTCGTACCACACATGCCTCCACCGTTTAGACAAGACAGAAGTTCTTATGGCGTAACTAGTGGGAATAAAAGAGAGAATATGTTGAAGGATATCATTTGGCAAAGAGCTGATAAAATCTCCACGGTTTATTGAATCTCTTGCTCCTTTGTTTTTCCGGCGGCTAGGTTTCTTACGACGTCGCTGGCGGCGCCGTCTCCCTCGGTTATCCGCCATGCTAAACTATTTGGTTTTGCAATTGGTTTTTAGGGTTTTCTTCTCTATTTGATTGTGAGAATGCTTTTTAGGGTTTTCTTCTGTTTGTTTAGGGAACACGTTATCTATCTTGCCTTTTTCATCTACCGGTTTTAAAATGGGCCTATGTTTGACATCAGGCCCATTAGAGCAAAGTCGCTTCTTTATATATTCTCTCTCTGCCTCTCCGTTGATCGGAAAACGAAAGAGTTGCTGAGTTTGGCTCTATGGATTCTGTTGATTTGAACGCTTCAATCCCTTCTTCGCATGCCCTAGATCAACCTCTTTCTTCTTCCGAAGCCGTGGGAGACAAAGATGCTTCGATTCACCTCCGAAATCCTCAGATTTCGTCTTCGTCTGAGTTCATGCGTCCTTTGCAATCGGATAACGGGATTAGCACGACGCTGAGTGGAACGGAAAAGGATAAATCTAGCGGAGAGGACGAGACCACAAGCGGGAAGAGGAAGCGTCGAAGCCGTTGGGACTCTCCATCGAAGCGGAAATCGAGATGGGCAGATGACGAGCCGAAGCCGGTGATCCAGCTCCCCGATTTCATGAATTTCGATCCCGAGATTCAGGAATTGAATGTTAGGTTACTTGAGATCAGTAGAATTCTGCAGTCTGGTTTGCCTCTGGACGATAGATCGGAAGGGCATAGGTCTCCTTCACCAGAGCCGATCTACGATAACAATGGAGTTAGGGTAAACACTAGAGAGTACAGAGCGAAGGAGAGGCTAATCAGAGAAAAGCAAGAAATCATCTCTCAGATTATCAACAAGAACCCTGCGTTTAAACCCCCTGCGGATTACAGGCCTCCCAAGCTCCAGAAGAAGCTTTTCATACCGGATAAGGAATTTCCCGGTTACGGCTTTGTCGGTCTTATAATTGGCCCAAGGGGCAATACGCAGAAGAGAATGCAGAAGGAAACAGGTGCTAAGATCGTGATTCGTGGTAGAGGCTCTGTGAAAGACGGTAGGAAGAAGGATATGAAATTTGATCCTTCGGAGAACGAGGACTTGCATGTTTTAGTGGAGGCTGCGACTCAGGAAGCTCTTGACGCTGCTGTTGGTATGATTGAGAAGCTTCTGCAACCTGTTGATGAGGTGAGGAACGAACACAAAAGGCAGCAGCTTAGGGAGCTTGCTACATTGAATGGAACTGTGAGGGATGAAGAAATCTGTAGGCATTGTGGTGAGCCAGGGCATAGACAGTACGCGTGTCCTTCGATTGCGAGTACTTTTAAAAGTGATGTTCTTTGTAAGATTTGTGGTGATGGTGGACACCCTACGATTGATTGCCCTGTGAAGGGTACTACTGGAAAGAAAATGGATGATGAATATCAGAAGTTCTTGTCAGAGTTGGGAGGAAGTGGCCCTGAATCTTCTCTCAAACAGAGTACTACCTTGGCTCTTGGCTCGGGAAGTAATCCTCAGTGGGGTAACAAGGCTGGCTTAGGCTCAAGTCCGACGAAACCTTCCCAAGAATATGACGAGACGAATCTGTACATTGGGCACTTACCTTCAATGCTCAAGGACGATGATTTGATTAATCTTTTCTCATCTTTTGGTGAGATTGTCAAGGCAAAGGTAATCAAGGACCATGAATCTGGTATGAGCAGAGGCTATGGTTTTGTGAAGTATGCTGATGTTCAGATGGCTAATGCTGCTATACAGGCAATGAATGGCTATTGGTTAGACGGTAAAACACTTGCTGTTAGGATAGCAGGTAAACCGCCACCAACTCAAGCTTATTCTCCATCAAACCAGTTGCCTGGTGCTTATCCTTCGTCACAATATGCCAATGGTGGGAAACTGCAGAATCCTCCTCCTCCTCCTGTGCCTTCCTATTATCCATATGCTCCTCCCCATACTCCTCCTGGTTCTTACCATCCCGTCCCTGGTCAACATATGTCTCCGTATGGAATGTACTATCCACCACCACCACCACCACCACCTCCTCCACCTGGCACTGCTTCTCAAAGCCCATCTTCTAGTCAAAGCTTCCCACCAGGGGTACAACAGCCTCCGTATATGAGTTATCCATCTTATTACAATGCTGTTCCACCTCCACCTCCACCTCCAGTACCGGCTTCGTCTACTGATTATCCCCAAAGCATGGGTAACAAGACATGGGCCAACAGTCCTCCTCTGCCAACATCTGATCACTCACAAGGTCTAGGTAATCCTCCTGTGATGCCCACTGCTGGCTACTCACAGAGCATGGGGAACGTAACCTGGGCTCCCAAGCCTCCGGTAAAGCGAACTGCTGAGAATCCATCTGCTGTTGGAGAATCCGAGTATGATAAGTTCATGGCTGAGATGATGATGTAGCAGCTGGTGTGTTCTGAGCGAGGTAAGATGTCCTTATTTCATGTTTTGTTTGTTCTCCGTACTTGTTTTGAAAATGAATCAAGTGGTTTTAGCATATGATAAAAAAAACGTCACTAATGTTGATTCCAGAAGTTTGTCTCTGTTATTGTATACGCTCACTAACACGAATCTTTGTTTTGTTGCTATTGTTTAATATTTTTCAGGCGTGATGTTTCTTGGAGCTCTTATACCCTGATTTCTTACATCTTTCTTGTTGGAAGTTTGGGACTCACATCTTAACTAACCGTCTTGCTATGCTGTTGTGAAATATGCAGAGACTCAGACTGGAAGCTTTAAATTTATACAATTGTGTTTCGAGAAAGGCTATAAGATATTCATTTATGTTACTGATAAAAAGTTTCTGTTCTTTTCTAGGACTATATTTGTCTTGGGGTTCTTGTTTTATTTTGATGATAATCGTATTTGCCGCTGACTTGTGTGTTAAATCTGTCTTCAGCTCTCATTTACTCACAATCTCTTCTTTCAAATTCGGGAAGTTTTTGGGGTATTGTAGTGCGAGATATGATCCTCTTGCTGTTGAGGTTCTCTTTTATTTGTCTCTTGTGTGCTTAGAGAACGAATCGGTTTCGCCGGACCTTGAAGCAGCAGGGTATGTTAAATGATATTTTAGGCATTTTGATGCCTATACTTTGGTCCATTATTCTCCACCGAGATTCAATCTATATACTGTGTTCTACAATATAGTTCAAGCTTACATGCTCCAGGTGTGGATTCTGGCTAATAAATAATCCAGATTATCTACAAAGCAGTTGTTCTTGTTGCCAGCTTTGTCTTCCTCCGTCTGTGTGTGTAAGACATGCATGTTTCGTTGTCTTCTTGATCTATGGCTCTTTGTTTCTCTTCTTCGGTTACAAATCGAGAGCCTAAGTTTGAGATAACGATGCTGGTGTATCTTCACTTTGTTGTCTGTAAAAGATCTAATGAATTGTGTGGTTAGTGAAGAAGGGAACCAAGCTGGGTGCAAGCAAGAGATATCATCGGAAGCTACTTGCCATATTGTTTTGCTAGCTTTTTGACAAGTTTTACTACGAAAGGCGATCATGTTCTTAAAGGCCAAATGGCACAAATCTAATTAGATCGTAATCTTATTTTAAGTGCAATTTCTTTAATAACATTGATCAACCTCACACTTTCTCTCTTTCCTGGTTTGCAAGAGCCATCAGACTCTGAAGTCTCTGGCTCACCCAACATAATAAAAATATAAAATAGACAAATTTTTCTGTCAAGTGATCTCGGATAATACTGATTTCCTAACCTAGTGGCTAATACAAAACGCTTTTAATTCATAACCTAGTGACTAATACAAAACGCTTTTAAACCAAAATCAAACATGAAAACGATACTAGTAAACACTAGACTACAAGTGGTTCGATTTCAATTCCAAACTCCATTGCAAAAGATTGCAAAACGTCAAGCTCATAAAGGTTTTTATTTATAGACGAGTATTCACAAAATCACAGGAAGAAGAAAGCTCAGTTTCAGTCATTACACTACATTATTGAAAAACAAACGACTAAGTTATCTCGAAAAGAAGAGCTTTGTTTTCTCTAGAAGCTTCTACAACCTCTGCTTCACCGTGGCTGATATATGTGATGGTTCCGGCGGCAATTGAAGTTTGGATTCATGTACTTGCTCGTCTTCTTCTGGTTATACTTTTGGGAACACGAAGCAATGGCCATATTTGATCTGTAAAGCTTCTCTTTCGCAGACTCCGCCATGCTCAGAAGAAACTTCAAATACTTAGCAACATCCGATTCTGCCATAGATTACGCCAAAAGAAGATTCATTAGAAACTACAAGTTTTCTAATACTAAACGTATATGCGTACAAAAGCAACATTTGAAAACGCTTTTGCCTCAGATCTGAAATTCCAAATCCCTAATTTTCTACCGATTTGAACAATCTCTTCAGTACATATCCAGAGAAGTGTGTTTTCGTTACCGTTCACCGTAGATCCACCGGTGTCAGCCTCACCGGACGAAATGATCATCTCTTCGAACTCTTCCTCCATATCTGACAGCTCACCGCCGCCGCCAAACTCGTACTCCGAGTTGGCACTGAGCCAAAAGTCGCGGAACCATTTCGAAGTCGTCACCAGCTCCCACCACTTGGGCGAGAAATCCTCAACCTGGCGAAATCCTACGGGATCGAACACCGGCGCGTTCGGATTCAACGTCGACACTCTCCGATCTACCATCGCCGACATCTTCTACCTCCGATTACACTGCCACAAAATCAGAACCACACGGCTATAACGTCAGAATCCAGAAACCCAAATCGACTACAAGTATGCAAGTAATGAAATAGTTTTATACCTCTCGCTGATCAACAAGTCAAACTGAGTCTCAGAACGAGTCACACTCCCGAGTTACTGGAAACACTGTCTTTTGGAAAGAGATGAGGACGGAGGAAGAAGGTGGCACCTTTTTAAAAGAAGAGAAAACGAGTAGCCGGTAAACCGGTAAGAGTTACCGCCACGTGTGATAGAGAGGATGATGATCTGACGGTTGTGAATGATAAGAAAGTGATCTGACGGTGTTAACGCGCGCAATGACTGGATATAAGTTTGTTGGTTACTGGATAAGATCTTTCTTTTTCTTATTTTCGTTTTGGATAAACGTAGGATATTTTGCTAGAACGTAGCCCAAAAAGCCCAATAGGTTCACTATCCAAGTTTCCTTGCATAGTATCAAAGCTTAAGCCAGTTCCAATTTTGTTCTTTGAAAATTACTAAAGGTTGCAAATTTATTGACCTCAACTTCTATTTTTTTCAAGCGAGGCAATTTTCTTCACTCTCTTGCTAAGTTTTTTACTTTTTTTTCATATTAAAGAATGTGACTTTTAACCCCAAAAAAAGCCATACTGATTTTATTATTACTTGGAAAAGACTAACATTTTCACATTGCAATGTATCAAAAATGTTTTTTTAATGTATCAATAATGTTAGTCTACATAGCAAGCACATGATAATTCAGTGGCACTGCGGGAGTCTTTTAGACAACTTCCGCTAGGAAACTGTAATTTGATGCATTTTTGGTTGCAGTCTGGAATTTTCGAGCAAGGACCTATCACGAAAAATCCATGTCTCTGTGAATCATCAGCTTCTGCAGCTTCTGAAATATTTAAAAAACTTGAATCAATAATTCAAAAACATAAAGAGTATAATATAGTGTAATAGTGGACATATCATATAGCTTTGATTTGAGAAGCAAACAATTATATTGCCGCATACTTGGGATCAAGAGAACAGTAAGACACAAGAACACAAAAAGCAAACATTTGCTTGATGAAGCCATTTTTGTATTTGATCAGCGTTTTATTTTTCAATTTTGCGAATGAAATATAATTGAATAGTTTGGAATACTTTGAGTAATATATACTATATTGATATCCTCTTGGAATTGTTTTGGTCAAAATCTCTTTATATATGTAATTTCAAATAATATACAAAATTTCATCGTTGACCAAAAATATAATACTATATATATTATTTGGATTCACTGTATATATTATTTGGATTCACTGTTACTTTTTTTTGGTCAACTTTTAATTGATTTTTATTCTATACATTGCATGATATGATGGTTTGGTGATTGACTATATATAATTTCTCTGTTGGAAACACATTTTTGTGTGATTTTATAGCGAAGGATATCTTTCTAAGGGATTAGGGAAACATGACTACTTTTGTCTGTTCATTTGTCATTTGTGGAAATTTTAAAAATACATCTTATTGGATGTACATTTTCAAAACACATTTAAGATGTTTATTTTCAAAATTACACACTTTTTAATTGATTAAAATAACTCTAAACCCAAAATTTTAACACTAAACCTTAAAATCTAACTTTAAATTCTTAAATCTAAACCTTAACCCCCAAAATCTAAACAGGATTAGAGAACCAAATTTAGATTTCAAATTAGGAAAATGCATATTTTTAAAAAATTAACACTATATAAGTGTAGTTTTGAAAATTAACACCCCCAAAAATGTATTTCTTAAAATTTCTCTTGTCATTTTATATTAATGCTCTTACACAACGTTCTAATTCATTAACTGCATATTGAAACTTGGTCACCCTTGAAAGAAAATCTACAAAAATAGAAAAAAATATATTCATTTATATTGAAACTAGACAATTTTCTCGAGTCTCATGCTAAGTTTTTTCGTGATATGACAATTTGACAAAAAAATAATACTCCATATGTTTCATAATAAGTGTCATTTTATAAGTTTATTTTGTTACAAAACAAGTGTCATTTTCTGATTTTAATGCACTTTTTCATATTAACTTATCTGTTATACCTCTAACTAAATAAAAATATTAAATATTGTAGAATTATAATAGTCAAACAAGGGTAAAACTGAACTTTGAACTACTTTTTTAACTTGTGTGAAAAATGTGAAAATGACATTTAATAGAAAACGGAGAGAATAATACTTCTTTTTTTATTTGTTTAGAAAAGACTAATAGTCAAACAAGGGTAAAACGGAACTATGAACTACTTTCCCTTCTTAACTTGTGTGAAAAATGTGAAAATAACACTTAATATAAAGCGGAGGAAATAATACTTATTTTATTATTTATTTAGAAAAAAGACTAACATTTTCACATTTTAATTGATCAAGAATGTTAGTATTTATGGCAAACACATGATAATTCAGTGGTAATACGGGAGACTCTAAGACATTCCCCGCTAAGGAACTGATATTCGATGCATTGTTTGTTGCAGTCTGGAATCTTCGAACAAAGACCTATCACCAAAATTGGACTCGGTTTAGAAGCTTCCACATCTTCTGAAATTATTTATATAAAAAAACTGAAATCAGTTATTCAAAAACATAAAGTGTATAATGTAATTTATAATATAGCTTTAAATTGATAAACAATGGATTTCTTTTGTCTCATACTTGGGATCAAGAGAACAGCCAGACACAAGAACACAAAAAACAAACATTTGCATGATGAAGCCATTTTTGTATTTGATTAGTGTTTTATTTTTCGATTTTGCGACTGAAATATAAGTGAGTAATATGTAATATATGATATGTTCTTATAAGTTTCTTTTGGGTCAGCAGATGTAATCCTTTTCTTGGTCAAAAGATGTTATCCTTTTATATAGGCAATTTCTTATGATACATGGAATCTCTTTGTTGACCAAACTTGGATTTTTTTTATTTATATATAATATTTGGTCAATCTGTAATTGATTTCTAAAATTTTATTCTATAAATTGCATGATATGATGGTTTTATATATATTGACTTAAAATTACTTCTTTGGATGTACATTTATTTGTGTTACAAGGTGGTTGTCCCGCACCTTGTGCGGGTACAATATTTTTAAAATAGATAAATTAATTAAAGATTTAAATAATATAAGTAGTAAATTTTTGATTATAATATTTTTTGTTTTCCCCAACTTCTTATTTCTATAATTTTTATGTGTTTTATTTTTGTCTTCTCTTTCTTATTTTTCTATGTAATCTTTTTCAATTCCATATTCGTTCTCATCACCTTTTTATTTTTCTTCTTCCAATTTTTTTTCTTCAATCTTTTCTTATATCTTCATATCTTCCAACTCACTACTCTCTTTTTTTCTTCCTAATTTTCTTTACATTTTTTTTTCGATTTTTCTTCTTCCTCATTCCCCCTCTCTCTATCTTTATCATTTTCGTCTTCTCTAACAATACATTATTCTAGTTTTTATCTATCTATTTCTTGTGTTTTTTTCTTCTTCACATTTCATTTTTTCTTCTTTGATTTCTTCTTCTCATGTTCGGGTTTTCTTCTTCTCCATTTGTTTAGAGAGATACAAAAGATTTTCCACTTCTTATTTTGTTCTCTTTTATTCTTCTCCAATAATGTCACCTTCTTCTTTTTCTTTCAGTTTTATATTCGTTCTTATCATCTTTTTCTTTTCTTCTTCCAAGTTAGTTTTGTTATTCAATCTTTTTTTATCTTCATATCTTCCACTCACTATTCTTTTTTTTCTTTCTAATTTTCTTTACATTTTTTTTTTCGGTTTTTCTTCTTCCTCATTCCTCCTCTCTATCTTTATCATCTTCATCTTCTCTAACCGAAATGTCAGTATGGTGTATTCATCTTCGATTTTATTTATCTTTTCTTTGTTTTTTTTTCTTCTTTGATGTCTTTTTCCTCATGTTCGAGTTTTTTTCTTCTTCTCCAAATTTCTCATTTCTGTTTTACTGTTTTCTTTTCTTTTACTTGTGTTTTTATTCGTTCTTGTCTACGTCTTATATCTCACCTATTAACTTTATTCGATAGTTTATATTTTCAATGATTTGTAAAATAGTTTTTATCTTTATATAGTTGAGATCTTTTAAAAATCTATTGGTTTTTTTATCTTTCCATTCTGGATTTGCTTTAATTGTTAATTTTTCTATTTGTGAATGTAATTTAGAAAGGGGAATATAAATTTATAATAAATGATTTTTAATTATGATATATTCATCCATTCAAATGTTTAAAAATGCACCAAAAACTAAACCCTACACGCATCAATATAAACCCTACATCCTAAACCCAAGCCCCATAATGTAAACCCCCCCCCAAACAACCCTACACCCTAAACCCAAATCCCACAGTGTAACAACCCCCCTACACCCTAAACCTAAACCCCACATTATAACTCCCCCCCCAAAACCGCACACCTGAATCTCACATTTTACAAATTGGTTCAAGATATGCTTTTAATTTTATTTTTATCTTTTTCTTAAAAGATATTTTTGTTTTTGTTTTTAATCGGTAATGTATTGTATTCAGAATTTTTAAAATGCATCAAAAACTAAATCTTACGCCAATCAATATAAACCGTACATCATAAACCCCAACCCCATATTATCTTCTCTTCTTTCATAATTTTCTAACATTTTTTTTATTCTTATCAAACTTTCTATTCTCTTTTTATTTTCATCTCTCTTCATCGTCATCTTTTTATTTCATGGTTTTTTTTTTTTCGTTTTCTTCCTTTTATTTACAATTTGTTTTTCATTTAGATTTATGTTCTTATTCTTTTTTTTTCTATTGATTTTTCCAACTTCTTTGTTGTTCACATATTCTTCATTTCGTTTCATCTTCTGTTTTTCGTCTTCGTCTTCCAACTTTCGTCTTTTCCTTATTATTGTTCAGGTTTTTCTTCTTATTTCATATTGCATTCTTCATCATTTTGTATTATCAATTTTTTTTTTCAACATCTTATTTATTAGTTTCGTCTGCCTCTTTATTTTCTTTTATTTATGTTTTCTCATCTTCTCATATTTCATATTTTTGCTTTATTGGTTTTTCTCAATATTTTATCTTTTTCTTTCTCATACTTTATTTAATCTTATGCTCATGTCTCTTCCTCTCTCCCCCTCGAACATACCTTCTCGAACTCATCAACCTCAGGAATCGAAGGATTCAAGGAGAGCGTGGATGGAGCAATGCAATAAATTGTAACCTTGCTTGAAATCAGAATAAACGACTTTAACTTTATGTTTACAACACCTAGTATAAAATTTGGCAATCTAAAAATTGTTACCTGCTCGAATTTCTATTAGTCCCCACCTAATGACGCAGATTACAATATTATGTTTCACTCTCATCCATTCTTTACAAAACCTTATTGCATTATTTCCAAACAATACGCAGTCTAGATGAACTATTTAAAAAAAAATTTAAATATACATTTAGATCATTATCAGAATAAGATATCACTATAAAGATCAAAGAATATAATTACAACCTTGAATTACCTTTGGTCACGGATTTGAAACTTGATGCTAGGATCGATACTATCTGCATCATAACTCCTCGGTTTTTCAATCAAGCCTCTTTCCAATAGTAGATTCACTTATATTGACAACCTCTCCTATCAAATCTTGTAAGAAAATAAAACAGTAAAAGAGGGGTTAGATACATAAACAGTTTCGAATATAAGTTTAACTATTCTTGAATATAATATACGTACCTACTAAATAATCATCGCAGTCTGAACGATCTATGATTTTTTCAAAATCAACGAAATTGAAGAAGTTTCTTACGCTAGCGAAAAAGATCTTTGTGATGATTGTTGTTGGCATCAAGTATATTCGATTTAGATGCCAAGTAGCTCTACAATGTCCTGTCTGAGTAGTGACATCGAAATTCTTAATGAGAATCCAATCTCCCTCGTTGACCTTGCAATCATAAGCCTCATAAACGGAAACATGCACAGTTGCTTGAATCTTCTCTCCCTGAAATATTTATAATACAATAGTTACAAAGATCACTAAGGTATCAATATTATCTATCATAGATTTTTTTTCGCTTTATCCGATACCTCTTCATCAGATAGTATGAGCTCTAATCTTTTAGCAGAAGTTGGGTGATCGTTTAGCCAAAAACGCAAAACTTTGACCAAAATTTCAGAATCGTGAGTCCTCGGCCCAAGTCCTGAAACTGTATACCTCTTCCTCAAGACCTTATCATACGTAAGAAGCTTCTTGTAGGTGCCTGATTCATTCAACGTAACTACTTAAGATCTATTATTATTGAAGCAAATATTATGGATATTAAAAAAAAAAAAAATCGTTATAGATTCGCCATTAGTATTAGGGTTTCATGAATAGATGTTCATACCTTCTATTGCTGGAGTTGAATATTTCTGCTTGGGACCAAATCTGATCTTCTAGATTCCATTAGCTTGGAACTCACTGTTACAAAAGCGAGTGAAGAAGAAGTTAAAGCGTATATATAGATGATTGACAGTATATAACAAATAATAGTTAATCATTACAGTAAATAGAACTTAAATCAAAGTAAAACAATAAAGATACATGAGAAGAAGAAATATGAGACCTAAGAACTAAAATTACGTATAGAAAGAAGATATGCAAATCGTAATGAGAATTGGGTTGATTATGCTTGTAGCTATCCCTATATATAAGACAGAGTCGGCTAACAAACCTAGGTTTTCCAATTTTTTATCTTTACATTTTTTTTAATTTCTTCCATAAATGTGGGCGAAATATGTTAGTTATATGGTATATATCCAAAAATAATTTAGGAAGAAATCAAAATGTCGTCTTTTTAAAAATAAAATAAATTCGTTTTTAAATAAGATAATAAGCAAATTGAAAGATTTATTCAAGATTTTCATTAAGGGTAGTTATGTAATTCCGAGGCTGAGAGTTAACGTGGTGCATCCATTCGAAATTCTGACTTCGCAAATAATAGTATGATTTCATGGGGAAAGATATGTTTTGTACTTGTATCCTCATCGGTGGGATTCTCTAAAAGTAGCTTTATTTACTCTAAAAATACCTTAACAAACTTGGTCAAACTTGTTTTCTCTGTCTAAGGCCGAGATATATATGGTTGCTTTACGAAGTTCATAAAACAGTGAGTTTTACTCTCCATCAGAAAATTAACTGTTAGTCTATGAGATTTAGTATATATGTAAACGACAATGTTAAGTTTTAAGATTAAAATGTACTTTGTTGTTGTGGAAATCCTTATCCCATTACTTCAATGGTTGATCAAATGATTCGATAAATGTGCTTCTGCACCAAAAGAAATGTCTTTGGTGGCCTGCATGCAGTGCAGGTGTGGAACATAAGATTGTCTGTTTGAAAATAATAATATCACAAACGATAACAAAAAAAAATATATACTTCGTTTTTAGGTGAAAACTCAATAAATGTTTTCTTGTAACTCTTTCTAGAGAACATATGAACTTTTCCCTAACAAGACTTGATTCTAGGAGACGTACAAAATCATATTTTATATATTTAAGATTTAAAATTAGTTGAAAAAAAAAAGTTATATATATTATATTATATATATATATATAACACTATATATATCACCTATATTTTAATACAACACATAGACTTTTAAAAATATTAAACTAAAAGAATGCATCACTGAATTTTAAAATTAACGAAAACATAAAAACCACGGAATGCCACCGTGTATATACCAAAAAAGAAAATATCAATCCTTTTTTTGTCAACAAAAGGAAATATTTATCAAAGAAAACGAAATAGGAATTTCCTTTTCCGTAGACAGAAACGTAAACCTAGAGGTAGTTCTCTCTCTTTATAAACAGAACCCAAACGTAAGAGAACTCAAATTTTGAACTCTCACAAATTCTCCGTCTTCTGTCTTTCTGCGTTCTCTCGAATTAATTCTCGTTTTTCTCTCTCACAAACAATGAAGTCTGCAAAGAGTGCCAACCATCAAAACCTAATCTCATCATTCGTCGAGATCGCCGTTGGTGAAACCAAGGCATACGCAACACGATTCTTAAAGTCAACAAGCTGGGACCTTGAAGAAGCCATTAACCTCTATTTCATGATCCGTGGACACAATGATACTCAGGACAAACTATGCCCTCCTGCGAATTGGGACTCGAACAAACCAGAACCGTCCGATTCGGCCTTAGGTGGATCAGGTTTGAGTTTGTCTTCTTTGTTCCGCCCTCCTCTGAAACTTCTTTTCCAAGGTTCGTTTGAAGAAGCGAGATCAACCTCTTGCTGGAAGAATCAATGGTTGCTAGTGAATCTCCAGTCCACGACCGAGTTTGCTTCTCATGCTCTTAACCGAGATTTGTGGTCGAACGAGGCCGTTTCTCAAGCCACAGAGTCTAGCTTCGTCTTGTGTCAAGTTTATGATGATACCGCTGAAGGACAGAAAATCTCTACTCTTTACAAGATCGAAACTGCTCCTCCTGTGGTGCTTCTCATCGATCCTATCACTTGCGAGAAGATGCGTTCTTGGAGCGGCGCGATTGAAGCTCAGGGTTATGACGTACATCGATGCTGTAGGGCCTCCTCACGGACACTATGCTTCTCGGACAAGAAAAAACGGACTACATTTTTCTTTAATTAGGTGAAATTATTTTTTGTTGTTTTTTTTTTGTTGAAAGATCAAATTTATTATTCAATCAATAAAGAATGATAGTTTATTTACAGAGAAATAAGATCTTCGTGGTCAAGCGCAAAACCAAAATAAAATAAAAAGAACAAAGAGCTTTCAAAAATAAAATCTAAAAATATCTTACACTTTGTTTTTTTTTTTTTGTCTATTTGGTTTGATTTGAATGACACTATACTTAACATATTTATCTATTAAAAAAAAACACATTCAGTTTACATAGACATTTAGAAAATTTTAAATTAATAATACATCATTGAAATTTAAAATTAACTATGTTAGCGTTGTAATTTAATTTACGTATTTACATGTTGGGTTTAAATTTTAAAATGCTTTTCAGTTTTCTTTAGGTGAAGATATCTTACATTTTTTATTGTTGTTTTTTTTTGTTTTTGCAATTTTGCCTAGAATCAAGATTTGGATTTTGTTGACAGAAGAATTTTTTTTGTTTGAATAACACTATACTTAATAACATATTTTAAAAACAAATCACACAACTTTACAGTTTACATTTGGATTTTTTTTTTTTTTTTTTTTTTTGTTGTTAAAGGGCCTAACATTAGGAAATCTTAAAATAATAAATGCATCACTGAAATTTAAAATTAACGAAAATCTAAAAAGTAAAAACCAAAGAATACCACCGCTGTGGATAATGGATATCATACATGTCCCAAAAAAAACCAATTTTTCCATTTTTTTTTTTTTTTTTTTTTTTTTATTTGTCAACTTCCATTTTTTTCTTTTCCTCTTTTCTTATGCGTGTTTTCTCCTTTATCCTGAACAAACTAATTAGAAAAAGGAAACAAAGAAACCTAAAGAGTTAAGGTATCCGTAATCTATAAACATAAGCAAACGTAAGAGAAATCACCTAAAATATCTCACAAAATTTCTCTCCTCTTCTTCAATCGTCAACTGAGTTCTCTTGAATCCTTTTGTTTTCTCTGTCTCTAAATTAATGGAGACTGCAACAAGTGTCAACCAACATGAGCTGATCTCATCATTCGTCGAGATCGCTGCTGGTCAAACCATAGAAACCGCAACACGATTCCTAAAGGCAACAAGCTGGAACCTTGAAGAAGCCATAAACCTTTTCCTCATCCATAGACGTAATCAACCTCTTTGTCATCAAAAATCATCATCAGAACAGTATTGGAGTGATTATCAACAAGTAGAAGAACAAGTCCCTCTTCCTCGACCATCGATTAGGGATACTCTCTATGATTCTTCTTCCATGCCTAAAACCCCGGTCAAAGTATGTCCTGAGGAGATATGGGAGCCGGACACACAAGAACCGTCCGGTTCGGCCTCTGTTGGATCAGATATCAGTTTGTCTTCTTTGTACCGTCCTCCTCTGAAACTTGTTTTCCAAGGAACGTTTGAAGACGCGAAATCAGCTTCTTCTAGAAAGGATCTGTGGTTGCTAGTGAATCTCCAATCCAAGATCGAGTTTGCTTCTCATGCTCTTAACAGAGATTTATGGTCAAACGAAGCTGTTTCTCAAGCCATCGAGTCTAGCTTCATCTTATGTCAAGTTTATGATGATACCACTGAAGGACAGAAAATCTCTACTTTTTACAAGATCGAATCTGCTCCTCCTGTGGTGCTTCTCATTGATCCAGTCACTGGCCAGAAGATGCGTTCTTGGAGCGGCTTCATCGAAGCTCAGGGTTTTGTCGAGGATTTGATGAAGTACATCGATGCTGGTCCTCATGAACACATTGCTTCTCTGACAAGTAACAAACGCATCAAAACAGAGAAGCTTAGTTTTCCACACAACAACAAGGCTGATGATCAAGACATGGCTACCTTCTTTGACAAGGATTTTAAAGAGTCTTCAGAAGGAGATATTTTAAAAATTTCCGAAAAGGAGGAGTCTTGTTCGTCAAGCAACCATATTGATCACATCATGGCACCTTCTTGGGGTGAAGAGTTGGAAGAGTCTGCAGAAGTGGAGGAGGAGGAGACTTGCTCAGAAGAAAAGTTTCCGGTATTGACAGATGAGCCAAAGGGATACTGCGATCGAAGTATTGTGTGCAGTCTTTGCGTTCGATTTCCAGATGGGAGAAGGAAACAGAGGAAGTTTCTCAAGACTGAACCGATTCAGCTGCTCTGGTCTTTCTGTGATTCTCTCATGGAGGCATCCGAGAAAAAGGCGTTTAAGTTGGTGCAAGCGATTCCTGGTGCTTCCAAGACTCTGGACTATGGAGCTAACTTGACTTTCGACGAATCTGGGATCGCTAACTCGATGATCTCGGTTACTTGGGAATGAAGATTTCAATCTGTTGTTCTTCTTTCTTATATGTTTTTCAAGTCATTATGATGAATTAACCTTTACGTTATTGTAATTCCACGACTTTTGTTTCGTTTGTTACTAATTCGAATATGAAGATCCAATGTACATTTTTCACAACATATATACATCATCACTATCTTCAGCTTAATTTATGCTATTATTATGTGGTTATCTGCATTAATATTTCCGAAGTTTGATCGTGTTTTTATTGCAACTCATATGATTAATCAATATGTTCTTTCTTGGGAGTATTGTTCCATGAGATGCTTATTTATATAAACTGGTATATTTGATATATTTTGTGAAAACATGCTTAGGTATGTTGAGATAACAAACGTTCAAATTTCTCAGAGCACTGATGATGAGCAGATTCTGATGTCTATCTAGGTTATGTTTACAATTTTTTATTTCTTTGGATTTCTCATGTTCTTGCTCCTTTGTGTCAATGTATTAGAAAGAAGAAGCTCTTGTATAATAATCGTGTACTCTTTAGAGAATTGATCACAGATTGGGTAATTTCAGACATAAAAAATGTGTTTTAATTTAATTCTGAAAGTTAAATATTGTGCTGGTACAAAAATTTGATGATTAGAGAGATTTTTTTCATCTTTTTTAAACAATGTTTTGTATATTTTGTTTAAACAATTATATCTACCAAGTCACAGCCAAAATAAACTAATTAATTTTCCGTAATTTGGTTTATGAATCTCATAAAAATGGAAAATAACTAACTTTAAATTAAAACACATAAACAAATATCCCACCTAAACAAATATCCAATCTCAGAAGTAAATTAAATTGGTAAAGACGGTGATGTATCTACAAAAGGAGAGATATATAAAAATAATTAAAAGTGAAAACAAAATTTCCTTTTTACTACGCCTCTCTCTTCGCTATCTAGAAGGAAAAGGAAACAAACCTATACAAGATCAAATCTCTCTCCACCTCTATATAAACAGAACCAAAAACCTCATTAACTCCACTAAACAAAAACTTTCACAGCTCCTCCTTATTTTCTTCCATTCGTCTCTCTAATTTTACCCTAATATTAAGACTTGTTGATTTCTCTCAGAACAGCAACAAACAACAATATGGGTGTAAATTCGTCGAAGCTTAACGAAGAAGTCGAACTCCTTCTCCGCGAACAACAAGCAGATCCCACGGTTGTTACCGCAGGACTTCATGACCAACTGATCTCCTCTTTCCTCGAGATCGCCGTCGGTCACACCGTCGAAACCGCAAGATACTTCCTACACACAACAAACTGGAACCTTGAGGAATCCATCAATCTCTTTCTCCTCAACGACACCCTTGATCCTTCCATGTATCACCACAACGATCAGGAGCCACGTCATGAAGAGATCTTGGAGGATTATAACGATGATGATGGTGATGATTCAGAATCGAGATTGTCTTCTCTGTATCGTCCTCCTTATAACATTCTTTTCGACGGTTGGTTTGAAGATGCGAAAACGTTTTCAACTCAAGAGAACAAGTGGTTGATGGTGAATCTCCAGTCAAGAACAGAGTTTGCTTCTCTTACGCTTAACCGTGACGTATGGTCGAACGACGCCGTATCGCAAGCCGTTGAGTCTAGCTTCGTCTTGTGGCAGGTCTATGATGATACAGTCGAAGGTCAGAAGATATCTACTTTTTACAAACTCGAATCTGCAGCTCCTCCTCTGGTGCTTCTCTTAGATCCCATCACCGGTCAGAAGATGCGTATGTGGAGCGGAGAGATTGAAGCTCAGGGTTTGCTTGAGGATTTGGTCAAGTTTATGGAATCTGGTCCTCATGAACACATTGCTTCTCTGTCAAGGCACAGAGGCCCTGAAACGAAGGTTACTTATTCGTCAAGCAATCAAGTCCCGCCTCCTTCTTGGGGTGACGAGTTTGAAGAGGAAGATAGTAGTTCGTCAAGAAACATGGATCAAGTCTCGGCTCCTTCTTGGGGTGAAGAGTTTGAAGAGGAAGGCAATAGTTCGTCAAGCAACCACACTGGTCAAGTCGTGGCTCCTTCTTGGGGTGAAGAGTTTGAAAAGGAGGAGACTTGTGTGTCAAGCAACAACACTGATGGAGAGTCTGAAGAAGTAAAGGAGGAGGAGGAGGAGACTTGTTGTCTCTTTCCGGAGTTAACAGAAGAGCCAATGGGAGACTGTGATCGAAACCTTGTGTGCAATCTCTGTGTTCGATTTCCGGATGGGAGAAGGAAGCAGAGGAAGTTTCTAAAGACGGAGCCAATTCAGCTTCTTTGGTCTTTTTGTTATTCTCAGATGGAAGTATCTGAGAGAAAGGCGTTCAAGCTAGTACAAGCGATTCCTAGGGCTTCCAAGACTCTGGATTATGAAGTTAATGACCCGTTCGAACAATCTGGGCTTGCTAATTCGATGATCTCTGTTACTTGGGAGTGAAGATTTACTGATTTAGACATGTTGTACGTTCGTGTATCTTCTCCTTGTTCCAGAGTTTTGTTTCGTTGGTCAATTCGAATGTTAAGTTCAATTATATATACAAGTTTTCACAGATCACACTTCATGAGCTTTATGTTTAGTATTATGGGGAGTTTTTGTTCTTATGTGAAATGGGATTACCTTATTGAATAGAACATGTTAAAGAAGATCATACATCTGCAATCCAAACTCTCCAAAGTCGAAAGTTGCAACGTTTTACTAATTTAAATGGTGTATTATGACGGCTAATACATAGGTTCTTGACGTTTTCTATTCAACATTAACGATTCTGGTGATTAATTTAAGCATTTTAATATTTTAAATACAAGTTTGTTTCTTTTAACTTCCAGTTCGATTAGCTATTTTGATTAAGTTCATATGTAATCTCAACGAGACCTCATCAACTAAAACTGTTTTTGAACGCCGACCACACTATGATCTAAATTGAGAAATTGCAGGTCTTGAATGAGTTCAAAACATAGATCGAATTAAAAGTCAGTGCTTTTGTTTTATAACGTCTGATCTTTATTGAGTAGGCCACAGGCTGAAAGAGAGCATATGAACCCACTAGTAGAGATGATCGGAGCGTTATAAATACTCTTTATATGATCAACCTACTAGTACCATGTTTGTTTAATGGAACAATTTAATATTTGTGATTAGAGCCACGACTTAGAATAGTCGTGTCCAGGGTGACCACTTTATATTTATAGCCTTGTCACACAAACACTCTTCACGCAACTGAAACCTTAAAACTAGATAATAAAAACATAAATTTTTTACTTTAAAGAAATGTTCTATAAGATCATATCCTTATCACATGTTACAATTTCTCTATGAACACGCTACAATATTACATGTGTTATGTGTAGCTGTGGCTGTGGGGAGCTTCATGATTAAAACAAATATAGGGGGGTATTCTTAAAATAATAACTAAAGTTTTGGGTCTAAAGTCAATTTACTTTTGCACCTTTGGCCGTTTGTCGGAATCTAGACTGAACTGAAACCGATAAGTTAATGTGACGAGATCCAACGAATTATAAATAAAATTATCAGAAAAAAAAAAAAAAAAAAAAGACTGTTGTGTCGTGCACAGAATCACACAGATACAGAGAGATTCACGCAGACACATATAAATTAATCAATCATCAGAAAGCTCCTTTTGCTTTTTGTTATATCTGATCTGAAGAAGAAGATGCATCTGATTAATGCGGTGGCGGCGGCGAGGATGTTGTCCGGATTCGGACAATCTAACGGCAGTAACGGAGGCGAAGCGATTCCGTTCGGATCGCTGTGGTGGGTCACTTACGCCGGCGTCTCTTGTTTCCTCGTTCTCTTCGCCGGTATTATGTCCGGTCTCACTTTGGGACTTATGTCTCTTGGTCTCGTCGAGCTCGAGATTCTCCAACGCAGTGGCACCCCTAATGAGAAGGAACAAGCCGGTAAATTCTTCATCATTCCAATTAACTCTTCTTTAGTTGAATTTTTTGATCTGATGGTGATTTCTTGTTTTTTGAATTGTTTTCGAATTAAAATTGCTTGCGAAATGATTTTGCAGCTGCGATTTTTCCGGTTGTTCAGAAACAGCATCAGCTTTTAGTGACACTGCTTCTGTGCAATGCTCTTGCAATGGAGGTAAAATCTCATATTTCAAGACTTCAAGTCTCTACCTTTTTGATATTCTACAACTCTGCTACTCTTTTTGATGGTGAAGCAAACAAGTGAGATTGAAACTTACATGATCTGTGGAAATTTTGGCAGGGACTTCCTATATACTTGGATAAGTTATTCAACGAATACGTTGCCATTATTCTTTCGGTCACTTTCGTTCTAGCTTTTGGTGAGGTATGTGATGTTGTCCTTAGTTTTTTTTTTTTTTGCAAATTTACCTTTATGAGTTTATATGTATCAAAGGCTTCGACTGAATTTGAAACATTTTTGTTTTCGTCATTTAAGGTTATTCCTCAAGCTATATGCACAAGGTATGGACTCGCCGTCGGAGCAAATTTTGTGTGGCTTGTCCGTATTTTAATGGTTCTCTGTTACCCTATTGCCTTTCCCATTGGAAAGGTAACGTTATTGTTGTTTTGGAACGTCTTCTTGTATGACTTGTTGTATATTATAAGCTTTTGGCTTAACCTTTTTTCTTAAAATTATTTTGGTTAGATCTTGGATTTGGTGCTGGGACACAATGATGCTTTGTTTAGACGAGCTCAGTTGAAAGCTCTTGTATCAATCCACAGCCAAGAGGTATTAGTGACTGTGAAGATACTAACTACTTTGTTTACTTCCTCAAAAACTTTGTAGAGTTTCGGATTACTTATTTGGCTATCTTTGTTGCTATGGCACAATGGTTGGTTTTAGGCTGGCAAGGGAGGTGAGCTTACGCATGATGAGACGACAATCATTAGTGGAGCACTTGATTTGACTGAGAAGGTATGTGTGAGAACTTCACTTACAACAATTCCTAAATCATGGTGAAGATTATTCATGCAAAAAAGTGGTATTTGGTTTTTGACAGACGGCACAAGAAGCCATGACACCAATTGAATCAACCTTCTCCTTGGATGTAAATTCAAAACTGGATTGGTGAGTTTGGTTCTCAACTGTCATACTTGTATAAAAGTTTTCTCAATGTTCCTCCATTCTTGATTCTGAAACTCTTGCATGGTGGTTGGTTCTTGTTACAGGGAAGCTATGGGCAAGATTCTTGCAAGAGGCCACAGCCGCGTTCCTGTCTACTCTGGCAATCCTAAAAACGTTATCGGACTTCTCTTGGTAAGTGTTCTTGACACTTTATTTTGCATGCTTCAATGCTTGCTTATACTTTAACCAAGAACACAACTCTATGTTTGTTAGGTGAAGAGTCTCCTTACAGTTCGCCCTGAAACCGAGACACTTGTCAGCGCAGTTTGTATACGCCGAATGCCAAGGTTTTTGCCGTTACTATATTGGCAGCTCTTGTCTTTTGACGTTTGGTTTCTACAAGCATCTTTGGGTTGAATGTAATATTTTCGTATTTGTGATGTTATAATGTTTCAATAGGGTTCCAGCAGATATGCCACTGTATGATATACTTAATGAGTTTCAAAAAGGAAGCAGCCACATGGCTGCAGTTGTCAAGGTTAAAGGGAAAAGCAAAACTCATCCTCCTCTGCTTGAAGAAGACAATACTTACGAAAGCAGCGATTCTGCAACGAAAGACTCCGATTTGACTGCGCCTCTGCTGATAAAACGAGAAGGAAACCACGACAATGTCATTGTCCATATAGACAAGGCGAATAGACAGTCGTTGTTCCAAAACAACGAGGGTGTAACGCACGGGTTCTCGCATACTTCAGAGGATATCGAGGATGGGGAAGTTATCGGTATCATCACTTTGGAAGATGTGTTTGAAGAGCTTTTGCAGGAAGAGATTGTTGATGAAACTGATGAATATGTTGACGTACATAAAAGGTTCGGTTTTTAAGTTTTAATACTCTCACGACATAAGTACACATAATGTAACGATGCTTGAGGCACTGAAAAATCTTCCCTTTTTGCAGGATTCGAGTTGCGGCAGCAGCGGCTGCTTCATCAATAGCGAGAGCTCCTTCAAGCCGGAGATTGATTGCACAAAAGGGAACTGTGAGTTTAAACTTTAAACAGTCTTTTGGTAACAGAAATGCTTTAGTCTTATGGTGGAGATAGAGTTAAATTTTTGTAACATTTATATGCAGGGAGGACAAAATAAGCAAGCGCAGACGATAAAAGGTTCTGGTCAAGAACAAGATAAATTTCTTGGAACTATTACCGAGCCAAGCCGAGGAAACAAATGATGAGAAAATTTGATCTTTTGTTCTTGCTTGGAACAAAAAAAGAATAAACTAAAAGATGATCAAAAGTCTTGATTGGTAACTTATAGTTTATCCATCCAGAAGCAATGGGTGACTTACTCCCAGTTTTTGAAGATGTTTTGCCTCTTAAGATTATGTGTACACTTTGTAATCTACTCAATAACTTGATTCTTTTTTTTTTTTCTTTTTTTTTTGTGTGCACTCTATTAGTCATAGAATTGCACTTGTCACAGTTATCTAGATGGTCTTGAGACTTTTAGTGGCAGCCATTGTGTTGTAGCAATAGTTTTTGAAACAATGGATCCAAATTTTCTCCATCCACCGATGGCTTTTGACAAAGTCTTTTTAGGTCTGATGTTCTCATGTTTCCTTTTGTGTTTCACATGTTGAATATAGTTTTGTCAAATTTCGTGTCTCTTTATCTTTTAATATCTGTAAACTTATAAGCTTGGCACAACCACACAATTGCAATATACAAAATAAACTAAATTGACAAAAGAAAAATTGAATATGTGATTCACGGATATTCGCTAAAGGGTGTTTGTCAGTTTGTGTGAAAACGAATCCAATAGATCCTCCAATAAGTGAATTTTATTTTGTTACACTTTATGTTAAGAACTTTGGAAAACAAACTAAAGAGGAAACAAATGAGAGTTTATTTGAACGTTTAGAATTGTACATATGTATCTTCTTATTAATTTTTACCTTTTTAGTAACTATACAGTAGTTTAACAAAAAAACAATAATCTAATGACAGATATTAGTGACTAATGACAAAAACAAATTCTCCTATCTGTCGTTGGAATTCAAAATTGTACTGAACCGAACCCGTTTTAAGGCTTAGGTCGACGATGAGATAAAAACAACAACAAACAGAGAGGCGAGAAAATATCTTCGCAACTGTGTACACAGAGAGAGACGACGAAGAAAGATTTTCAAGCTTCCAGAAGATGCATCCGATCAATGCGATGCTGTCGGCGAGGTTGTTGGCCGTCGTCGGGAATTCCAACGGCTTAGAAAGCGGAACGGTCCCGTTCGGATCGTTATGGTGGAGTATCTACGCCGGCGTCTCTTGTTTCCTCGTCCTCTTCGCCGGAATCATGTCCGGCCTCACTCTGGGCCTCATGTCTCTCGGTATCGTCGATCTCGAAATCCTCCAACGCAGTGGCACTCCTAAAGAGAAGAAACAATCAGGTGATTGATTGATTGATTCATCCTTCTCTTTGTGTATCTTTTCGTCCTCGGATAATTATATCCGAATCTGCTCTTGATTGAAATTCATGGAATTAACTGTTTGAATTTGGCTTTCATGGTGGAAAATCAGCTGCGATTTTTCCGGTTGTGCAGAAACAGCATCAGCTTTTAGTGACATTGCTCTTGTTCAATGCTCTTGCAATGGAGGTAAAATCTCATAATCAATTCCAAAGCTTTGTATGCTCTTTATGATGATGATGATTGAGACCTAAAAAAGAGGGCTTCACTTGTTGAAATCTGCAGGGGCTTCCTATATACTTGGATAAGATATTCAATGAGTATGTTGCAATTATCCTCTCGGTTACTTTCGTTCTCTTTGTAGGAGAGGTATGCTTCTCTTTCTTTCTTTCAACCTAATCTAAAAGTTTCTAACTTTTAAGGTTTTATCAAAGCTTTGAAACACTGTGTTTTCTCAGGTTATTCCTCAAGCTATATGCTCTAGGTATGGACTTGCAGTGGGGGCTAACTTGGTGTGGCTTGTCCGGATCTTAATGGTTCTCTCCTATCCGATATCGTTTCCGGTGGCGAAGATGTTGGATTGGGTGTTGGGACACGGTGACCCTTTGTTTAGGCGAGCTCAGTTGAAAGCTCTTGTATCAATCCACGGCGAAGCTGCTGGGAAAGGAGGTGAGCTTACACATGATGAGACCACGATCATAAGTGGAGCTCTTGATTTGACTGAGAAGACTGCTCGAGAAGCTATGACACCAATTGAATCGATCTTTTCCTTGGATGTGAATTCAAAGTTGGACTGGTAAGTTTGATTCTCAACTGTTGTAATATTATGAAAGTTTTTGTTTTCCTGTTATATCATTGTTCATCTATTATTGCACTGCTCATGTAGATTAAATTTATATGGTTTAGATGATTCTGAAACTCATGATTGGCACTCAATCTTGTAACTATCTCCATGGAACATAAATTTTGACTATGTAACTTGTCTTTGCTTGTGATTAATCTCATAGGGAAGCTATGGATAAGATTCAAACACGAGGACACAGCCGCGTTCCTGTCTACTCAGAGAATCCAAAAAATGTTATCGGACTTCTCTTGGTAGGTGTTGTTGACCATGTTTCAATGGTGTCATATCATGTTTTCTGCAAACTCTAATCAAGAAAATTCTTCTGTTTGTTAGGTGAAGAGTCTACTTACAGTGCGCCCTGAATCAGATACACTCGTCAGCGCAGTTGGTATACGCCGAATTCCAAGGTATTTCGGCTGCTCTCTTTTCCATTTTCTTCCCCTGAGCATCTCTCTCTCTAGGACGAAATTCTCATTGATGATAAATTGTTACAAGCAGGGTTCCGGCTGAGATGCCTTTGTATGATATACTGAATGAGTTTCAAAAAGGAAGCAGCCACATGGCTGCAGTTGTGAAAGTCAAGGAGAAAAGCAAAGTTCCTCTTTCAACTTTGCCTGAAGAAAACACTTACGAAAGCAATGCCGCCGCCGGCGAGTTGAGTGCACCTCTGTTACTAAAGCGAGAAGGGAACCAAGACAGTGTCGTCGTCGACATTGACAAGATTGATAGAGAATCTGTCTTGCCAAATAGCGAGGCCGGTAGACACGGGTTCTCACATACTTCAGAGGAGATTGAGGATGGGGAAGTGATTGGTGTCATCACATTGGAAGATGTGTTTGAGGAGCTTTTGCAGGAAGAGATTGTGGATGAGACGGATGAGTATGTAGACGTGCATAAAAGGATTCGGGTTGCGACTGTAGCGGCAGTGGCGATTTCATCGTTAGCTAGAGCTCCTTCAGGCCGGAGGTTACTTGGCCAAAAGAGTGTTGTAAGTAATCATAATGACTCTCTTGCTGAACAAATGGTTTGAGTGGAAAGATCTGTGTAGAGAGATAAAGAACTTGTTTTGTGTTTTTTGTTTTGCAGGGAGCACCAAAAACGCCAAAGGCGACTTCTACTTCTAAGCAAGATAAACCTGTGACTGGCTCTGTTCAAGGGAACAGCTGATGATTTTACAGATGTTCATTTTTTTAATTTTTTTTGGTTTTGGTTTAAGGTGTTCAGTTTTTGCTTGAAGATGTGAGAAATGAAAAAGAGTTTTAAAACTTAGATCGATTCTTGAGCACCTTATGCTAATTACATATGTATGATACATACGTGTAGGTATAATATATCATCTAGAACGTACATGGAGAACTTGTTTTACTCAGATTCTCTATTTATTTGTATATTCTTATCTTTATTTCCCATCTCCATCTTTATTCCATTAAGTTAAGCCAGTTTTTACATAAGTTGGTTACAAACGTGTTGGTTGATTTCTAGCACCCTTACCCAAAAACTCAGCCTGTACCTCTTCGATTTACATACACAACTTGATAGCTTTTACTTTTCTTGTAACAGATGTAAAAATCTTTGTTTGAAATTTACTATTTGGATTGTAACTAGTATTTAGAAATCTGATCAAAATAACAATGTTCAACATCATATTTGAGCTTTTGTATTTCTATTTCGAAAATATTTCCAAGTTTGTTAAGATATAATCCCATATGAAATTCAAAATCCTTTATGGTTAAGACATGATTTCGATTCAACTTTTTCGGATTTAGGCCGGACCGATGATGAACCTATGACCTGATCACTGTCCGGTCCGGGTCTGGCACTGAAATCCAGACGTAAAAGAACAGCTAAACCCGAGTAAACCCGTTAAACTCAATAAACCGAATTTCATTTTGTTTGCGTTCGTTCGTTTAACAAAAAGTCGAGTTTAGCAACCATAAGTCAGTAGCTATAATAACAAACTCTATTAATTAAACACAAACACAAACTGTAAAAATTATAGACAAAAGATAAGAAGGGAAGAAAAAAAAAAAGCTTCGGTGAAAACGTTGTCTAGAGTCTATTCAATTTATCCCCCTTGATAATCGGATTTTGGATAATTAAGTCGTTCATGGCGGCAGTTTTATAATCAGATGGACAAGAATGCTCCTCCGCGTAACGGTGAGAGCCGCAGAACACGTCGCCGCATCTACATTGAAACCCTAGCAACCCAACCTTCTTCATGCACGCCTTGCATCTACTACTACAACTCTTCTTCTTCTTTACCACAACCGCCTCCGTCGCCGTCACCTCTTGCGTCTCCTCCGCCACCACCGCTGTTTTCGTGTTTAAGCTCAAACTGGCCAAGTATCTGGCAGACTCATCTTTTAAGAAATCGTTGTAACACTTAGAACAGAGGTTCTTCGTCTGTGCCGTGCTGAAGAAGCCACATCCTTTAATGCAGAAAGAAGGCTCTCCTGTCATATTGTCTTGTGCTTTTTAATATTTATCCCTGCAACTTTTGTAAGTCTCTCTCTCTTTGTCTTTGTCTTCTAGTTTGGTTTGGCTCTAGAGTCTCGACAATATAATCTTTTATGCATGAAAATTTTGTATGTCTCAAATATATATAGAGCGTTTTAAAACATAATCAAAGTGCAATAACGATTACAATTCCTTATCCTTATCTAATTATAAGTGAACAAAAAACATAGACCATTATCCATTGTAATTATTAATTAATTAATATAAAGGTTTTTTAAAACTCTGACTAGGAGTGAAAATCGAGTAATAATAAGATTTACTCAGAGAAGGACTTTGCTTATTTTAGACTTCTAATAGCAAAAAAAAGAGGGAAGAGAGAAAAAGAGAGAGACGAGACCATAAGCTCTGAAGTCTGAACAATGCAGGATGCGAAAGACCAACGGGTAAAGTTGATTCCATGAGAACGTACATCGCTTGCATTTAAAGGCCTCTCTCCATTTATCTGACATTCAACGATTCTCATTAGCAAACTCATCAAAATATCAAACAAACATAGAAAGACAAGAAACCGGGACAAGTCTGAAACCTGCAGCTAATGGGATTCGGTTTAGTCCCCATTGTTGGTAGACTTGGGATTGGCTTCAACACGTTTCCCTTTGAATGAGAAGTTGAAACCCGAAGTAGTAGTAGTAGTAGTGGAGGTCGATACATGAGCAGACCCACCAAAACGTTTTGAAGCAAGATCAAAGCGTTCGATCATCCTTGCAACTCCAGCTAATCCTGCGTTCATCTCACGTTGCACTCCTTTGCTCAGTTCTTTCACCGAGTTGTTGCGTGCAAGAAGCTTCTCTTTAAGACCTTGTTTACTTTTAGAGATCGATTCTTTGTACCTGGAGGCAAGTCTCGATCAGTTACTATTCACCAACTTCTAAACAAATAGAGAGGGATTGAGATTTGACATACTTTGCGGAAGCAGCAGCTAGTTTGGATTTAATGGCTTCCGGAAGAGAGGATGCTTTAGATGGATCTGGACTTTGAGATGAGCTAGATGGAGAACGTCCAGGGAAGATTCTGATTACAGATACAAGAAAAGATGAAGATATGTTACATAGGGCCTTGAGCATTATCCAAGAAGAAGCTGCCTAATGTACAAAAATCCACCTAACCAGTAACTAAGTGAAACAGGAGATATAAGAGCATCTTCTACACTATGCAGCCTTGTCCCAATTATACATATCTTTTGGAGACAACGTAAGCAAATAGAAACCACATAAATCAAGAAAACTGGTTCTAGATAAACCAGGAAGAAAAAGTTTCAATTTTTTTAATTGATTTTGTGAATGTCAATACCTGGTTCCGTTGCTGCTATCTGGAGAAGGAACAGAAGAGTGGCCAGAGGCAGGAGACGGGGTCGTTAAGCCAGGACTCAGACCAGGGTTTGTGTTTATGATAGCAGAGATGTGATCAATATTGGTAGTTGAATCATTGGACGAAACAAGACTTGAGGATATTGGAGCCTCCCTTCTGCGAAGCAAACAACGCATATGAGCAGCTTCAGTGAGATGCCTCAAGAATTGTTCATCAAAGCTGCTAAACTGTGATTCCTCCTGATAAAAAAAAGAAAACATATTTTCATTGTCTAGTCAACTGCTAAAACCCAGAACTCTTCAATTTGATAAACCACAATTGGATGCTTTTTTCGAACCTCATCTGAGTGATAATCCTCATGAGAGTGATGAATGGATCTTGGAGAGGATGAAGAAATGTTCCTTGTTTTCATCAGTCTTTCCTTTTCCACAGCAGACAAAAGCTCTTGGCTACAAAATATCAACCAATGCTATTATCAAAACCAAATCTTTCCTGATAACATTAATCAGTAAAAACTAAGTTGATGATTGATTACCTAACAGGATCTTTCAGAACAAACAATTGCCAGCAAATAGGACACTCTTTGCTTCTCTGTGACCTGTGTAAAACCCCAAATTACTAATCAGTGACTCTAATAGATGAACACAAGCACAATATTCAAATCTATACAAAACTATAATGTAAAATAAGATCACCATTCACCAATTGTTTCAACAACTGAATGTGACAACAAATACATAAAAGTACCATTCAATGATGCACTGAAGGTGATATTCATGTTTGCAACTGGTAACCTGAGAATTTCAAAACCATCGGCAGATTAGATATATGAACATCCGAAAAATTAAACAACATTGAAAGATTTTATCTTAAGATTCGAAATGGGCAGATGAGAAAGCGTCAAAGCGATCATGCACAAATGATCGATTACAATCAGATGATTTCGTATAAAGGAAGAAGAATCCCATATCCATAATCGAATTAACCCAGGTTTCAAGCAAAGGGATAACGAGATCGTAAAACCCTTCAAGAGCAGTCAAATGCAGAATACGAAAAGAGAGGAAGAGAGAGAAGATATTAGATAGAATCTCACAGTGGCAGGATCCTGGAGAGTGAAAGACTCGAGACAGATGCTGCAAGCGTCGTCGGTATCATCATCGGAGGCTGCGACGAAGGCGGTGGAAGAAGAAGAAGAACCAATGGCGGGATTAAAAGGGGACTCAGATAATTTGAAAGCAGAATTGTAAGTGAAAGTAGACATTGTTGAAGCGAATGAATGATGAGCGAAGATGAGGATGAAGAAGAAGGTGAGGATTGAGATCAAGAGCCAAGAGGAGGAGGAAGAAGAAGATGGGTGGTGATCAAAAAGAAGACTGACAAGTCAAAGCAAAGAATAATGAGGAGTAAAGTTCGATTCGACTGTTCGTTCTACTTTTACCTTTTCTTTCTCAATTTTAATTTAAAGTTTGTTACAAATTATATGACTATTGGGCTTTGCTTGGCCCGTTAAGTCCACAAGTTAAAGATTATACGTTTATTTCACCTTATCGTTGAGAAGCAAAACTCGTTTCAATTTTAGCTAATTTGGTCATTATTCTTAACAAAACGCAAACATATTTTTTAATAAATTATTTATGTGGTAACTAATCTATCTCTTTCACAACCATAGAGCCGTGGTGGTCTGAAAACCACTCAAGGCCTCCATTTTGTCATCGGCTACTTCCACTAGCCCTCCTCTCTTCTTCTTCTTCTTCTTCTTCTTCCTGCGTCTCCTGCTTTTTCCTCAGAAGTGCTCGCTGTGTGAGATACTTGGAGACTGAAAAACCCTTTAAAATCAAGTACGCTTTCTTCTTGTTGTCAATTATGTGTTTCAGACACAAACTTTTTGTCTTAATTGCTGAGATCATTGTTTCCCCTACAACTCTCAGACACTCTTTACCTTCTTTTGGGTTTTTGTAAATTCTCTTCTTTTATGGCTTTTCAGATTCTTCATTTCTTTGAAGCAGTTGTGAAATGGTTGTGTTTGGGAATGTTTCTGCGGCGAATTTGCCTTATCAAAACGGGTTTTTGGAGGCAATTTCATCCGGAGGCAGCGAATTAATGGGACACAGCTTCCGAATCCCGACTTCTTCTCAAGCACTTAAGTCAAGAACAAGGAGGAAGAGTGTTGGTCCTTTGCAGGTGTCTGTCTAGTCCTTGCTTGAAAATTCTCGAAATTTTAATGTAATGGTTGTTAATGATTAGAGAATATTTTTTTTGGTTTTGTCTTGTGGTTAGGTAGTTTGTGTGGATATTCCAAGGCCGGAGCTAGAGAACACAGTAAATTTCTTGGAAGCTGCAAGTTTGTCTGCATCTTTCCGTAGTGCTCCTCGTCCTGCTAAGCCTTTAAACGTTGTAATTGCTGGTGCTGGTATGTCTCAAATCATATAATCTCTGTTATGATGATTAATTTTGTTCATTATGTTTTGCAATTTGATGTGATTAAGCTTTATTGCAGGATTGGCTGGATTGTCAACTGCAAAGTACTTGGCTGATGCAGGCCATAAACCTCTGTTGCTTGAAGCCAGAGATGTTCTTGGTGGAAAGGTATTTTCGTTTAGTCTCACTGTTTAATGTAATTTGTAATTGGTAATCAAATTTTGCCATCTACCTTTCTCATTTGAGATAATCTATTAACGATGTGAAAATATGTGTTCCTCCAGATAGCTGCATGGAAGGATGAAGATGGAGATTGGTATGAAACCGGTTTACATATATTTTGTAAGTTTCAAATTCATAACCTCTCCACTGCTCCACCAAATGTTATATTATAAGTTTCTCACTAGACGGATTTAAATTTACATGTGATTTACAATTTTTACCTCAGGCTCTGATGTTTCTGTTATCAAATTACAGCATAAGCATTTAGGCTTCAATATAATAGTAACAAGTTTGCTTAAAGCTTTTCACTTTATTATCTTGCACCCATTCTGAAATGTGCTCAATGAGATCAGCAAGAAAGATCCCTCCCTTTTTAGCCGATGTACCATTAGTTTGAATAAAGATGTAAAACAAAGAATTATGGTTGACTGATCATTTTCATGTATTTTCTTATCTTAAAGTGAAGTTCTTGACTTCTTTTTCCCTTGATTCATTTCATATTCTTGCTGGAAGTCGGTGCTTATCCGAATGTGCAGAACTTATTTGGAGAACTTGGGATCAATGACCGGTTGCAGTGGAAAGAACACTCCATGATCTTCGCCATGCCAAGTAAACCTGGAGAATTTAGTAGATTTGATTTCCCAGATGTCCTACCAGCACCCTTGAACGGTGAGAGGATAAACTTATAGCATATTCTCATCTTCTAACCAGCTAACTACTTCAAGTTGCTTGAACTTTTAAAAATGAAATATCTTGTGCAACAAGTGCTTGATTTGTAAGTTGATGGCACCATAGGTTTGGTTTGAAAAGGTTTGGCAATATGCAAACATGTGTTGAATATGTTGGATGTAAAATAAATTTTGATATAATTAAGAAGAAAGCTAGGTTAGTAACTGTTTGCATATTCTCCAAGAGTAAGGAGTCTAGTTTTGAGCTTCCATGAAATCATCCAACTGCAAAATTTGTTATTGGTCAAAGCAAGATGATAGAATTGAACTATGCTTGTTTCTGTCAGATCTTTCAAGTTGTTGCTGTTGGATTTATTTTGTAGGTATATGGGCTATTTTGCGGAACAACGAGATGCTGACATGGCCAGAGAAAATTAAGTTTGCTATTGGACTTTTGCCAGCTATGGTCGGCGGCCAGGCTTATGTCGAGGCCCAAGATGGTTTGTCAGTCAAAGAATGGATGCAAAAGCAGGTAAAGTAGGCTCATTTGAGTTCACATTTCTTGTGAGATTTTTGTAACCATGTTGATCAACTTGCTTTGCTTTAGTGTTTTTCTTTGTAAGCTTTCTTATGGTTAGCTCTGCCTTTTCAAGTTCACGTGGTTGTTTTTTGCTTATGATGAATTTGTATATTTCGTTCAGGGAGTACCTGAGCGCGTGACCGACGAGGTGTTTATTGCCATGTCAAAGGCGCTAAACTTTATAAACCCTGATGAACTGTCAATGCAATGCATTTTGATAGCTCTAAACCGGTTTCTTCAGGTTTTATTTCTCTTCCTTCTTCCTTTTCGCCTGTCTTGAGTGTATCTTTATTCCAATCATCAGATGTTTTCTCATATCCACCTTGATACTTATGGTGTGTCATAAGCTGCAACAGTTTGGTTTAGGGTTTTGAGGATTTGCTAATGCAAAAGCATAGAAACTGCAATGACAGGAAAAACATGGTTCCAAGATGGCATTCTTGGATGGTAACCCTCCGGAGAGGCTTTGTATGCCAATTGTGGATCATATTCAATCACTAGGTGGGGAAGTACGGCTTAATTCCAGGATAAGGAAAATCGAGCTCGAGGATGATGGTACGGTTAAGAATTTCTTACTCACTGATGGAAGCACTATCCAAGGAGACGCTTATGTGTTTGCCGCTCCAGGTTCACTTCTACGCTCTCTATGTGGATATACAATATTCCATCTGGTCCTCCTTCTTGGTTCCTCCTGCTTCATATTGATGTTTATGTTTCTTTCGTGTAGTCGATATCCTGAAGCTCCTTTTGCCGGATTCTTGGAAAGAGATACCATACTTCAAGAAATTGGAGAAGTTAGTTGGTGTGCCTGTTATTAACGTTCATATATGGTTAGTGAGACCAATACCTCTCATGTCTCTTTTCTTTGGTGTGAGATCACATGTGGGTCTTAAGTAAGTGCTGTAAACTAATATCGCAGGTTTGATCGAAAACTACAGAACACATATGATCACTTACTCTTTAGCAGGTCAATTTCTTATCAGAGCAGTTTCAAAGCATTTCTATTCATAGAAATGAATCAAGAACAGTAATGGCTCGTTCTTGGTTAAATTTTATTATATTTTCAACAATCTTGTCTTGTTTTTTTCCATTTGCAGAAGTAACCTTCTCAGTGTATATGCCGATATGTCATTAACTTGTAAGGTAAAGAATGCAACTCTTGTCAAGTTAGTTATGTTTCTCTACTATATAATAAGGTCATAAGAGATCACAACTTGGTGCAATTTTCAAAAGTATTTCTCTGTATTAAACTGTAGGAGTATTACGATCCGAACCGGTCGATGCTGGAGCTAGTCTTTGCACCAGCAGAGGAATGGATATCAAGGAGCGACTCTGATATCATCGATGCAACGATGAAGGAACTCGAGAGACTCTTCCCTGACGAAATCGCATCTGACCAGAGCAAAGCTAAGATTCTCAAGTACCATGTCGTTAAAACTCCAAGGTTAGATACGTTTACATGCCAAAACTCAAATCTTGGATTGGAATGTCCCATTTATTGAGCTTCAAGCGAGTCACACAATATCTCTCTCTCTCTCACTCAGGTCTGTGTATAAGACAATACCAAACTGTGAACCATGTCGTCCGCTACAGAGATCTCCTATTAAAGGATTCTACTTAGCTGGAGATTACACTAAACAGAAGTACTTAGCTTCCATGGAAGGAGCTGTTCTCTCTGGCAAATTCTGCTCACAGTCTATTGTCCAGGTAATCTAACAATTTTAACTTGCTAAATATGTTAACCTGTGACCCTGTATTTGGTATATGATCCGGTTTTGTCCCGGTAATATTGGTTTAGTCTGAATTGTTCAAGTTTGGTTACTGACTTCTTCAGGATTACGAGCTACTGTCTGCGTCTGGACCGCGAAAGTTGTCGGAGGCGACTGTATCAACATGAGAGAAGAGGAAGCTTTTAAGGTCACTGCCCCAATTTCCCTTTAAGCTTACAGGTGGTTTTGTAACTTTTGTGTGTGCAAGCCTCATTACAAGACAAAGTTACAGGATTGGCAAACGAAAACAACTTATTGACTGTAAAAAAGAATTATCAGTATAAAATACAGTAACTGCTTTCTGCATTGTATACGCAAGAAATGTAAAATGATTATTTAAACTGAATTTATGTTCAATATTTTAGCAGCATTCGATTCTTTAAAAAAAATCAGAACAATGAGTTTGAGTAAATATAATTAGATCACCGATCCAAATTTATAAAGCAAAAGAAAAGCTTAATCCAGCTTACTCTGTTTATCAAAACAAGTAAGATAGAATCATAGAAACAACCAAACTTTAATAATAAACTAACATTAAACTAAGATAGACTCAAAACAACATCACCAAAAGTCATTAAACTAACCTCCTTTTCTAAATGCGAACCAAACTTGGAACATAAGTGAGGAGAAGTGGCCAATTGAAAGAAGACCCTTTTCCAATCTCTTTGTAAACTTGTTTATACATATCTTCTCCAACAATGCAGATTCTTGTAATGCAGTTCCTATATTCATCTTCATAGTCCATATCACAACACACTGCCACTTTATTCTCTTCGTCCAACAAGAAGCTTGACACATTCACCAAACTTTGTAACCCAAATTTACGATAATCCACCTCTAACACGGACACGCTCCTCCAAGACAAGTCTTTGTCTTCATCATCAACCTTATTGGTCACCCAAATCTTCACCACACACGAAGACTGTTGAATATCCAGATGTAAAACCGAGAGTTTTTCGTCCCTAACAACAGATATTGGAGCCGAAAGTTCATGGGGAAAGCTGTGTGAGGGAAGAGAGAGACGCACAAACTTCTCTGTTGTGAAATCAAACTTCATCACGAAAAGACCAGTTCCTTTATATCCATAAACCCAGTAAGTGTTTCCTTTCAAAGACACTCCGTGTCTAAATATGCAATCGTAACGAGTTAAGTTATCAAGAACCCTCCAAGAACCAGAGCTAAGATCATACATCTCAAACGCAACCTTGACACTCTGCTCGTTTCCGTGATAGAAACACCTCAAGATCTTGTGGCTATGGGGAGAAGAAGAGGAAGAAGAATGAGGCCTTTTGCTGTTGTTTGCGTATCCTAGAGCATAGGTATCTTCAATCCGGTAACGAGTTCTGGGTTTGATCTCCCTCGTTTGACCTGTACAGGGATTCCAAATCACAAGTCTAGTGTTTCGTTGAGTGGAGCATAATATCAAACCGTCGCAGTGAAATATTTGAGATATTTCCACATCCTTTTCTTCTAGATCCTTCTTTAGATAACTAAGTTTACCGGAAAAAAGAATAGATCGATCATCGCCGGTACTGTTGTGAATTCCATGCAGATCGTCACCGGTTGAATAAACCCCATACTTACGTAGTATCATAGACTCCCTTACTGATTTACCCAACTTCTTGTTCTTTCTGACAAAACTTTCATCTCTGAACAAAGTGTACCATCGTTTGCAAATAGTTTCCGATTTCGCTAGAGACTTGGCCGGAACCCTAGCGAGTATTTCCCATTCCAGATCGTGAGGAAGATCGGAAATCTTCATTGTCAAGACTCAAGAACCTCAAGAGATTGTAAAGAGGTTTCTTGTTCATTAAGGTACAAAGGCAATAGCCTTATATACAAGTATGTCAAGGTTTACATTGTTCTAACCTAATCTATGTTGTTATATCAACGATAAACGTAACACGATGGCCCAATAGGCCCACTGATCGAGAAACAACATCCTGTTTACTTGTCTTCCAAGAAATTGGCGAACCTCCATGGAAAGGAATCAAGAACAGTAATGGCTCGTTCTTGGTTAAATTTTAACCATATTTTCAACAATCTTGTCTAGTTTTTTTTCATTTGCAGAAGTAACCTTCTCAGTGTATATGCCGATATGTCATTAACTTGTATGGTAAAGAATGCAAAATAGTGGTGTTTCTCTACTATATATATATATATATATAAGATCATAAGAGATCACAACTTGGTGTACTTTTGAAAAAAACTTCTCTTTGTGTTAACTGTAGGAGTATTACGATCCTGACCGGTCGATGCTAGAGCTAGTCTTTGCACCAGCAGATGAATGGATATCAAAGAGCGACTCTGATATCATCGATGCAACAATGAAGGAACTCGAGAGACTCTTCCCTGACGAAATCGCATCTGACCAAAGCAAAGCTAAGATTCTCAAGTACCATGTCGTTAAAACTCCAAGGTTAGACACGTTACATGCCGAAACTCAAATCTTGGATTAGAATGTCCCATTTCTTGAGCTTCAAGTGAGTCACACAATATCTCTCTCTCTCTCTCTCACTAAGGTCTGTGTATAAGACAATACCAAACTGTGAACCATGTCGTCCGCTACAGAGATCTCCTATTAAAGGATTCTACTTAGCTGGAGATTACACTAAACAGAAGTACTTAGCTTCCATAACATAACATGATTGCATAATTTGCATTAAAATAACAAGATTTGAAGTTAAAAGTGGCTACATAAAAGCAGAACAATGAATTTTGAGTAAATATGATTAGATCACCAGACTAAATTTATAAAACAAAAGAAAAGCTTAATCCAGCTTACTCTATTTATCAAAAATATTTACATAGAAACAACCAAAGTTTAATAATTGACTCGAAACAGCATCACCAAAACAAGAAGAAAGACATTAAACTAACCTTCTAAATGCGAACCAAACTTGGAACATAAGTGAGGAGAAGTGGCCGATTGAAATAAGATCCTATTGTTGTCTCTTTGTAAACTTGTTTAAACATATCCTCTCTAACAATGTAGATTCTGCTCCTATATTCATCATCCAGATCTATATCACAACACACTGCCACTTTAGTCTCCTCGTCAAACAAAAAGCTCCTCACGCTCACCATTCTTTGTAACCCAAATTTACCAAAATCCACAACTAACACGAACTCGCTCCTCCAAGACAAGTCTTTGTCTTCATCATCAACCTTATTGGTCACCCAAATCTTCATCACACTCGAAGAATCTTGAATATCCTGACGTAAAACCGAGAGTTTATCGTCCTTAACAAGAGATAGAGGAGCCGTTTTTTTATGGGGAAAGCTCTGAAAGGGAAGAGACAGACGCACAAAATTCTCTGTTGTGAAATCAAACTTCATCACGAAAAGACCTGTTTCTGCTTCTCCACAAAGCCAATAAGCATTTCCTTTCAAAGACATTCCATAGCTGTATATATCATAGCCACGGGTGAAGTTATCAAGAACCCTCCATGTACCAGAGCTAAGCTCATACATCTCAAACTCTGAAACCGTGACACTCTTATCCTTTTTATAATAGGAACACCTCAAGATTTTGTAGCTACGGGACGATTTGCCGTCGTTTACGTACCCTAGACCATATGTATCTACACTCCGGTAACAAGTTCTGGGTTTGATCTCCCTCGTTTGACCGGTACAAGGGTTCCAAACCACAAGTCTAGTGTTTCGTTGAGTGGAGCATAATATCAAACCGTCGCAGTGAAAGATTTTAGATATTTTCAAATCCTCTTTTGGATCCTTCTTTAGACTGCTAAGTTTACCGGAAAACTCAATAGATCTACCAACGCCGGTGTTGTAAAGTCCGTGGAGATCCTCGCCGATTGAATAAACCCCATACTTACGTAATAGCATCGACTCCCTTACTGATTTACCCAACTTATTGTTCTTTCTGACGAAACTTTCATCTCTGAACAAAGCGCACCATCGTCTGCAAGTAGTTTCCGATTTAGCTAGAGACTTGGCCGGAACCCTAGCGAGTATTTCCGATTCCAGATCGTGAGGAAGATCGGAAATCTTCATTTTCAAGAACCTCAAGGGATTGTAAAGAGGTTTCTTATTCATCACGGTACAAAGGCAATATAACAAGAGAGATTAGGTTAAATCAATGTAACCTTTCTATACACGTTCCCGATGGCCCAATAGGCCCACTGATCGAGAAACAACATCCTGTTTACCTGTCTTCCAAGAAATAGGCGAACCACCAAGTTAGATAAACCATCCCTACGTGTTAAGGGACACGCAGCTTAACCCGAGTCACACCAAGTGGTAAGAGTGGTTAGTTGGAGTGCGAGTTATCAACGTTCGTACATGGTTAGTGAGACCGATATACATCTCATGTATTTACGTCTTATAGAATATATGTACTTACCTGAACTCAGCAATAAAATAAAGAATTTTTTCCATTAATGCTTGACTTTTTATCGATAATTTGAAGTGTTTAGTAATCGGCACCACTAAAGACTTGTTCTTGGTTAATCTTTTGATGTATGTTCAACAATTTTTAGGAGTGTATATGCTGACATGTCTTTAACTTGCAACGCAAGAACACACTCTTCTCTTTCTAAACGTGTTGCTCTACTATACTATATATGTATCACTCACAACTGGGTGCACCGTGGAGGTTCTCAAATTATATCACTCACACATTTTGTTGGCTTATCATGATTTCCTATCTGATTCGACACTATATATATATTCTCCTAGTGGTTACATGATTTGCATTATCATCTCCAAGATCAAAATGACTGGAGGTTAAAAGTGTCTATAAAAGCAGAACAATTGTATTCGAGTAGAGATGATTAGATCACTATGATGATTAGATCACTGATCCAACTTCAAAAGCAAAAGAAACGCTTAATCAAGTTTCTCTGTTTATCAACTAAATAGAAACAAGCTCATGGTTCCAAAGGAACATCACCACCAATACCGGAAGAAAGAAAGAAAGAGAAAACCAGAAGAAAGAAAGAAAAAGAAACTAAGAAAACCAGAAGAAAGGCATTAAACTAATCTCCTTTTCTTTTTCCTTTTGGGTTCTTTTTCTGAATGTGAACCAAACTTGGAACATAAGTGAGGATAAATGGGTAACATAAACTCTTTCTATTGTAAACTTGTTTATACATATCCTCTCCAACAATGTAGATTCTGGTAGTCCATTTACTATATTCACCATCCCAGTATAAATCACAAAACACTGCCACTTTATTCTCCTCGTCCAACAAGAAGCTTGTCAGAATCCCCGCAGTTGTAAACCCAAATTTACAAAAATCCACAACTAACACGAAGTCGCTCCTCCACGTTAAGTCTTTATCCTCCTCGTCAATCTTATTTGTCACCCAAATCTTTATTCCATTCGAGAAATCAACAGCATAACTATGTAACACGGAGAGTTTTTCATCCTTAACAACTGATAAAGCAGTATCTCGAGGGTGAAAAATCTGAAAGGGAAGAGAGAGACGCACAAATCTCTCTGTTGCGAAATCAAACTTCATCATGAAAAGACCCGTTTCTTCAGCTTCAGCAACCCAATAAGTATTTCCTTTCAAAGACATGTCTGTGTTATATTTATATGTAGCATAGTCACCCCTCAAGTTATCATCAAGAACCCTCCATGAACCGGAGCTAAGGTCATACATCTCAAACTCTGCAACCTTGACAATTTTTCTCGTTGAAATAATAATAACACCTCAAGATTTTGTAGCTACGGAAAGATTTTCTGTTGTTTGCGTATCCTAGGGCATATGTATCTTCACTCCGGTAACGAATTCTGGGTTTGATCTCCCTCGTTTGACCTGTACAAGGGTTCCAAATCACAAGTCTAGTGTTTCCTTGAGTGGACCATAATATCAAACCGTCGCAATCAAAGATTTGAGATATTTTCAAATCCTCTTCTGGATCTTTCTTTAGACTGCTAAGTTTACCGGATAACTCAATAGATCGATCAACGCCGGTGTTGAAAATTCCGTGGAGATCCTCGCCGATTGAATAAACCCCACGATTACTCAGAAACATCGACTCCCTTACTGATTTACCCAACTTATTGTTCTTTCTGACGAAACTTTCATCTCTGAACAAAGCGTACCATCGTTTGCAAGTAGTTTGCGATTTCGCTAGACACTTGGCCGGAACCCTAGCGAGTATTTCCGATTCCAGATCGTGAGGAAGATCGGGAAACTTCATTGTCAAGAACCTTCAGAAATTGTAAAGAGGTTTCTTGTTCATTACGGTTCTACGAATGTCAAGGGTTGATTAACCTAATCTCTATATTAACAATACATACGATGGCCCAATAAGCCCAATATTAGTTGGAGTGCCAGTTATTAACCTCTCATTTATTTTGATGCATTTGCCTGTTTAAGCTCTATTTTGTGCACAACCCTCGTTTCAAGACAAACGGCAATTTTGTACTCAATATATCGAATCACTAGGGCATATTTAACTTGCATTAAAATAAGATACGTGATTATAAGTTCTCAAGATCAAATCATATGAAGTTAAAAGTGGGGCTATACAGAAGCAGAACATTTGTATATGAGTATAGATAATTAGATCACTGATCCAAATTTGGTGCATTTTTAAAGTATTTCTCTTTGTATTAAACTGTAGGATTATTACGATCCTAACCGGTCGATGCTAGAGCTAGTATTTGCACCAGCAGAGAAATGGATATCAAGGAGCGACTCTGATATCATCGATGCAACGATCAAGGAACTCGAGAGACTCTTCCCTAACGAAATCGCAGATGACCAAAGCAAAACTAAGGTTTTCAAGTACCATGTCGTAAAAAATCCAAGCTACTGGCCGCGTCAGGACCGCGAACGTTGTCGGAGGCAAGTGTATCAACATGAGAAGATGAAGCTTTTAAGGTCGTTTCCATTTGCCTGTAAGCTTACATGTTATTTGGCAACTTTTGTGTACAAACCTCATTTCAAGACAAAGTTAAAAGGGGATTGGCAAACGATAAACAATTTCTTGTAAAATAACATTGAAATAGCTAATGATTTTGACTCAAAAGAACAAACATCACCACCAAAACAACAAGAAACCATCGCACAAACTTCTCTGTTGTGAAATCAAACTTCATCATGAAAAAACCGGTTTCTTCATCTCCAGCAACCCAATAAATATTTCCTTTCAAAGACATGCCTAAGCTGTATATGTCATAGTCACGAGTGAAGTTGACAAGAACCTTCCATGTATCAGAGCTAAGATCATACATCTCAAACTCAGCAACCCTAACTCCGTCTTCGTTTTTATAACAGTAAAGACCTCAAGATTTTGTAGCTATGGCAAGAAGAAGAAGAAGATTTGTTGCTGTTTACGTAATCCATCATTTACAAGTAGTTTGCGATTTCGCTAGACACTTGGCCGGAACCCTAGCGAGTATTTCCGATTCCAGATCGTGAGGAAGATCGGAAAACTTCATTGTCAAGAACCTCAAGTGATTGTAAAGAGGTTTCTTGTTCATTACGCTACAAAGGCAATGGCCTTATATACGAGAATGTCTAAGGTTACATCGATCTAACCTAATCTCTATATTAACAACACATACGATGGCCCAATAGGCCCAAATATTAGTTGGAGTGCCGCCAGTTATTAACCTCTCATATATTTCTTCTTCTGCCATTTTGGTGTGTGACTGTGTGAGCACATGTAGGTCGTCTCAACTTCTGTGAACAAATAATAATATCATAGATTCGTAGGTTTGATCGAAAACTTCAGAATCCATATGATCGATCACATACTCTTTAGCAGGTCAATTAATTTCTTATTTAATCAGTTTTGAGGCATTTGCCTGTTTTAGCTCTACTTTGTGTACAACCCTCAGTCCTCACGTTAAAGGATTTGCATACGAAAACAATATATTGGTTGTAAAGAATAAATATACGTGTAGGCATGTCATGTTTCATATAGAAAAACAGTTAGTAAAAAATAGATATGAGAATTGCCCAAAATAATTCCATATTCAAAAAATTTGAGCCTAGAGGCATTCAATTCTAAAAAATCGACGTATAAATAATTTGGAATACAGCTAAGAATTGTATTGGAGAGCTCTACCACTACCAGGTTCGAGTTAACAACAATCTAATATGTTACTCGAGCAATTTGTACTCAGCATATCGAATCACTAGGGCATAACTTGCATTAAAATAAGATTCTGCTTTACGTGATTACGTTAAAGGATTTGCATACGAAAACAATATATTGGTTGTAAAGAATAAATATACGTGTAGGCATGTCATGTTTCATATAGAAAAACAGTTAGTAAAAAATAGATATGAGAATTGCCCAAAATAATTCCATATTCAAAAAATTTGAGCCTAGAGGCATTCAATTCTAAAAAATCGACGTATAAATAATTTGGAATACAGCTAAGAATTGTATTGGAGAGCTCTACCACTACCAGGTTCGAGTTAACAACAATCTAATATGTTACTCGAGCAATTTGTACTCAGCATATCGAATCACTAGGGCATAACTTGCATTAAAATAAGATTCTGCTTTACGTGATCAAAATTGCTCCAAGATCACATCATTTGAAGTTAAATGTGGCTTTATAAAAGCAGGACAGTTGTATTTGAGTAAAGATGATTAGATCACTGATCCAAATTTCAAAAGCAAAATAAAATCTTAAGCTCTTGGTTCAAAAGAACATCACCATCAAAACCAGAAGAATGAAAGAAATAAACTAAGAAAGAAAAAAAAAAAAAAAAAACAGAAGAGAGTCATTAAATTAAACTAATCTTCTTTTCTTTTGCCTTATGGGTTTATGTGTCTGAATGCGAACCAAACTTGGAACATAAGTAAGGAGAAGTGGTCGCAGGCAACGAAGTCTTCTTGGAGTCTCTATGTAAACTTGTTTAAACATATCCTCTCCAGCAATGTAGATCCTGGTACTGTAGTTCCAAGATTCATCATCATCGGAGACTAAATCACAACACACTGCCACTTTATTCTCCTCGTCCAACAAGAAGCTTGACACCCTCACCACACTTGGTAACTCAAACTTATACAAATCCACCTCTAACACAAAGTCGCTCCTCCAAGACAAGTCTTTGTCTTCATCATCAACCTTATTGGTCACCCAAAATTTCATCAGAACCGGAAAGTCTTGAACATCCTGATGTACAACCGAGAGTTTTTCGTCCTTAACAACAGATAGAGGAGCCGAAAGTTCATAGGTAAAGCTCTGAAAGGGAAGCGAGAGACGCACAAACTTCTCTGTTGTGAAATCAAACTTCATCAAGAAAAGACCCGTTCCTAAATCTCCAACAGCCCAGTAAGTATTTCCTTTCAAAGACATTCCGTATCTAAATTCGCGATAGTCACCAGTTAAGTCATCAAGAACCCTCCAAGAACCAGAGCTAAGATCATACATCTCAAACGCAGCAACCTTGACACTCTGCTCGTTTTCGTGATAGAAACACCTCAAGATCTTGTGGCTATGAGAAGGAGGTGGAGAAGAAGAAGAAGGAGGCTTGTTGCTGTTTACGTATCCTAACGCATAGGTATCATCTTCCCGGTAAAAAGTTCTAGGTTTGATCAGCCTCCTTTGACCGGTACAAGGGTTCGAAATCACAAGCCAATTGTTTCCTTCAGTTGAGCATAATATCAAACTGTCGCAGGTATAGATTTGAGATATTTTCTTGATTTCTTTTGTATCCTTCTTTAGATAACAAAGTTTACTGGGAAACTCGATAGATGGATCAACGCTGGTTCTGTTGTGAATTCCATGCAGATCGTCACCGGTTGAACAAACCCAAAAATTACTCTGTAATATTGACTCCCTTACTGGTTTACTCATCTTTTTGTTCCTTGTGATGAAATTTTCATCTCTGAATAAAGCGTACCATCGTTTGCAAGTAGTTTCCGATTTCGCTAGACACTTGGCCGGAACCCTAGCGAGTATTTCTGATACCAGATCGTGAGGAAGATCGGAAATCGTCATTAAAGTTGTGAAAAGGTTTTTTATTCATTACGGTACAAAGGCAATATAGCCCTTATACACAAGAATGTCAAGGTTACATTGATTTAACCTAATACAATGGCCTTATGTACACGATGGCCCAATAGTGTTGGATTTAATTGAGTTTAGTCTTAATGTTTCTAAGTTAGAATAAAGTATCTATTAAACTTTGTCTTTCTAAATTCGTACTTTTGGTTTAGGGTGTGTTAAGACACAAACTCTTTGTGTTGTTGTCTTAGTATTTAAACTCATGTAACACGTTATGTAACAATCAACAAGTGTCAGATTAATAAAACACAATTCCTCGTAAATCTTCTTCTTCAAGACAAGAGATACACTCTTATCTCTTGCTCTGTTTTGTCTCATCTTTTCTCTCTCTCTTTCTAAATTAAAATTCAACAAATAGGCCCACTGATCAAGAAACAACATCGTGTTTACGTGTCTTCCAAGAAATAGGCAAACCATCCCGTTAGAGATCCACGTGTTTAGGGACACGCAGCCCATCAGAGTCACACTAAGTGGTAAGATTGGTTAGCTAATTGGAGTGCGAGTTATTAACGTACATGGTTACTTGGTTAGTGAGAGTGTGAGACCGATGTTACTTCTCATGTATTTACGTCGTAAAGAATACTTACTTGAACTCAGTCTTAAAATAAAGAATATATAGAACAAGTGTTTAGTATTGAATCAGCACCGCTAAAGATTTGTTCTTGGTGAAACTTTTGATGTATGTTGAACAATCTTGTTTTGGTGGTTTTTTTTGCAGAAGTAACCTTCTGAGTGTATATGCTGGCATGTCTTTAACTTGTGACGCAAGAATACAGTCTTCTCTTTCTAAACGTGTTCCTCTAATATATTATACATAGTGCACCATGGAAGTTATTATTTAAGATTTTTTACAATTTCTAATGTGGAATATAATAAGTAAAAACCGTATGCCTAATGTATATTTAATATAAGGTAAAACACGTGAAAAAAAAAATACTTTAGGGGTTATTAGGAGATGAATTTACAATTTTACATAGAGTCCCATATTGTAATTAACCACTCTTAAGATAACTCTTTGTCTGCCTCATCAACCTTGTTGGTCACCCATATCCTCATCACATTCGAAAACTCAATAATGTTCTGATGTAACACGGAGAGTTTTTTATCCTTGACAACAGATAGAGCAGCGGTGTCTTCAAGATTAAAACTCTGAAAGGGAAGAGAGAGACGCACAAACTTCTCTGTTGTGAAATCAAACTTCATCAAGAAAAGACCCGTTTCTTTATCTCCATAAACCCAATAAGTGTTTCCTTTCAAAGACATTCCATCGCAAAATATGCGATAGTTACGAGTGAAGTTATAAAGAAACCTCCATGAGCCAGAGCTAAGGTCATACATCTCAAACTCTGCAACTGTGGCACTCTTATCCTTTTTATAACAGGAACACCTCAAGATTTTGTAGCTACTGAAAGATTTGCTGTCGTTTACGTATCCTAGAGCATATGTATCGTCACTCCCGTAGCAAGTTCTGGGTTTGATCTCCCTCGTTTGACCTGTACAAGGGTTCCAAATTAAAAGTCCAGTGTTTTTATATACAGAAAAACAATTAATATAAAATAGAGTAATTTCACTCTATTTTAGAGCCTAGCTAGAGGCATTCAGTTCTAAAAAATCGACATTAAAATAATTTGGAATAGCTAGCAATTGTATTGGAGAGCTCTACCAATACCAGGTTCAAGTTCATTTATAACAATCTAACATGTTACTCGAGAAATTTCTACTCAATATATCGAATCACTCGGGCATAACTTGCGTTAAAATAAGATTCTGCTTTACTGTGATTATAATTTCTCCAAGATCAAATCATTTAAGGTTAAAAGTGGCTATACAAAAGCATAACAGTTATATTTGAGTGAAGATACTTAGATCACTGATCCAAATTACAAAAGCAAAAGAAATGCTCTTAATCTTCCAGTTTCTTTGTTTATCAACTGAATAGAAACAACCTCTTAGTTCAAAAGAACATCACCACAAAAACCAGAAGAATGAAAGAAAGAAACTAAGAAAGCAAAAAAAACAAGAAGAGAGTCATTAAATTAAACTAATCTCCTTTTCTTTTGTCTTGTGGGTTTATGTTTCTGAATGCGAACCAAACTTGGAACATAAGTAAGGAGAAGTGGCCGCAGCTTGAAACGAGTTCCTCTTGTAGTCTCTTTGTAAACTTGTTTATACATATCCTCTCCAACAATGTAGATTCTGGTAATGAAGTTCCTAATCCTATTTTCATCATCTCGATCCCAGTCTAAATCACAACACACTGCCACTTTATTCTCCTCGTCCAACAAGAAGCTTGACACCTTCACCACACTTGGTAACTCAAACTTATCCAAATCCACCTCTAACACACAGTCGCTTCTCCACGACAAGTCTTTGTCTTCATCATCAACCTTATTGGTCACCCAAATCTTCATCACACATGAAGACTCTTGAATATCCAGATCTAAAACCGAGAGTTTTTCGTCCTTAACAACAGACAGAGGAGCAAAAACTGCATTGGGAAAGCTCTGAAAGGGAAGAGAGAGACGCACAAACTTCTCTGTTGTGAAATCAAACTTCATCAAGAAAAGACCCGTTCCTAAATCTCCAACAGCCCAGTAAGTATTTCCTTTCAAAGACATTCCGTATCTAAATTCGCGATAGTCACCAGTTAAGTCATCAAGAACCCTCCAAGAACCAGAGCTAAGATCATACATCTCAAACGCAGCAACCTTGACACTCTGCTCGTTTTCGTGATAGAAACACCTCAAGATCTTGTGGCTATGGGGAGAAGAAGAAGAAGAAGGTTTGTTGCTGTTTACGTATCCTAGAGCATAGGTATCATCTTCCCGGTAAAAAGTTCTAGGTTTGACCAGCCTCGTTTCACCGGTGCAAGGGTTCATAATCACAAGCCAATTGTTTCTTTTAGTGGAGCATAATATCAAACCGTCGCAGTGATAGATTTGAGATATTTTCAAAACTTTTTTTGGATCCTTCCTTAGATAACAAAGTTTACTGGGAAACTCGATAGATGGATCCACGCCGGTTCTGTTGTGAATTCCATGCAGATCGTCACCGGTTGAACAAACCCCAAAATCAATCTGTAATATTGACTCCCTTGCTGGTTTACTCAACTTTTTGTTCCTTGTGATGAAATTTTCATCCCTAAGTAAAGAGTACCATCGTTTGCAAGTAGTTTGCGATTTCCATAGAGACTTCGCCGAAACCCTAGCGAGTATTTCGGATTCCAGATCGTATGGAAGATCGGAAATCTTCATTAAAGTTGTAAAGAGGTTTCTTATTCATTACGGTACAAAGGCATTAGCCTTATATACAAGAATGTCAAGACTCAAGGTTACATTGATTTAACCGAATACATGTACACGATGGCCCAATAGGCCCACTGATCGAGAAACAACATCCTGTTTACTTGTCTTCCAAGAAATAGGCAAACCACCAAGTTAGATAAACCGTCCCGTCAGAGATACGAAGCCCAACCATAGTCACACCAAGTATTGAATCAGCACCACTAAAGGACTTGTTCTTGGTTAAACTTTTGATGTATGTTCAACAATCTCCACCAATACCAGAAGAAAGGCATTAAACTAACCTCCTTTTCTTTTACATTTGAAGTTAAAACTTAAAAGTGGCTATATATATATATATATATAAAAGCAGAACAGTTGTAGTTGAATAAGATGATTAGATCACTGATCTAAATATCAGAAGCAAAAGAAAAGCTTAATCAAGTTACTCTGTTTATCAACTAAGTAGAAACAAGCTCTTGGCTCAAAAGAACATCACCCACCAAAACCAGAAGAGAGTTTCTAAATGTGAACCAAACTTGGAACATAAGTGAGGAGAATTGGCCGCCAACTGGAAGAAGAACACTTTGTACTGTAAACCTGTTTATACATATCCTCTCCAACAATGTAGATTCTCGTACTGCAGTTCCTATGATATTCATCAGCGTCTATATCGCAACACACTGCCACTTTATTCTCCTCGTCCAACAAGAAGCTTGACACATTCACCACACTATCTAACTCAAACTTATCATAATCCACTACCAACTCAAACTCGCTCCTCCACGACAAGTCTTTGTCTGCCTCATCAACCTTGTTAGTCACCCATATCCTCATCACATTCGAAAACTCAAGAATATTCTGATGACATACAGAGAGTTTCTCATCCTTAACAACAGATAGAACAGCGGTGTCTTCCGGATTGAAACTCTGAAAGGGAAGAGAGAGACGCACAAACTTCTCCGTTGTGAAATCAAACTTCATCAAGAAAAGACCCGTTTCTTTATCTCCACAAACCCAAAAAGCATTTCCTTTCAAAGACTTTCCATCGCAAAATATCCCATAGTCACGAGTGAAGTTATAAAGAACCCTCCATGAACCAGTGCTAAGGTCATACATCTCAAACTCTGCAATCATGACACTCTCATCCTTTTTATCATAGGAACACCTCAAGATTTTGTAGCTACGGCAAGATTTGCCGTCGTTTGCGTATCCTAGAGCATATGTATCTCCACTCCGGTAACAAGTTTTGGGTTTGATCTCCCTCGTTTGACCTGTACAAGGGTTCCAAATTACAAGTCTATTGTTTCCTTCAGTGGAGCATAACATCAAACCGTCGCAGTGAAAGATTTGAGATATTTTCATATCCTGTTTTGGATCCTTCTTTAGACTGCTAAGTTTACCGGAAAACTCAATAGATGGATCAACGCCGGTGTTGTAAAGTCCGTGGAGATCCTCGCCGTTCGAATAAACCCTATAACTACTCAGTAACATCGACTCCCTAACTGATTTACCCAACTTTTGGTTCTTTCTGATGAAACTTTCATCTCTGAACAAAGCGTACCATCGTTTGCAAGTAGTTTGCGATTTCGATAGAGACTTGGCCGGAACCCTAGCGAGTATTTCCGATTGCAGATCGCCTGGAAGATCGGAAATCTTCATAGCCGTCGATCTAAGAGATCGCCTAGGCTAAAAAAAAGTTGACCTTCTTCTTGTGATTCCTCTTCTCATTGATAAGCTAAGCTAGGAGATCGACACTGGAAGAAAGCAGGGTCACTAGGGTTTTGGTCCAGAAAAAAAAAGAAGGTCATTAGGGCCCATTAGTTTTGTTTTAAAAGCCCATTTGATTTTCACACTAGCTGAGTCTGGGCCTGCCTAACTTACTCATCTTGTAAGCATTATTTGTAACTTTTTATGTATAAAAAGGGCTAAAAAAAAACATCAAAGCCAAAATTGCACTACTCTCTACAGTAAATGAATCTCACAGTCACAGATTTAACATCTATTTTTTTTTTTCTGTCATTGTTATAATCGTTTAAAGTAATTTATGTCCACCTTTTGCAATTAAAGTGATTGATCATTGTGTCTTCTTTTTTAAACCTTTTTGTTTTAATGATTTTTGTCTCGGTAAAAAATACATATTACAAGGTGGATCGTTGATTGATCTTCGGCAAAAAAAAGTTAAAATATATGTTCTATAAACAATAAGTTCTAAAAAGTCTCTTGCAAGTCACGAGACCAGCGAACAAAACACAAATTTTTTGCTTTTGGCCTGGGTAATGAAGACAGCATGTGATAAAAGTACAAAGACACCAGAATGTGGAACAGTTTTGATTACCATATGAGCTGAATGAATAAAGTTACACTACAAAATTAAGAATTATATAGCCAAATCTATATCATATAATACGGATACGAGTATTTACTAGTTACTACTTACTACACATGAGGATATAATAAATTAATAATGGATGCGGTAAATTTGTCTACAAATTTGTTAGGGGCGACATTATTATTCATAAGGGAACGTGCAGGTTCATTGCTTTGATCGTTGATCCATGCCACGGGCTTATCAAATAAGTATAGGTTAGATAAGTCATGGAGGGAATCAACCGTAGGAAGTAGGAATTGTATGTCTAATGTATATCTAATACAAGGCAAAACACGTGGAAAGGAAAATACTTTTTTAAAAGGCTAGTCCTTTGAGGTTATTAGCAAATACTCGTGATCTGTTTCCCTTCTTGTGCCAGAGCCGTACCTAGAGTTACAGAGCCCGCCCGTAAGCGGTGAAAGATAAAAAGACCACTTCTCTATAAAGTAACGTTTTTGCAACACGTTTTCTTTTATCATAATAATAATTGACGTTCTCTAATTCATGAAACTACAATATAAATCTAATTTTTTTAACCTCGACACCCTCCAAAATAAATAAATAGAAACAAGCTCTTGGTTCAAAAGAACATCACCACCAATACCAAAAGAAAGAAAGAAAAAGAAACTAAGAAAACCAGAAGAAAGGCATTTAAACTAATCTCCTTTTCTTTTTCCTTGTGGGTTTATTTTTCTGAATGCGTATCAAACTTGGAACATACGTTAGGAGAAGTGGCCAACTGGAACGAGAGCACTTTACACTGTAAACTTGTTTATACATATCCTCTCCAACAATGTAGATTCTGCTACTGCCGTTCCTATATTCATCATCCAGATCTATATCACAACACACTGCCACTTTATTCTCCTCGTCCAACAAGAAGCTTGACACATTCACCACACCTTCTAACTCAAACTTATCATAATCCACTACCAACTCAAAGTCGCTCCTCCAAGACAAGTCTTTGTCTGCCTCATCAACCTTATTGGTCACCCATATCCTCATCACATTCGAAAACTCAAGAATATTCTGATGTAACACGGAGAGTTTCTCATCCTTAACAACAGATAGAGAAACGGTGTCTTCAGGATTAAAACTCTGAAAGGGAAGAGAGAGACGCACAAACTTCTCTGTTGTGAAATCAAACTTCATCAGGAAAAGACCGGTTTCTTTACATCCTGCAACCCAGTACGTATTTCCTTTCAAAGACATTCCATCGCAAAATATGGCATAGTCATGAGTGAAGTTATAAAGAACCCTCCATGAACCAGAGCTGAGGTCATACATCTCAAACTCTGCAACCTTGACACTTTGCTCGTTGAGATAATAATAACACCTCAATATTTTGTAGCTATGGCAAGATTTGCTGTTGTTTGCGTATCCTAGAGCATAGATATCTTCACTCCGGTAACGAGTTCTGGGTTTGATCTGACTCGTTTGACCTGTACAAGGGTTCCAAATCACAAGTCTAGTGTTTCCTTCAGTGGACCATAATATCAAACCGTCGCAATCAAAGATTTGAGATATTTTCAAATCCTCTTTTGGATCCTTCTTTAGACTGCTAAGTTTACCGGAAAACTCAATAGATCTACCAACGCCGGTATTGTAAAGTCCGTGGAGATCCTCGCCGATCGAATAAACCCCATAATTACATAGTAAAATTGACTCCCTTACTGATTTACCCAACTTCTGGTTCTTTCTGACGAAACTTTCATCTCTGAACAAAGCGTACCATCGTTTGCAAGTAGTTTGCGATTTCCATAGAGACTTGGCCGGAACCCTAGCGAGTATTTCCGATTCCAAATCGTCAGGAAGATCCGAAATCTTCATAGTCTTCTTCTTCTTGTGATTCCTCATCTCATTGATAAGCTAAGTGATCGACATATATAACAGCGTGGAAGAGAAGAGGCCACTAGGGTTTTGTCCAAAACAAAAAAAAGGTCATTAGGGTTTATTACTAAATTAAAGCCCATTAGGTTTGGTTAGAAGGCAATTAGCTTTAACAACTCACTCGTCTTTTTTACTTAAAACAAAAAAAATTAACGTGGAGTTTGTCCCATGGTTCATGATGTACAACTTTACATTAATCTATGCATCGTTGATTAAAAAAAGTTGTCTCAATTAATTCCTCATCTCATTGAGTTCTATTCTGAAACAATCGTCCATTGGAATGGTGGGCTTGCTGATCCAAAATCATAGATCTGTTAACTAGTCTTGTATTGGTATGATCCGGCTTTTGCCAAGAACCGGTCTGTTGACTTGGTTTTACGGTTTTACACCCACCATAAAACTGTTCCGGTTATACAGAGGTATTGCTTGCACATTAATTCCAAATTGTTCAAGTTTGGTTACTGATTATTCTTCAGGATTACAGCTACTGGCTGCGTCTTGGCAGGCCAAAGTTATCGGAGGCGACTGAATTAATATGAGAAGAGGAAGCTTAAAGATCATTGCTTGTAAGCATTATTTGTAACATTTTCTGTATAAAAAATCTCATTGCAGCAAATCCAAAATTGACGCTACTCTCTACAGTAAATGAATCTCACAGATTTGACATCTCTTCTTTTTTTGTCATTGTTATAATCGTGAAAAGTAATTACTGTGGGCCTTTTGTGATCAAAGTGATTGATCATTGTGTCTTCTTTTTTGTAACCTTTTTGTTTTAATTATTTTGTCCTCGGTAGAAAAATACATATTACAAGGTGATTCTTTGATTGGTCTTTTTTTTTTTTTAAAGTTGGTTTCCCAAAGGCTTTCTAGGTCTAAGGATTAATCCAACCTGGCCTTGCATCCGGTTACGCGTTATCCCATCGTTAAGGGCGCGGCTAGGTGGCCAAGGGGACTTGAACCCGGGTGGCGGTACTCACAGCTGTGAGTCCATTACCACTGGGCAACCAAAATATGTGTGTGTGTGTTCTGTAAAGAAAAATAAGAGACGGAATTTTCAACCACAAAATATATCCCCTTTTTTTTCTTTTTCTTTGAGCCTAGGCTGGTAAAGTCTAGAAAGTCTCTTGCAAGTCATGTCACCAGCGAACAAGACACCAAAAATATTTGCTTTTGGCTTGGGTAATTAAGACAGCATGTGATAAAAGTACAACGAAACCAGAATGTGGAACAGTTTGATTACCATATGAGCTGAGTGGATAAAGTTACACTACAAAATTAAGAAAATCATATGGCCAAAATCTATAGCATATGATACGGATATGAGTAGTTACTACACATGAGGATAAATAATGGATGCGGTAATTTTAGCTTTAGGGGCGACATACCATTATTCAGAACGCAACGCTCAGGTTCATTGCTTTGATCGTTGATCCATGCTATGGGCTTATCAAATAGGTTAGATAGATAAGTCATACGCCATGTAGGGAGTAGTGTTATGGCAAATGAGCTTCCGACTCAAAATTAATTGGCAATGACTCGAGTTTCCATATTACTTATATATTATTTAAGATTTTTTACAATTTCCAATGTGGAATATATTCCCTAATAAGTATAAACCGTATGCCTAATGTATATTTAATATAAGGTAAAACACGTGAAAAGGAAAATACTTGAGAGGTTATTAGAAGATGAATTTACATAGAGTCGCATAATTTTAAAAGTTGATAGACTTATTGTTAGATTTGTAGAGAGTTTGTATATTTAAAAAATCTATTCAAATATTTTACTACAATAATTTTGAAAATGTAAGGGTTATAGGTAGTATTTTGAAAGTTTTGTTTCATGAGCTAAATTATTTAAAATCAATGTCCCAATAACAAAGATTTTAATGGATTCATGAAATTATTAAAACACATATTTTTTGAATAACTGATCCCTTCTTGTGCAATGTTAGTTATATTGCTGTTGTTGTATTCAAATATAAAGATCCGTTGAATATCGTTTTCCAAAACTAAATTTCGATGGTTTTTGGATCAAAGAATTCAGTATTTTATTCTATAATTTTTTTTTGAAGATTTATTTGCTTACAAATAATATTTTTTGTTCTCGTCAACAGTGTATTTTGTTTTCAATCATTTTTCGCATATTTTTAAATTTATGGCTGTTGTATAAAGTGTTTTTAGTTTTCTTGTCAAAATATGACCAAAGATTGTTTCAAGGAAGACTGGGTAAACCTACAACAAAAGCTAAATAGATGCAATAGGAAACCGTAACAGCTGGAAGCGGTAAGCATGGTAAGGAAAAACAAAGTTAATCATGGTCAGGAAAACGAGGTGGCTGTATTTATATTTATCCTTGAAAGTGTTCACATAACTATACCGAGGAGGAAGACATATGTTGATGGTGCGTTTGCACCCACCACCAGCCCGACCAATATATGAATCATACTCATGGAAGAGATAATGACCAATTTACCCTTCTGGAGTTTAATTAAGAGGTCGATTTTCTAAATATGGAGATTAATATAGAAATTATATTATTAACAAGACATTAATTACCTATTTTTCTTCCCATTTCTGACTCATAAACTTAGATCAATTTCGATATCGGTCCTTCCTTCACATACAAGAAAGTCCCGAACCGATCTTATCACTCACAACATCTAGAATTCAGATAAAGTCATATCCTAAAACATCAATAGTTTTTTTTTTGTTATTTTGGATTTTGATTAGTGATGATGTTAACAATCAGTTGGTAGCTAACAAACGTCAACAAATGATACATATATGATTTAGGAATTTATTTTTGTTTGATAAGGATTTTTGTATATTTGTTTGGTGGTTGTGAGAATTAGCAATGAGCCAATGGTGCTTCACACTTTACTGAAAAAAAACTCCGTACATTTATACGATACATAAATATAATTTGGGCCCCACTCACCGATCAGCATTTGGTTTCTGAGTGGGCTTTTGCTTCGCTTCTTCGTTTTCCAAAATCTCGCAACAACATTGTTTGTTGCTTTTATAACTTTTTAACCTCTCTCATTCTTCTGTAAAACCTAAAAAAACACACTCTTCGCTAAAGCAACAAAAAAAAAAAAATCAAAAACGCACATGGATTCTCAGGACCACAACAACAACAACACTCAACAATCTTCAGGTTTCTCTTAATCATTAACAATGTCATTTAGGGTTTTTGCTTCTTAAAGTTTCAATTTTGGATCTTTTAAATGTCAAATGTCGTAGCATCTTCTTCAGGGTTTAGTTTGATTTTGTTACTTTTGTTGTTTCTCTTGTGATTTCTGGCTTCTCAGATTTTGATTTCCGATTTCTCGATTTTTTTACTGTGTGTTGAATCTTCTTTCAGTATGTTCATGTTTCAAAATCAATTGGCATAAAAATGATTCCTTTTTTCTCTTCTTTTTGGTTTTTGCAACTTTCTAGAAAATTTCCTTTGGCAATAATGGCTTCTTCCTTTTGTCTTTTAATGTATCTGTTTGACTAATAATGGGTTCGCTTTCTGATGATTTGTTTATAATTTTTGATAAACAAATATCAATTTTAAGAATACGGACACTGAAGATTTTGTAAACCTTATTATACAGGAGGAAAGAGCAATGGGGCTCATGTCTGCACTAAATGTGGTTGGAATTATCCAAATCCACATCCTAGTGCTAAGAACCGGCGTGCACACAAGAAAGTTTGTGGAACCATCAAAGGATTTGAGATCGTTGATTCCGAAAAGGACAAACAGAATCTTGAGGATTTGCAGGAAGAACATTGCTTGAATGATGAGCTAAAAACCCCAAGTAAGAACATTTGTCAATTTCGAATGAAAAAAGTAGAAAAGACTTTGTGATTATTCCCTTGATGCTAATGTTTGGTGTATTTTCTTGATAAGGTCCAAGAACTGTGGAGAAAGCTGATGAGAGAATTGGGGATATACATGAAGAAGATGTGTTTGCAGATGCTGCTTGTGAATTTTCGAGATCTGACTCTTTCAAGGAAAAGGAAGAGAGTACTAAGAATTTTGGTGAGTTTACTCCTCTTTGATAAACAACAACTCAGGGATAATGTTAGTTGTTACCTTTCCGATGCTAATGTGACATTGAATCATCTGTTTGATACATTTTCTTGGTTTTGTTCCCATTTGGTGTTCATGTTTTGTGTGGTGTGCCTGCTTTACTTGGACTTCATAGCTGATGAATATGGAACTTTTCAGGTGAAACTCAACAGGGTAACACTTCATCAGTGGGTGGTGTGATGAAAAGCCCTGAAGTGGTTCAAGAGAGCTGTGAAGTTCCACCTGTGGAAGTCCTTGAGACCCATAACGTCTCAAGTTCTGTTGAAGTAGCTTCTGGTAATCAACAAGGAGGAGGACCATCTACTGAAGGACACTCTACGGCGGCTAAAACACTGACTGAGTCATCACAGGAAGCTCCAGTCATTGACGGAGGTGATACCATATCAAATGTTGGGTTAGCGACAGAATGCAAAGGAAATTCACAGGATGATTCTGAAGCTAAGTTAGCATCTGCTTTAGGAAAGACACAAGATACTTCTGATTCAACATGGAACGATGAAGTTATCTACTCGGATGTGGAGGGTCCTCATGGATTTTCTTTTGAAGCAACGAGTATGGTTCATCCTGGTGAAGCTGACTGTGAAGGCAGTGGGAATGTGCCGGTTGATACTTCTCTGGTAACAGCCAATGCAGCTCACGTTATCAGCACCAATCAATCTGTTCCTGATGACGCAGAAAATGCTTTGCTTGGAGTCAAAAGCCATGAAGAACATGAATCAAATCATTCGGTGAACCCCTGTCTTCCTGTCTCTGAGACACCTAAGGGAGAAGAATGTGAAACCAACACTCTTACTACTGGCTCAGAGGTTACTTCATCAGCCAAGCTTCTCTTGGAAGAAAAAACTGAACCTCAAGGCCAATCTTCTTTGGTTGCAGAATCATCTAAGAATGACCCTGAAGGTGTTGACAAAGAGGGTGAATCATCTTTTGGTGCTTCCAAGGAAACTGCTGAGTCAGAAACCTTGAGAGTGTCTCTACCTGCGGGAAGTCCTATGGTTGCTGACTCGGATGCTGATGTGAGCCATGCACCTAACAAAACTGGCGTAGTTGATCTCACTGGTCAGGAGAACAGCCCAAATAGCCAGCTGAGTTCTGAGTCCTCTTGTATCGTTGAACACTATTTTTCTCCGGTGTCGGTTGTATTGGATGGAGAGGATGCAAGCAACCAGAGGAAAAGTTCAGTAGAAACATCTAAAGACTCCATCCTCCAAACCGGTGCTGAAGCCTGTGAAAGTAACGATGAAGTTTACAGAGAGAGTAGCAAAGTGGGGCTTATGGAGGAAAGCAGTTTCATAAATGTAGCGAGTACAATGGAAACTCCTATAAGCCATTCTGGATCAACAGGCACTGGACCTGACGATGCTACTGTTAAAACAGCTGATCAGAAGTTACCGGAAAGCGGAAGGACAGATTTCCACAGAGTTGTTGGTGGCTTGGGGGTTATTCAAGCAAATGAGATTGACGGTAATGTTAAAGCACACAACTTTTATGCTGAAGTCCCTGTGACAATCGAATCGAATGACCATCGAGATTTTGGGAGACTGCAGAATCTTTCAGAAGAGCACATTAGATCACTGGTTTCCAGTCCGCTAGTCACTAGAAATAACACATCTAATGCGTTTGAATCCAACTTGGGATCGATTTCAGGTACATATCTTGAAACCCTCTTCATTATTGCACTGGAGAGAGTTGTTAGTAATGTTGCTAAGTCACTCATTGTAAATTATATATTGTTGATTTTGATGGAACAGGACCAAGTGGTGAAGCTGACAAACCGGACTACACATCTCAGTCATCATCTCTTGCTGTTTCTCTGTCGAAGAACCAAGAGATCACTCTGGAGAAGACAACAAGCTGGAGCACAGCAAAGGAGCAGCACGTCCCGCTGAAGAACCTTCTGAGTGAAGCAAGGTCACCAAGGCTAGCAGCAGAGGCAAAGAAGGATGACGAGAGTAACGTACCGAGAGTGAGTTCGATATTGGGACAAGAGACTTCCCCTGAAGACGGTCGCTTGCCAGAGAGAAGAGAAGTGAGTGAGGAGTGGAATTCACCAGCAAAGTATCCAGTGGACTTGAAGAGACAGGAGAGGAAAGGGAAAGGAAAACCCTTTTGGGTGCCTTTTGTTTGCTGCTCCTCTGTTAAGTGAAAAAAGGCTCTCTCTGTTGTATAATGATGTTAGGATGATGATGATTCTAAGGATTTATAATCACTAGTTTGGTTACTTGTAGGAGCTTTTGTTGCTTAGCTTCTTTAGGTACTCTATGCAGACCATTTATGAGACTAGCTTTTATGTGATTTTTTATATTTTCTTGTTGCTTTTAGATTTGAAATTTGTTTTTCTTAAGAGGATAAACCAAGTTTATGGTTCGAATATTGAGTTGAAAAAGCTAAAACTAATGAATTGGCACAGAAGACAACCAAACTGAACTTATAAACCGAAAAATCCATTGTACAGAAAACCGGGAAGGTGGAAACGACGGCGTTTTAGAAAATTCTGTTCACGATTTACAGTCACCGGCGCGAACTTCCGAGTGAAGAGGAAGAAGAGTCTATGGAGAATCTGACGGCGCAGTTTTTCCACAGCGCGACGCTACAGAAGCCACCGCCTCCGCTATGGAATTCGAAGAGAAGGTTCTTCAGTTCATTATACTCGAGACCGAAACCCATTACCGTCTTCTCCGCTACTCTCCGCCGCTCTTTTCCCTTGTCTCACGATGACGCGACGCAGCCCAGCTCTCTTCTCGCCGATAGCTTCAACCACCACCATCGGTTGCTCAATTCACTGCTGCGGAGACTTGAACGTCCCGGCTCGTGTCCGTTGCTGCTGCTTCAGGAAGATGGAGACTGGAGCAAAGACCATTTCTGGGCCGTCATTCGATTTCTCCGCCAATCCTCAAGACTCCACGACCTTCTTCCTGTAATTTTTTATTCTCTGCTACATCTCTCTCTCTCTCTCTCTCATGAAATTAAGAACATGAAAAGGATTTTTTTTTTTCTTTTTCTTTTCAATTGCAGGTTTTTGATGCGTGGAAGAGTCTAGAATGTTCAAGAATAAGCGAGGCGAATTACGAGAGGATTATAAGGTTCTTATGCGAAGAAAGATCGATGAATGAAGCAGTTCGAGCTTTCAACTCCATGATTGATGATCACGAGCTAAGTCCGTCTTTGGAAATCTACAATTCAATCATCCACGGTTATGCTGATGAAGGGAAGTTCGAAGAAGCTATCTTCTACTTGAATCATATGAAAGAGAAGGATCTTTCACCGGAAACTGATACATACGACGGTTTGATTGAAGCATATGGTAAATGGAAAATGTATGATGAGATTGTTCTGTGCCTCAAGAGAATGGAATCTGACGGTTGTGTGCGTGACCATGTTACTTACAATCTACTCATACGCGAGTTTTCTCGAGGAGGTTTGCTTAAGAGGATGGAGCAAATGTACCAGAGCTTGATGTCGAGGAAGATGACTCTGGAGCCTTGTACATTGTTGTCAATGCTTGAAGCTTATGCAGAGTTTGGGCTTTTAGAAAAGATGGAGTTAACGTATAACAAGATCATACGGTTTGGGATTTCTCTAGATGAAGGTTTGGTTAGGAAATTAGCTAATGTTTATATTGATAACCTCATGTTCTCGAGACTCGATGATTTGGGTCGTGGCATTCGTAGGACTGATCTGGCTTGGTGTCTTAGGCTTCTGTGTCATGCCCGTCTTGTGAGTCGGAAAGGTTTGGATTACGTTGTTAAAGAGATGGAAGAAGCTAGAGTTCCTTGGAATGCAACTTTCGCCAATATCGTGCTTTTAGCTTACTCGAAGATGGGCGATTTCAAGGGCGTTGAGCTGTTACTCGATGAGCTACGGAGGAAACATGTGAAGCTTGATCTTGTGACAGTAGGGATCGTCTTCGACTTAAGTAAAGCTGGTTTCGACGGTACTGGAGTTTTTATGAGTTGGAAGAAAATTGGGTTTCTTGATAAGCCTGTGGAAATGAAGACTGATCCTTTGGTTCATGCTGCTTTTGGGAAGGGACATTTTCTTAGAAGCTGTGAAGAATTGAAGAACGAAGAATCAAAGCTATGGAGTTACCAGTATTTAATGGAACTTGTGGTTAAGAATCAGAAAGAAGCTGAACCATAGTAATGTATATTTCAAACCTATACACTAACAGCTCTTATAGTCTTGCTCGTCGTCACGGTTTCTCACTGGTTGCATTTGTCTTGTATCTCTGTCTTGTATAGACCTTACTCGGTGTTGTATCAGTAACACCATTCCCTCTTGTTGATGATGAAAGCTTGAAGAATTGTTCCGTTTCCTGGAGAACCTGTTTCTTCTTCTGTGTGTATGTTTCGCTTCCACTGGTTTGTCCACACGAGTTAGATACCATCAAGTAAACAAGATAGTTGCAGACTTCACCATGATCATGGATTGAGGAAATTGTCCGTTGCACTTGTTCTTCTTCGACGGTCTCATCTCGCGTTCCATTTCTCTGCATTTGTTTTCTGCTTGCCTGCAGTATCAATGAGTTTGTAAATGAAATCGAATATGGCGTATTCAAACTTTTTATGAGTAAATCTTATCTGCGTTACGAACCTGGAATACACGAATCAACTTGACCACTTGCTCGGAATTCAGTAGCTGAGCCTGAAGAAGTTCTCGAAACAATATTACAATCTCGCTGCTGATATTCGCCAGAGTCAGATTTTGAATCATGCTAAAGATGCAAGACTCGTCAAAAACAGATCTCAGCCACACTGGCTTGTTCTTGAGTCTTAGCATGGCAACAATTGCATAAACCGATGGCTTGTGGTGGTTGACAAAGGTATCTGATGCTGAACAAGGCATGGCCAAGGACACTGACATTTCTTCTGCAATAAACCGGTACCATGAGCTGGTGTTAACCATCTCCGTTCCTCCTTCCATGTCTTCCAATCTTAATATCATGGAGAGACAAAGCGCAGAGTTTATCGCTACTCTTATGTCATCGTAGAATACAAGACCACTTAAAACAGCCTTCACTGATTTCAGGTAACTCGATGAACACCGTAGTTTCTCCTTTTTAATGTCAATCTGTTCTGATAGTCCAGTGAACAACTCCAAAAGACAATAAGAGGTGATGAGCTTGATTTGCGGTGTTCCAAAATGCATCAGCCTGCACAAGTTATGGCAGTGGATGCAGATTATGGGTAGTGTTTCCGGGTTTCCCGATGAGCCAAAGAAAGTTTGCCAATCCACTGCTTCAGCTAGAACAGTCTGCAAGCTAGTAAAGTTCAAAAGGTAGTCAGAACAGTTATAAGTAGGATCTTACACTAACAGAGTGAACAAATTTCAGACTCTACCTTCTTAATGAGAAAAAGTAGAGAGGTAACATGAATGCTAGAGCCTCTCCGATGTCAGTTTCATCCTGATACTGAGTCAATGATGGGCCTTTTGAGCAAGCTACATCAACCGCAGTGTTGATTGCTGATACCAAGTACGAATTCAACACAATACTTCTTGAAGCTTCCACAAGGGCACCATCTTTCGAGTGGTACAGAACCAAAGAAAGAATCCCAATCACCATCATACCTTCATGTTTCTGTGTTATGGCAATGTCTTGCAAGCTCAGATAGTTTACCAACTGCAAAAAAGGAGTTTTTTTTTTTGTGAGCTCTTTGATAAAAGGAAATGTTGGAGGGGAGTCGGTTTAGACGGCCACACCTTTATAAATACAGCATCCCAGGATTCATCATTTTTAAGCACTCCTGATTGGACAGAAGCTAAAATGTTGAATATTAGCAGAAGCAGTGTTGGGAATGATGTTCCGAAAGATGAGTTTGTAAAACCACAAACGAGTCTACAAATTGCATTGCCAATGCCGTTCATGGATAGATGGTTGGAGGCAGTCGGGAATATAGAAACGACCGTGGTCATCAGATTCAAAATTGAGATAATATTACTCTCTTGCGCTTCCTTCTCTGCGAGCTGTGTCAACAAGTTAACCAAAAGCGTTGCGGCATAGTTGTCTCCTTCTGATATCAAATTAGCAAACCAATATGTGAGTGATCTCTGTCTGCCATCTCCGTATACATTGTGAACTTCATTTCCAATGAAGTTGTTCCTGGAAATATTTTGAATCTGGTAAGTCAAACTTTTGCTGATACATTCCTGTTGAAAGAGCCACTTCAGAGATTCTAAATGAATATCAAAGGCGCACAAGTCCCGTTCATATTCATTTAGTAGATGGAAGATAATCCTTTCAGCTTCAAGACTGTATGATATCTGGTATCTCTCATTTTGAAGACTCCTGCAAAGACTATATAGATTCACTAGGTGCAGCATAGCTGGAGAATCAGAGATCGCACGTGTTAAACTTGTCCTGTTTACGAGAATGTATTGCTCTAAAGAAGCTAAAACCAGCTTATCATCTGCAAGCCTGCAAAAGATGCAAAACAATATAAGGAAGAGAAATAATTTGCAGCTGCAGTAAAAGATGATCCTTAATTAAACATAAAGCCTAAGTCACCTGTCATTGTATATCCAACTGGTGTGGAAAATAAGCAGAGCTGCAGACTGGCAAGAAGCCAGTTCTTTATTACTGGAACTATCTTGCCCGAGCAAAAACAACAAATCTTGTGGATCCGACGGAAGGCAAGGAAGAGCATCTCTGATAAGTGATCCCACTTTTTGTTTGAGAAGAATATCAACAAGGGAACTGAGCATCAAATAAACCCTCTGTTTCACTTTAGCAGTAGAGAAGCTTCCTAGGCATCCAAATGAAAAGCTGAACCAATCTGCTGAAACAAGCGTCTCGGCAAACTCCACGACTTGGATATCTGAATTCTGAAGCAGAACTGAATGAAAAGTTTCCATTATGCCAAGAATTGCTTCCTCATTGATTTCGTTGATATTAGCGAGGAACCACGGCAATAGATGTGATACACACACGTCTATAACACAGTGTCTTAACTCAGTGCAACTGGCCTTGTTTATGGATGCTGGTGCAGAACAATATGTATATACTTCATTGAGTAAGTAGACTGCATGCGAGATCTGTGATGAATCTTGCTCAGGGAGACTAAGACAGGCCAAAATGGCATGCCTCATGGATTCTTGCAATGATGTTAACACATCCTGAGTCGCAGAAAACGATGGAGTTTTCATCAGGGAAACAAAGACTGAGCAGATGATCGCAAATGCATCCGGAAATAATCCCATCTCCTGAGAATAATATCTTTCAAGCATATTTTTCAGAACCAGAGCAATTTCCTGAACTTGAGAACTTGACGCAATCCCAGGGAAATCAGAAATACAGCTCGAGATAAGCTTTAGTGTCTGGATTTGAAAAGGATGGCAAGGAACTCCGCCTACATAGTGAAGCACTTGGATGACTGAAGGAAACCCAATCACAAGTTTCTTCCGAAAGGAATCCTCGGCTAAGGAGAATAGATCAAGAACTCTGAGGCATGAGTTGATGACCTGATCTTTACATTCTGTTCATGAAAAGGAGTTCAAAGAGTAAGCTAGAGAAAGATAGGAAACAATGAGGACTAATTGAAAAGGTTATTATTTTGTGTAGAACACAATGAATCATGCATTTGCCATCAGAATGTGTAGGAAGTAACTTCAATTCTTAGATTCTTAACTTTCTACTAGTATCTTGAAAAGTTTATAATCACAGATATAATTAACTTCTTCAAGGAGACTGCCATTACCTGAAAACCGAAGTATCTCAAATATATAATCAGCAACATTTTCTTCTACCAGAACTTGAACCTGTTTGCTTGAAATATTCTCTTGGGACGCGTAATGGAAGATAAGATCAAGGGTTCTTATTTGCACCTCGCTGTCAGTGGAAAGCAATGGAGCTTTGATGGCCTCAGCAAATAAGACATTTAAACAAGGCCTGGCGACTACAGTCTCAGCCGTCAGCATAGGGTCATCATCCATTTCATCCAAGCTCATGCTGCTGACAGGACTTGTATGTGAATTTGCTAAAAGACCTTGCTGGGCCAAGATGGTCAAAAGAGCTACAAAGTTCAAAATCGATGTTTAGCTGAAATATAGCAAAACCTATGGTGGAATTATGTCTACTGCATAAGAATGAATCAGAATGAAAAAAGCTCATACGAACCTATACAGTTCAAACAAACATCATCTCTTTGCGTCTTTGCAAGAGCTTCCAAGGATAGGCATAAGAGATTGGGACATAATGAAGAAAGAACCTCAATTCCATAAACATTTTGTTCTGTGAATTGCAGAGCAGAAAATTTGTACAGAACGAAAAGGATTTCACCGCGGATCTCCTCGCTAGTATGAGAGAACGTAAAACAAACAGGATAAAATCACAACAGTCTCCATACAAGAAAGAAAGAAGACGATTTTCCAAGTGGCTTATGCACATACCTTGGTAACTGAAGACCTTCAACGAGTTGGCAAACAAGAGATTCTTTATCTTTGATGTGAGAATTGATGTCTAATTTCTCATTTCCCATCAGAACGCCAAAGCAATGGAGCTGCAAACACAGATATTTGAGCTACGTATGAGAGATTTCAGAGGAAAACTTCAGTGACTGTACCAAACTTCTCCATGCTCAAATGAGTCGTAATTGCAGATCTATAATCTAATTAGATGGAGTGACAAATTTTAAGATATTTCTCCGATGCAAATCTCAACCAGAATCCCCAATTGAAGCAAAATTAAACCTAGAAAGACAACAATTACCATATGAAGCTGTCTTCGGCTCCAACCCAAGGCCCCGGAAGAGAGCTGAACGGAGATTCTCTCCACAAAATCCTCGCCGATGGAAGATTGCTCAGCGGAACAGAGAAGAGAGATGATATCCATGATCTGGATAGCGATGGGCGCATCATCAAACGAAGAGAGCGCGTGAACGAGAGGCGATACGAGAAAGTGAACATGTGCGGAGAGTAGCGTTCGGAGGAAGAGAGGTTCTGAGAGAGCGATTGAGAGCTGGTGAAGCGCGTAGGAAACGTGAACGGTGGGAACGCGTGAATCGGAGACGAGATTGGAGAAGCAGAGAAAGCAAAACGTTCCTCCTTGGTCGGTGCGCAGAGAAATCGTGGATCGGTGACCATTCGCGCATGGCGGCGACGGAAATTGACGGTTAGGAACCGCCGCAGCTTCACGGAGAAGATGATCGGAGTCTAGTTCCTGCGAATCTGGATAGAACATTTTGAGAGAGAGAGCGTCAAAGAGAAGACTGAGAAATTCGAATTTTACCGGGAGAATGAAATATATCATCTGAAATCTAAAATTTCCCTCACAAAATATATTATTTTATTTCCAAAAATAATTAATTAATTTTTAATAACGCACTTCGTCTCTAACCTTTAGATTGTCTACAGTTTCTTCTTCGATTGTTCTTTGAGATTTTGTAATTCGATGCATTTAGCGTCTGCTTCTTCCATCTATCTTCGTCCGGCGAAGAATCTCATAGTCATAGCTCGAGCTTTTTCAGGAATCGCACAGAATCCTGATCTCTTCTCTCTTCTTCATCAATCCCCAACCGCTAAGCATCTTCGCCATCTCCACGCTCATCTCCTTCGCACCTCTCTCTATTCCAACGTCGTTCTCAGCTCCAAGCTCGTTCTCGCTTACTCCAAACTAAACCACCTCTTCCCTACCTCGCTTGCCGTCTTCTGGCACATGCCTCACCGCAACATCTTCTCATGGAATATAATCATCGGCGAGTGCTCCAAATCGGGTTTCGCGTCGGAGTCAATCGGATTGTTTCTTCGAATGTGGCGAGAATCCAGCGTTAGACCCGACGATTTCACGCTCCCTCTTGTTCTTCGAGCTTGCTCTGCTTCCCGAGAGACGACGAAACTCGGTGATTCGATTCACGTCTTGTGCTTGAAACTCGGATTTGGCGCAAGTTTGTTCGTCACTTCGGCTTTAGTGATTATGTACGTTGAAATGAAGAAAATCTCAAATGCACGTAAGTTGTTCGACGATATGCCTGTGAGAGACTCTGTTCTCTATACGTCAATGTTTGGTGGGTATGTTCAGCAAGGAGAAGCTATTTTGGGATTGGCTCTGTTCAGAGAAATGATGTGTTGTAGAGTCTCTCTTGATTCTGTGGTGATGGTGAGTTTGCTCATGGCTTGTGGACAACTTGGAGCGTTGAAGCAAGGGAAGAGCGTTCATGGATGGTGTATCCGGAGATGCTCTTGCTTCGGGTTGAATCTCGGTAACGCTATAACTGATATGTATGTAAAGTGCTCGAATCTGGGTTATGCGGAGAGAGTATTTGTGAATATGCCTAAACGTGACGTGATCTCTTGGAGCTCACTGATTTTGGGTTATGGTTTGGACGGAAACGTGGTGATGTCGATAAGACTCTTTGATGAGATGATTAAGGAAGGGATTGAGCCAAATGGTGTCACTTTTCTCGGTGTTTTATCGGCCTGTGTACATGGCGGTCTTGTGGAGAAGTCTTTGTTGTATATAAGACAGATGGAGGAATGTAAGATAGTTCCTGAGTTGAAACATTATGCTAGTGTGGTGGATTGTATGGCTCGTGCGGGTTTTCTTGAGGAGGCAGAGAAGTTTATCGATGAAATGCCCGTGGAGCCTGATGAGGCTGTGATGGGTGCGGTTTTGAGTGGGTGCAAGGTGTATGGGAACGTGGAAGTTGGGGAGAGAGTGGCGAAGAAGCTGATTGGGCTCGAACCGGGAAAAGCTAGCTACTATGTGACATTGGCTGGTTTATATTCTGGTGCGGGTCGGTTTGATGAAGCTGAGAGTTTGAGGCAGTGGATGAAGGAGAAGCAGATTTCTAAGGTTCCTGGTTTTAGCTCAATATGAAGGATGGTTTGATCAAACCGCAACCAAAATGTTGTTTAAATTAAATTTGAGAAGATAAACATACATCAAAGTTTTCATGCAACACTCTCACTAACAAAATAGTCTAAAACGTTGCTTGGCGGGTCGATCCAGATGCTACGAGGAGGACAAAGTTCAAGCCCGCGGTGGCGCCATAAATTATACAGAAGCGATTCATTGTACCGAACGTACCTGCTTTCATCAAAGGAGTAGTAAGCACAATGCTTGCGGTTGTTACCAAACCTTGAGAAGTAGACATTGTTCCTCATCTCTGGGAGATTACTTCTCACCTCACAGCTATATATACTGACAAAGAACGTCAAGCCATCAAGCTCAGCGTCACTCATCGCTTTCCATTCACTAGAGACTAGTTTATACACCTTTGGCTTCTCTTTGCCGCATGTAACCATGAGAAAGAGCTCTCCTCTCTTCTCCGCCAAGTGATATGTTTTCTTGTTCGGCCCATGTAGCTGACGCGGACCATCGTTATTATGATCATTAAGACACGTAGTCTGACGAAACTCCCATCTGTCGGAAGATGGATGAAAGGAACACAACCAGTATCCTCCTTTCAAGTTAAGGAGATAGAATCGATCATCGAGGTAGACAAGCTTGCCGTGCCTCGGCATCTCAAGCGATCCAAGCACCACACTAGTATCAATCCACTGAGTTGCTCCAGGACGCCAAATTCTGAAAGCGAGATTGTATCCCAGATTATAGCATAACGCTAGCAACACACAATTATCCGACGTAGGAGGACAAGAGAATGCAGCCTCCTTAAGATTTCGGTCAAGCTTAGGCAAGCTTATGAGCTCCCAAGTAAACGGGTTGAAGAAGAAGGTCTCGTTTGATGAGATGGATCTACGCATAAGTAACCAACCATCTCTTGAGTAACACACGGTGGAGTTATTAGGTAACTCTGGCAGTTTCAATGTGTAAGACTTGGATTGCAGTGGATCGCGGAGTTCGAACAAGTTATTGCCACCACGTTTAGGAAAGCACATAAGCCATGGATGCTTTTCCACAACTCGTACGTATACTGCAGCTTCATGCCAAGACTTGCATGCAGCAGATGCACGAATGTTATCTTTTAACACAGTACGAGACATTATTGTTTCCAAAAGGCTTGATGGAAGGTCAGCGAAACTTGGAATCAGTGCCTTTTTGTTTCTCTGAGTTTTGGATCTGCAAAACAAAACAAAATGAAGTTGAAAGCTGTATAATATATTTCAAGGTATCATTACAAAGAAACACACAAAACTCTTTTTATCTTCATATTTTACCCCCAAAAGAAAAAACTTCAAAAAATTTCCCGTGGCCGTCTACACAAGATCTGTTATTATTATCATGGAATGTTAAAACTAAACTTGAGATTCAGTTCAGATTCAAACCAATTCACCGAGAAGAAAAAAATGATAAAAACTACATCGAACTTGTCAATTCCACTACAACTGAATTTTATTTATAATATCTAGAAATTGTTCTGAGAGTAACAAACCGTGTACATGGACCGGTGATCGGACACAGAGAAGATGATGCCATGGTCGGAGACAGTGGTGGAGGTGTTTGACGAGGCAACGGTGGTCGCATATGGTGTGATAAGTGAGGTATCTAAAATTTTAGGGTTTTGTTGTGTTCCATCTCCACACGGCTCCGATTCCTATATAGAGATGCTGAGATGCTGATGTTCTCTCTCGGTTCTTAAAAGATGCTGATGTTGCTGTTATATAGAGAGCTGATTGGCTGAAACTGAATTTTTTTCCCTTATTTACTTAGGGATAATAACAAAAGTGTTCGTGTCAATCTTTTCTCTTTATTGGATAACTTGCTCAAGGCGAATATAATGCTGTATATATTAATCAGATAATATGTACGTTACCAAAAAAAAAGGAAAAAAGTACTATCTATTTTGTAAATCGGAAACTGTATATGAATTTGGTTTTTTTAGTTAAATTTTTGAGAACAAGATACGGTTCCATGTCAACTGAAGAAGAGTAAGAAGACAATAGAGAGGACTCCCAAACCTTGAGTCAAAGTTACAATTACATGCACTTGTTTTTCTGTTTTAAAACATACATAAAAAATTTCATGCAAAGCTCTCACTCACAAAATAGTCTAAAACGTTGCTTGGCGGATCGATCCAGACGCTGTTACGAGAACAAAGTTCAAGTCCGCGGTAGTGCGATGCATTATACGAAGTGAAGCTGTTTTCATCAAATGAGTAATAAGCACAATGCTTACGATTGCCACCAGACCTTGAGAAATAGACTCTGTTCCTCATGCATGTGAGATCACTTCTCAACTCACAGTTATATAAACTCACAAAGAATGTCAAGCCATCAAGCTCAGCGTCACTCATCTCTTTCCATTCCAAAGAGACTAGCTTATACACCTTTGGCTTCTCTTTGTTGCATGTAACCAGGAGAATGACCTCTCCTCTCTTCTCCGCCAAGTAAAATGTTGTCTCGTTCGGCCCACGGCCATATCGCTGACGCTGACCATCATTATGATCATGGAGACGCGTAGTAGGACGATGTTCCCACGTGCCGGAAGATGGATGAAAGGAATGCAAGCTTGTTGAGTTTAAAATATAAAATCGATCATTGAGATAGACAAGCTTGCCGTACTTCCCAAAGAACCCAAACCATCCAGCGTCCTCATGAGTAATAATACTCCACTCAGTTGCTCCGGGACACCAAGTTCTCAAAGTCACATTAACTCTCTGATAATCACAGAATGACGCTAACAACACACAATCATCCGACGTAGGAGGACAAGTGAATGCAAGCTCATGAGAACGTATGAATTTGAGCGTAGGTTCGAGCACAGGCAAGCTTATGCGCTCCTTAGAAAACGGGTTGAAGAAGAATATTTCGTCTGGTTCTAAGGAGAAACTACGTCTACGCATAAGTAACCAACCGTCTTTTGAGTAACACACAGACAAACAGTCGTCACATGGTAGTAAGTACTAGTAACCCTGGAAGTTCCAAAGTGAAAGACTTAGATTGCACTGGATCGCGGAACTGGAACAAGTTACCGCCACCAAATTTAGGAAAGCACATAAGCCATGGATGCTTTTCCACAACTCGTACGTATATTGCAGCTTCATGCCATGACTTGCATGCAGCGGATGCACGAATGTTGTCTTTTAACACAATACGAGACATTATTGTTTCCAAAAGGCTTGATGGAAGGTCAGCGAAACTCGGATTCAGTGCCTGTTCGTTGCTCTGAGTTTTGGATCTACGAAACAAACAAAAAAAAATGAATTTGAAATCAGAAACACACTAAAAAAAACTCTTTAACCCTAGAAACATTCCCGACTATACAAAACCTAGAAATATCATCGAATGTTAAAACTAAACTTGAAATTCAGTTCAGATTCAACATCCCCAAAAGATAAAAAAACTACATCGACCTAGGCAAGTCATCCATTACAACTGAATATTGTAATTAATTTTCTAAAAACTGTTTGAGAGTAACAAACCGTCTACGTCGGGAGGTGATCGGAGACGGCGAGCGTGACGCCATGGTTGGAGACAGCGGTGTTGTTTGACTTGGCGACGGTGGTCGCATATGGTGATTACTGATTAGTGTGGGAATAATCTAAAATCTTAGGGTTTTGTTGTGTTCCAAATTCCAAAGTGGAGTTTCTCCGCACGGCCTTCCATCCCTCCTAATATTTTATTTTATATACTGATCCTTTTATTATATAGTTTTATTTCAATGTTCCACAGAAATTGTTTTTTATATTTTCAATTAAGGAATGTTTCTAATGTATATATTTTTTAGAATTTTTATGAACGTTTAAGTGATGATTAAAAAAGTCTGTATAATTACCTAGACCTAACTAGGTTTTCTAGGTAAGCAATATAAGTTTTAACATCTCTCTCTCTCTTTCTCTCATATCCGATCGATATCAGCAATCATGAACTCGGATTTCATCCCGTATGATCTCATGATCGATATTTGTCTACAAAGTCAATCGCTAGGTTTTATTGCGTGGCTCGAAGCTGTACATGAAATTGGTTTCCTAAGTTAATTATTTTAGAACATGATAGGGTTCCATGTCAACTGATAAAGAAGAATATAATAAAAGCTGAAACCGGTTGCGTGGTAAACAATAGAGAGGACTTTAAGATTACATGCACGTGTTTGTCCGTTTGAAAAGATAAACATACATCAAAAAATTCATGCAAAGCTCTCACTCACAAAATAGTCTGAAACGTTGCTTGGCGGATCGATCCAGACGCTGTGAGGAGGACAAAGTTCAAGCCCGTTTTGGTGCCATCGATCGTACAGAAGCGATTCATTATACCGAACGTACCTGCTTTCATCAAAGGAGTAGTAAGCACAATGCTTACGATTGTGACCAGACCTAGAGAAATAGACATTGTTCCTCATGCGGCATGGGAGATCACTTCTCAACTCACAGTTATATAAACTGACAAAGAATGTCAAGCCATCAAGCTCAGCGTCACTCATCTCCTTCCATTCCAAAGACCCTTGGCTTCTTTTTGCCCCATGTAACCATGAGAAAGACCTCTCCTCTCTTTTCCGCAAAGTAAATTTTTTTACTGTTCAGCTCATGATGGCCATATCGCTGACGCTGACTATCATTATGAACATATATACCAGTAAGAGAATCACGTTTCCATGTACCGGAAGATGGATGAAAGGACTGCAAGCTTCTTGAGGTTAAGAAATAGAATCGATCATTGGATTTGGAATAGAGAAGCATGCCGTACTTCTCAGACGATCCAAAGTCCCCAGTAGTAATAGTCCACTTAGTTTCTCCGGGACGCCAAGTTATTAAAGTGACGTTATCTCTCTGATCACAGCATGACGCTAACAACACACAATCATCCGACGTGGGAGGACAAGAGAATGCAAGCTCATGACAACGTATGAAGTGGAGCTTAGGCAAGCTTATGCGCTCCTGAGAAAACGGGTTGAAGAAGAATATTTTGTCCGGGTCTGAGGACGAATAACTACGACTACGCACAAGTAACCAACCATCTCTTGTGTAACACACAGTGTCGTCATATGGTGACCATGGAACTTTCATAGTGAAAGACTTAGATTGTAGTGGATCGCGGAGTTCCAACAAGTCACTGCCTCCACGTTTAGGAAATGACAAAAGCCATGGATGATTTTCCACAACGCGTACGTATGTTGCAGCTTCATGCCATGACTTGCATGCAGCGGATGCACGTATGTTATCTTCTAACACAATACGAGACATTATTACTTCCAAAAGGCTTGATGGTAGGTCAGCGAAACTCGGATCAACTTTGCTCCAATGTTGGGGTCTACAGACAAACAAATGAACATGAAATCATAAGTTTGAGAAATGTAATGTGTTTCAATGTATCATTGGTCAACAACTCCAACGTCGGAGACACAATAAGAAACACAAAAAAACTCTTTAACCCTAAAAACATTCTCGACTATACAAAACCTAGTAATATAAATATATTAAAATAATATATATATATATATATTTATCACATGTTTAGACTAAGCCTGAAATTTATTTCAGATTCAAACCAATTCATCCCCAAAAGATAAAAACTACATCGACCTAGGCAACTCATCCATTACAACTGAATATTGTAATTAATTTTCTAAAAACTGTTTGAGAGTAACAAACCGTCTACGTCGGAAGGTTATCGGAGACGGCGAGCGTGACGCCATGGTTGGAGACAGCGGTGGTGTTTGACTTGGCGACGGTGGTGTTAGATTAGTGGGGGAATAATTTAAAATCTTAGGGTTTTGTTGTGTTCCAAAATGGAGTTTCCTCGACAGGGGTCTCATTCCTCCTGTATTTTCTCTCTTTAATATATACTGATCCTTCTATTGTCTAGTTTTTTTTCTCTGTTTCACAAAAATTGATTTTATATTTTCTAATTAACACATTTGAATTTATGTATAAAGTTCAAAAGTGATTGATATTGTTTAAATTTATCCATTGGTTCACACAGTAGTTGATCGTTGGGCATACATCAAAAGTTAGGACATAGAGGGGGAATATGTAGCCAAATGTTGCAGTATTTGTGTTCAGAGCTCAGTAAGAAGAAAAAACACCAGTAACGCAGAAAAGATGTCCAAAAGTACTTAAAAGCCATTGAACTTAAACCATATTCATCCCCAAAAAGAAAACAACAAACAGTAATTTTTTGTAGTCTCCACACAAATCTCAAGTGCAAATAAAAAGAGTTCCAACTCTATGCTCCCCAACATGTCTTTTATGTGAGACCAAAATAACACAAGTATATGAGCTGATGATATCATAAAAGGGGAAAAAAATAAAAACAAAGAGACTCTAAAATGGTACAAACGAGCGGGCGGGCAGATATAATTTAAGCGAAAAAGCCCCCGTGACTGTGACTGTGACTACTTTCCTCATGATTGCACTGCCAGTTTCTGAAGATGCTCAAAGAAGACTTGCAGGCTCACGTCGTCAGTGAAGATAACGTCCGCCCCAATAGCCATCTCGTTTGCATTGTTATAAGTCGCTGATGGATTCAGCTTTGCCAATAAAAACCTTGCCTGCATTTTTATCACACGCATGGAACCATTTGATCAATCCCACACAGATGAAGTCAGAGATAACAAAAGATTTAAAAAAAAAAAACATATATGTGGAATGCTACTCACCTGCGATCCATGTTGATCACACACAACTAGTCTCGGCACTGGGAAACGCTCCCGAACTAACATCTGGGAATCCTCTTGTGGAGCTTGCAATAGCTGAGCAAAGGCCTGGTACGAGACATCACAAAGATTTAGGATATCATAAAGCATTACTGCATTTAGAAAGAACCAGCTCTTTAAGAGTACTTGTCCTAGACTAGATGTGCTGGTGTCATTTTAACAACCAAACTCAAAAGGAACATATCGCATATATCTATGCAAGTGTAAAATGATGGTTATGGTCTTATGGATGATGAAGATGAACGCTTTCTCAACTAATAGATCAAAGCATGTGTTACCTCGTGTTCAGGCTGATGATGATAACCGGCGGTTCGCCATTGTGCGATAGTCATTCCATGGAAGACTACAACACTAAAATATGCATCTAAGAGAAGAATTTTGTCGGATGCAATGGAAGCCACATCCAGCAGAGCTGGCTGAGGTGGCGTATTGAATGAATATGATGTCAGCGATGGTTGGATCATGACGGTTGCATTTGAAATACTCTCCCGGTTTAGCAACATGCGGAAGTATGCGGTTTCATCTGGACTGTTGTTAAAGACCTGCCACCATTCCAACACCGCAAAAGAAAACGTTATTCGATTATGTTTGGCCGATTACATAAAGGTAGATGATGATGAAATGTTAAAACAGCAGTGTACCTGAACAAACTGTGATCGCCGCAGGTTAAACATAAATTGAGGGAACAATGAAAAATAAGGATTCAGCGTAAACGAGGACGGTTCATCCTTTCTATAGTCGCCAAATTTCGAACACAGACGAATGAGAGTCCGATCTATCCACCGAGTGGCATCAAATCCCTCCTGAGGTAATACAAGATACACTGTATGCGTGAGCAATAATATAACACAAATACAAGTAGACAAAAACTAAATGAAGAACCGCAATAAGACAGGACCGCTACTTAGTAGTTTCACTATGAGCCTCGCACAGACTACAAATTGTTGGTATAAAGAGATGAAAGCTACATATAATATACCCACCATAGTTCCTCAATAAAAATGCTACAGGGAAAAATTCTTTGACGTTTTCTCAAGGAAGGAAAAACTGTTATCCACCTAGATTTAATATAGTTTCATTAACTAATAAGTTTTCAGTTGTGTCAAAAATAGTTACTGTTTTCTTTTGGACATATAGATGAACATTTAAACAAAGGTACCGAACCCCATATTTAACTCATCAAAATAACTATGAGCTTAACCCTTACCTAAGGAGCAACCACAAAAGTCAAGTAATTGTCAAACTAAACCCAACTATTGCTAGCAATCACAGAGATGTATAAGGTACCTCTGTTTCCATTTTTAAGGAAGCTAATCTTGCCGTGACCACAGCAGCAGTTTCTTGATCAAAACCTTCCACAAGTTCCTGAGAATGCATACAGCAACCATTGAAAAACAACATTAGCTTGCCAGAAAGCTTTTGGCTATGATAACCTCAACAACATGTTTACATGAATGGCAAACAACCCTAAACAACAATTATCATTGATTGACAAAACTAAATGTTTCAAAACGGTGTTCACGCTGGTACTTGCTTTAACGGTCGGATACAATGCTTAAAATCATGCAACCAACACTATAACTTGCAAAGAAACAGGGGAAAAAGGTTACACTTGAAGGTTACGGTAAGGAATCTTATAAACTAAAACATTAGGAATCAGAGCATGTTATACTGTAGTAGTATCTAAGGAATCCAAGTTCATCCTAACCAACCAACGTTTTCCACGAAAAGAAAATGTGAAGTCCCATTGAAAGCCAAAAAACTGATACCATGCCTAACGATACTAACGTTAACCACATTTGCGAAGTGTGGAGGCAAAGAATAAAGCTTGGTAGCAGATTTGTATGTCTACCATAGCAAGAAAGAATGAGACCTAAAACATGTTTTAATCTTAACATGAACAATGCTACCAAAAAGTAAGAAACAGTGCTACTGGAAAAGAGCTGGTAGAGTACAAATAAAGCCAATTGCTTTTAGATAGTTAGTATAAAGTAATAGGTCATGCAGAAAGTATGACAACGACGAACCTGTGTGCTCACAGCACTATCCACCCACTGCCTAGTTACAGTTGTAACTCGGAGCAATGTTTGACCTTCAGGATTTTGGTAACTGCAATCCAGTCAACAACAGTAAGTCCAATGCTTCTAAAGATAATAACTTAATGCAGAAAGCTAATAGGTAAGAAAAAAGAACGAAGGAAGACAAAATGACAAGCAAAAGCTGCCAGAATACCTTGTGAGAAACTGCAAATAAAACTGAGCATTTACACCTCCAGGGGCATTTGACCCGGTTGAGGATAAATCAAAGAATACAGTCAAGCAAGTACTCTTGTCGAGGCCACATAACTTCCAAGCACTAGTATTCCCCTCTCCAATGACTGTGTCGGCAACACTGGGACCTTTCTGCAAGGCGCCAAATGAAAATAAATTAAAATCGATTGATAGCAGATAGCTTTATTCATTTACAAAGCACAAACGAAACATCTTGGAAGGTATGGATTCCAAGCACTCCAGGTATAACCTTTTCTAATGATGAGCAAGGCCCAATAGCCCCTTGGATTTTGATGTCTTTTGAGCAAATGATATCAAGCGTACCACTGAAAACGAAACGTTCACAGTCAGTTCGGACTAAAGGATGCAAAATATATACTATTGTAGAATACAAAAAGTATGATGCATCATGCTCCACAAGAAAAGATCTTGAATTGCCAAAATACTTCTTATGTAACACCCACTCAACACAAGATATAATAGCAAAGTATTGACACAGAAGTAGAGAAGAAACCAACTTAAAGCAGAGGCCAAGTGACTGCTCGCCATCTTCAAACACCCGCTTGAAGGAATCTTTGAATACGGAATGGCCAAAACTTTCAGAGAGAACAACAAGGCCACCGGTACTTTCAACTGCAACTTTCATTTCAGCAACCCCAACCTAACTATACCCAAAACGCAACAGCAGAGACAGTTATAGTTAGGTATCAAATTATGTGATGAAAAACGAAAGCATAATGGAATGATTTCATAGAGAGAACAAGCAAAGCCTTATCAACACTGAAGTTAAAGAGGAAACATGGTATGGAAAACTCAAGTCTTTCGACAAGCAAAGGACATCAATATGAACCGAAGCAAAAAAAAAGGGAGTTACAGACAGATACGACCTGGGCGAGAAAATAAATGATCTAAAGAGGGGTTTTCAGACGAAAGGGGTGTCACAAAACAATTGCATAGATTGCCACTTAAGAGCACAAAAAATATGTAAAGGTTTTATCTAAAAGTGGGCGCTTTCTTGCACAACCACTAAAAAATGAAAAATAATAGAAACTGGTGATCACAGGTTAATTAAACAACTCAAGTAAAACTAAGAGCTTTCAGAACTGGTGTGCATCAACAATGTCAACTTTGCCTAACAATCTAGTAACTCGGAAAGCATATTAAAGAAAATGACAGATAAAAGTTAAAACTAAACTTTACTTTCAGGGAGTTAATGAGAGATGGTATTCATTTGGATAAAACATAGAAAACAGCAGCACAGACAAAGTTCAGAAATCAGGCCTTGCAAAAAACCTACACATTCATACATGAAGAACAAAACCAGATTTCGTGCATCAAGCAAAATAAAAGCACGACACATTAATACCTGGTCAAGTGCAGAGGCAAAAAGGTCTAACACATGCCCCTGAGCGACCAGCTGTTTTGCAATATTTTCATAAAACTTGACAGCCTTTTTATAATAAGGGGCAGCATCTTTATCAAGATCTTTGTGGGAGCGAACAGGATCTGATAATTCCTTTGAGATAATCTGAAAAGACAAAAAAACGAAAATTTGATTCAGATTTTAACAAACATAGTTCACATATATCATCAACTGAGGAAACAAGCTCTTACCGTTCCAGGGCCCTCTGTACATGGGCCTCCAACCAAAGCTACGATTCTAGCCCCAGTTCCAGGCAAACAAGCTCCAAGCAGTCCTGCAGCTACACTCAATGCCACACCTGTGCATCGTTGAGGACGGTGACCTGGCTGAACAGGCCACTGATCTGTTTGCATCTCATCCAAAAGCTGCATAACAAACATAAACCACACACAGTGTTCAAAATCCATGTTACATTTTGGTTGATGAATCATTAGCAGTAGAATCTGACGAAAATTGACAACCAAAGCGACGAACAAAACACAAATCTATTGACATGTATATTCAAACTGAAACCATAACCCACCAAATCTAGTGTGTATTCGCACTCGGAGGCAGGCAACAGGAACCTGTTCACGCCGGAACTCTGGAATCCGTTTTGCGCTCCTTTGGGAAACCCAGAAGTGGGAGCTCTCCTTGAGGAAGTCCCAAGTCCCAATTGATCCAAAACTTGATCCTTTGAGACTTCTTTGTTCCCCTTAAAGACAAAAACTTTAGACATCTCTGAGAAGCCCAATTCATGCACATGAGCCTGAGTACCAAACGAAACGAATCCCACCAAAGCATTTTCCGGAAGCAATCCGATCGCCTGTTTGAGCGCCGATTTGGCGAATCCCAATTCTTCCTCGATCATACACGTATCGAGAACAAACACAAACACCGGCGGAGGGGGTTGAGTTGGAGCAGCGCCGGTTCTCGGATCGAACTGACCGGGGGTCGGCGGGAGCGTGTATTCGACAGTGGTGTACTGAGGGTAAAGCTCGCCAGGGAGGTTGATCTCGGAGATCATATGGTAGTGAGGCGGGAAAGGACTCCGATGCAAGCAGAAAGGGCAGTTCCAGCTCTTGGCGGTGAAATCGACCTGGCAGAAGGCGTTGAGAGCAGCGTGGCAGGTCTTGCATCTGAGAGGAGCATAAGGGAGAGAAGGGATGTCGGGGTGACGGCGGATCGGAGAGATGGAGGCGGCGAGTGGGATCACGCACTTGCTAGCCTCGACTTTAGTGCGAGGCCAGAGATTCCAGGTCATACGAACTCCATCGATCCCTTCCGGATCCGTGTTGACCATCTCCGCCATTGTTTGCCCTGTGAATTCTGAGCAGAAACGGATCAGATCGGGAATCGAATTGTGGGGTTTCTCGAGACGAAACTGAAGAAGAAACTCAGAATTATGAGGAGGAGAGCCGTGAGAGATTAGGAGTTGGGGAGTTACGGCTATCACTCGCAGGTCACACGACCCGAGAGTCGATTGGATAGATAGACGATGGATCTACTGTCGGGTCCGGGTAAATATTAATAAGGGTTTTTGACGAATTATAATTACTTTTCTTTTCTTTTTAGAAGAAAAATTTGAATAATTATATTTCTGGTCAAAAATTAGAATGAAATTTTAGTTACTCCAGTCAATTGTTTCATTTGTATACCTTTTTGGGCCTTTGGAGTATTTTTCTTTTTGGTAATCAATGAGAAGGAAATTAAAATGATTTTTTTTTTATAAATAAATTGTTCCTACGAGTTTTTGCAGCTTATGTGACACATTTACACTTACACCAAAAAAATATGCAAAAAGAAAGAAAAGAATGCGAACAGCCAACTAAAAAAAAGTCCAGTCTTTCATGTGCCTTCCTTCCATCTGATTCATCGTGTGGCCCTAAAGTCACGATCACATAAATTTCATTTAGAAATAAAATAAAGTAAATAATGCATGTAGATCGGAAAATTAAATTAAATTAACTTCAACACCTCGCGAGATCTGAAAATTCAAATTCTGGCTCTTAACGGCTCTCGCTCTCGCTCTCTCTCTTCCTCTTCTCTCTCTCTCTTCTTCCTCGCTCTTTGCCCGAGCACTAGGGTTTCCACTGACGCTCTTGCAGGTCACGGATTCGCTTCCTCTCTCCCTTTTCTACTTTGGGATTCATCTAATTGTAGATTTTACCGGCGGAGATGAAGCATTTCATGCTGCCAAGAATCGGTACCTTGCGCGACGGCGGAGAGCCGCACTCGCCGAACCCTAGCATGTCGAAATCGAAGCCCCCACGCAAAACTAGATCCGCCAAAGAAAATGCTCCACCGTCGGATCAGAACTCCTTGACCCCCGACCATAGATCGTCTCCGGCGACGAAAATGAAGAGTTCGCTGCCTCCGCGTCCGCCGCCGTCTAATCCGCTCAAACGGAAGCTCAATACGGAGGCTGCGACGGAAAATATCATTTCAGACTCTGGCGTCAAGGTAATTTGACTGACCCTTTGAAGTTTTATGTCATCTCAGAAATTAGGCAGTGTCGAATGCAAATTTCTAATTAGGTAATGTCGAGGAATACAACTGATTCCACCCAATCGAAGAATGTGTACTACTTGCTAAGTTTAAATTCTTTTGCTATTGCATAAGGTGATAAAAATTTGAGAAAAATTCCAGGTTATAGTTAGAATGAAGCCTCCAAGCAAAAGTGAGGAAAGTGATATGATTGTACAAAAGATCTCCAAAGATTCCCTCAAAATTAGTGGGCAGACTTTCACATTCGACTCAATTGCTGATCCAGAGTCAACACAGGTAAGATATCTTTATACATGATTCTTTGTGCTGTGTTGCTAACTTGCTATAAATCTATAATGCTATGTCATCGTGATTTCACAATCTCTAATTCGTTCTTCTGTTGCAATTTTTTTTTTGTTTTCACAGGAACAAATGTTTCAGTTTGTGGGAGCCCCTCTTGTTGAAAATTGTCTATCTGGGTTTAACAGTTCTGTATTTGCCTATGGACAGGTAGTTTTCATTTTCCAAAGCCTTTCTTTTGAGGCAGAGTTCCATTTCTCAAACTGTAATTGTGACTGTAACTTCAAAACTCGACTGATCATGAAATTTTTTCTATCAGACTGGTAGTGGGAAGACATATACCATGTGGGGTCCTGCAAATGGATTGTTGAAAGAGCATCTCAGCGGTGACCAGAGAGGATTGACCCCACGTGTCTTTGAACGTTTGTTTGCCCGAATCAAAGAGGTGATTCCTGGTTTTTTTCTAATTCAGTGTTTGTGCAGAGATTAGCTCATTCAGAAGTTGATTCCTTTTCTTTCTCTTTGGTTGGCAGGAACAAGTCAAGCATGCTGAAAGGCAACTCAATTACCAGTGCCGCTGCTCGTTACTCGAGGTACAGTGACTAGATGCATTACTTAAACTTGGATGGCGTTTGAAGGTTTCATTTCATAGAGTCTGATATGTAATGTCATTTCCTTTTTCTGTTGCAGATTTACAACGAGCAAATAACAGACCTACTAGATCCGAGCCAGAAAAACCTGATGGTAAAAGGAACTTTCAAATTCAATTTGATTTTTATACTTAAGGAAAAGATGGGGTTCATTGTTTTTAATTAATGTGGCACCAGATTAGAGAAGATGTCAAGTCAGGTGTGTATGTGGAAAATCTTACTGAGGAATACGTGAATAACTTGGGAGACGTTTCACAGCTTCTGATTAAGGTTTGTTATACTTTTTGGTTCTCTCTGCACATTAATTCCTGATTTGCAATATTTCTGAAGTACTTGATATAATTTGCTGCTCTAAAAGTACACAAGAACACCAGCTTCTAGGTTGTCATATATTTGTAATTCTCTGAAATGAAATTTTAAAGAAGCAATGTGAAAGCTTGTTTTTGTTAGAAAGAGGAGGTGGCCACAGATCATATAGAACGCTGTTATTGGATTTTAACGTTTATGTTCTTTTAGTGATTCACAGAAGGCATACCTTTTAGAAAGATAGTTAAGAGAAGTTTATATGCCCTGAGAAAAGTATCTTTGATAGCTATAATTGTGTATGAAACTGGTGTAGGGTTTGGGAAATAGAAGGACTGGTGCAACGAGTGTGAATGCAGAGAGTTCGAGGTCACATTGTGTATTTACGTGTGTTGTTGAATCCCGATGCAAGGTAAGCTATTCTTCTCCGTTGAATTGTTCATATTACTGGCTTTTAAGAGTAAACCGTCATGACATAGATGGCTGAATTCGTTTGAATGTACTTCTTACAGAATGCTGCAGATGGGTTAAGCAGCTTTAAGACAAGCAGAATAAACCTTGTTGATCTGGCTGGTTCTGAACGACAAAAATTAACTGGTGCAGCAGGAGAACGTCTAAAGGAAGCTGGGAATATCAATCGATCGCTCTCTCAGCTAGGGTATGATTCAGAGTGGTCTCTTACCTTTCTGGTTTAATTTTGCATCTCATTTAGCTTGTAAGTTTCATTTGTTTTTGTACTGCAGAATGCACTAGAAATCTACTTTTGATGTTTGAAAACTGATGGTAGTAGCGTAGCTTATGCTGTCTTCTAGTTTCTGATACTGCAGCAGGCACTAGAAACCTAGTTTTTGATGATAAAGAATTGACATTTAGGATAATGAAAATAATTGGAAAACTGATGGTAGGACCGTAGCTTGTTCTTGTGTCTTTTAAGCAATGGTAGTAATATAACTGATGGTAGTAGCGTAGCTTCTGAGGTTCTTGTGTCTATTCCTGTCATATGTGGGACGTTTTGCAGAAGCTGAAAGTCTCAATACATGTTTACCGTACAAATTGTTGTGCAGGAACTTAATAAACATCCTCGCAGAGATTTCTCAAACAGGGAAGCCAAGGCATATACCTTACAGAGATTCCAGGTTAACATTTTTATTGCAAGAGTCTCTTGGTGGGAATGCAAAGTTAGCAATGGTTTGTGCAATTTCTCCTTCACAAAGGTAACACAGGACCCCCTGTTTCCACTTCACCAATTATTTTATCCTCCATCTTCTGCAAAATAATGTATGTATGGAATACTGCAGTTGCAAGAGTGAAACCTTTAGCACCTTAAGATTTGCTCAGCGTGCAAAGGCAATACAGAATAAGGCTGTTGTCAATGAAGTGATGCAGGATGATGTTAAATATCTGCATGGAGTGATACGCGAGTTGAAGGTACGCATTCTTGTACATATTTCATAAGATATAAATATTAATTTGTGAATATGACTGTCAATGAATGAATTGAGCAGGATGAACTACAAAGGATGAAGGACGATGGAAATAATCCAACCAACCCAAGTGTAGCTTATTCCAGTGCATGGAATGCACGTAGAAGTTTGAATATTTTGAGAAGCTTTGGTCTGGGTCATCCAAGGTCCTTACCTCATGAAGACGATGACGGAGATATTGAGATGGAAATTGATGAGGCTGCTGTTGAAAGGCTTTGTGCTCAAGTGGGTTTGCAATCATCTCCAGCTTCCGAGGGGATCAATCGTGATATGAACAGAGACGAAAAACACAGAAAATCAAAGTGTAAAACACCTGATGAACAATTCAAAGAAAAGCGGCCTCCTGACGACACAGATGTTGCCATGCAGGATGCTTGCTGCCAATCTGAGAACCATGAACCAGAAACCGGCATCACAGCAGATCAGACCAAGACACCCTTGCAAAGTTTGGATCATGACTCCAATTTGCAGCCTCTTTCAGCAAAGGATGCTATTTGTTCTCCAACAAACGAGACAGAGGATGTGCCATCTTGCCCTCACTTGGTTCTTGAAGACGTTGCTTCTGCAAATGTAGTGACAGCTGATGGATTAAATGATCCAGAGAACTTAGTAAATTCTGCTTCTCCTAGTCTTTGTGTAGATCCGGTTGGTGCTGCTCCTGTATTAAAATCTCCCACGCAGAGCATCTCTCCTACGATTAGGAATAGCAGGAAAAGCCTGAGGACATCTCAAATGTCAACAGCATCTCAGAAGGATACTGAGCGAGACGAGTTGGTTATTGAAGCTGCAGATCCATGTCTGGCTACATCCAAAAAGATAAATAACTGTTCTAGTGCTTTGTCTACACAGAAGAGCAAAGTTTTTCCTGTACGGACTGAGCGTTTGGCAGCTAGCCTCCACAAAGGAATTGAATCTCTTGAGTCGTATTGTCAGAGTACAGCTCAGAGAAGATCCACGTTCAGGTTTTCCTTGAAAGCTCCGGATAGTAAGCCTTCAACCTTTATTAGTAAGGCTGATGTAGGTGTGCAGACCTTTCCCGAAGCTGATGCTATATCAGAGGAAAATACAAAAGAGTTTCTGTGCAGTAAATGCAAATCCAGAGAAGAAACCGATGCCCAGCAAATGGTTGACATGCCAGTTCTCCAGTTAGTACCTATTGAGAACTCGGAAGTGGCAGAAAAATCCAAGAGCCAAGTTCCCAAAGTAAGAACTGTACTAGCTTTTCACCTGAAATAGACTTGGAAAGTTAAGATTTTTGTTGTTTCCACATATATATAATGTGTGCCTCCAAATGATGGAACGATCTTCTACTCTTTACAGGCAGTGGAAAAGGTCCTCGCAGGATCTATCAGGAGGGAAATGGCTCTAGAAGAGTTCTGCTCAAAACAAGCCTCTGAGATAAATCAACTTAACCGACTGGTAAGATACTTGCTTCTTTTCAGCTTTTTAGTTTTCTTATGCGCTACATACGAAGAGAAGCATTATAATTGTGTATTAGAACATAAATTGGTCCAAATCGTGCAACAGGTACAACAATACAAACACGAGAGAGAGTGCAATGCCATCATAGGACAAACAAGGGAGGACAAAATTATTCGCCTTGAAAGTCTTATGGACGGTGTATTGACTAAGGAGGACTTCCTAGATGAAGACTTTGCAGCTCTCCTGCATGAACATAAGGTAATTGTGGGTTCTTGTTTTCTGGAAGGTATTTTTGACTCCACTCTTGTAGCTGTCTCTGACTTTTAATGTTGCAGCTTCTAAAGGATATGTATCAGAATCATCCTGAAGTTCTGCAGACGAAGATTGAGTTGGAAAGAGCGGAAGAAGAGGTTGAGAGCTTCAGGAACTTTTATGGCGACATGGGAGAAAGAGAAGTGTTATTGGAAGAGATTCAGGATTTGAAGACGCAGCTACAATGTTACATTGACCCTTCGCTTACATCAGCTCGGAAAACATGTTCCCTGCTTAAGCTTACACACCAAGCTCCCCCAGTTAGCGCTATTCCCGAATCACAGAACGAGAGTCTTGAGAAGGCATTGGAACAGGAAAGACTCCGTTGGACCGAGGCAGAGACCAAATGGATTTCTCTCGCAGAGGAACTAAGGTCAGAGCTTGAAGCCAGTAAGGTGGTGATGAACAAGCAGAAACACGAACTCGAAATCGAGAAAAGATGTGGGGAAGAGTTGAAAGAAGCGATGCAGATGGCTATGCAAGGGCACGCACGGATGCTTGAACAGTATGCAGACTTGGAAGAGAAGCATATGCAGTTGCTTGCACGGCACAGAAGGATTCAAGAAGGAATAGATGACGTGAAAAAAGCAGCTGCGAGAGCCGGAGTCAGAGGAGCAGAATCCAGATTCATTAATTCACTTGCAGCAGAGATCTCAGCCTTGAAGGTAGAAAAGGAGAAAGAGAGACAATACTTGAGAGATGAGAACAAAAGTCTCCAGACTCAACTCAGAGACACAGCTGAAGCCGTACAAGCAGCTGGAGAGTTACTTGTTCGGCTTAAAGAAGCCGAAGAAGGTTTAACAGTTGCACAGGTAAGCTTCTTACAGTTAGTTTTTAAACATTTCAGATCAGAATAACGCAATTCTTGATCCAGTCTTTTTACAAGCAAGGAAACAACTATACGTGTTCTGTGTCTTACATATAATCTCTCTTGGTTTGTATGGACAGAAACGAGCGATGGATGCAGAGTATGAAGCTGCAGAAGCATATAGAAAGATTGACAAGCTGAAGAGGAAACATGAAAACGAAATCAACACGCTTAACCAACTCGCACCACAATCTCCTATTCAAAAGGAAAGCTCTACCACCAAATGCGATGATAATGCCATGGAACCATCTGGAGATGCGAGTGAGCAGCAATGGAGGGATGAGTTTGAGCCGCTTTACAAGGAAGGAAATGAGTTTTCAAAGCTTGCTGAACCTTCTTGGTTCTCTGGTTACGATCGATGCAACATATAAAAACTCTAATTTGCCACTACATTTTTTGTGTAATGTGTAAAAAAATGGGTGTCGTGTGTTCTGTGGTATAAAGTCCATTAAAGGATGCACTTGCTTCAAATTCGGATGATAAAGTAATTTTTAACCAGTCAAGCTAACCGGAATTTAATTCTGTAATCATATGGTTCAATACTCATATCTTGTTTTCTTTCACAGTATACTTTTATCCCAGCTCTAGTATGTTCTGAGTACCATACACAACTTAATCTGCCTCTTCTGTAATGATACAACATGTTCTTGGTTCTACCATTCTTTTTACAGACGATGAATTTTACTTCTGAATAAAGCGAAAAATACAAACAACTGAACAAGATACTAAAATAACTCCAGAAGCTATACTAATAAATGATTAGTGTTCGTTCACCATTTGTTTTCTGAATGTACAACGAACTTTGATCATATCTCTGGCTCAACTTTCATCTGGACCGCTGGTTCAGAACCTGTGACACACACAAAGAATTGGCAATGTAATTGGAGACATTAGACATCTTAAAACAAGACTTCATCCACAGTTTGATATTATGCAATGTAAATTTTGTTCTTTGGTTTTGCTTACAGTTGATGCTCTGTTGCTGATTATCTGTGAAACCCATCTGAACAATACTCTGCAGATCGTTTTCCCAAAAGGCAGACGCCTAAAAGAACACAACGCATAACAAAATAAAAATTTCAGAGGAAAGAAGACAGTGTGAATTATTACAATATAACACAAAGTAACTTCAACATTAAGTACCTCAGCTTGAACAAATCCACCACTTGAAGGCAGTGAAGAACTCGAGGAATTCAATTGGAACTGAGTTCGAGTCTCTGATAATGTAGGAATTAAATAGCCTGAAGGAAGTCTTGCTTCTAAGCAAGAAATCGACTGCGATAATGACTCTCCCAGCTGCAACATCTACACACAAATATAATACTCTACTCATCAGACACAGATACAGAACATTCTCTAAGATGCAGAGTCAGTCTTTGCTTTTTTTAAATGAATACAATAATGTCAATAACATAAAACAGATCTGTCAAAGCAGAAGTACCTCTGGGGCTAATAGAGCATTAGCATTAAACTCCGTTCTTGGATGTATAGTTGCCAACTTCATAGATAAGAACTGTAGTGAAGTAAAGAGTTTCAGCAAAAAAAAAAAAAAGAAAATACGCAGCTCCATGTTTAATAACTAATGATTTATACCTCGACTTGTCTCTGCAATGACTGCACATAATTAATAATCTCATCAAGCATGACAGCTTTCCCAGTAATCCGGTTACAACCAGGAACCAAATCCTGAAGCAACTTCATTCTCTCGCTAATCTTTTCTCTTCTTGCCTATTCCAAAGTCCAAAATTACACATCAAAAATCATTTCAAATCAGAAGAAACGAAACAGAAGATATCAGTTTCAAAGGTTTCAGTACCCTTTCAGCAATACTGTGGCTATCGGTTGCTTGACCTCTTCTTGCTCTTACATGTATGTAATCCTTGTATGGATCAGGATTGTTCGCATTGTCCTTGTCTTCGCTCTTCTCGGTATCATTTTGCTTGCTTCTCTTGCCAGACACATTTCCACTTTTCACTTCCGACACCTGAACATAATTTAGAAACATTCCATTAGAATTTACCAAAACCAGATATCAAGAACATACTAGAGCACATTTATTCATAATCTCCACACAAAACACAATTCTGTTAACTCATGAAAAGGTTTAGACTCAAAATACCTTGGAATTGGAAGCAGTAAGAGACGAGGAAGCTGGAGACTCCTTTTCACTTCCATTTGGAATCGATTTTCTCTTCCTGGAGTTAGGTCGAGTCTTAGCTCGATTGGATGTTCCAGAAACCGAATCTGGATCCAGTAACGAGCTCTTGTTGCTCTCCTCTGTTGTTGGTTGAGACCCGAGAACACAGTCGGATCCGAATTGTGCCGGAAACGGGAATCGAATTGGGAAATTCTCGGAGAAGTGGGAGAGTGATATCTCTTGCGTGTCGGAAAATCTTCCGATTAAGTCACTGATCATCATCGCGTCGTTTCCATTGCCAAAGGGTAAGAATTTTAGGGTTTCTTCTGTTTCCTTGTCCATAACCAAATCTAAAGAGAACAGTTGCAGACGAAAAATGAGAAAACTTTCTACGGAATCGAAACAAAGAGAGAGTTTTTAAGGAAACAGCTAAAAATCTACGGAAACAAAGAAGAGACCAAGTTTCTAGATGATGATGATTCTACAACTGATAAAAAGTTGAAACGAGTTTAGGATTAAGGCCTAGAGGAAGAAGAAATGTATAAATCTTCAGAGAGAAAGATAAAGTGTTTACCTTTCTTTTTCCAGTTTGCCTAATTACTGAAGATATTTCAGAGAAATGGGACTGGGACAAGGAATTGTGATGAGAAAATGAGAGGAGAGCAGACCCAGAAAAAGAAAGAGGCTTTCACGAAATTCAAAAGGAGGGAGGAGCAATCACGGATCAATCAAAGAAGAGACATTGACAATGACATGTAGCGATTAAGGATCTGAGAAACTGACAAAAGAGAGTAAATTTATTACAGTTGAAAAAGAATCTGGAAGGTGGTGAAAAGTAAGTGGGTGGGGCAGCTCACAGATCCCTTTCCTAATGATTAGAGAGAGAGAGAGTAAGGGAGAGATTAAAAATTGTTAATTTTCAAATGATTAGTCGTTAAGAAGTTAATAAATCACCGAAATTTGGAGATTTGAAAATGAAAAGTTTGGTTTGTTCTCTGCGCTCAAAAGTCAATAATTTTAATTTAGAGTTGACTGTGGAAGGTTAGATCTTGAATATGGTGCACTCCTTAAAAAAGAAAAAAAGAAAATTGAATTTGATATGTTTATTAGTTTGTATCTTACTGGTGTGTGATTATTCACCAGCATTTTGTAATCACAAGTGGTCATGGTTTGAACTTGCAAGAGTGTATTCTTGTTTGGTTTCATTTTGAAGCACAAAGCAGAGGAAACCTCCAACATGTAATACATATTCAAGAAGTCGCCAGGCATTCAAAAGAAGAAGATAAAAACCATGAAAGATCTTGTTTTTTTTTCCTAACGAATACTTCACTTGGAAGCATTCAAATTTATTTTCAATTTCATTGCTATTTTTGTTAGTTTGCCAAATTTTCTGGATCGACGACCTATTTCCCCACGAGAGAACTATGATATCGTACTAGATCCAGCCCAAACTATGACCTCGATCTAAATATCCCCAACAACAAAGTTTAAGACCTTAATCCCCGCAAAATTAAAGTTCCAAACTTATATCTCCACAAAATAAAAGTTTGAAACAAAATACCCATAGACCTTGGTTTAATCGGGTTTACGGTTTACTAAATAAACATTAACTATATGAATTGAGATTTAACCGTAAAAACCCCAAATAAAACCCAATTAGATGTATTAGACCAGACTAAACCCATTTAACCAGAAAATCAAATCGTGCAACAAAGCCTAAATCACAAAATCAAATCTTGAAATCTTAGAACCTTCTTTCTCGATGTAAGTAGACAAGATTTTCAATTTCTCCTAATCTGAATATTTCACAGATTATTATAGAGGACTGAACAAAGCAAATCAATTAAAAAAAAGGCAAGATAATGAAGTCTTAAACTGTTGTGGGGCATATTTATTGTTGTCGAGCATATTTAGATCGAGTTCATAGTTTGGGCTACATCTAGTGCAACACCATAGTTCTAGTGGGGAAATAAGTCGTCAACCCAAATTTTCTATGGTTACTCTCCTAATTAATTAGGCACATACAAAGTAATATTGAGTCGATCCATATTCTAGAAACGTACGTATATGTATCTAGTAGTTTGCCTTTGGTTTCTAACGTAAATTTTTATAACCCCTTTTTTCCTGGTAACAGATTTTTAAAAGTTCCTGAGCAAGAAAGAGTCGCAGTGTTACTCAAGAAAAGAAAAAGAAAAAAAAAAGAAAGAAAGAAGGAGTCGCAGATCGAAAATAGAGCAGAAAAGGTTAACCGGCTTCATCTGGCTCACCGGTTCGATCTGGGCACAGGCAATGCAGGCATTGGCGCGGTTTTTTGCTGGTGGGTCAATAAGCTTTGTCTCTTTGACACTGTAAACCGGACCAGTTAGTCAGAGGCGCGGTCTTAACCGGTTGAGTCCGGTTATGACAACACTGGACCGGTACAAACAAATTTTCTATTCCTTCATTTCTCCGATCGGTTTGATCTGTTTGTGATCGTCACTCAAATTCCTGAGCTGTAGCTTCGATCTCTAAATCTGATTCTCATTTCAATCTCTCTTCTCTCACGACTCTCCAAATCGTCAAAGGTATACAATGGCATATCGATTATGGATTTAGGGCTTTTGCTTTGATTTCCCTTTCTCAGCTTCCACAGTTTTCAGTAGATTGGCTGATTTGTGATTGGATTTCCTCAATTCTGACTTTTTTTATTTTGTTTGTGATTGGCCAGATTCCGAATCAGTATCCAACCCAGCGAGCCTCCGTCTTTTCGGTAAGCTTCACCTTCTTCTTCTCCACTTGTTTCTTTAACGCCTATTAGATTTTGGTTTAAGTTGTTGTAGCTTCTTAATTACTCTACTTTACATGCCATTTTCGTTCGGCAAATTTGCTCTGTTGAGTTGCTTGGTTTGTTTTGTTCTCTCTACTTATCAGGTTAAACATTTGAGTGGGTTTAAAGAAATTTGATCCTAAAGATGATTTCTTGTCGATGTGTATAGTGTGGGAAGTGGGTATCCAAATTTGTATGATACTAACTTTGCTTTCTTGTTTACATTTGGATGACGTTTTCAGTGCATAACGATCCACCGAAAAGAAAGATAAAATCCTAATCTCGGTGCAAGTCTTGAGTAGAAGATCATCACTTCTAAGTGGTACCTGGCATGGTAAGATCTTTGAATGTTATTCTCTTTTTCTACTTATCAAGCTCTGTCAAGAAGAAATTTTGAACTCTGCTCATCCTCTATTTGCAATAATCAGTTACTATTCTGCACTAAAGTTGATTCTCCTCATACTTGACAAAGATTAGTTTTCATTCAAGTATGTCCTTTTTTTAAAAAAAATGCATATAAAATTTGACTCTCTTGGGTCTTTGATGTTACAGGCAAGCTCATTACGGCTGTATCTAGCATGCATAAAAAACACACTCGAGGCAGCCATGTGCTTACAGGTACAAACTATTTTGGTTCAAGATATTGTGGCATATGTCTCAAAGTCTCCTTCTTTATGGTTTAGTATGTTTAAGGCAGTAAAAGTTTCGTGTTTGCGTTCTCCCTCATCCATGTTTCCACTGCTGGTGTATTACTTTACTCTCATGTATTAGTTGTTTACTTGTTTATAGAGATACTACACCATCATTACTGTTACTTTTGGCGTTATGTCTTGCAATGTTAAGTGTCGAATTTTTAAAAATTATGCACTTTATGTTCCTGTACAAGTAGGCGAAAAGGGTGCATGTTAAGTCCTTGTAAGATTAAGTTTTACAGAGTATATATATTACTGAAAGCGTTTTGTATTTCTCTTTTTGCAGAACTTTCCTTGTCAAGAAGTTGAAAGGCATAATAAACCAGAGGTTGAACTAAAGTATGTAAGCTTGTTACAAAAAGATGCATGTGAGAATGGAATGCTCTTGTGCCATTGTAATTTCAACTAGTAGAATCTTATTCTCACCATGTTTTGCTAATTTTTGTAGGACAAGCCCAGAACTTTTGCTAAATCCTGTAAGATGTTTATTTGTTTCCCTTTCAGTTTAGCATTGATATTCACCGCCTTCTTACATAGGTTTTGTAATTGATTACATTTTTTTGCAACTTACAGGTTTTAATATGCCGTAATGAGGCTGAAAAGTGTTTAATAGAAACATCTATAAATTCACTCCGGATAAGCCTCAAGGTGATTGTTAATCTTACCGTTTCGTTTTCTTCAGTCACTTACTAGAAGAGCTCTTGGTGATAGATTTGTTCAACAAGGGTTTATGTTGAAAAGAGCGGGGACTTAAACCTCATTCTTTTCCTGCTGTTACAAATATTTTTCATCGTTGATTTGCAGGTCAAACAAGCGGATGAACTTGAGAACATATTAACGAAGAAGTTCCTTAGATTTTTGTCCATGAGGGCAGAAGCTTTTCAAGTACTCAGGAGGAAGCCAGTGCAGGTAGATGTTTCTTCGTGACCTACACTTAGTGTTAAGAACCCAAACCGGGATAGCACTTAGCTTCGGAAATGCTATATGAATCATGAATCATCTCACTGTGCGGAAATGCTTTGGCTGTAGATGATTTACTGTTAATTCCGTGCGTTGTGTGAACGATTCATTCCCTGATCCTTTTCTGTTTGTTTCTTGTTGGTCTTTGAAACAGGGCTATGACATTAGCTTTCTTATAACAAACTACCACTGCGAAGAGATGCAGAAACAGAAGCTCATCGATTTCATCGTTCAGTTTATGGAGGCAAGTCTTTCTCCAAACCTTTTTTTTTTATTCTCTGATCTTGGTTGCATGCAATAGTATCATCCTAACAATGGAAATATGCCTTTACATATGACATGTGTCTACAAGAGTCAAAATTTTGAAAGAGATTAGTTACTCTGATGATATCCTCTAAACATGTGAATCTTCTCTTAATCTGATTAAAAACTTGAAATGTTACTATGGAAAATGCAGGATATAGAGAAAGAAATAAGCGAATTGAAGATTTCAGTGAACACCAGAGGAAGACTCGTTGCTACAGAATTTCTGAAACAGTTTATGTAAATCACCTTGAGGTATTATAATGTAAAAGCCCTCATTGTATCAATCAGCCACTCATTATTCAAGTTAAATTCATCTACACAATCTCTTATTTTTGCCACTCGTCTCTGTTCTTCTTAATTGTAGTGTTTGTGATACGAAACTTATAAAGTATGGTCTGTAACGTCTGTTGATCATAATGTTCTAATGTAGAGGCCCAGAAACCAAGAAGTTGGAAAAAAATGGTGATCTTTACCACAAAGGACTTAAATTTATAAGGTTTCCCTATTCCTAGATTCCTCATACAAGAGTAAAATGATCTCACATTTTGGTAATTCAATATCCCCATCCAGATTTGTTGGATATGAGATGCCACTATATGAATCTCTAAGTTAAAAAGGAGGTTTGTCCTCGATTGGATTTTGACTCTTTTACTGTTACCAATGAAGTTACTATAACATCTTAACACGGTTGTTGAGCTGTTTGATAATAACAACAATTAACAACGTTAACTTAGTCTCAGTGAGAAAGACAAAACGACCATTACAAAGCAGCTAAGCTTCTTGTAAGAGGGTCATTGATAGCCGCCGAGCTCGTTCGTTAGTGACATAAACCTGGCAAAACCGAAAACAAACTCTTATCTCATCTAATGATCATATATTCTGGGCCTTTGGCTGTTGAGGATACAGGCCCAAATAGTTAGATGGGCCAGATAGTAAGAGGCCTTATAAATAATATGGGAACTAGGGTTTATACACAGACACAGTCTCCTCTTTAACTACTTCTTCTCCTCCAACTCATAAATCCGGCGCATCTAAGGAGTAACAAACCTTAGGAGGCAACAATGGGTACGAACGTTCTTTCTTCTCGAAATTTCTCAATCCTCCCGCTGGAGATTGATTTCTATTCTTCGTTCATTGATTTTTTTGTTGCTGAGACCTGACATAGAACCTGAATTTTCTTTTGATAGGTATCTCTCGTGACTCAATCCACAAGAGGCGTGCCACTGGAGGCAAGCAGAAGCAATGGAGGAAGAAGCGAAAGTAAGTTTCTTTATTTCTCTTCATCGCTCAGATCTCTCCCGATTTATATTCTCTGCTCTGTTTCAATTACTCAATAAACATTTGAACGAAGAAGCACAGAACATGACGCGTAGCTTATAAGTTATGATCTGTGTATTAGATTCATATTCTTATCTTCTGTTCAAATTCCTTATTAGTCTAAAGCGTAAACCTTTTAGAATTTTGACTAGTGAACTCAGGAACTGTATTGTTGATAGAAATGTTACTTGAGATCAGAGAATGAAATACATTACAAATGTTGAAACATTGTATTACGGCTTGTTTATTCGATTTGGTCTATTTTGGTAGTCACAAATGATTCATGATCTCTTTGATTTTATTTTTTTGTGGCTTCTAAATTTTTGGAGTGTTGGGTTTGTGAAGGTACGAGATGGGAAGGCAGCCAGCCAACACAAAGCTGTCAAGCAACAAGACGGTCAGAAGAATCAGAGTTCGTGGAGGTAACGTCAAGTGGCGTGCGTTGAGGCTCGACACCGGTAACTACTCTTGGGGAAGTGAAGCCGTCACCCGCAAGACCAGAGTCCTTGACGTTGTCTACAACGCTTCCAACAATGAGTTGGTTCGTACAAAGACACTTGTCAAGAGCGCCATTGTTCAGGTTGACGCTGCACCCTTCAAGCAGTGGTACCTCCAGCACTACGGTGTTGAAGTTGGCCGCAAGAAGAAGAACGCTGCTGCCGCTTCCAAGAAGGAAGGAGAGGAAGGTGAAGATGCCGCACCAGCTGTCCCTGAGGAGACCAAGAAGTCCAACCATGTCCTGAGGAAGATTGAGCAGCGTCAAGAAGGACGTAGCCTTGACTCACACATTGAGGATCAGTTCGCAAGTGGTCGTTTGTTGGCTTGTATCTCATCGAGGCCTGGACAGTGCGGTCGTGCTGATGGGTAATGATTAAATCTTGTGCCTTGGTTCCATTTTTCTCAAAGCTTAGATAATACATTTTTGTTGATGGGTCTCTCTTTGTTGGTGCAGATACATATTGGAAGGTAAAGAGTTGGAGTTCTACATGAAGAAGATCCAGAAGAAGAAAGGAAAGGGTGCTGCTTAGACTTTCTTGAGCCTTTTGATGTCTTACAATCATGTTTTGAGTTTCTTCTTATCTGAGAACCTTATGTTTTTGGATTGGCTTGTTATTTCATAAAACACTTTGTCTCGGATTTTTGCCTGCGTAATTGATCAATGATCTGTTTAAGAATCACTAGTATTAAACTTCTGTCAGAATTTGAGATTCGCTCTAGACAGTTTGTTTATTCTACCATAATCGGTTTGCAAGATTTTGCGAAAGTTTTTCTGACGACCAAGAACTTGGAATAAATCTAGTAAATGACTTACGAAAATCTGATTTGTAGTGTCATCAGTATCTGAAACTACTCTCCATTTTCGTTGATCATCAGCTACATAGAATATCCTCAAAAAGCTGTCACTCCAAACCAGTTACATTTTGTCCATACAATTACAGTATATACAGTACTATAACACATTAAGATGAAACAAAAAATTTAAGCGCGAAGAAATAAAAATTGAAGTAGAAACAAAACAAATTCTACATTTTTGTCCTCCCCCATGGAGTATCGTCTTCTACAGTTTCTACTAAAGACTAATTGTTGCAAATAGAGAAGTAAAATTTTCTCCTTCATCTCTAGGGTTTGGGGTTTCAGAGGAAGAGAAGTGGGTTCGTTTCCGTTTTAGAGGTTCTAGAGGAAAAAAGGTCTGCCTTTTTGAAGAATTCCATTTAGGGATTCGGAGAAGAACGAAGCAAAATGCAATCATCCTCATCCATCATTACAGGAATCTGTAAATTAGAAGTCTCTTGTAAAAAAGATGGGTTTAAAGGCGCTTGGTACAGCGCGATTCAAAGAGAACACTCACACGGAAATTTGTTCAGAGTCACTTACACGACGTTGCGCAAAGAAGACGGTTTGACTCCTCTGACCGAATTCGTGGACCAGAGCTTGGTTCGGCCTGTCCCGCCCAAGGATCTCAACGACAAGGGCTCTGTGTTTCAGGAAGGCTCGGTGGTCGACGCTTATGCCAAAGGGGGCTGGTGGACTGGTCTTGTTTTGAAAAGGAAAGAAGAGGGTTATACTGATACTGATACTTATCTTGTTTTGATGGATTCACCACCAGACGTCATTCAGTTTGAGAGAAAGAAATTGAGAGCTCATCTTGACTGGACCGATGGCAGATGGGTCCGACCAGAAAACAAGGTACGAGGCTTTGCAATGTCAAAGTTTTGAGCTTTTTTGTTTGAATGTGTAGCAAAGCTAAAGACTTTGAATTGTTTGATGACCTTGAAGGAAATGATCAAAGTTTTGAGCTTTTTTGGTTTGAGTGTGTAGCAAAGCTAAAGACTTTAAATTTGTTTGTATGTCCCCTTGAAGGGATTGATAAAGTCGGCTTTTAGTCCTGGGACCATGGTGGAAGTTGAAGAACCGGATACTGACTGGCGTCCGGCAATGATCATTAAGGAAGTGGAGAATGGGAAGAGCTTCATCGTCAAGTACTTTGATCATAAGTCCTGCAGCTTCAGGGAGGGATCAGGAAACGTAATCGTTGATTCGCGAGAAGTCAAGCCTAGGCAACCTCTTGTATCTGTTGCAGACTATGACGTGTTGGATCAGGTAGAGGCCTTGGCTGGTTTAAAATGGCGTCAACGTGTGGTGAGGGGAGTTATCTATAAGGGACTACGTTACATGGTAAGTTCTAAGGATTCAAAGGTGGCGTCGCAATTCAGTGTCTCAGATCTTAGGCCTCCAATGGAGTGGAAAGATGGGATATGGCAAAACAGATCACCAAAGGTTTGATTTTTCTTTTTTTTAAGACAACAAACATTGTGTCGATTCTGTTTATGTAATGTGGTATTGCAAGAGTAAAATGTTCTTTCCATTTTTCAGCCAAAAGAAACTCGTTCAAAATCCGGAATCTTTGGCAAATGTTACACTCGTAAGAGGAGAAGAGGAGGAGGAGAAGAACACAATCCAGACCTCAGTGATACTGGTAAGTGTCTTAAACGCTCATTTAAACCATTTATAATGCAGAATTAGTAACTATTACTGGTAGATATGGTAAAGAAAATGTCTTTCTTCTTTCATTTATTTGGGTTCTGTGTTGATATGTGCAGTGTTATCCTCGGATCGAACCCTCACTGTGGTGAATAACTCTACTGCTAATGTTGAGGATACAAGAAAGGTTTTACCTTTTGCGAAGAAGTCACCGATTTGGAAGGCATATGAAGCAATGGATGTCTTCAAAACATTACCGCAAAATCCTCATTTCAGCCCATTATCTGAGACTAAAGAAGATTTCCGTGAAGGGTCTGCGTTAGGTATGATGGCTACTTTCTCCGGTTTATTAGAGAACTTCAAAGATTTGGAAACCGACGTTACCAAAAGCCAACTAGATACCATGAAAGACTCGTTTACCGAGCTAGAGCAGCATGGATTCGATGTTGAGAGGCCTTTGCTGCGGATCGAAAAGCTGTTGGCTTTTAAAGATAGACAGGTGAGCATACTGAAGGAACGAGAAGGTTTCGAGAAAGAGATGATGGTTGAATCTAGCAAGAAGCGCAAGGCTGAACAAGAGTTTAGTGATATAGAACGCAAGATGCTTGAGGTGAAACAAGAGATTCTAAAGCTGCAGTGGCAAGAAGCTGCTCTGAGAGAGGAAAAGGAGGTGGCAAAAGAAGAGAAGGATGCTGCCTACAAAAACATATGTGAGAGGGAGTCATGTGGAAGAGAGCTTAGTGCAGAGCTTGAAGATGTGGAGTTTGACTTTGAGACTATTTTGTCAGCTCCATGGTAAGTAAAGTTAAAGACGAAACAAAACTATGATGATCACTCACTCTCTTTTTATCTTGACTCAAAGATTGGTCTGAGATAGTTTTACCCTTGACTTCCATTTTCCTTTTTTGTGGATTTCAGGTAAAGAAAACCAAAAAAAAAAAGACAAATGTGCAAATGGTAGGATTTAGAATCAGAGTCATGGAGGCTGAAGCTAAAGTAGTTTGTAATAGTAATTAGCTTTTGTGGGAATTGAATTGTATTTTGTTAATCTTAATAGCCAGAGACCCCGCAGCTGACGATAATTACCGAGCGACCCCGCAGCTGACGATAATTACCGAGCGACCCCGCATCTTTTCTAGTTACTAAGAGACCCCCGCCTCCTTTTTTCCTGGTAACAGATTTTTTACCAGAGTACAGCTCAGCAACGGTCGGTGTTGAAGTTGGTCGCAAGAAGAAGAATGCTGCTGCTGCTGCCAAGAAAGAAGGAGAGGAAGGTGAAGGTGCCACACCCTGAGGAGACCAAGAAGTCAAGCCATGTCCTGAGAAAGATTGAGCAGCGTGAAGAAGGACGTAGCCTTGATTCACACGTTGAGGATCAGTTTGCAAGTGGTCGTTTGTTGGCTTGTATCTCATCAAGGCCTGGACAGTGCGGCCGTGCTGATGGGTAATGATAAATCTTGTGCCTTGATCCCGTTTTTCTCAAAGCTTAGATAATACATTTTTGTTGATGTGTCTCTCTTTGTTGGTGCATATACATATTGGAAGCCGGATTATGTTGGTGCAGATGGCTTGTTATTTCATAAAACACTTTGTCTCGGATTTTTTTTTTTTGCGTAATTTATCACACGATCTGTTTAAAAATCACTAGTTTTAAAACTGCTGTGTCAAATTGTGTTGATTCGCTTTAGAGCCGGGTGATTGGTTGTTGCTCTAGAAACTTTAGAACATGTGCAATGGTAAGCTTCACATGAATATCTTTAACAATAATAAATAAATGAATTTTGGAATAAAGAAAAATGATTTTCAGAAAAAAGAAAAGGTGATGAATCACATAGTGACACCTATAGAAATCTTATGCACATGAATCTCTACAGTCTCTCCCCACAGAGACGGATCTGGACTACTTTAATGCCATGTGGGTATTTATTTGTCTTATTTCTTTTTTTTGAGATTGAGAGACTATGAAAAACTCTCCGGTGCACTTGCTCTTAGAGAGCCAACAAAATTTCTAGTCAAATAGATCACCAATCATAAGCTGGAGAATATTACACTTAAAGGCACTTTAACACTTACAAATATCAAGTAAAGGCACTTTGATTCTAGAGGGACTTTGTTCAAAAAAACCACTAGGGAAATTCCACATCTATCCTTTTTATTAATTTTGTTAAATTTTGCTTTTTGCCACAACCTTATCTCTTTTCTTTCTTATCCGATAACAAACCGTGAGATCTGGCTGAAGTAACTTGCTTTATGTTGGAGGCTAAGAATAAAAATGGTAGTGGATCTAAAAAAATTGGTGGATCTAAAGAAATTAGTTGGTGGATTTGGAAAACTGGTAGATCTGGAAACATTAGTTCTGTTGAAAAAAGCTTTTCTTCTGCAATTTTTGTAAGATTGATGTGCCGTCGAAATTTGGAACAACAAATATGAATTGGGTTTTCATTCGCCGAAGCGCTGTTCTAGCGAACAGAAACAAATGATGTTGGAGACTCTTCCCTCGGATGGACACATGGATAAAGTTACATAGATTGGTTAGCGTGGATACGGAATATATGTAATCAACAACATATGGACATATGGCAGTAGACACAAGCAAATGATGTTGTATACTCTTTTTCCGGAAGGATATATTTAGATTCAGTTTCATGAACTGGTCAGCGTGGATATTGTGCACACACGCTTAGATATTTTCCCCTTCATGGACGAATAGGCAAGTTACATGATTAATACGTAAGAAACATGGTCAACAATATATGGATGGTTGATAGTGGACACAAATAAATGATGTTGGAGACTCTTTTCTCGGTTTGACACGTTTTGATCCAGTTTCATGGATGCGCCAACGTGATTACAAAGGCTTGACTTTATGATCGGATACGTTTGGATTGGTCAGCGTGGATACGCATGAATATTTACCCAGAAAGGACGAGGCGATGTATATGACTAATACATTGTAGGCCAATGGACAAATGGTATTGGATAAAAACAAATAATGTTGGATACATACACATATGACTAATATATCGTAAACCATGCATTGATACATACACATATTACAATCGTAGGCGATCTTGTCCACATCTACATGTCCATGCAGTAGATATTTGGACATATGAGATGACCTAAAAATAGATACATGTACATACACAACAATTGGACAGAGTCATATGGATGGATCCGTTTGATGTAAAAAATAATTAACTAATCTTCGGTCCATCAAAGTCACAGTTCCCATCCACACCATTCGGTCCACCACCGACCATGTTCGTGTCACAGCTGCCATATACAATACTATTTACCATTGGCATTGCAACATGTACGCCTTCCACCTCTTATCCTCCTTGGATGGGTAACTTTGTACTGACTAGTTTCTATGTGCAGATAATCATGGGTGGTTTGACGTCCTCATCTATGGATTGTTGCCCGTTGGATTCATGCACACCATCCACATCTTCCTGTACAGATGTACCAAAATATTCTTCTTCTTGAATAGATCACAAGTAGACACGACTGCGTGGACATCTGGATGTGGACATGATCGCGATTTAACCCAAATTCATCTACTCCAAACTTCGTCGAATCTGAAAACAGTTATATTCATCTTCTCCTCACTCCAAGAAAAGAAATCCAGAAAAATCCGTGAAAAATTGAATGACGACGTCTTTGCAATTGAACGGTGATGGGATTTAAAATTTTATGGTTATGAACGATGGAGTGAGAGGCAAAATTTAGAAACAAGGACGGAAGGAGAAACGGCGGCGGTGGTGAATGACAAAGTGTGAAGTGGAGTTGTTGATTTCTAGTGAAAGATGGAAATAAAAAATAAAGAGTAAAGTTAAAAGTAAAGTTGTAATTAAAGAAGAGAAGGAAGGAGTGTTTTGTCTTTACAATACACCAAAGTCCCTTAAGAGTGGAAAGTGGCTATAAGTGTAAAAAAAAAGACAAAAGTGCCTATAGATGTAAATCACTCCATAAGCTGGTATATATATATATTTTTAAAACTCATAACTTTCTTTTATTTTTCCTTCTTTTTTTAATTTTGCATAACAAAATTTCTAGAACATAATTCTAAAGCTCTAAATTTCTTTTTTCTCTCTCTTTTCTTTATTTCTCTATTTCTTTTTTTACTAAATTCCTACAACCAATATTCTACAACAGCAAATTCATAACCATAGCCACAAAACATAAAAAGCCAAAATTCTACAGCAAAAACATAAAGTTAGAACAATAACCAATCACTCATAATTCTATCATTTCAACTGTATATTTGTTTTTTCCAAACAAGTCTTAAAGGCAAGGAATTGCATGATTTTATTAACCATTTCTAATATCTTAGAAGATACTTGGAACAAAATATCTCTCATACCGATTAGCATTGTCGTCAACTGGGCATGGACACAAAAACCGAAAAACCCAAACTAAACCGAACCGAAATTGATGGTACCGAATTGAACAGAAAATGATACAAAACCCAAAACGGTTTTTAAATTTCTACAACCGAAAAACCGGAACCGAACGGATACGTAAAAATAATTAGTTAATTTTTTTAAAAAAATAACCAAACTATCTAAACTGATAATTGCATACTAAATATTTAAAGTATCTTAAATCATTTAACAATATTTGTTTAAATTCATTTTTTTTTGCAAATTTAATTTAATTACATTTAACTATTTTTTGTAGGATATTCCGGCACCCAAAACGGATCGAAAACCGAAAACAAACCGAAAATTAGAAGAAAAAAAATCAAACGGTTTTTATATTACTAAATCCGAAATAACCGAAAACCAAAAATAACCGGACCGAACCGAACCAAATAACCGAAACTGAATGCCGAGGGCTATCGTCTCTGAAACCACTTGCCAAATCTTATTAAAAAAATAATATTTAAACCCTAAAGAAGAAAAATAAAAATAAAAAACAAAAACAAATTCTACTTTTTTCTTTTTCCTTTTCCCTTTCCATGGCTTATCATAACCCTGTGCATTTCGGGATATCAATCACGTTTCCATTCTTACCCATTCAAAAATTCATGAATTTTTTGGGAATAGGAAATTGCATTTTCCCGTTTGGGAACATTTCTTTTATTCAAATGTGTAAGGAAATGGTTTGCGAAGGTTTCAGAATTTCCCAAAGTTTAAAAAATATAAAATTGAAACAGATATTTTTCTTAAATATCACGATTTTCCCATATTTTTCCGAAATACTTCGTATTTTTCATACTTTTCCAAATTATTCATTTTCCATTCCCACTATTCTCATCCCATTATAATAAAAAAATATTTGAGTTAATTTCTCAAATTTTTCATTTCCATCCGGTTCCCGTCAATTCCCATCCTAAAACGTGAATAGCTATTGTCTTCGAGTAAAGACTGTCAAAAAGAGAAGTAAGTTTTCTCCCATATCACCTTACTAGAAAAAAAAGTTTTCTCCCTTATCACTAATCTTTAGAGGAAAAAAGGTGACGAATTTTTGAATTTTCATCTCAGGATTTTTTCAGGGTAAAAGGTTAAACTCCGATGAAGAAGAAAAGGAGCAAAATGCAGTCACCGATTACAAACGACCCTAAAGTAGAAGTCTCTTACGGAAAGGATGGGTTTAAAGGCGCTTGGTACAGTGCGATTCTCGAAGAAACCCCAACCAAATCAGGACCCGACAACTTACTTAGAGTCCGTTACACGACGTTGCTCAAAGAGAACACTTGGACTCCTCTGACCCAATCCGTGGACAAGAGCTTTGTGCGACCTGTGCCACCGAAGGATCTCAACGACGTCGTTGCTGTGTTTGAAGAAGGGTCTGCGGTCGACGCTTATTACAAAAATGGTTGGTGGAGAGGTCTGGTTTTGAAAAGGAAAGAGGAGGCGGAAGGTACAACATATATGGTTTACTTGGATTCATCACAACAACCAGACTTGATTCAGTGTGAGAGAAAGCAATTGCGAGCTCATCTTGACTGGACCGGTTCGAAATGGGTCCGACCAGAGGTATGATGCTCTGCTCTCTGATGTCTGATTAATCAGGTTTTTTCTGTGTTGCATGTCAAAGTTTTGAGCTTTTTTGGTTTGAGTGTGTAGCAAAGCTAAAGACTTTGAATTGTTTGATGACCTTGAAGGAAATGATCAAAGTTTTGAGCTTTTTTGGTTTGAGTGTGTAGCAAAGCTAAAGACTTTGATTTGTTTGTATGTTGTTGAAGGAATTGGTCAATTCGGAGTTTAGTCCTGGGACCATGGTGGAATTGAGAGAACTGGAGTCAGACTGGTGCCCGGCAATGATCATTAAGGAGGTGGTGGAGGAGAAGGGGAAGAGCTTCGTTGTCAAGTACTGTGATCATAACTTCTTGACGAAATCAGGAATCAGAACCGTTGATTCGCGTAAAGTGAGGCCTAGGCAGCCTCATTGTCCTGTTGGAGAGTGTGAATTGTTGGAGAGTGTAGAGGTGTTTAATGGCTCTGTATGGCGTCGAGGTGTGGTAAGGGGAATTCTTACCCTTGAGGGACGATACATGGTAACTTTTTGGGGAGCAAAGTCGGCGTCACAGTTCAGTTACTCAGATCTTAGGCCTCCCATGGAGTGGGTAGATGGGAAATGGTATAAAAGACCAAAGGTTTGTCTTTTTTAACCCAACTGATTCTGTTTATGTAATATGGTATTTTTGGAAGTGTAATGTTGTTTCCATTTTCAGCAAAAAGCCGGAATCTTTGGCAAATGTGACACTCGTAAAAGGAAAAGAGGAGACGTAGAGGACAATCCAGACCTCAATGATACTGGTATGTGTTGAAAATAACTATTACTGGTAGATATGCTAAAGGAAAGGAAATGTCTTTCTTCTTTAATTTATTTGGTTCTGTGTTGATATGTGCAGTGTTATCCTCGGATCGAACCCTAATTGTGGTGAAGGATTCTGCTGCTAATGTTGAGGATACAAGAAAGGTTTTGCCATTTGCGAAGAAGTCACCGATTTGGAAGGCATATGAAGCAATGGAAGTCTTCAAAACATTACCACAAAGTCCTCATTTCAGCCCATTATCTGAGACTAAAGCAGATTTCCGTGAAGGATGCGCGTTAGGTATGATGGCTACTTTTTCGAATTTACTAGAGAAATTCAAGGATTTGGACACAGACGTTACCATAAGCGAACTAGATAGCATGAAAGACTCGTTCACCGAGCTAGAGCAGCATGGATTCGATGTTGAGAGGCCTTTGCTGCGGATCGAAAAGCTGCTGGCTTTTAAAGATAGACGGGTGAATATACTGAAGAAACGAGAAGGTTTCGAGGAAGAGATGATGGTTGAATCTAGCAAGAAGCGCGAGGCTGAGCAAGAGTTTAGTGATATGGAGCGCAAGATGGTTGAAATAAGGTACAAGATTCTAATCCTGCAGTGGCAAGAAGCTGATCTGGGAGTACAAAAGAAGGTGGCAAAAGAACGGAAGGATGCTGCCTACAAAAACATATGTGAGAGGGAGTCATGTGGAAGAGAGCTTGGTGCAGAGCTTGAAGATGTGGAGTTTGACTTTGAGACACTTTTGTCAGCTCCATGGTAAACGAAAACTATGATGATCACTCTCTTTCTATATTGACTCAACACTCAAAGATTGGTCTGAGATAGTTTTACCCTTAACTTCCATTTTCCTTTTTTGTGGATTTCAGGTAAAGAAAACCAAAAAAGAAGAGACAAATGTGCAAATGGTAGGATTTAGAATCAGAGGTCATGAAGGCTGAAGCTAAAGTAGTTTGTAATGTAGTAAAAAGCTTTTGTGGGAAATTGAATTGTATTTTGTTAATCTTATTAATACCGAGAGACCCCGCATCTTTTGGTAAATAGCCAGAGACCCCGCATCTTATGATAATTACCGAGTGACCGCGCATCTTACGATAATTACATAGAGACCCCGCATCATTCGGTAATTACTGAGAGACCCCGCATCTTTAGCGGTATGAACCATTGGTAACAAATTTTAAGAAAATTATAAGCAAGGAGGCGCAGATTGAAAATAGACAAGAAAAGGAGGCGCAGAGCCATATCGGGATCATATGGCTCACCGGTATCTGGGTCACAAGCGTTGAGCGGTATGAACCGTGTTTGAGACTTTAAATCGGACCGGTTAAGCCTCAGAGGCCGGTCGTGTCCGGTTATGACAACACTGGTCAACAGTACAAATTTTTTTTGTGATCGTCACTTTCCTCAATTTCCCGAGCTGGCGAGCTGTATCTTCGATCTGACGAGTCTCCAAAGGTATGCAATGGCACAGCGATTATGGTTTTAGGGCTTTTGCTTTGATTGAATAGATGCTTTGATTTCCCTTTCTCACTTTCCAAAATTTCAGTTGATTGACTGATTTGTGATTGGTTTTTCTCAATCGAATCGGCCAGATTCCGAATCAAAACCCAACCCAGCGAGCCTCCTTCGTCTCGGTAAGCTTTCATCTCCATCTTCTCCACTTCTTTCGTTAACGAGTACTAGATTTTGGTTCAAGCTTTCGTAGCTTTATAATTAGAGCTTATAAGCATGCAGTTTGATTGAGTCTTCTACTTTACTTTCTCAGGTTTCTGTTGTGCAAATTTGCATTTCATTTCATTGTCAGAATTTCGTTTTACTCATTTCGGTATTGCTTATTTGTGCCCCTAGGTATATGAGGTAAACCTGATCAAAGATCTGAGATTTTTCTGCGATTTACTTCCGTCTATATATGGTTTTGTTCAACGCCGTTTGTAAGCTTCTTCGATTTTCTTTTTGTAGGCTTTCGCATCCCTCCTGTAATTTTCGTTTCTACAAGCAAGTTTCTTCCTTTTCCAAGCTTTGTGTCCATCTCAAAGTAGATAGATTGCTAAGCATAACTGTCTCCATTCTTGTAGAAAATTCACCTAGATTAGCCTGGATTTAAACATAGTTTTTGTTCTGAAAAGCATACAATCTGATTTTGTTCTACTACTTGTTTTTAGGCTCTGCAAATTGCACTCTACTTGTTTTGGTCTCTATTTGTTTTTGAATATGGTATTCTGGTTCCAAACAAATCTGTAGAACATGAAATTTAGTTAGAAAGTTATGCACTCATTATTCAGACCTCCGTAGTTGTTGAAGAGGAGCAAAAGACCAATTGAAATGCTGTTCTGGTAGTTTTTGATTAGATGCTATTTGAAATTATGTGCTGTGGGATATCGAAACTTTAAGATAAACAGATAGCTGGACTATATTGGGATATCATCTGGTTGCAGAGTGTACACTTTTGTTTTGCGAGTATACTTCAATCTTCTCTCTCTCTCTTTTTTTTTTTCAGATATGTGTAGTTTCTTTGTCCTTGGTATTGCAGATGCGTTAGTATATGTGAGTTAAATGGGGCTTTCGCATTATGTTCTCTGTAATTCGTTTTCATGATTGCTTCACCTGGTTAGTGATTGGGTTTGTTAATGGGTTATTGCATCAGAAAGTTCTCTTACTGCATATGATTCATCAGAAACTTGTGCAGTTACTACTTATTATAGCTACTCTTATGCCAAGTTCTAACTCTTTTATTTCTCGTTTGCCGTCATTTGCTATACAAAAAGATGACAACAATCGAAACTCAAAAGTCATCTGCTTCCGCTTCTGCTCCCAAGCAGGCATCGCCATCGCCATCGTTTAGAAGGTGGGGAAGGAGAAACCCATTTCTAAGATATGGACTTCCGATGATCTCTCTCACAGTTTTTGGAGCCCTCGGGCTCAGCCAACTCCTTCAAGGCAGGTCGGTTCTTCCTCCACTAAGCTAAGCTCTCAATCTATAAGTTTCCGGCGACGTATCAGTTTAGAATTCTCTCAACTTCACTGCATATGGTTTTGCTTGGTTAGTTCAGTAAGGATATAGCAAAGGTAAAAGATGACCAGGAATGGGAGATTATAGAGACGAGAAAGGCCCTTTCGAGAACCGGACCTGTCGATGCTTATAAACCTAAAAACACTTCCATCGAAGATGAGCTCAAGGTATACCTCAAAACTTTTAAGGTTACATGATCTAACGATGCGTAAAAGCTTTTTTTGATGAAACACTTAAATCTTGATTGAGTTTTTGTTATTCTCTCAGGCTATGGAAGGGAAGGTGGACATAAACTCGTACGAGTACAAGAAAATTCCAAAGCTGAACGAAAGCAAGTCGAATTAAGTGAAGTCTTTTGTAAGAATAATTTTGTGTATCAGTTCTTAGAGATGTGTTTCTTTTTCACTTCACTGATGCACATAAACACGCTAAAGTTAATTCCAGTAAGTTTTGACCTTTCTAAACCAAGAACCGATATCTTCGTAACCGTTGTTAATTGGATAGAACAATAATAATTGAAATAATAGTGACATATGATTGGTTGGTTTTATTAAAAAATGATATAGGAGTGTATATTAACTTTGATAATTAAATATGTTTAGCTCTGAAAAATCCCATTAATGTAAATCAATAGATAAACAGTTGCAACATGAAATTACCACTCTCTTACATCTTTACATTATTCCGTAGCCGTTATTGTTCATTCTTACAGCTAAAAAAACTCGTTTAGCTTTTGTTTACCATTCAAACATCAACTTTTCAGATGGCAAAGTACATTTCAGTATAGCAAGTACAATTTTATCCAAAAAAAATGAAGTGTACGTACACATTCCTAGAGAGTGACCGAAACTAGCTTCCCACGTCGCAAATACATTCATTTATTTACTCTTTTCTTAATGAAACAAGGCTTTTTATTTTAAGACCAATTCCTAACGATAGAATTATTTACAATTTGTTCAATTCTCAACGGCTTCTTCTTCACACACTATCTCATAACCTATACATATCATTTATTTTGTCATCTTCATCCTTCCATTTATTTTCTTTTATCATTGAATATCCAGCGAGATAGATAATGAAGATGAAGCTTTGTTCCATTTATATTGTATTTGGCTTAATTGCTCTTCAGTTTATACCTTTGTCCACCATAGTTCATGCTCAGCAAGCTAAGGATTCGTGCAATTCAACTCTACCTCTCAAAGATTTTACTTTGGACTCGAGCCTTCTTCAATGCGTCGAAGCTTGGAGTCTCCAGAATTTCATCCTCCGAGTAAGTCAAAATTTCCATTAAAAAACTTTCGTAATTCTTCCCCCTTTGACATCTTCAAATAAAAATTTCGAAAGAGTATTTTCAGTTGCACTTGATAATAATAGATATGATGATACTTGAAAAAAATGATAATGGAGTTTCTTTTGTCGTGTGAATTAAACATATTTTTATTTTCTTGTGTCAACGAATAAAATAGGTTAAAACAAGTTTTTGACGGTTTTACATCTGTCTAATTTTACTGTTTCAGAACGAGTGAGAAATAAATTAATTTTTACAACAACAATTAAGTGAGAAATAAAATCGTCAAAAACTTTAAATAAACTTATTCAGTTTGTCATTTCTTTAAATAAAATGTTTTCCGTTGACATTTACCCAAACTAACTCATAATGAAATCTTGCACAGTATGCTAAAACGGTGGACAACACATGGACTTTCATCCTATCGGTGCCGGATTCCAGTGCCTACATCGGGATCGGATTCTCGACCAATGGCCGGATGGTCGGAAGCAGCGCAATCGTCGGGTGGATTACTACCGACAGCAGAAGAGGAGAAGCAAAACAGTACTCACTCAAAGGGAGATCCCCTGATGATGTAACACCTGACCAAGGTGATCTCAAGATCATCAACGGTTCTTTAAAGATCGAGTCAGTGTCGTCACGTCTTTACATGAGTTTCCAGTTGACGGCGGAGCTGCCACGACAGAATCTCATTTACGCTTTGGGACCTGCCGGATTCTTCCCATCTTCGCCGGACTTTAGGTTGAGGGTACACCGGTCCGTGACCACCACGACCATCAATTATAATATTGGTTAGCAACATTCATTTCTCTTCTTAGAAACAAAATTAGCTTGTTTAAAATTTTATTTGATTAATTAATTAAAAGTCAATATTGAATCAATCCATATTTTTGGCTAATCATACGTAATTTAATTCTCCACCATGGTAACTATTATAACCAAATTGTTAATTAGATTAAATCAAATCAAATATTATATACACATTTGTGACGTTAAAAAAAAAGTCTAGATATACATTTCAATATTTTCATTTTGTAAACTGATTGAATCAATTATATACGATCTTCCAACTTTTTCTTTACAGCCAATATTGCTTATGTTAAACAGTTAATCACATAATCATCTCACTAATTCACATCATTAGTTACTCGGAAGATAAGTCGATGAGCTTTTATTTTTTGTTGGAATAGGACCGACCATGTCTCCGGGTCCAGCTCAGGCACCGGAGACCAAACCTTCTCAACCTCCTATCATTCCTTCATCCGGATACGGCCTCTCACCGTCTCTTTTCTTCTTTGGCATCATCAGTCTCGTAGCTCTCAAATTTCACTGATTTTCTTTGTTCCTTTATATTGTCTGTTTTCATCCTCATGTGATTTGATATAGATATTGTCGATTTATGGAGAAAGAATAAACCATTTATTTGGGGCATTGCGGTGTGGAAGAAGCTTTGTGTGTATATTGTGATTTTTTGGAGTGAGAATTACTTTGTATTTTCTAAAGTAATATATATCATCGTTCTTTCTTTTGGTTGCTTATCCTTTGAAGTAAGATTGTGGAATCGCAACACTTGTGAACTAACTTCCAAGAAGATTGATGTGCAAAGTCGGTTTAATGAGGAATACAATCTGAACATTCTCAAACTAAAAGTGTCAGAAACCAAACACAAGTACACAACCCTAAAATATTGATCATAATGTTTGGTGGTACAACGACCAGTTTTGATCATATATTTTAGTTTCATGGAAATGCATTTTCTTTCTATTAAATTAGTTTTCTTAAACTTAGTGATCACAGGCTCTCTTTTTGCTCGATTCAAACAATTTATTTGGACGACTTTTTATAAGTGACGAGTAGTTTGAGATCCCATCCAAAATTTAAAATATTTCCCATTATATAATCATGAAATTAATATTATTTCATATATATGGATGCATGCCATTAATTCCGAAATACATGAATCTTCACGCATTTCGAGTTTTGTAAGGCATGGCAATGAACTCGTTAGTTCCAATAATTTAATCTGTAATACGTTACTGACTCATAGTCTCAGACTATTAGCTTTGAGACCTTATTTATACTTTGTTTATAATTAGAGTTATATAGACTTTGTTTATAAAATTTACAATTATGTGTTCCAAATTACACCGGATCATAAATGAGAATCTTAAACTTGATAACTTTTTATTAGTAGTATATTTTAGTTTTGTGCAAAATATGATAGTTCTAAGTTAATAAATAAATCATTATATTGATTTTTAATTTGATTTAGTTTGGTCCGTGTATGTGATGGACCTTTCAGCTTCAACTCTAGTTAATTCGTGATCACGTAAATGATTTAGAGCATGACTCATCATTACTGCAATGCAATAACTTCAGAATTTAATTTAATGTCAATTACCGTTTTGCTTTTCCACTATAAAAAGAAAGAAACGAAAAGAATTCTTCACAAATGTATTCATATTATTATTACTAGAAAAAAAAGTATGAACAACATCAAACACTTTCTCTTGACCATTTACATTTCTCTATTCCTATCATGTCAAGATCACGTCTTAGGCGACATCATATTCCCGAAGATTTCCGAGTGGCAAGTGACGGTGGTCAATGGATTGACCACTAAAGAAACTCTTTTCATCCATTGTAAATCGAAGGAAGACGATCTAGGCGAACAAAATCTGAGTTTCAATGATAGATTTTCTATGAATTTTAGAGAAAATATGCTTCACTCAACTTTGTTTTGGTGCTATATGAGCAAAGATGATGGTCATATGAATGTAAAAGTGTTTTGGGATGATGTAATTTTGTTTCATAGATGTGGTTGGAAACAATGTCTTTGGACTGCTAAGACAGAAGGCGTTTATCTTTGGAATTCTGCAACCGGTGAAGAGATGTTGGCCGAGAAATGGGAAGATGGATGGTGAAGACATATTTTTACTAATTGTCTTATCATATGAATTTTCATTGATTAAAGACAAAAAAACAATAATAATAAACAAATTGTCCAAATATCTCCCTTATTTTTTTGTACTTTTTTCATCACAGAATTTTCTTTGCTGATAAAATTAAATTCTTTACATACAATCCGATTACTTGTTCATTTTTTAAATGAAATTATCTGTAAAGAAAATTACGTAAATGAAGATGATGTAAAATCTATCACCTTCCTGTAGAATTTGGATTAGGGTCGGTTAAATATCCTATTTTTTATTCTTTCGTGTCATGCAAGAAACTTGGTGAAGAAAAGAGAAAATGTTGTTTAGTACTTGTTGGCTTGTTGCAAGTAAAATTAGTTCCTCCTGCATCATAAGTTCCTTTCCAGTTTCCATGCTGTCTTTGGTATTGGGCCTATGCCTTGGTCTGAAAAATCTTGGATTCATCAGGCCAGATTCCGCCATCAACTGTCTCGGGCTATACGCCTATACCATAACACATAGCCTCGTTGGACACCCGATATGAAGTAAATAAGGAGACTTGGCCAGCGGATAAAAGAGATATTCTCCTTTGATCCAAGCTATAGTAATAGCAAAATCAGATTACTTTAGGAAAATGAATTAACCGATAGCGACATATATAAGAGATTACAGCTTCATGTTGCTACTCCTGAAGCATCCAAAAAGCTTTCATTGTCTTGTCCATGGGCGTAGTAACAGTTAATGTAGAACATCAACGCTTCATGCATGCACGGATATTCATGAACAATCGAAATCACTAATAAAGTAATAAGCACCTATTAATAGTGATGTGTAAATATTAATATAGTAGTATATTGTTCTCAGTTTGGGTTTTCCTATTTACATAATATTTGCCATTACACTATAGTAGTATAGTGTTCTCAGTTTCTAACATATTTCAGTGATTTTAAGTTTTTAACCCGGTTTCTTCTAGATTTTAATTTTTTTTATAGATCCAACATTAAGAATCCTATTCTAGGCCAAATATAGGAAAAATAAATTTATAGTTTTCATTCCATGCGGTTAGCATTTAACCAAACAACATATCTCTGTCATATACGAGGATCAGTTTTGTCTGTTGACAATGTAATCAGCGAGAGATAACAAAGGAGCCATCTTGTGAGAGTCAAACTCTTGAAGATGCTTTCTCGCTTCTATGTTCAACTTCTCCGCATATTCCTTTGACTTTTCCACTCCCATCACTTTCGGATATGTCAGCTTTCCGGCGACCAAATCTTTACCGGCGGTCTTCCCCAAATCCTCCGACGACTTTGTCACGTCAAGCACATCATCCACAACTTGAAACATCAACCCAATGCATCTCGTGTAACTCCGGAGTCTCTCGATCTCTTCATCAGAGCCACCTCCCATTATACCTCCTATGACAGCTGCAGCTTCAAGCAACGCCGCCGTTTTATGAATATGTATAAACTCAAGATGCTCCAATCCCACGTCGTTGTCCTCAAAACTCATCCCTTCTCCGGCCAGGTCCGCCGCTTGACCAGCAACAAGCCCTTCCGTTCCCACCGCTTTGGCCAACTCCACAACGGCTCGGAGAACCTTCGCCGGGGGAGCGTTCAACGAGGTGGATGTAGCCATCTTCTTGACGGCCAAAGCTATGAGGGCATCTGCGGCTAAGACGGCTATATCTTCGCCAAAAACTTTATGGTTAGTGGGCTTTCCACGGCGGAGGCTGTCGTCGTCCATACAAGGAAGATCGTCTTGGATGAGAGACGACGCGTGGAGCATCTCAATTGCACATGCAGCGGGCATTGCGGTTGACTCTTGGCCGCCCACAAGCTCGCATGCAGCCAAGCAGAGCATTGGCCTAACACGTTTTCCATCCGAGAGAAGTGTGTACCTCATGGCCTCACGGATTTTGAGTACTGGCTCGCAGAGTGGAACAGCCTTGTCCAGTGCTTTATTGACTGAATCAGCCTTATTGATCATATACGACATGAACTCAAAGTCAGACCTTGTGGCCGACGTCAGATGGCGGATGGACGGTTTAAGGTGGCGGGTCAGCCGCAGCGCAGACGTAAATGCACTGTAACGCGGCCTTAGGAATATCCAAAAGAATTGGAGAGAGATAACGATGGAAAAGAGAGTGTAAACAAGAGCTTCTCGATTTTCCATCTTTGGCTTTGGTTTTTGATACTTTTTTACATTGGAATGCTGATACCATATATATTTATAGTGGAAAGTTTTATAGGGTTTGATTTAACTAATAAACCAATCACGTTTATTCTCTTTTGAAGCAATTCAGTTACGTAAAACATGCATAACAGCTTAATTACTTATATCGCTGGAGTAGATTCATTGATAGTAGCGTCAAGCCACGTTGGGAGCGTAACGTAAACGTAATTCTCATTAATTAGTCCCATGTGGTTGGATTGGTGTTGGAAAGTCTACACAAATGCTATTACGTTTTCGTTTGCTACTGCTTATAATAATAGGATTTTTACATCTATAAGAGCTGTTTTCTTTTTTCCTTTTTAATTAAATGCCATGGCCTCTTGGAGTTGTAAAGGCTTTACAAATAGAAAACACAAATTAATAAATTAGTTTCATGCCATTTTTTTATAGAAAATACTACATAAATATACACATTAACCGATCCAAGCCAATGAACGAAGAAGCATTATGATCCCTTGCATCTTGATTTGACTATTATTGGTTGAATTTTTTATACGACTAGGTATATTACAGTGAACAAACTTTGGAATTCATAGTCACGAACCCCAAAAACTGCTGCGTTCCTGTCGCTGCTGCGTTACCCAAAATCCAGCTCTTGGCAAGTGGAGATCGCACCTCTGTCAGCGATGTTATTGGAACCCTCGTGAGTATCTTCTCCCCAATCAGTCCTCGTCGCCATTCTTTCAACTCTCGCACGAACGACGCAACTGAAATTGGGGTTCTCAGGCTCTTTTATTTTACAAAACCTAAACCTGTATTTTTTTTTCCTTACAAGAGACTTAGGCTAAAGTGTTAAACGCGCCCTGCAGTAAAATGTCAATTACCGTTTTACTTTCCACTAAAAAAAAGAAAAAAAACAAGAAAGAAAGAAAGGATAACAATTATGTAAAACGGTAATTGTTTTCCTTTTATAAATAGGTGAATACGCTTCATATTATTATTACTAGAAAAAAGGGTATAAGTAACATCAACCAGTTTGTAATACTATGAGTAACATCATTACCAAATATGCATGTTCTTATGATATGAAATTATGAACTACGCTCATCCCCTTTCATAATATCGCAAAATATGTTGATATGCATTTATTATAAAAATACCGAAAGTATGCATAGCAAATAACTTGTACGTAGCGTGGCATGCAAGGAATGATTTTGTTGGTATCTTGATCCAACTGGCTATAGTTCGGACTTCGGATCTTGGGTGAGTTGGGTCTAGGAGAGACCGAAGTTGATGGACCAGATCGGTGTTGGAGCAGTCCATTCGTGGATGGGCCAATGAGCTACAAGAATTGGCCCCTAGTCTTTCTTGGGTGGTTAATAACTGTTGTAAATGTCTACATGCTGCGGCTATCGAACTAAAAAGAACCTATATGGGGGTTAAGTCCCACAGATCAATCCAAAATGGTATTCATATATCATAATGAATTATCTCAACTCCAAATTTGGTTCTGGTTAGATTAGGACCATTTTTTATTTATGGACTGATCTGGTATACACCGACTCAACCCCATAAATTATTTTTAGTTCAATAGCCGCATCATCTAAATATTTACAAACTTTTTTTTTCTCTAAGATGTCTGTCGTTTTTTTTATGTACTTGATTGAAAATATATCCTATCAATGTTTGGATAGGTAATAAGAAATTAAGAATACAGTTTGCAACCCGAAATTGGATTTCATTTCATGGGCATGGCATGGACTGATAGAGATCACAAAGACCGTTAAGTCACAGTCACACCGTGTGACTCACACGTGATGGAGGTACGAGGGAAGTGACACGTGGCGAAGCTGAGACAGGAGATAATCCAAAATACAGAGGGAAAGAGTGACCATTGATTACATCATTACATGCCAGCTTGTCACTCCCATTCTTTGTCTTCTTTCGTTTCTTTTATTTTGTCCACTTTCTCATGTCCAAGACTATTGATTGGTTTGGTGCTAAGAATAAGAAAAAGAGGGGTACATTATCTATTTTCAAAAGAAAATGTTTTAAATTTATTGTTTATGGTGTCTTTTTCTTGGTACAAATTTAACTATGCCGCACCATAATCGACAGAAGAAAAAAAAGAAGGCTAATCATCTGGCGTGGCACCGAACCCATTCAAGATTAAATGCAGAAAAGTGTCCTGAATGATTTGGTTAACCCTTACTAAACTCTTCTCAAACCCAATTTTTGTGGGAAATTTTGAAGAAACAAATATAACAAAGTAATGGTATATTTGCGATTAAAACTTATTTTTTTTGCAATTAGTAGTATCTTTCTAGTTAAAACATTAAAAAATCTTACAACATTATTCTGTGATAACAATCACTAAAAACAAAAATTCAGATAAATATACATTTAATAATAGTGTAAATTAATAAATGTAAAAGCATGGGGAAGTTCTACCAAACGCAATCCTTTATAACTCTCCATAAACATTTGTCCTGCTCTCCAAACATTCTTACATAACATAGTTCTCTATTCAGAAGTATAAAAAAGATAAAGCTTATGTAATTTCTTTCCTTTGTTTAATCATTAGGAGGATTTGGATCAAATACCTATTCTACATGAAAATATGCAACGAAAAATTATAAGGATTCTCTTCTTTCAACTCCGATAACATTTTAGGGGTAAGACATAATTTATTAATTTTCAATGTAGATTAAAACAGAACACTGAAAGGAGGAGGCTGGAGGTTTTGATGGGGTGAAGCAGAAGTGCTGTTGCCAAGCTCTCGACTGAGTAGATTACGTCCTCAGTACGTAGTCAGTACACAATACACTCCCACACTCTTTTTGTTGTCTTTCGTTTAGACAGCTTTCATTTTTTCTTATTTTTATCTTTTCCTTCTGAGATATTTGTAACCATCCACACATTCCTCTCTTGATGAGATTTATAATGATTTTAGAACCGAGTTGAAGCATTTTGATTACGGTTTAAAGTTTAAACGAATAAAAAGAATTAGATACTAATGCTGGCTTTGAGTTAAAAAAACATAAAAATAAAATAACTACTGATGGCTTTCTTGATGATGCAATAAACATTCGACCAAACCCTCAAACAACTCCATAATCAAGCAACTAGAATTGTTTTCTACGAAATTTTGTCTAACACTATGGTAGATTGGTTCTAGCTCCGATTTGTATGACTAATCTGTGGCACACTTTGATATTTAAAGTATAGTAGATTTTAAAACAATTTGGTCTAATCGGGTTTCGCTTTTACTACTCCACATGCAAAATCGTTAATGACATTCAATCAGTCCCATACTTCTCAATGTCTCATCAACTTAGACTAGATTGTGGACATGCATTTAACCATTTTCTTGTAGGGAAATATTATTTTTGAAAATAAAATTATAAACGGAGTGAGTTTATAATAATATCTATAAATTTTCATTCTCCAACTATATATACACACACATATCTCCTTCAAAAACCCATCTCACACCAAAACACAAAGCTCTCATCTTCTTTACTTTCTAAAAATACCCCTAAACTTTCATTCCTATCATCCAAACCCAAATGGCTAGCCTCACGACCGTCATGGCGGCTGTTCTGCTGGTGGCGATGTTCACTTCAGCTTACTCCGGCAACTTCTTCGACGAGTTCGACCTCACGTGGGGTGACCACAGGGGTAAAATCTTCAACGGAGGAAACATGTTGTCTCTGTCTCTTGATCGTATTTCCGGATCAGGTTTCAAATCCAAGAAAGAGTATTTGTTCGGACGGATCGATATGCAGCTCAAGCTCGTCGCCGGAAACTCTGCCGGCACCGTCACTGCTTACTATGTACATTCTCAATCTCACACTCACACTCACTTACTCACATTCATACTAAAACTTAAAAGAGAATATTTTTCTAAATTTGTCTAAAAATTTGCAGTTGTCGTCACAAGGAGCAACACATGATGAAATAGATTTCGAGTTTCTAGGGAACGAGACGGGGAAGCCTTATGTTCTTCACACCAATGTCTTTGCTCAAGGGAAAGGCAACAGAGAACAACAGTTTTATCTCTGGTTCGATCCAACCAAGAACTTCCACACTTACTCCATTGTCTGGAGACCTCAACACATCATGTAATCAAAGATTTAACCTTTTAAATCCAAATGATAACAAAGATCTTGACTTTCTTTTCTCTCTCTCTCTGCAGATTCTTGGTAGACAAGTTGTCTATTAGAGTGTTCAACAATGCAGAGAAGCTAGGTGTTCCTTTCCCAAAGAGCCAACCAATGAGGATCTACTCGAGCCTATGGAATGCAGACGATTGGGCCACGAGAGGCGGTCTGGTCAAGACTGACTGGTCCAAGGCTCCTTTCACTGCTTACTACAGAGGATTCAACGCTGCGGCTTGCACTGTCTCTTCAGGCTGTGACCCAAAATTCAAGTCTTCTTTCACTGATGGTAAATTGCAGGTGGCAAACGAGCTCAATGCTTACGGCAGGAGGAGACTCAGATGGGTGCAGAGATACTTCATGATCTATAATTATTGCTCTGATCTCAAAAGATTCCCTCGTGGATTCCCTCCTGAGTGCAAGAAGTCCAAAGTCTGATGAAAAACATTAAACATCCCAAAATGATTATCTGCCTGCTTGTTTGATGCAGTTTCTTCTCTTTAATTCTTCTTTGTTCTTGTTCCATTTGTACATTCTCAAGGTCAATAAAGCGCCATTTGTGTTTGTCTTATCAAGAGCTAAACACAAGTCATTTAATAACTAAATGGGCCTAAGTTCACTTTTATTATTTAGGCCCATTAAAGTTAAATCCTTGTTTGTTAAAGTAAATTACGATTTAGCCCATCAGTGGTTTATCTCCGTCCTTCGTCTTCTTCGTTGCCGCAATTAAACTTTCCTGCGCACCATCTGTTCGTCAATTTGTCTGAACCAATTTCTTCAATAAATCCTGGAAAAGTTGGATTTTTAGGATTCTGGGCACTAGGTTTTTCTGCATTCAAATAACTTCTGGAGTTTGGTTTGATCCCAACAATGGCTACTACCACTAAGAGGAAGAAAAATGATGGTGCTTTATCATCGCTTGCTCCTCGCCAAATCAGCGTCGAGAAATTCACCGAAGCTCGAGCATCCGAGCTCGAATCTCTTCACTCGGTTATCTCCAATCGGTTAAACAAGGACTTTCGGTCAAAGAGGAACAAGAGGAGACGGACCAACGCTTTCACTAACCAACCTGGAAAGAGACGTAACGCAAAGAGGCAAAGATCAGAGTCATTGATTGCTCAATCATCAGGTGGAGGAGACCATGAAACGAAGATCCCAAGAAGAGTTAAGAGGAGAATGGAACTTAAAGGGAACCCAGAATCAGGGTTTTACACCTCTGGGGATGGAACGAAGAGGCTGAGAACACATGTCTGGCATGCTAAACGATTCTCTATGACTAAGCTTTGGGGGTTTCACATTCCTCTTGGTTTACATGGAAGGTAATTTGCAAGTGTGTTTGCTTCTGATTAAGTAGAGAAGAAGAAAAAGTTGGTCCCTTTTTGAAAGTTTTGTTATTGTTTTTAGAGGAAAGGGATCTAGAGATGTCTTGAAGAAGTCTAGGCAAGGTGTTCTTGTGCATGATGCAAGCTATCACATTGCTGTGCAATTAGAAGGTCCAGAGGCAAGCATTTACTTTATTCTTGAGATTCTCTTCTTAAATTCTTGTTTTTAACTTTGGTTTGAGATTTGAAATTTCATATTTTTATGTTGTCTGGCTTTGAATTTCTCAGGGCTCGCTCTTGTCGGTGTTAAACAAGCTGCTGGAGCCTTCTCCGTCGTCTCATTCCAAGGAAGCTTTAGACTCTATTCTCACAGGCCGTAGTTATGGAAACGCCATGGTATTATATATAGAGAGAATCTATGAGTTTCATTCACTTTTATGTTAATGGGAAATGACAACTTAAGCAGGATGTAATTGTAAATGTTTTGTTTTCTTCAGATTTATCATGTCGAGCCACCAGTTTCTCAGGTGATTGCTCCTGTAACTTATATGTGGAGACCTTCTCAGTTACCTAAGAGAAGAGATGAGGAGAAAGGTGGTGATTGTGTAGGAAATGATTGTCCGGTCTCAAATGGAGATCATGTAGACTTTCGAAAACTTTGGGTGTGGATCCATGCTTCTTCCTTCAGTGAGGGATATGCTTCTCTTAAACTAGCTTGTCAAAAACAGGTAGTTATTATTTTCTCTCTGTGAGGTCACTTTTTAGGTGTCTCTCTCTAGCTGACATGTGTCGTTAGTAGTTTGCCTCATGCTTTACATACTCTTGTGGAGATATTGACGCACGAAGTTTCTTCATTCAGATGAATGAGACAGGTGTCTTAGTTGATTGCTCTTCACTCGAGGGTCAGCTTGCAAAACTTGAGATTTTTGGTTCAAAAGCATCTCATCTTCTTCAAAAGACCTTATATCCTGTCACAGTTAGGTGAGCCATCTGAATAAATATGTAATGGGTTGCAAGAACGTGAATGAACAAAGAAAGAATTATCTTAAACTCTTTTTTTTGTCTTTGCAGTAGCTCAGAGGATTCCTCTGTTTTAAGAAAGTGTTCAATGGAAAAAGCTCAAGTTAATAACGTTTCTGATCCTTACAAAGAGGAGAACGTTTCATCTTGCGCTGTTTTACCACGGTTTGTCATGGATCCGCGTTTAATCCCGAATAATCCACTTGATGATAGTACAGTGTCAGTTGAAACGACTACAGCAGAGCCTACTGAGTCACTTGAACTAACAACCAACACAGAGGCTGAAAGTTTTCCTGAAAAGTGCCTGTGGGATGCAAATAGTGAACTGACCCCTCCAGAAGATGAGAACATATTGTGTTGGGAAAAACATCAAAGTCGTTTGGAGTCTTTTTGCATCGATGACCCAGATGCTGAGGTTCCAAAGATATCTAGTAGGGCAAGGAGTTCGAGGTCTTGTCCTTTACTGCTTCTCAAACATAGAAAACATGGGAATGCACCTACCGGGTAATCTTGCGCTTTAGTTGAATCATTTCTGTGTTGCTCTGTAGAATCAAGGTCCTTAATGATCAACAATTAATAATTACTATTCTCTTCCAGATGGTCTGTTATACTTCCTCTTAGTTGGATCAAAGTCTTCTGGAATGCCTTTGTCTCGAAAGGAGCTCAGGCAATAGGTCAGAGGGAGAAACGCTGGCTTTCTTGTGATGTATATTTCTGCTCTCTGAAACTTCAATCCGTTAGTGAGAAGATTTTCTTGCTATGCAAACTTATAAAACCGTAGTTTTGAAAGAATTGTCTGAAAAACTTTTTTGCAGGCTGGTTTACCCTTTTTCCCATCAGATTTTCCTGATTGCAAAGCATATTCATCTTTGACAATGAGCGAAGCTGCAGAATTGGAGGAGAAGGCACAAAGATGCCCTCCTGCTGTAAGACCTTTCAGAATTCCCATTCCACCTCCATGGAATAGTATCCATGTCACGCGTTCTGTTGGAGAGAGTTCCAATCAAAAGCTTACCAGCGATGGGACGACCGGAGTGGAAATTATCAGTGATGGTGGTAGTCTGTTTGATGGTATCGTGGCAAGAACATCAGATTCGCTGAATGCTTTTCTCCAAACTTATGCAAAAGACAACTTGCTTTTATCTCCTCACAGCAATTCTAAACCAAACGCAAACCTCATGAAGACGCTTCAAGAAGATGAAACAAAAGCAATAGCTCAGATCCATCAGAGCAGTGATAAATTGTGCCTTGTCAGAGTTCTTCTACATGCTTTCAAGGAAGGTTCTTTTGAAGATGGAGCGGTTGTATGTTCACCATCTCTCGCAGACATATCACTACTAAAATCTGGGTAACATCTCCGTGAAATATTTCTTAACAAATTCTGAATCAGTTGAAACTATTTCACTTTGTGGTGACATTGTAGGTTGTATTGCTTTTATGTTTCACAGCTGCAGTGAAGGAGAAAAAGGGTGTGTTACAATTCCTCAATCTTCTGTAAGTTCTTACTTCCAAGAGCAACCTTCTGGAACCTGGGAACTAAATGTCCCTAAAGACACCCAATCTCATAGATGGCCGATCGGGTTTGTAACGACAGGATTTGTCCGTGGGAGGTAAAAGACAAAACAAAAATCCCCACAAAAAATCTTGATTGGTTTGGTTTGGTTCGGTTTGGTTTCTGAAGTCTTAATCTTTGTCTTGATAATGTGCAGTAAAAAGCCGATGGCAGAAGCTTTGTGTGATGCAGTGTTGTTAGGGAGACTAAGAGAAGAGCAATGGAGAGAAAAAGATGTGAAACGGAGGAAGAAGGAGATATATGTTTTGGTTAGAAACCTAAGATCTTGTTCTTATCGACTCGCACTTGCTACTATTGTTTTGGAGCAACAAGAAGACTCTACTGGTGATGATGTCCACTGTCTTTAAAATGGCATACTTGAAAGAGAATCCACAAGCACTGTTGTTTTGTTTGTATCAATTATATGTTACACTCTATTTCTAATTGTTTATTATTATTGTCTGACCAAGAAACTAGTAACTAGTACTGTAACTGGAGAAAGACCTAATGTGACATTGTTCTTACAAAAACTAAAGAAAAAGAAATTGGTTGTGGTTTCTTATTCAATTATCATCACTTAGGCTAAATAATTGAGCTAATCACCTTTACCTGAATTCAAGACTCAAAAGTTACTTAGTGTTGGACTTGTTCTCCTTTGATGTACCAAATTATTAGTCCCTAGTTTCAATCAATACTGGGCCATTGTTCTCCTCTGCTGGCATCTTCTTCCGTTGGTTATGCTTAAAGTTAAACAGCAATTAAATTTTAAAATAAAGACTTTGACAAGGTCAATGGTCAAAAAGTGTAAATGTGTTTTCTCCAGCTAACAACTACACTTTAATATTGGTTCTAGAAAACACAATTTTACTCATTTTTCACCATTGACCTTGTCCAACTCTTGATTTTCACTGTATGATTTGGGTTGTGCTTAATGCTTATTTAGTTGCTTGTTAATTTACAATAAGACAGCCATTAGTATCTTGATTATTCCTTAGGAGTTGCAAGAATATGGAGACTTGTCTTGGGCTTCTCTTGGTGCTTATAACTTTGGCTATCATTCATATTGTTCAATCTCAAGACCAACAAGGTATCAGATTTTCTTATTCGTTTCTTTCTATATACATCCTTCCTAAAACTTGTACAAACGTTTTCTGCTTGACAAATTCTCTTACAGACGTTGCAATGGTCCTAATGGTTAATGTTTCCCATGTCAATAGGTTTCATCAGTTTGGATTGCGGGCTACCGACGACTGAACCGTCTCCTTATAAAGAGACTGATACTGGACTGTGGTTCTCTTCGGACGCAACGTTCACACGGAGCGGAAAAACCGGTAGAATCAAAGAAAATCTTGAGGGAAACTCGAAGCCATACAAGACGCTGAGATATTTTCCGGATGGGTTACGAAACTGTTACAATCTGAGCGTGGACAAGGGACGTAGATATTTGGTCAGAGCTACTTTTGTGTATAGAAATTACGATGGTCTTAACAATGGCCCTGTCTTTGATCTTTATCTTGGACCTAACCCATGGGCGGAGATAGATTTACGACAAGTGAATGATACAGGGGAGGAGATCTTACACATCCCAACATCAGACTCTTTGCAGATTTGTCTTGTCAAGAATGGGACGACTACACCGGTAATATCAACTTTAGAATTACGGCCAATGGAAAAGGATGCATACATCACTAAGTCTGGTTCCTTGAAGCTTTTCTTCCGTAGATATTATAGCAACTCAGGATCTAATATACGGTAAGTCAAACTTCTACCGCACGGTATCTTTTCTTTCTTCTCTGTTTAGTTTCTTTGTCTTTTGTTCATTTTATATACCTATTGTAACTTGTAAAACAATGTTGTTACCGTCTTAGGTACATGAGAGATGTCTATGATCGCACATGGGTTCCATTTTTCATGAAGGAATGGAAACAGATTTCCACCACTCTCCAAGTGGACATTTCCAATACTTATGTTCCATCGCAAGATGCAATAAAAAATGCTGCCACGCCTGCTGATACAAGTGCGCCATTGACGATCAAATGGAGTTCAAAAAACTCTGATCACCAATATTACTTGTACGCACACTTTGCTGAGATCCAAGACTTGCAAGCAAATGAAACCAGGGAGTTCAACTTGTCACTGAATGGAGTTCAGTTTTATGTCCCTTTCGTACCGAGAAAGCTAGCTGTATTTACTGTTTTAAGCCGGTCACCGAGAACTTGCAATGGAGGGGAATGCAATTTCCAGCTGATTAGAACCAACAGATCAACTCTTCCACCTCTACTTAATGCCTTGGAAGTCTACACAGCTATTCAGTTTCTGCAGTCCCAAACTGATGAAAGCGACGGTATGTGACTTTCTTTTCCAGGTTATGGCATTAGAAATAAATCATAACACATAAATAACAGAGTACTCAAGACATCAAAACCTGGTTTATATTAGTGGATGCTGTAAAAAACATCACAGCCACCTATGCATTGAGTAGAATCAACTGGCAAGGAGATCCATGTGTGCCTCAACAGCTTAGGTGGGACGGTTTAAACTGTCGAAACACGGATATGTCTACGCCACCAAGAATCACTACTTTGTAAGTCGAAAGTTTAGTGGAACACACGCGTTCACACACTCTTCTAGATCTTATAGTTCATATGATTATAAACACTTTTAATGTTGATTTTGAAACATTTCACTAGAAACTTGACTTCAAGTGGTTTAACTGGAACCATAGCAGCTGCCATTCAAAGTCTTACGCAACTAGAAACATTGTAAGTATTAAAGTTTTTAATAGACGGTGAGAAATTTGTATTTCTATGGATGCAAGTGAATTTGATAAGCCTTGATGTCTTTGTTCTTTCTTGCTAACATTAGGGACTTGTCGAATAATAACTTGACTGGAGAAGTGCCGGAGTTTCTAAGCAACATGGAATCGTTGTCGGTCATGTAAGTTTCTCTTGACATATGTTCTCTAATGATTTTTTTCAAATCCCACCTCAAGATCATGGTCGTTTTTTAAAACAGAAACTTAAGCGGGAACAATCTCAATGGTTCACTCCTTCAAGCCTTTCAAAGGAAAGGATTAAAGCTATTGTAAGAAACGTTTTCACATAGGTTTTGAACTTTATCCACAACCCTTTTTGTGCACTTAATATCCTGAACAACCTTTTGTCTTATTGTAGTGTTGAAGGAAACCCAAGGCTTTGTCTCTCCGGTTCATGTAGAAAACCAACTAAAAAGAAATTTCTCGTGCCAATTGCTGCATCAGTTGCTTCTGTAGCCGTTGTTGTTGCTGTGTTGGTTCTTTTTCTTGTACTTCAAAAGAAAAATTCAAGAATTCTACAAGGTATAACATCAGTCTTGTAGATGTTGTTGCTCTGTTGCATTAAAAGAAGAGATTAAAAAAATGAAAACGTTATCATAACATCCTTAATTGTGATGTACAGGTCTACACCTGATACCGAGGACATCAACGGTGAATGTTACATTTGCTAATAAGAAGAGAAGAAGGTTCACGTATTCAGAGGTCATCAATATGACAAACAACTTCAAAAACGTTTTAGGTAAAGGAGGGTTCGGTATGGTGTATCACGGTACTGTAAATGGTTCTGAACATGTGGCTGTTAAAGTTCTCTCTCAATCTTCGACTCAAGGCTATAAAGAATTCAAAGCAGAGGTATTCATAGTTCTGAAGTCTTCCCAACTATAAACTATGATGTGTTACTTTTACTATCTATCACCAAAGCGTATGGATTTTCAATATTTTATTGACATGAGAGATTCTTGCTTTAGGTTGATCTTCTTCTGAGAGTTCACCACACCAATTTGGTAAGCCTCGTCGGATATTGCTACGAAGGAGATCACTTAGCCCTCATCTACGAGTTTCTTCCAAATGGAGACTTAAAACAACATTTGTCAGGTAATGTCTTTTTAGTTGAAAACTTTTTCACCAATGGAGATGATCTAATGATCTAATATATACAGGAAAGGGAGGTAGATCCATCATCAACTGGAGTATACGACTACAAATAGCTTTGGAGGCAGCACAAGGTTGGTACTAAGTTTAAAAACCGTAGGAGAAAATACTGATTTTGTTTACAGCAAATCAGTTGATCATAAAGATGATTGCATTGCATAGGACTGGAGTACTTACATGTTGGATGCACACCGCCGATGGTTCATAGAGATGTCAAAACTGCCAACATATTGCTAGACGAGAATTTCAAGGCCAAACTCGCTGATTTTGGTCTCTCAAGATCTTGCCAAGGTGGAAGCGAGTCTCAAGATTCAACGGCGATTGCTGGTACTCCTGGTTATCTTGATCCCGAGTAAGTATTCTTAGTTTTTTCAGTTTTCATATACACATTCTAAAACTTTATATTCCTTCTTCAATGGTTAAAGAGTATATATATACCATGTTGTTGTCTTACAGACATTACCGTATAAGCCGGTTGTCTGAGAAGAGTGATGTATACAGTTTTGGGATCGTGTTGTTGGAGATAATCACAAACCAACCCGTGATTAATCAAACCTCTGAAAACTATCATATAACAGACTGGGTTGGCTCTAAGCTTAACCAAGGTGATATTGTTGAGATTATGGATCCAAAACTTGGCAAGGACTATGACTCTAATTCTGCATGGAGAGCTCTTGAGCTAGCAATGTCATGCGCGGATCCTTCTTCCTCAAAACGACCATCCATGTCTCAGGTTATTAATGAGCTAAAAGAGTGTATTGTGTGTGAAAACTCGGGGGTAAGTAAGAATCCAGGCTTGGGATCCCAAGAAATGATTAGCTTGGACAGTATTATGGAGGTTCCCATGGCAAGATAGTTTTATGTGTCATCTAATTTTCGTACCAATAATGAAATCAACAAACCAATGGTTTAGAATATTTTTTTTTGTAAACTAGTTAAAAGAGTATTTATTAAAGTGTGTATGGTCTTATAGATGAACTCGAAGTCGACAATTTTTCATTTTGCTTTGATCGTATTATCTGTTCTTTTGGTTTCTTCATATGTGGCTTGAGTATCACGATTAGGTCATTTTTCTTTCACATGGACATTTCAAAGGTCATTTTTCATGTTATTTGGTTTCTTTGTATGTGTGTTACTCTTCAGTGCTACGCCATGAAAGTTCATGGAATATAATGAAAATTACTCAATAAACAGATGCAACTGAACAGAGCCAGAAACAATTCTGAAGTTTTTTTTCTTAGAGATCAGGGACCGCTTCTGTAAATTTAGAAAAAAACAAGAAATTAGAGCAAGTAAACAAAAAGAACAACAATTAGAGCAAATGAATATTCGAAGAGTCACGTGAATGTATGCAACGCTACTGCATGTACTCGGCGGAACACAACAACGTGAAAAAAACTAAGCAACATTCAATAACATGCATATTAATATTTTGTTTAACTTTTCAATGTGCATGGATGTGAATGAAAATAAGAAAAAACAACATCCTATTTACTTACAATAACTACTTCAAATTTGCATGAAGAGTCATGTCTTGCTTCTAAATTTCTCTAATGATCTTTTCAAGCTGTTCTTGATTCAGGTTTTTCTCCAAGAAGGCATCCATTCCAGCTTGTATGGCTTCTCTTGCTTCCTTGGAGCCAGGATCATGACCAGATACAGCTATAATTGGTATATGCACACCATATCTTCTCTCCACTTTCCTAATCTCTCTAGTTGCTTCATATCCATCCATTTCTGGCATCTGTGTAGAAAGATTACATCAGGAGTGAAACATTTTCAGATTGCGTTATGGAAAGGTTTATCAAGAAATTTACCTGACAATCCATGAAAATGTAGTCAAAAGGAAGTGTATTTATTGAACCTTCTTGCTCTCTTTGTGTAAGCCATTCACTGACTAATCTTACTGCTTCTTTACCACTGTCGCACTGTTTAACCTCAGACACTCCCATCTTCTTTAGCTTTCTTGTTGCAACTGAAGATGTTATACGATTATCATCCACCACCAGAACTCTCTTTCCACTTAAGAACTCATCGTCACTCTGCTTGGAAATTATATTTGATGTCTCTGCAACACGAGAATGTCTCAGGATCGATTCCCTTTGCAGAGCAATAGGTGCTTCTTTCGGCTCAGTTCCTCCAAATTCAGGCAACATCTTCAGCACTCGGTTAAGGCGCGATCCGTGCAATGGTTTCGAACAAAAAATGTCACCCCTCTCACTTCCGCGGCCGCTTGGTTCGTTAAGCCAAACAACTTTGCAGGATATGCCTTGTTGCAAGCCTCTGCAAAACTTTTCCACAGTGTCGTGTAGCTCAAGAAACGGTCCGACTTTTGCATCAATCACCAGAAGTACAACTGGAGAGAAACTGATGACTCTTCTTTTAGAGATTTGGCTTCTTGAATCAATACCATCCATGCCAATCAAAGGTAACTCCCTTGCGCTTGCGCTTGATAGATCCTCTCTGAAACTACACTCTCCTCTTCCCATGGAACTCTGAGGTGAAAACCCTAAGAGTCTCTCCAAAACATGATTCAAATGCTCCCATTTCTCCACTACTGTGACTTTGATTCCAAGACTCTTTATGTATTTCTCTGTAACTCTTCTACGCTCTTCATCTTTCAGCAGGAGAACCACTCGAGAGCCTTCCTGTTTCGGACTAGAGCTGAGCCATTTGTTGAATCTAGGGCTCAGGTTCCGTAATGTCATGCTACCTCCCAATGAAGTTTTTATAGCTAAGCCAAGGTTGGGCGTGGATATATGATCTCTTCCTGCTTCAACGTCCTGTATCACTTTCACGTCACTCACTGGTGACTCTGATGTTTTCAACAGAACATTGAACTGGAAACATGTTCCTTTCTCTCCCATGGCCTTGTCAGTGATTCTTATCTCTCCTCCCATCAATCTTACCTGGAAAACAGAAATGAAAAAGCATTTTAGATGCATTCTTTTTTGTGAAAGAGAATCTTAAGGCTCATTGTTTCTTACCAAAGACTGAACAATCCCAAGTCCTAATCCAGTTCCTTGTTGTTCTTGAGCTGTTTCTCTTACCTGAACATAGTTTTCAAACACTGATTTACGCATCTCCATAGGTATACCTTTACCTGTATCGTCTACTTCAAACACAAACTCCATTAAGTTCGCATTGTTTCTTATGGAATCTGAAACTTCTCTCTCGCAGCTTGACGATGAATGGTCTTTGTTCTTGCAGAACATACACTTAGAAAACTTTGAGACACTTCCTTTAGGTTCTGATGCAAGAACCACATAGCTCTTGGAACCTGGCCTATGAGCCCAAGCTCGGATCGATATGTGCCCTTCGACTGTGAACTTGACCGCATTGCTTACAAGATTGTTCAGGATTTGCTTCAGTTTTCCGCTATCTCCTCGCACATTCGAGGATTTGAGAACTGAGCCGTCTTGCAGATCCAAAACCACATCAACCCCTTTCTTCATCGCCAATGGATGAAAGAAATCGATGACGTCTTCAAGAAGTTTTCCTAGGTTAAACTCTTCTTCCTCTAACTGCATCTTCCCGCTTTCGATTTTGCTCATGTCCAAAACAGAGTTAAGCAGAGCTGTTTACGACAAGACAAGACAAGACTTTAGGAACAAAGTGAAGAAACGCATAAGAGAAAAAGCTCAAGATTCAAGAATCAGAGTCTTACCAACCAAATCATTGGTGCATACATTCACTTGCTTAAGACTAGTGTCTAGCTCGGAGCAAGGTCTAACTTCTTGACGGCATAGATCGATTAAACCGGTGATCCCGGCTAAGGAACCTCGAATATCGTGGCTAGCTCTTGCAAACGCTTGACTCTTGTTCATGCTCTTCCTCTCAGCTTGTTGTGTTGCCTCCATTTGGTTTATCAGCCTTGCACGCATATACATCTCTCTTCTTGCTGCTTGCAGCATCAATGTTACAAACACTAGAGGCCAGAACAAGCCCAAAAACATCGTCACAATAAGCAGATACAGCGATGCGTTCTCCATTCTTGGTCCTCTTTCTTTGTTGGGAAACATAAGTGTGTATCTCTGGTTAAGAAAAGACCATTGAAAGAAGCTGAGAAACAAAGTGATGAATCTAATCCATTAAGTGAAAATGTAACATTTGATTACCAGAGGCACGCCGGAAACTTCAAGAACGGAGCAAAAAGCTTGGAATTTCGATCTTTCGATCTTCACCGGATAGCTACCGGAAACGCAATTTCCAGGGATGCATTGAGACCGGACTGATCTCGACGATTCACTACCGAAGCAAGTCGAGCCATTGGAGATGAAGAAAGAAGTATTCAGTGAACCTTCACGAACAAGCAATGTCCCGTCTTTATTCCACAGGTAAAGCTCTCCGCCGTGTAGATTTAAACGTTTCAAAACGTCGGTTAATGTCTTAACCGGAAACCCTAACAAAACAACTCCTTTCTTGCTGTACAAGCTAACCACATTCTGAAACAGAGTCTTGTTATCTTCTCTTCCCAAACCAGTTCCCACAAAATCGATACTGTGATTTCTCTGTGCCGCTTGGAACCAATCTGTATGGATTACATATAACGGCTGAGATTTGGTTGCATTCCCGTAGAGACCACCGGTTCTCTGATCAACGGTTTGAGTGTACCAAGTGTAGTCTCCACCACCACTAGATGAAGAATTAGCAAAAACAGCGACACTTGTGTCTGATTGTGTTGCGTAAGAAAACAAGAGACCGTTCGTACTAATGTACGAAACTTGTGAGACTTGAGGGATCGTTGAATAAGCTTGAAACAACACTGGTCCGATCTGAAGAACATTAACAAGTTAGTTATGTAATAACACAAACTAGTGCAACGAAATTAATCATTTTGACAAACCTGTGTTTGTATCTCTATGAAATGAGTACTGTTGTTGGTGAGATGAGAATCTATTACTCTAGCTAAACCGATTGCAGATGAATTTGTCTTTGAATAAATGAATTTTCCGATGTTTTCGATCTCGGAAACTAGACTTGACCGGAGATCTTCAGTGAACAAAGCGATGTCGTTTGTTATGTTCTTCGTTGTTTTGTGCCAAATCGTGATCGGTATGCTCCCGAAAGCAATCACCAGAAATACCAGGACGACGACGACAAAAATTGGACGAGAAGTCACACATTTTGTAACTTTCTGTACCATCACTTCTGTAAATTTGTCGATCCACAAGACAAACATACGAAAACAAATAACTTTTTCAGTCAGCAAGCTTAGTTCAAGAAGCCATTTTCATACTAGCTAATGGTTATTAAATCAGAAAAAAAAATACCTGAGAATTCAGCAACAGATTCTGACAAATCCTCCAAGCTACAACAGCAATTTCAATCCAGATTTAAGCCAAACAAGCCCAAGTGCACACGTCATGGACTAAAACAAGAAGGGAAAAAACTGTGAGAAAGGATTTATAATTTCTATATTCAGTAGATACGATTTAAACACAAAGCAGAACTTTCGACCTTTTTGTTTTGTTAAAGGGACCTTCATTAGAACTTTAGACCTTAGCAAGATCACTCGCAGAATTTAGTTCAACGACACGTACACAAATTGTTTCCCTTTTCTTGATGAGAAAACAAGGATGCAAATGTTCATCTTGGAAGCAGAAGGAAACAATTCGGACGCGCTAAAATCTGCCACACATCCAAAAGAATACAGCTAAAAAGACCATTTTTGGGTAAATAAATTTGTACTAGTTATTGCAAATCACACATTGACTTATTTTCCTTTGTGATATGCATCTACGTGTGATTTGCTAAGACATGCGTTACGCTTTGCAGATAATTAGGAAGGGAAATATTTTATTAGTATTTTACACATAGTTATGGTATGAGTTAGGATCAAATCTTTCTGGAAAAATCTATTCCATATCACGAAAGTTAACATATTTCTATACCCTGATCTCATCTACATATGTAATTTGCCAAAAACAAATTTGTCCACGTAATGGTGTTTTGGCGGGAAAACTAAAGCTTAGCGGATCAACGGAAGCTTTGTGGGCTCGGCCCATTTACTTCAACTTCTTTGGGGTCGGTTTGTGTAGATTTGGTTAGTATCGGTTTAAATTAAGCGAATTAAAAAGGTTTTTAAAACCTTGAAATCTCAGAGAATTTATTTTTCCTACAGTGTGTGTTAAGAAGAACGATCGTCATCTTCGGAAAGCCCAGAAAGTAGTACGACGAACGAATCAGCCATGGATCTCTCTCCTGTTACTGAAGCTCTTGCTGCCAAATCCTTTGATAGAATCGCTGATATCTGCGATAATCTTATGCTTCAGGTCCCAAATTTCTCTCGCTATTATTGATTAGGGTTTTTCTAAGTGGATTTTGTGTGGGAGATAACCGTTTGATTTTTCGCTCTTTAATCAATAGGTTGCAGCCGAAGGAATTTCTTTCCATGATGATTGGCCTTACGCAATCCATCTTCTGGGTTACTTCTACGTTGACGATTGGTGAGTTAAATTTCTTCTTTTGATTTCAAAATTGTTTGCGCAGTGTATCGATTCTAGTTCCCTGATGAAATTAGAGATGGTTTTTTGAGCTGTATTCTTTCTGCTTTGATTGAAGATACACATCATCTTAGAATAAGGCAATTTTGCATCCTTAAGTTGTCATCAGAAAGGGCATTGATTTGCAATCTATTTGATCTTTCTAAGGTCTAAAGTTCTGATTTTTTATTGCCTTGTTTGTATCCACCGAGTAGAGAAAGTGGAACTTGATACAAGTTAATAGTTATAGAAATCCTTCAACAATCTTGCGTTTGTGTCTTAGTGGCGAGCATATAGTATATTGAAACTATTGAATTGTGATTTTGCCTTTGCTTTCCATGTTTGCTGTGCTTCTTTGGCTGAGTCTGGAATGAAATATTGCAGTGATAGCGCCCGTTTCCTCTGGAAAACAATACCGACAGCTATCAAGGAGAGCAAGCCTGAAGTCGTTGCAGCTTGGAGGATCGGTCAGAAGCTTTGGACACGTGACTATGCAGGTGTATATGGAGCTATTCAGGGTTACGATTGGAGCCAGGAAGCCAAAGAGATGGTTGTTGCATTCTCAGGTAATTTATCTATGTTAATACCATTAACTACTTGTGAAATAGTTTCTTGAACTAAGTTTGCCAACAGCTTCCGTAGCTGTACTATATTAGCATGTAGAGTGGATTTGTTTTGTTTTCCTTATTCCTCTCTAGGTTTCGAGTTTTGATCTGCACATTGACACCACTTAGCTGTGTTATCGTGTTATCTTGTGAGACTTACTTAAGGATTTGTGTCATGCACTAGAACTAACTTGCATTTCATCATTGAACATTTGGAACATGAATTTGAATAAGATTGCATTAATGTATGCTTTTCACCAAATAAATGCTAAAACATTGACCAGAATTGTACAAAGTGGTAGCATTTAGAGACACCTACTGTTCAACACCTACCTTTTAATTGCCTTTTCCCATTCGTTAGCCCTTATATTCCATTAGCAGCTTACGCTATATCTTGTTTTGGTTTTGGTTGTAGACCTTTACACGAAAAGGATGTTTCAGCTTTTGATGTCTGCCTACTCCACAATTACCATCCATGATTTGGCGCAATTCCTAGGGATGTCGGAGGATGATGCCACAACTTGTAAGCTTCTTTCTGCAATCTCATATACTCTAAAAAAAATTAACCAGAGACAATACTACTCTATACAAAAGGAGTTTATGTTGCGGGATCATTAATAATTGTTGATCTTTTTGGATGGATATACCACAGATGTTGTAGAGAATGGATGGACAGTGGATGCAACTTCTCAAATGGTGACTGTGAAGAAGCAAGCCGTTAAAAGAGAGCAAAAGGTGGATTCATCGAAGCTGCAACGCTTGACGGAGTATGTGTTCCACCTTGAACATTAATCGAGAAGACCGAAGGAAGACTAATCTCATATTGAAGGGTTTTAAGAGAAAAGATCAAACCAAACTTCTTTTCGGAAAAGACAGCTCTAGTTTCAGTTTTTAGAGGATTTTTTCAAGTTGTAATTTCATAACATTTCTATCTTGACCCTTGGTACTTGATATGATAAGCTGATTTTTAATTTGTTATTGAGAACACGAGCCAAGCATTCATCGAGATTCGTTTTGTGACAATAGCTCTCGGAACAGAAAAAAAGGGAGTAATGTTCTTACCTGCCACACTACTCCATGGATCTAATGAACATTTGGAGACAATACTCTTCTATACAAAAGGAGTTTATGCTGCGATTTCTTAGCTTAGTGTTTTGTAGGCATGACCATCTATGTTGCGGAATCATTAACAATTGTTGATCTTTTTGGATGAATGTACACTGATGTTGTAGAGAATGGATGGACCTGGACAGTGGATGCAACTTCTCAAATGGTGAGTGTGAAGAAGCAAGCTGTTAAAAGAAGCAAAAGGTGGATTCATCGAAGCTGCAACGCTTGACGGAGTATGTGTTCCACCTTGAACATTAAACCAAGACCCGAAGACCAATCTCGTATTGAAGGGGTTTAAGCTAGTTGAAAAAAAAAAACAAAAGATCGAACAAAACTTTAATTCGGAAAAGACAGCTCTAGTTTCAGTTTTTTAGAGGATTTTTCAAGTTGTAATTTCATAACATTTCTATCTTGACCTTGAATACTTATGATAAGCTGATTTTCTTATCCAAGTCATCTTCCGCATTATAAATTATAGTTGAAATAACTTAAATGCACAATCGAAAATCTGTCGTCACAGCATGGTAGTTGAAGTGTGGAGGATGAAACAGACGGAACACTCCTTTATCTTCTCTTTCTACTTGTCGCGTGCTTTCTCTCTGTTACTCGTCGATCGTCACAAAGACTTTCCCAACCACCGGTTGTTGTTAGAGTCTTAGAGACAGATAGTGTAATCTGTAAAGATGGTAAATTAGCTATATACAGCTTATATTGTAGTTAATCATGATTACTTCACACAATTTCTCTTGTTTGTACATTTGAGTTATATTTTTGGTATAGTATATAAAGCTTTTGTGTGTTCCTTCTTTAACTTCAAACATAGCACGAAAATGGCAACTTCCGTTAATGGTGGTAGTCGTCGTCGTCCTCACTACTTGCTTGTAACTTTCCCGGCGCAAGGTCACATAAACCCGGCGCTTCAACTAGCCAACCGTCTCATCCACCACGGCGCAACCGTCACATACGCCACCGCCGTCTCAGCTCACCGTCGTATGGGCGAGCCACCTTCTGCCAAAGGCTTGTCCTACGCCTGGTTCACCGATGGATTCGACGACGGTCTCAAATCCTTCGAGGACCAGAAAATCTACATGTCTGAGCTCAAACGCTGTGGTTCAAACGCACTGAGTGACATCATCAGAGCCAATTTAGAAGACGCGACCTCCGGCACAGAGCCTATCACCGACGTTATCTACTCTGTGCTTGTCCCTTGGGCTTCTACGGTGGCGCGTGGGTTTAACCTCCCGACTACACTTCTCTGGATTGAGCCCGCCACTGTACTCGACATCTATTACTACTACTTCAACGCCTCTTACAAACATCTCTTCGAGATTGACCCGATTAAATTACCGGGACTGCCACCGATCTCCACCGGGGACCTCCCGTCGTTTCTTCAGCCCGGGAAGATATTACCGTCGGCTCTTGTAACGCTGAGAGAACACATCGAATCTCTCGAATCGGAATCGAACCCTACAATCCTGGTGAACACTTTCTCTGAATTGGAATCCGATGCGTTAACCTCCGTCGAGAAACTCAGAATGATTCCGATCGGACCGTTGGTTTCCTCCTCCGACGATTCTTCAGCCGGTAAAGCCAATCTATTCCGATCTTCTTCGGACGGGGAGGATCACACGAAATGGCTAGATTCGAAACTCGAGAAGTCTGTGATTTACATATCCTTGGGCACACACGCCGACGATTTGCCGGAGAAACACATGGAGGCGCTCACTAGCGGCGTGTTAGCCACAGGCCGGCCGTTCTTATGGGTCGTGAGGGCGAAAAACCCAGACGTGAAGAACCGATTTCTGGAATTGATCAGAGGAAGTGATCGAGGATTGGTGGTTGGGTGGTGTTCTCAGACGGCGGTGCTGTCGCATCCGTCGGTGGGGTGTTTTGTGACTCACTGCGGTTGGAATTCGACGCTGGAGAGTTTAGAGAGCGGAGTTCCGGTGGTGGCGTTTCCGCAGTTCGCGGACCAGTGCACGACGGCGAAGCTTGTGGAGGACACGTGGCGGATCGGAGTGAGGGCGAAGGAAGGGGAGGAAGGACACGTGGATGGAGATGAGGTGAGACGGTGTCTGGAGAAGGTGATGGGAGACGGAGAGGATGCGGAGGAGATGAGAGAGAATGCGGCGAGGTGGAAGACGATGGCCATTGATGCTGCGGCGGAAGGAGGACCGTCGGATTTGAATCTTAAGGGATTTGTGGAAGAAGACAAGGAAGAGTGATGATGTTTATTTAAAAAACCTTTTAAAGGTGAATAAAAGAGTGATCAGTGATGTATTAAACTAAACCGAAATCACAGTAAACCCGGTATTAATCGAACCAATTGTAACGGGATAAAAAAAAACACGCATTCCAATTCAAAATCAAATCAACCCCAATGGTGTCCATCTAACGGTACAGACTAGGGTATTTTAGTAAATTCGACGTAAGCTGCGTAACAAACTATAAGTAGAAGCATTCACCGACTCAAAAAGCCTCACCCGTCAAAATCAAATCGTTCTCGAATTGATCATCTCTACAAAAATCTTCGATTGAAAATACGGCGATGAGGACGAATCACGGTGGTGAATTTGGGTTTCGTTGTTTAATTCCTTCCGATTTCGGAAAACCGTCCGTCATCAACCTTAATCTTACCATTTCTACGGTTTCTCCGGTGGCTTTAAAACAGGATCGCGTGGAAGAATCTGGGGCCGTTTTTCTCAAACGAAATCGCGAATTCCTTTCGGATTACCCAGAAAATGAAGAAGGTACGAAACCGATTCCGTACAACTTTCACGTTTGATTTTGATATAGATAAAGTAGCGAATTAGAACTACTGTGAAGATGTTCGTCATGGATCATCCTGTTAATTGCAAGTCTTTAAGAAATCAATAATTTCTCTGGTTTTCGCGATTTTAGGGTTTTTGTCGAAGATAATTGGTTACATGTGTTTTGATTTGATAAATTGTTTTGTTTGGATTAAGAAAATTTTGGCGATTTAGAACCTGTGTGATGAAATTTGTGTATACTAGTCTTAATCTATCATCATGAGCCAAAGCCGATGTAACTATATAAGTTCTGTGGTCCATTGTTGTCAATCGTTCTTTCGTTGCCTTTATCTCTCTTGACATCCATCGTTTTTACTACGCAAGAAATCAAGTTTGTGTATTTTTTCTCTGGTTACGTTATGGTTTTCTGGTAAAAACTTTCTGATGTGTTCCGATTTATAGATACTTATTATATCGGTTTGTATTGTATTTAAGGGTTGAATTTGGAGTATTTTTGTATGGTATATGTTTGTTTTCTAATGTTCTGTGTGGGTCTTATAGATATGTTTAGTGTAAGTAATGGTCTCTGGCATTCGGTATTGATTCACATCCTAGGCTTAGTTTTCGTAAATCGTTTCTGCTAAATTCAGGTTTTTTAAGCTGTTTTGATCATGATGGGTTTTGAAAATACATTAGTATACTCCAAGAGAGGTGTGTTTAATATTTCTGTAACTCGCAGGAGGACATAAAATTTGCTGATCGTCCTATCTGGTTAGAGAAGATAAAAGAGATTTGCTCAAAGTTCAATTAAAGGTAAGAGTCTAGAAGCTAGTATTTGCTTAGAAACATGAGACTTGATGATACTAAAACTTTCGGCAAATATATTTGGTTGCTAAATGGTGTGTTGTGGGAAGTCAAAAAGATGCTATTGGTTACTGTTTAGTGTCCATAAGATTGTTTCCTGATTCTGAAAATAAAGTTTTATCTCATCTCTTTGATTACTCTCTGTTGTGTACTGACTTTTACTCTCATAAGGTTCTTTGCCTTCAGGAGAAAGGATCTTGAAGCTGCAAACGAATTAAAGTTCCGGAGATCATTCGCTGAGCAAGAGTAAGGGTTAAAGCTGTATGTCTCTCTTTCTTTGAACTGGACAGACCGGTCTGGTCTGGCTTGGCTTCTTTTCGCATGCATTTTTTACATGTTCAGAAATTTTAGCCTGCACTATCTCATAAACGTCTAACATAGAGAAAAAACGCAAGACACGCTCAAACAAAATTCAAACACAACACAAACACAAAACAAAAAACAACTCAAACACACGCTCAATCACAAAAAATTCTAACACAAACAGTAAAAATCAAAACACTAGGATCAAATCTTCATGAACTCGATCACAATATCACTTTACTTTGATCATTTTCTTATGTGAATGATCATTTTTCAGGAATCAGACATTTTGTTGATTTTTGGATAGTAAGTTTATATTGTAATACCTTTCTTGTGCTTAATGTGTCTCTGCTATCTAGCGGACTTTCATTTATATGAAGGTAACATTCTCTACTATCTAAATGTTTGACTGTCTGTAATTTCAATAAATAAAGTGTCTAATTTATTTGATAACTTGCAGGAGGATTACTCCACCCACGTTCACAAAGAGACTTGTTCAAATTATTTGGCCATAGCTTATAATAACTTGCAGGAATATTATTGTTTTAATCACAAGACATGCATGACCTGATTTTCTAAATAATGTTTGCGTATTCTCTATTTCAGAGCTAAAACAACACTTGTGCAAAACGTTAAGGAGAATATCGTGATATTGAGATAGCTAAAACGGTTTCTTTCGTTAAGGTAATCTTTGTCACTGTATTTCTTGTCTCTTTTGGCTCCTCTTTTACTGACATTTCCATATTTGTTCTGGTTTCTTACTTGACTTTTACGTGAAGTCTATACTTCAAGATTACAAATAAGAAACAGGCAGCCAAATGTTGCCAGGGAACCACAAACACTCTGTAAGATTCTCTAATATTGTTTATGGTCTTGTGAGTTTAGTTACATATATGTTTTATGTTATAAAGTTTTTTGGTTTCAGGAGTTTTCTTTAGATGCAAACGAACTTTTTAGCAAAGGTTCTTTTGGTTTTATACAGACCATTCAGAAGCCAATAAAAATGTAGGTATGATTCTCCCTCTCCCTCTTTCGTCTCAAAAACAGAACAGAAATTCACAGAAACACACGCTTAAAATGTCAAACTTGCGTTGTGATTCTGTTTCTCAAATTTCTCACTTCGAGTTTTCTAATAGTTTCTTATCAATTAGACATTTTACTGCTTGTTGGGTTTAGTTTCAGTATATGGTGTAGGTTCTATTGAAGTTATTTTCGTCTTCAAGCGAAATGCTAATTGGAAATGACTTTGTGTATACTCGATGGTTGAAAAAATATATTCAGTTTAAAGCAGGTTGGCGTAAGAAAGAGCACAAGTTTCAGATATGTTTCAGTAAGCTCATGGATGATAAGGTAATTATGTTAATCGTTGTTCATCTATTAGCATCAAGGTGACTTTTTAATACATCGTTAACATATTGTTTTAAGTATTCAGGAGTCTCAGTTATAATTTCCATTTTAAGATGTCGATGTAGTATCTCCGACCAGGTATCAAAATTATGTCTGAAATTGCATTAGAGAATGCTTTTCCTTTGTTAGTGTTGCTTTAACTGTATCGTTTGTTTGTATTTTATTCCGCTCTTTCTTTACTCTCTGTTGTGTACTGACTTTATTCTGATACCTTCTCTGCCTTCCAGAGAAAGGATCTTGAAGCTGCAAACAAATCAAAGTTCTGGAGACCATTGGCTGACCAAGAGTAAAGGTTAAAGGTGAAGTATGTCTCTGTTTCTTTGAACTGGACAGACCGGTCTAGTCTGGCTTGGCTTCTTTTCGCATGCATTTTTTACTTGTTCAGAAAGTTAAGCCTGCACTATCCCATAAACATCTAACATAGAGAAGAAACGCAAAACACGCTCAAACAAAATTCAAACACAAATCGAAAAACACAACACAAACACACTTCCAAACGCACATTCAAACAAAAAACGAAAACAACTCAAACACACGCTCAATCACAACAAAACTCTAACACAAACAGTAAAAATCAAAACACTATGATCAAAACTTCACATTCCATGAACTCGATCACAGTTTCACTTTACTTTGAAGCATCTATATTCTTATGTGAAGGATCTGTTCTCAGCAATCAGACATTTTTTGTTGCTTTTTTAATCTGATTTGTAGTAAGTATATATTATAAAAACTCTTTTGTGCTTAATACTATCTAGCGGACTTTCATGTATATGAAGGTAACATTCTCTACTATCTAAATGATTATTTGGAAGTTGCAGGTGTACATAAAGCCTACTGATCGACATATTGCAGCAGAAAAGATCAAAATGATTTGACTGTCTGTGTTTTCAATAAATAAAGTGTCTATTTTGTTTTAGAACTTGCAGGAACATTCACAAAGAGACTTGTTCAAAGTATTTGGTTGCTGAATAGTCTTGTGGAATTGAATACAAGATGATGGTATATTAGTATTTAGTCGCAAGCCATTACCTGATTTTCTAAATATTGTTTGCGTATTCTCTATTTCAGAGATAAAACAACACTTGTGCAAAACGGCCAGGTTAGCAAACTGTAAAATCATCATGTGATCTGTAAATATATCTATCTTTACTGACTTACTGATAAAGGTTCTATGTTTGTCCTCTGTTTGTTGCTGATTCGCTGACTGACTTATTTGATTCAAGAGAAAGGATCCTTAAGCTACAAAGAGTAAAAATGAGACTATTCACTAGCCAAGAAGTCAAGAACATACAAAGGTTAAGGTGAAGTATTTCAGCTCTCCACAAACAGGACCTTGTTATGGATATCTGTCTGTCTCTTTAGTGTAGATATTATTTTGGCTTTCAACATTGATTAAGTGCTTTGTCTCAGATTCGTCTTCTGTGTCATTACGAGCTTACATACATGACTAGGTACTATTAGTATGATTTTCTTTGCAGGAGGACATAAAACTTGTTGATTGTCCTATCTCGTTAGAGAAGATAAAGAGATTTGTTCAAAATTCATTAAAAGGTAAGGAAGGTTTAGAAGCTAGTATCTGTTTATAAACATGAAAAGTCCAAGACTTGATAAAACTAACACTTGTTTATCCACTCTTTGTTTACTCTCTCTGTTGTGTACTGATCTTGAAGCTGCGAACAGATAAAAGTTCTGGTGACCATTCGCAAATAGTTCATTTGTTCGTAAAAGGTGAGGTATGTCTCTCTTTCTTTAAATTAGACAGACCGGTCTTCTTCTGTCTGACTTGTTTTTGCTTGCAATTGGCGTAAGAAAGAGCCCAAGTTTCAGCTACGTTTCAATAGGCTCATGGATGATAAGGTAATTATGTTAATCGTTGTTCACCTATTAGCATCAAGGTG